TTCTAATGTCTAGCTTATTATAGTAGTAAGGTAGAAAGGTTTCCCTATATACCAATTTTCGTTGCCTAAATATGTTAGCGCTGTAAATATCTATTCATAGCACCTAGATAGCCATCGTGGGTGAATTATCAAGAAATGGACGTACAATGAGTGCGCAGGCACCAACTCAAATTTGCGATACACGTGTGAGAAGCCAAGACGCAATTCTGCCCAGGCGAGATTGATCCCCAGACACATCCTCGGACCGCGGGAGAAGGCAACGAGCCATTGATCCAAGTCAGTGGATTCGAGCCAGCGTTCTGGCTGAAATTTGTCTGGTTCGGGGAAGATGGCGGCGTTGTAGTGAACGAATGTACTGCCGGTTGATACGATTGTCTGTGAATCTATTAATGAGGAGTTCTCTGTATGAACGTAGTGATGGCAAACATACACCTGGTGGAATATCAACCCCAGCTATCTTTGCACCGGTGGTTGGCACTACGCGTAGTAGCCCCCAGATGACGCCAGAAGATAGCCTGAGGGACTCTTTGATGACCGCATTGAGATATGGCAGTCTCTCAAGATCCTTGACCCTAGGGTCTGCTTCTGCGCTATCTAGCGACGGCCAGACTGTTCTTAGCTCATCCCTGAGCGTTTGTTGCTTATCCGGGTTCTGGAGTAGGTAGTATGCGCCGACCATAAGAGTATTCCCGACGGTGTCTGCGCCGCCGAACATCAGTGCTTGCGACTCTTCGTAGAGGCTGCCAGCCGATGGAAGCTTTTTGTCGCGATAAGCGTCAGCGTCTAAAAGGCGATGATAGATGGTCATATTATGCGGAAGGGCCTTGAGCTTCTCTGGGTCGCTGGTAAGGTCATTGATCTGCCGGAGGAGCAGCTACAGTGAAATCAGCACGCTATCTGCATAGATAATCTGATCCGAAAGCGAGCCCAGCAATTTTGCGGTGAGCGTACCTGCTGGAGGTCTACCAGACCCGCTGTGGCTGGGCTGACAACTTTAGAGAGCTTCGGCGGGCACTTCAATATCATGTTCTTGAAGACATCGGAGTACTTGAACCCGACGAAAACAGGTAGCGACGCGTCCATGGCCATCACTATCGGAGCCTGAAAGCCGGGCGCATCCACGGCGTATATCGGCTTGCCGAAGCAGAAACTCGTGATGACATCCATGCTCATGCATCGGAAGGCGTAGAGCAGATTCGAGCTCTTGCCCGCCTTGGTCTGTCGCTCGAAGGCCTCACAGAGCGCTTTCGTCTGTTCGACCAGCAGACTTTCGGCGCTCTCGATTGCTGTCTGGGAAAAGGAGCGGTTGAGCACATCCTTGCGATTTTTGGCTTCAGCATAGGTCAGGAAGCCGAAGCTGGACCGGTCCTCGTTGAAGCTTTTATATAGGCGTGACTCCTTATCCCAACGGTTCTTGTTGTTGTAGATGTCGTGGTAGGCTTTTGGATCAGCAAAATGGAGCTGTCAATTCTATCAGCAATCGGTAGAGTTTAAAGAAGGCGGCAAGGGCTTCTCACCTCATTTGGTCCTACACGAACGACGTCTCCTGAGTGATGGGGTCTGTCAGAGGATATGGTATTACAAAATCGTACACGGATGTTCTCACCGTATTGTGCATGTAGCTCGCGGAGGACGTCGCAGAATGATCTCTTCAGAATGCACTCAACGTAAGCCTTCCAGTAGATGGTCGTTCGGGCGACAGGCGGTCCTGGAAATGCGGCCAACGGGTGGAAGTACACATTGTAGAGGACAATGAACACTACATAGGCTGCAGAGGTTGCGAGCGCAGCAGGCAACAGAGTCACCCAGACGCCCTCCATCGTGTCGGCTGAGATGTGAGATCAAGGTGCGCAACAACTCGCTACATCTGAGCCTGCAATTCAGCCGAGCTCCCGTGTCCGATAGGCCTGTCTTGGTCTCCATGTTTTGCCCATTCAATACCTCACCGTAGCCAGGATGCGTTGTTGCTTGCAGTAGCTTAGGCTTGGAGCGAATCACATGCGTGCTCTCTCCCTATTGAGGGGCACAGGCTAGGCCGGAAGAAGCGGCGTGGCCGTGATATCGTACGGGACATTCGTGCTCTTCCAGGCCGTCATCGACTCCATCCCTCTGGAAGGTAGGCGCGATCCCCACTTGGCCCGGTTTGAACACCAAGATAGTTCCCAATACAGTTGCAAGAAAACCCCACGAACAATGGGCTCCCCCGAGCCAGCAAACGCCCATGCACTCCCCACGCCCGACGAGCTCCAGGAAGCACTCAGCACCAACGTCCACGATCGCGAGGGGAAAACGTATGCACTCGGCGACCTGACCAAAGACAAGCGAAGCGTCTTGATTTTCACGCGGCATTATTGTGCGCAGCCCCAATCTCCATGTGTTCCACGGCCACCACGTTAATAACAAACAAGGGTGCGTCAATTGTCAAGCTTATGTCCGCGCTATCAGCGAGTCAATTCCGCCTTCAAAGCTGCCTCCCAATACTCAGAGTATGTCGGGTTGGGATACCAATTCAAGCGTGTGTCTAAGTACACGCAGTCCTCATCATCAGCAACGGCTCCTACCAACCCATTGACTTCTACGCCCGTAAGTAACCGCAAGTTCCCTGAAAGCACACATCAATGACCTGCTCCCGAACTCAAGGCACGACCTCGTCGGCCTATCCGATTTACACAGATCCCACATGCCGACTCCACGCCATCCTGAAGTTTGGATCCGGGCTCAAGGAGGGCACAGAGAAAAGAGACTACATGCAGGATGCCGGGGGCACGGTGAGCCGAATTGTAGGTGGGATCAAAGGAGCGCTAGGAAATTTGCAGCATACGGCGTACATCGGGCCGAAAAGCTTGAATGGTGGAGAGGTAATTGTGGGCGCTGGTAAGGCGGACTTGTGGTGCGTATGGCATCTACGGGAGACTAACGGTTGTGTAGACGGCAAGTGCGAGTACATGTACAGGATGCAAAACACGGTCGACCACACCAGTATTGCCGGGCTGGCTCAGATTGTCGGCGTTGAGAAGGCATCGCCGCAGCAGGCGTGAGTCGCAAGAGGCGAAGGCGCCTGTGAAGAATGAACTTGGTATTAAGCATACTTGTCGTGGCTAGTCTTGACCTTGTACGCCAGCGAAACCTCGTGGAAGGTGCCCTCCCTCCGCGCCTTCCTCAGCTTCTTGACTTCGTCGTCGTCCAGCCTCCGGCCAATCATGTCCTCGAGCTCCTTCTTGCTAATCTTCTCCAGCGCCTTCTCGGCCTTGGCAACCTTGTGCCGCGGCTTGAAGCGCGCCTGCATGCGTATGCGCAGGGTGGTGTTGAAGGTGATGGCCTCGGCGTCGCCGCGCACATCGGGCCCGCTTGCTTTGGAGTCGTCGACGGTGAGGAATGTGTCACGCGCCGTCTGCAGGCCGAAGGTGGAGGGGTTGTCGGGTACGGGGATGACGGTGAAGGACTCGGCGGGCGAGATGGCCGTCGATGTTGCGCTCGGGATGCCATACTTGTCGCAGCCCAGATAGCTGTCCGTGGTCAGCTCATGCCCTACATGGTGCAGTCTCGGCAGGCACGTACCGGCCATGGTGGCCCTTCAGGCTGAAGGACTCGGTGCCGGCGACCCTGGTGGCGACCCAGACCTGCCTCACATCGTGGGGCTCGCTGGTGGCCGCGTCGCCGTCGACGCAGTTCTCGATCTGGCTGCAGAAGACCTTGCCGTTGGCGTCGCAGGCCAGACACGTCGGCAGCTCCGTTGGCAGCACGACAATGATGGGCCCCGAGATGTCGGTGGGCGCGTCGGCGCTCACCCACGAGTCGTCCTCTTGCGCAGCGTCCGTGGCCGAGGCCGACGCTGTGGTCGGCGCCTTGGACGCGCGGGCATCCGCGTCGCCGCTGCCATCGTCGGCGACGCGCTTGCGCTTCTTGACCTTCTTGTCGCCTTTGAACGAGAGTGGCTTGACCATGCTGGGCGCGTGTGGGCGCGTCCGACGTTGAGCGCCCGCCGATGAGGTAATGCGTGCGGGATGCGCCGGCGGAGGTGCCCGGCAGAACACGCGCTAGCCGAGGCGGGCAGGTGCGGTGGTGGGTGCGGGCGTCAATGTCTTTGGCGGCGAGGTGCGAGTGCAAATAAAGCGTGACTGTGTGCAACGTGGACGTGGACACTGCTTGATGCCGTTGCAGAGCGAATTGGCACCATGCCGGACCCTACACCCCAGCAGAGCGCCGTCGCGGTGAGCCTGCAGGATCTGAATAACGGTGCGCCCAACATCATGTCACTGATCGTCATCTCGTGCTGACCCAACATCAGACAATGTGGAATTCTCTTCCCTGGAGGAAGCTTTTGGTCCCTCGTCGCTTGGTATAATCGTCGTGAAGGACCTCCCCGAAAAATTCCACTCCCTGAGACACCGCCTGCTCTCCTACTCCTCTGCACTCGCTAGTCTACCGAAAGATCAACTGGAGAAGCTCGAATCGCCAGCAGCGAAATGGCTGGTCGGCTGGTCACTCGGAAAGGAGACCCTCAAGGACGGTCGTTACGATACCCTGAAGGGCTCCTACTACGTGAACTGCTCTCCACTCTTTCCTGGCCAACAAGCCACCGTCGCGGAAAAGTACCCTTCTTTCTCCGAGTACACTGCACCAAATGTGTGGCCATCAAAGGACCTTCTCCCTGGCTTTGAAAACACCTTCAATGAGCTTTGCTCTCTCATCATCGACATCGCCGCCCTGGTAGCACGCGCCTGCGACAAGTATGCCGAGGCAAACATCCCAGAATACAAAAATGGCTACCTGGAGCACGTTGTCAAGACAAGCGTCAGTACCAAGGCGCGGCTGCTTCACTACTTTCCCAAGGAAGGAGAGGCTACACAAGACGGCGATGAAGATGACTGGTGTGCCACCCATCTTGACCACGGCTGTCTTACCGGCCTAACGTCTGCCATGTTCGTTGATGAGGCTGCGCATCCGCCTCAGACTGGCCCATCCTTCGCCCCGCTCAACGAACTTGAGCGCTCGCCAGATCCTAAAGCGGGCTTGTATATCCACTCGCGGACAGGAGCAGTCACAAAAGTTGCTATTCCGCGCGACTGCCTGGCTTTCCAGACAGGAGAGGCCCTCGAGATCATCACGAAGGGGAAATTTAAGGCAGTGCCGCATTTTGTCCGGGGTGCAGGCGCCGGTGTAAGGGGGAAAGTGGCTAGGAACACGTTGGCTGTCTTCACGCAGCCGAATCTGTGGGAGATGGTGGATGGCAAGAGGGATTTTGCGGCTTTTGCAAAGGAGATCGTCGAGAAGAACCATTGATACTGAATCATAGAGACCGGCGTCCATTACGCATGTGTGAAAATGCAGATTCTCATGGAGGAAGCAGGCAGTGGGAAGACGTTGTTGTGAGCTTCTGGTTGTATGGATGGATATGAAGTTACTCTCAGCGTTTCTCGAGCACGCTCGCGCAAATGCCTGAGTTCGCGCGGCATCGCGATCAACGGTGTTGTCTCACTAATGGAACAAAGGTCATAAAATCTTCTATTACTAGGTCGAACGAGGTCTAATCACACCGCCTCTTTAGGACGAGTTACTGTTGTCCGCACAGGAGAAGGCAGAGTCAATACTTCCATCCTTGTAAGCATCCATGATCTGAACGATGACACCATACGTTCCGCCGATGCACAGGAAGAGGGAGATCATAATCATCAGCACGTGCAGTCCGTACAGGATTTTCTGTATCAATGTGCCTTTCCGGTAATCCTTGTGATCATATATCCAAAGCCAACCTGGAAGACCAAGCGCAAGTGGGGCGAAGGCAAGGCTACCGGCAAGACTGAGGAGATAGTTGAAGATGGGTACACCAGAGGCGATCAGGAAAGCGACAAGGTTGACGGCGGCAAGAGTTCCAAGCCAGACGCCCCAATGGACCAAGGAGTTGGCTTGGAGATGTTTCGAGTCTCGGAGAACTCGGACGAAGATGTACTTTGCACTGACGTGGTTGAACAACGCGCCGGACACCATGAGGCCCAGAATTCCGATACCGTATGCGATTTTCTTGATCAGAGGACCAGCGCTACCGAGCGATGGGGAAGCTACCCATTTGCCGCAATACCAGTAAACGACAATACTGAAGGTGAGGTACTATGTGAAATTAGCGACCTCGACTTGAATATGGTATTGTGGATATTCTTACAGCAGCGGTTACGAAACCCATGCACCAGTTTACGGCCTTCTTGTAGTCCTTTGGGTTCTTCATCTCGCTCATAACAGGCAAAAATGCACCTGTTCCAGCACCGGAGCAGAATATTGTGGACGCGGCTACCATACCGGCAGCGAATGTAGGGTGGCCAATGACATGGTAGCCAAAGTCGAAGTCGCCGGTTTGTGGGGCTGCTGCTGGACGGTCGAGTGTAGTGACACCAACGCTGAGACGGTGTTAGCGCACTGTTTCGCAAAGTCTAGACTACACAAAGTACCACTTACACGACAATGAAGATGGCAATGAAGACCGAAAGGAACCCAGCCCAGGTTACCCAGGCAATCTTCTCAAATTTTCTCGGACTTCCAGCGACAAATACCATGATAGTTGCGATGATCGAGAAGTAATTTGTGCAGAGCGAGTGGTTGGAGAGGGCGTTAAGCGCGGTCGATGTGCCTACGATTCCCGAAGCTCCAACGAGAATGAAGGCAACGAGAAAAAGGATACCCGTAAGCTCTCTCACTATCTTCCCGCCAACGAGATTGCCCATATCCGCGATACTGTGGCAACCAGCGTGGTTGTGACGGAATTGACCTTGTACCTGAGCACAATAGGTGTTGAGGAACTGCCAGCCAAGAACATTGATGGCGCCTATAAGCCCTTAGAATTCAGTATTCAGTCATCAGCAGAGATCTGCTTACCAGGGAAGGCACCCAGCGTGTACATGGCGGATGGAATCGTCAGGACACCGGTTGCGAAGATCACTTTACGAGGTAATGGTTAGTATGATGCTCAATCAAAATTTGGCTGCAGCACCACTCGTCGTGAGATAATATAGGAAACCAATGTTCTGAGCGAAATGCTGCAAGAACTAATCGAATGAAAGGGACGTACGCTTCGTGAATATGATTGTGGTCTGTATCCATCCAACTGTGCGGAAGTCCTCGTATCCTTCCCCACGCTTGAAGATCTCTCCATCGTTTTCAAGGTCTATCTTTTCGATGGAAACCTGGTCATTGCTCGGAGCAGGCTCGATCATGTCGTGCGATTTCTCAGTCGACATAGTGACGGATACTCCAAACTTTCTGCTGTTGCGGTGTATAGGGGCAGGAGACTGCAGTTTTGGCACCGCGCGCTGATGATCGACAGTGTACATCAAAGTCGATATATATATGCACCCGCCTCCATGATATCTCGGGTCATATTGCGTTGATAAGTCGGGAGGCCCATGGCCTTGGCCTAATATTACGCGGTCTCTTGGAATCTGGGGATTGCATGGTTCCGACCCACGAGCCCCATCGTGTTGGAGCTTGGGGTAGCGATCTCCACTCGCTAGCGTCGAGATAGGAATGCGTGACACCTCCGATTATGCCGTGACCCATGCGAACATGTAGCTCCAACAGCTCGTTGCTCCGCGTATCAAAGTAGCACTTCCCCATGATTTCAAATGCCGCCTAATTTCGGTGTCAGCCCAGACAGCTGGGTCAGATTGCCTCGCCGGGGCATCACGGAGCGTACTTATCGGCCCGTCACTCAGGCCATTGATGCCAAATACTGAATACCAGCTATTCGCGCCCTGTCCCGGAGAGACTTGAGAATATCGAACAAGCAATGAGAAGCCTTTTTTCGCTTTCTCAAACGTTATGGCCATCTCAGGAAGAGATTTCTGGAGATAAAGAACAACCTGTCCGATGAGCAGTTGCAATCCGTTCCACTTTGGTCAAGGTACATAAGAACCTGTACAATGCCAATGACACTCCACGGAGCAATCGATGGAACACTGGACAACCCAGTAAAATTTGGTTATTGGAGCTTCATCGTTGAATGTAAATATAGCCAATTCCCATATCTATACAACGTGGTAGCCGCGAGAAATTGTAACATGTAGCAGTGGGATTTCAGAGTTTCAACATTTTAAGACGTGGTGAGGCGCGCTCTGTGCTCAGAGAAAACGGCTTACGGTCTTATAAACTGCATATATACGACTCGCAGAGTTCCTCCAGGGTATTAACAGGTGCCTTTGTATCTAACACTAGCTGCTGACTGGAGCTTCTTTCAGCTTTGCACCAGGCTCGGCAGGCATCAAAGCTCCTTCTGGCGGTGCATTCTTGCTTTTAAACTCGTCGCATATCTGCTCCATTGTGACGAACTCTACCCCTTCGTGTTCTTTGAAATGTTTAATGAGTCTGGTATACAGTCAGCACGCGTTGTTTGATTCACGTCTCATTGCTTCCTTACCTCTCGTGCATCAGCAGTGCATGCGGTCGCCCGGACACATCGGGATGGATAGTGATAGGCTGATAAGATTAGTTTATAGATTGGCATCTCTAGAGAGCTATCGTAGCTTACGAAGATGAAGTCATCATATTCCTGGTAGAAGTAGTCGAAGTGATCTCTCCAGATGTCTTCGATATCGCGCGCATTGACGAAACCATGGCTGTTCGAAGAAGCCTTGATGAACATCATTGGAGGCAGATCCTATCTTGGTCAGGGTTCTGTGCCAATCAGACTTCTGAAAGGCCTTACATCGATATACCAGTTCGCTGGAATCTCAACGAGGCCAGTTTCTTGGCCCTTGACGAGTGGCTTCATCCATTCTGCAGCCTTCTTGGAGTAATCAATTTTGGTCCACGAATCGCCCGTGCGCAGATAATAGGCCTGGCAGTCGTGATGACTCATGCTGTGATCATACTCGATTCCATATGAGAGCAGCAGCTCCGCGCCTTCTTGGCTTGTTTCCCACCTGTCGTCCCAAGATTAGAACTACATATATGTATCCCATAGGGCCTTGAGGATTAATGCTTACCAGGGCGCTACACTCCCTCGCGGAGGCTTTCCCGCAAATTCTGTAAGCATGCGATACGTCTTATCTAAGACATCCCTTTGTTGCTCAAGAGTCATATCTACAGGGTTTTCGTGACTGTAGCCATGTAATCCAATCTCGTGACCCGCATCGCGAACCGCGGCCATATCCTCAGGGAAGGTTTCTAAACTGTGCCCAGGTATAAACCACGTTGTCTTGATGTCATGCTTGGCGAACATCTTCAACAACCGTTGCGTACCAACAGTGCCGGCCCACAGCCCACGGCTGATGTCGCTGGTGCTGTCCTCGCCTCCATAAGAGCCCAGCCATCTGAGGGATTGTTAGAACACCTTGCGGACATCATACCATATGCGGAGATATGCACACACCCTGCAACAGCATCTACATCAACACCATACGAGATCAATACCCGTTTCTTTCCCATGAGTGTGAGTTTTCTAGGCTTCGAGGAGAAGAGATGCAAGGCAAAGACTTAGGAAGTGGTAATGGATGTTGAGAGTGATGAATCTCCAAGTCGTCCTTTCCAAGAAGGTAAATGACACTGCACGTCGTCGCGGCGTAGGTGCGTTCAAGATACCGTGGAGCCGATGGCGCTGGGCAAAGCTGCCGGTCCGGAGGACTGTCCAGGCGCCAGTGACCGGATCCCAAGCTAGGTTACTCCACCTCACGCGCTTGAGCCTTATCACGCGCGGCAGTCTCCAACTTGCTCCAACAAGCAAACCAAACCAACCCACAGGTAAGGAAGTAGCAAGAGTCGTAAGTGCTCGTCAAATAATTATCAGAGAAGAAGCAGTTCAGATTAGCCGCACAAAATTAAATTGAAGTGTAAAAGTCATGCACTCGTTCTGAGACTGTCCCACTGACTCGCTTTCTAGCCATAGACTTTCACGCGTGGATGATGACGTCACCGCATATGCGCGCTGCTCAAATAACAGAGGTAAAGTGAACTGCCAATTCCATCTGTTCCAAGCAAATCTGACACGGCAAAGTTCAACAAGCCATACCAGCTGAACTTGCAGCCGGTTCCACAATGCGGCGATAATGACCTGCTTGTTGAGGTTCATGCTGCGGGATTCTGCCATTCTGACCTTCAGGTCTGGGAAGGCAATTTCAAAGCGAAACTACCAATGATCCCCTCTCACGAGCCCGCTGGCAAGATCGTGCAAATCGGCGCCCGCGCCAAGGGTTCGTGGAAAGTAGGCGACCGCGTGGGTGTGTTGAATTTCAAGAATGCTTGCAAGGAGTGTGTTGGTTGTCGACAGTACAATCGAAAGAAAGGGTGCACCGATCCTCGCTTCTGCGAGAAGAGGGAAATGGCAGGCTTCAAGCATGATGGAGCCTTTGCGGAGTACATGATCGCCGACCCAGCTGTACGCTACTTTTTATGCAGGCAAGAGTATCTTCACTGACTCGTTACGTGCACTTAGACCACTGTTCATCTACCCGAAAATATATCTTTTGAACAAGGCGCACCTCTTATGTGCGCGGGCGTAAGTCTACGGCTGCCACTTTGTATTTCGGCCACTGACAGCGACGAAGGCGACAGTATGGGGCGCACTTCAGAAGCTGAAGCCGGAGGTCCAGCCTGGCGAAACAGTCGCAATAGTAGGCATAGGCGGTCTTGGACAGCTGGGGATTCAATTCGCAAAAGCTATGGGTTTTGAGACGGTAGCTATAGACAACAGACTTGAAGGCCGCAGGCTGGCGACGGAAGTCTCTTCGAACCTGAGACCAGACCTGATAGTAGACTCCTCGGCCCCGGACGCCTCGGACAAGATTATGGACTTCACAGCGGGGGAAGGTCTTGCGGGGATTGTTGTCTGTACGGATTCTGTCCCGGCGAACACCTGGAGTCTGCGGCAGCTCGGCAACGGAGGGGTAATGGTTCCAGTCGGTTTACCGCAGGACAGATGGCAGTTTGACACAGAGCCCATCGTTTTCCGTGAACTGACCATTCGAGGCGTGTATGTGGCTGGCAGGGAACAGGTGGAAGAGATGTTGAAAGTTGTGGCTGATCATAAGATTCTATCTCATGTTACCTCAGTCTCTTTCGATGAAATTCCGAATTTGGTCGCAAAATACACTGATCCAGCGATGAAGGGCCGCCTGGTGGTTCAGATCAAGCAATGAATGCCGGTAGTAGCGAAATGATACCTCAATTCAAGTATTGGGCCTAGAATAACACTGAGAACCTGCCTAATCCTGATGGTATCCTCATTGCGCAGCTTGAACATACGGTAGCCTTTCATTTGGTCCTTTTGCGGGGCGGATTGCGCGACGCGAAATGCAGCTTCGCCACCGTTGGAGGTGGTTGGAGGCGGAACTCCCCAACTCCAACTCGAGCACCCACATTTAAAGACTCCCCATTGGTTACAGCGCAGCGGTATCTCAGATGCGTTACGTATCTCTTAGTTATATCAATCTGAAAACTGTATGACCTGCACCTCATTACAAACAACGATAAGACCAACATGTCAGTGTTCTTCGATTCACCCCTGAGGTTCGTCAGTCCGACCCATATACTTTACAGATTCTGAAACCCACTTCAAGCGAAGATGCCATACCAGAAGGAGAGGCTGAACTGCTTCTAGCCAACATCGGCATCACCGAGGGCATATCGACACCAGAGTCAGGTGACTATCGACAATTGTTAGCAGCAGTCCATGACGTTGCCGAACATGTTCTTGCTTTGCCAGACTACACGGCTCGAGCAAATATCGAAAGATATCCGCGGAGGAACGTAGTGCGCCCTTCGTTTCAGGACCAGGACTATGGTGCTGCCTGGGCACATAAGTTCTCGATCCAAGGTAACCAGGAAGGGACACTGTTGAAAGGCAAAACGGTGTGTCTCAAAGACAATATCACGGTTGCCGGCGTTCCGCAGTTTTTCGGTACTGATGCTATTCCAGCATGGACTTCTGGTACAGATGCTACTGTCGTCACACGTGCTCTGGAAGCGGGTGCGAACATCGTAGGCACGACAATATGTGAGAACTTCTGTAACTCTACGTCCTCGTATACCAGTGCACAGGGAACCGTGCATAATCCTTATGCAGAGGGATTCTCGGCCGGCGGCAGTACATCCGGCGGTTCGGCATTGGTTGGAGGGGGACTGGTTGACATTGCAATCGGTGCCGATCAAGGTGGTAGCATTCGGGTGCCATCGTCATTTTGTGGCTGTATGTTCTCACCTCTAAACCCTTCGAGTTAATCTTGGCTGACTTGAATCGTAGGCGTCGGACTAAAGCCAACACAGTAAGGTTTACAGAAGCATATTGTTATTACAAAATGCTGACTTCGTCAACAGCGGACTCGTCCCTTACACTGGAATCAGTTCTTCTGACGCTATTAATGATCATGCTGGCCCAATAGCAAGGAATGTGAGAGATGTTGCCCTGTGTCTAGATGCTATCAGTGGTAGAGATGATTACGACGACCGGACACTCGGTGCTCCTCTTTGCGGCTCGACAACCTTTTTCAAATCGCTACAAGTTTCTGTCGCCAATTTCAAGATAGGTCTCTTGGTTGAAGGATTTGAACATCGGCTGGTGGATCCTGTGGTGAAGCAAACAGTCATGGATGCTGCTTACGCCTTCGAGAAACTCGGGGCTACGGTTCAGCAGGTTTCTCTTCCTCTGCACCTCGAAGGTCCCGCAATCTGGACGATACAGGCGAGGATCGCTGGCACACTTGGCTTGATGGGTTTTGCGCACGGCCGACGCGGACTTTTCTCCACCGAGTATGAAGCTGCTCGCCAACCATGGACCAGCGCAAGCTTCCAGAAGCTCTTCCCGTCAACCAAGAACACGATAATCAATGGTCTTTCGCTTATGAAGAACTATCCAGGCCTTTATGCTAAAACTATGAACATTGCTCAACAGATTCGCGATTCATATGAGAAGCTATTTCAGGAATACGATATCATCGTTATGCCTACCACGCCTTTCGTCGCACCTTCAAACATAGAGTGGAAGGAAGGGGACTCGCCTATGGCTGCCCTGAAGCCGAGTATGGGTATTACGACCAACACCGCGATATTCAATGTCACGGGTCATCCAGCAATGTCACTTCCTGTCGGGTTCGCTTCAAGTCACGAAGATGCTACTACAAGGCTCCCGGTGGGAATGCAAATTGTGGGGGGATTGTGGCAAGAACAGAAGATCTTGAATGCAGCTCTGGCGTGGGAGGAAGCTAATGACTGGAAGACGATTGGTACTCGGGACGATGTACAGAACTTTCCATTCAAACTGTAAGGAACTTACAGTGGAGAAACAGCGGTGTTAAACATCAAAGCGGGCGCAATATATCCAAATTGATGTCTTCTCAATGTGACTTTATATTGTTTGGAATGTTGCTGAACTCTTCGCTCGTGATACCTGTAGCTCATTGTGAAACTCAGGATGACACTTTCACTGATTTGCTGCACGGTGGCTGAGACAGAAAATCAGAAGGCAGGCGTGCACCTTATTCTGTATCAACTTACTCTACTATATGTTCATAAACCTATCATGTAATCAGCCAGTGTATATGTTCATAAACTAGAGCCTGCCTTCAAAATTCTCATTCTCAATGTCGGCCATGGCGTTTGACTTGAGTTGAGTGTAGTATCAAGAAGTATCGTGTCACCTAGGGCGTCACACTGTAGTCTGACTTTTGACACCGCTCTGTGATTATGGATGGGATTAAGCTAGTTTACATGTGTCGGACCCATCAATTTATGGTGTATCCTCCATCCACCACGAGTGCATGACCTTGAATGAAGGACGCCTGCGTCGAGCATAAGAAAAGGACTGCATTGGAGACCTCATCAACGGTTCCCATCCTTTTCATAGGGGCTATATCGATAGCCGGCTTGAGCGCTTCCACCATCTCGGGCGAGGTAGTTGTCATCGGCGTCTCAATTACGCCTGGGCAAACACAGTTCACACGGATCCCGTTTTCGGAATAGTCGATCGCATTGGATCTGGTCATGTTGATGATCGCGGCCTTGGAGGCACAGTACGCAGCTATATTTCATCATTAAACGCTCAAAGCATGTAGAAGCGGGTTAGCTCACCAGCACCAGGCCTGCCAACTATGCCTAGTTGACTCGCAATGTTCACAATGGCGCCCCTCTGTTTTGGCTGCTCGTCTAGAGGCTCTTGCTTGAGCATGTTCCTTAGCTGCGCCCGACAGCTGAGCCATGAACCACCTAGCAACTGTCAATTTATGCTTTGGGAAATGTTGTCTATAGACTACTCACGATAGTTGATACTGTTCAACCGATCAAATTCCCCCGTCTCCATCTCCACCGCTTTCAGTGTCTTGCTCCCTAGTACACCCGCACAATTTACCGCATAGTCAAGTCTTGAGAATCTGCTGAACACTTCCTCATGAAACGAATCGATAAAAATCTCGTCGGCTATGTCTCCCGATCTGTCGAGTATTCTGACTGAGGGATTAACGGACAGGATAGCCTCCTTCGTTTGTGAAAGGGTTTTCGAATTGATATCTGTTATGGCGATCCTTGTGCAACCAGATCGAGCAAAGCCCTTAGCTACGGCTGCACCAATGCCTTTGATTGTTAGAAGAGCATGTCAACCTCTCGTCCTGCAGTCCTTACCTGTGCCGCCTGCGCCAGTGATTACAGCAACGCCAAGCAAATGCTTCACAATCGATGCCATCTATATAGGGATAAATATATATGCAGGCAAGTACAGACGAAGCTGGAGCTGGTAGCTACCACACGCCAATGATTATGGTGAAGTTGTTGAAATCTCAAGTGTTCGCGCTTGTACAAAGCCGCCTGGGACGTGAGGTTATCGATTTGCGCAACGGTTACTGGAATGTTGAGCCCCAAAGCGTTATCTTTGTGCTATGGGTCCGATCAGCATGATGTCAGGTCGACAGATACACGTCTAGCATGACCCAGGATTAGTGCGGAGTCAGGCCTGATCTCGGCAACGATCGCTTCGCTTTGTATTTGGAGTCGAAGTTGGAGTGGATAAGCTGCAATCAAACACATACTCCAAATCGTGGGGTAAGATTGTACGCGATAGGAACAACCGGCGCGTTACAACTAGTTAGGCTAGCGCTTGCTCAAAAAACCCTGGCTCCACGCCCTGATAGTGTCGTACTCCCCCGCGACCTCCAAACCGCGAAACTCCAACACTCCAGACTCCAAACTCTGGCACCACATGCACAAACACAGCCATACTTGCCGTTTCTGCTCGCGGTCATTCAAACGTGCGGAGCATTTGACCCGCCATCTCCGCACGCGTGAGTTGCTCCACTCTTTTTGACCCACTCTTACTCTACCACCTAGAATTGCTGACTCTCAGGTGCGAAGATACACGCGAGAAGCCCTTTGTGTGTCAATGTGGCGCATCTTTCACGCGGCGAGACCTACTCACAAGGCACTGGCGAATCACCGGCCATAGTGAGATTGGTGGTGGAGAACACCACGAGCCAACAATCGAAACGCAGACGCAAACACTGTCGCAGCACAATGTATCTCCCATCGAGCTGAGCACGAGCAATGTGGTCAACGAAACTGGGATGCTTGAGGATTCGAATCATACTCACCGGCCAGAGCTCCCGACTACCGTGGAGTCTTTCCATGCTGCGCAAGGGCATATCGACCCAGCGATACATCCCGAGTCCTACCAGGATGAGGGGTTCGAGGATTTTCGAGACTTTGTGAACTTCATAGACGGTGTGGGTCTATCAGCCCAATGGACGCCTGAGTACAATATTGATTGGTTGCGCCTCGATAGTTATGAAGAGCCCCGACGTGCATCAAGAGATCTAGAGCCTCCACAATCACCGGGCAATGAGGATATCGGGACTCCATTCAGCACATGGCTCCCTTCAGCACCAGCAGAAGATCAGATTCATCTGAGATCAAATTCGGGAGCCGACGTTCGCGAGAGCCGAGCAAGACATGGCACGTATCATGTGACAGAAGACCACCGAAGCTTTCTCATCTCCCTTCTCCCAAGCTTTCCGGTACCGATCTCAGAATTCGAGATTCCTTCTCGCCATGCCCTTACACGTTATATTACTGCGTTTTTCAGCGGCTTTCATTCTCACTTTCCCTTCATTCACGAACCAACCTACAAGCCATCATGCTCACCATTGGAGCTCACACTAGCCATGTGTGCTGCAGGAGCACAGTACTGCTTCGAAAGAAGAAGTGCAGATCGGCTCTTTCGTGTTTCAAAAGCCATAGTCTTTGAGCGGCTTCGCCAAGAAGAGTCACACTTTGGTCCGCAAACATTGGCATTCATTGCATCGACTGATATGCTCTCGCCCGCAACTGCACCGGTGGCAAGGAAAGCAGGGCCATGGGCGCCACTTGATATGGCCAAAACGCTCCTGATTCTTGTAGGTTTTGCCACGTGGGAACGTAAAGATCTCCTGCAGCAGGCCTTCGCCCTTCGCGGACTACTTGTTCAATGTCTTCGTGATAATGGACTTAAAGAGGAGAGCACTTCCTCTAGCATCCCGGCCGGTGCCAGATCCGCCTTGTGGGACGAATGGGTGCAACACGAATCCTCTCGGCGAACTAAGCTTGTTGCTTTCTGCTACATAAATGGTAAGCAAATATTTTGATACCGAACCATGTTCTTACAGTTACCCCAGTTCATAGCATTGCATACAACATACACCCTCTGCTCTGGAGTAGTGAGCTTCACCTTCGACTACCCTGCTGCACTCAGTTCTGGCAAGCTTCGAGCGCCGCGCAGTGGATATCGCTCGAACGCGAACGAAAGGAAGATCAAATGCCTTTCCAACAAGCCTTATCGGTCCTACTTCAGGGCACATCGGGGTCCAATTCAGTTCACCCCATACCCAGTCCTATTGGCAACTATATATTGCTTCACGCTCTGCTGCAACGAATTCATGTCGTTCGTGAACTGTCATTTCCTGCTGCGCAAGCCACGATCTCGGGTTCAGAGCTTCACACAATAGGGTAAGCATCAAGATCTCAGCATAGTCTGTGATCGATCTGAACTAACCTCAGTTATAGACGAGCCTTGCGCAGTTGGACTTCTCTTTGGCAGCAAGCGCCAGAGAGCATACTTGATCCTAATAACGAGAGCGGACCGATTCCCTTTACCTCAAGTGCCCTCCTTGTTGTTGCTTACATCCGCCTATCTCTCGACATTGGCTCGCATCGTCATCTCGAATCACGTGATCCGGATTTGATCGCACATAGCCTGACAGCGCTGCCCGATATCGAGCGCAACGACAACCTCTTATCAGCACTGTTGTATTCGACCCATGCCCTCAGCATACCAGTGAGGCTTGGAGTAGACCGGATAGCAAGAAGCCAAGCATTCTTCTGGAGTGTGCAGCATGCGATTTGTAGCTTCGAGGGTGCTGTATTCTTAGGCAAATGGCTTTGTTCGCTGCCTAGTCCGATGTGTGAAGACAGTCTGTCTCGTATGTTCTAGTCGCGACTTCAGCTGCCAACTCGGACTAACGCTATCAGGCTCCGAACACCGTATCGTTCACTGGGTCAAGTGTATCGTCGAAGAGGCATATGCAGTCGTCGACTTTGATGAGCAGCGGGAACTGACTGTTCCCGACGAGCCGTTCCAGCTAGGCCTTGCTGTTCTGCATATCTGGTGTCGGTTCCTCCAGGGCAACACACAATGGCAGTTTGTCAACAACCTTGGCATCAGCCTCGAAAAATATACGAAAACGCTCACCTGATAGAACAAGGCAATGCGGCTCTGCTACCGGAGGCCATAAGTAGGCAGCCGCCCGAGTCTGCGATCTGTACGAGGTGGCGCACTCGGGTGATGATAAGCCGTGCCCCGCCGCAGCGTCAACCCCAATACTTGCCTTCTTCCCGTCGCTTCTATCCTAGTTTCTATGCCGCGCATTAACTTCACAGAGTGCGCCGCCATTTTCGCTGCAAGAACCCCCGAAGGCCAGCAACTAAGGTGGAAATATGGTTGGAACGGTACCCTGGTCGGGATAGACCGCAGTCCAGAAACGCAGATCTCACGTGAGGGCTGCCTTAAAGTATGTGGACAAGGCGCCGCAACATATCCTTGGGACGATGTCTCCTCCACCATTACAACATGGCTTTTACCAGTCGTGGGCACTCTACTCCAGGCACCTTTCGAAAGCAACGCATTCGGGCGCACTTTGTTGGCCATTACGCGATGGGTTGGATCACCAATCGCTTCCCTCAGTTATGTTCTTTGGAACATCAAGGTCTCTGCCAAAGCAGCATTGATGGTTGACATGGCTGTGCCGTTCGATAGGGTACCAGACCGTAAGACTGACTTTGGCAGCATGAGGGATTCGATGTACCTTTTGCTCGCTATGAATCAGTATACAATGGAACCAACGGCGATGCTTCGAGCGAAGGAGGCAGAGGGCTTGCTACGAATAGCGCTGTTTAGCAAGGATCTGAAGCTCACGGATACGCCGAAGACATTGCGACAAATGCGACGCATCCTCGCTCGAGAACTACGTGAGATAAGACGGCGCGGTGCGGTACCCGTGTTCGTGTCCATCATGTGGTTTCTCTTTGCGTTCGCTCTCTCCATACAAGCGGCATTTGGAGTAGTCGGCGAGAATCGGACGGCTCACGATCTAGCGTTGGGTTGTATGCTCGCATGGTTCCCAATCCTGATCATGGCGACAATCGTTGACCGGAACCCTATTGCGGCCGAAGCGATTCGAAAGAAGCTCAATGCGCTGATAAACCACGTACGGCACGCATTGCGCGACGAACGCCATCGGCAAGAGTTTATCGATTCATTCAGTGACCAGCCAAATTTCAAACCTTTTGCGCACCATGTCCACGATATTGCAGCAAAAGCAGAATACATGGATAATTTCTTCGTGGATTTTGCTGGTCAAGCCCGAATTCGGTGGCACTATGGGGCGGCACATCCGGTCCTCTCAGACATCGAGAATTGTTACATTGCAGACAAAGGCCGGAACTGGCTTGCAAATGAGAGAGAAGCGCGTACGAACCTTGTCTTGGGACCTATCAACGATGAAGGTTTGGTATGGTTTGACATAAGAGAGTTCTGGCAGGTTGCTGCATCAATTGCGATTGTTTTGGGTAGCTGCGGTGGCGCTTTCATTCTGAGTTTCTTCACGCCTACCGTTGGGCTGGGGTGTCGTAGTGGTGGTTACACTATATTCTTCTGCATATCCCTGGGTTTGATGATCATGGAGATGATTGTTTGGTAAGTTTCCCTACCCTGTGTTACCTCAGGATACCTTATGTGGCGTCCGATAAATCACTCTCAATCACTTACTCTCTACAGGCTGATCCTATCCCCCTACGAGATACAAGAGCCGCCTTGGCTACAGAGAACCCATACACGATTACAAAGCAACGCTCTTGTTCACCGGCTGGATGATAGGAGGCACGACCAATGGGGTTACATCAAGAGACGAGCCTCCAGTATCGTGCGCACGTCAGAGAATCTTCTCATCAAATTCATCACGCGGCTAGTGCTACTATACCCGTTCCACGACAAAGATTCTACCAGAGATAGAGTCGAGACTTTCCTCGACGAACGAGTAAAGAGCTTGAAAGCGATGAGTCCCCAACGAAAATGGGAATGGTTTTTCTTCCGGCCGCTCGAGGCCTTCAACACCATTTGGCTCGTCTATATTGTCGTTGCACAGACCTGGGGCTTCTACAAGACCTGTGATTGTGTTACCAGTAATTGGGGCGGAGCGGGGGGTTATCTCGACTTTCGCGTGCAAGATGTGGCAAGCAAGTGGGTGGAAGCGTACTGGTTGACAGGCACCCTGCTCACGTCCTCGGTTATGGGCTTCTCCATGTTCTACATCACCGTCGAGTGGTGTCAACAGTCCTTTCTATCAACGGAAGACTACGAGGACGCGAGGCAGGGACTGCAAATGACGCGGATATACAGGCACTGGACGTTTCCCTTCCGCAGGCTCTCCCGCCTCCTTTCGCGCTTCACGTTCGACCCTATGGAGCGCTTCGCCGTTGCCATCGGGCTCATCAAGTATCCGCAGAAGACGCTGCTCTGGAGCAGAACACACACGCACGACCCAGATATCGCTCTCTCGGCCCCGGTGCAAACACCACGTCCCCACGGCAACCCCAGCATCGAGCTGTCAGACTTCTCCACCGCCATGGTGAGGGATGACAGCCAGCATTCGCACGAGCACGCCGCGTACGAAACACCCGCCATGGCGCACTCGCTCTTCCCGCCAGCGATCCCGCAGCGTAGACCAAGGCAAGACAGCGACGCCTCTGCTGCGCGGCCGTCGCCGTCGCTCCTGTACGGCATCGGCAATTCCGCACCGTTTCCCTTACCACCATCGCCGTCATATCTTGCCCACCGCCCCTCGCACGACTCCGCACTCTCCTCCAGACCGCTGCTCCCCCGCCCCTCAGAAGCGCACCACCAGCGTGAGCGCGCGGGGTCCGCTACGTCGATGCAGAGTGACGAGCGTGATCCGCGTAGTAGCGGCGAGGAAAATGGGCTCATGTCGCCTGTGAGTCCGTTGCGGGTGGGAGAGTATAAGCCGTTTTTGGGGATGGTGCAGAGTAGACAGGGGTATTCGAGGGCGAATTCGGACCCTGGGAGTCCGCCTGGGGTAGATGCGTTGGGGATACGGATGAGTGGGGTTGCGGAGGATCTGGAGAAAGGGGAGGGGAGGTGAAGTGTGGGGGTTGGGTGGATAACATGATTATTCGATCATGTACAGATGTTTTGTATATCGAATATTCCGTGACAGCATACCGTAGGTAGACTTGCGGGTGCTTGCGATAGACGATGGTGGGCTAGGACTGTCTTCTGATTGGTGAGACGTAGTAGACACAAAGCTGCACCTGTCGCATTTCAAGTCCACGTAGCTACGTACTCAGGCTAGCACGCCGTCATGTCGTGTTATTCTGACAGCTTCATTGTTCCGACGCCTTCAAATGATCGCCTTCCACGCCGCTTGATCAACCATACCGCACCTTACGCCCCTTCGCCCCATTACTCGGTTCTGCCATCGTATAGCTCACATGCACGCCGCGCTTCTTTGCATACTCGATCACGTCTCTACTGCTCAAGTTGCGGCAGTGATCAGCGTTGATGTGGCGTAACGTCGGCACTCCGTCTACGAGTTTCTTGATGCCGTACCCCGAGACGTTGGTATTTGATATGTTGATGGTGGTGAGGCTTGTTGATTCGATGATAGGATCGATGTCGTCGTCTGTGAGGGGCTGGCCGGGGAGTTCGAGGGAGGTGAGGGCCCGTGTGAGGATGCGAGGAGATGTGGAGAGGAAGGTGGACACGATGGTACTGGAAGGGGTAGAGTTGTCGACACTGTCTCTCTCAATAGTTCCAGCTAGAGAAAGATGTTGCAAGGGTTTGGCGTTCTCAATAGGCAGCCTCGTCTCGTCTCCTGGATTGCCTGAGTAGTCTAAGAAGTCTGACAGTCGACGTAGATTAACGTCGTCGCCCAGGGTAAGATGCGTGAGCGACCGAGAGCACGAAGGTTCTGCTATGAATGCTGGATAGGATGGGTCATAGACCAGGCGCTCTAACGTTGACGGGATAGTGACATGGCCGTGAAACTTCTTTAAGGTAAGACTCGTTAGGCGAGTTGCGTGTAGCTTGAAAGTCCCGAAAATCCCGTCTCTCTGTACTTTTATGTTCACGCACGTTAGTGAGCGTAAATCGAAGGCTTTTTGTATAAATGTTGAAACGAAATTGTCAGACAGTGTCACGGGGCTGGCATTGCATTGTAATGCAAGGGTTTGGAGTCCATTGTAAGGACCCCCTTTCCAGACCATGGGTGCGGATCCAAATGCCGCACATAGATCTTTCAAATCGACGAGCTCCAGCGCTGGGCGTTTTCGCAGAATCTGAATCATGGTGTCCACGCTAACCTCAGTATATATAGATATCCGCTTCAGGTTTTGTGCAGATTGAGCCATCCCGATGAATGTCTCGGATATCTTGTAAGGGAACGATAGTATCGTTAGGGCATGGAGGTTTTCGCAGGCAGTCGCGATGTTGCGAAGCATATCCGTATGCTGCACGCGGTGGACGGTCAGCGTATGCAGGGTGCCGCGGCTGTAGCGAACAGCGTTGGCGAGGAAGCTGCGCGATACGGACTTGGTGGCGCTAGAAAGATCGATATTGGCCCAGAGCTTAGGGCGGTTGGTGAGGTACTCCTTCCAGCCCCTGCTGACCCGTAGACAGTTGATCATATTCTTGAAAGAGAGGTAGCCGATGACCATCTCGACCAGCTCCACCGGCAGAATGGTGAAGGGGTCGATGGCTTTGGGCGGGGAAAGCGTGCGGGTGAGCTTGTCGTGGAGCTGCAGCAGTAGCGGAAAGTCCTTGTTGTTCACGGGCACGTTCTTCATGCCATACTTGTAGATGTTCAGCGCCGTGTCCAGCTTCTCCATCTTCTGCAGCGCGCTCGCGGTGCGCAGGTAGCCCTTGACGTCCTGTTTGTGCGTACGGATAGCAAGACGCCCATCCTTGACCGCAGCGTTCATGTCGCCGAGCTTCTCGTGGGCGGCGGCGCGGTAGTCGTAGAGCGTGGCCGACGGAATCGCCGACGCGTCGATGCCGTTGGTGAAAGCTTCGACGGCCTTCTCGAACTGTTTGAGCCTGTAGTAAGACTTTCCAATCTCTTCGTATTCTTCGGGCGAGAGTGTGCGCGCCATTGTTTGGGTGGTGGTTGAGCAATAGAGGCGTGAATTCGGGAGCGCGCAAAGACGCGGGGCAGGGAGCCTGGGGAAAGCGCGACGCGTCGGCACGTGGACTACCGGTAGTCAGTGTCTGCACAGCGCAGATTTTTTTACTACACTATTTTACTCTCCAGGTGAGGTACATTTTACTTCATCAACTTGTTCTACATTTGTATGTGCACTTCGATTGATATTTGCGATGTAACATCACCATCGTGAAGACCACAACTAAGAATTGGTCATGTTGCAAGCTTAGCAAGGTCAGCTATGGTTGCTGGAACTGGGTCGTCAAGTAACTTGGTTTACAACACGTCTGCAAGAGCCTGACAATTAATCGCCCGCCACAGCACACACATGGTCGTAGAAGTCATGTCAGGTACGGTAACCTGTCGTCTTCGTACATCATCGACTGAACACCTGCACGTCTCCCAACACCTTTACCCTTCCCTCTACACTCTTCTCGCTCAACCCCACCTCCATACAAATCTCATCAAAGCAGTGCATCCCATCCAGAAACCTCATGAGGCCCCCTACCCCGCCCACCTCCTCCCCACTCACAATGCTATCTAGCTTTGTGATTTCCTCCAGCCTGCGCTCGCCTCCCGGAGCAAACAGACTCGACGCCACGCTCGGTCTGTGCTGTAGATTTGCGCCTGCCGAACTCTCGCGGTGGTGGGGCGGAGGGTGGTTTCGGATGGTGGAAGTATCGGAGGCGGCATTACCGGGCGTAGAGGGTGCTGTGCTTGTTGGGTTACTCTGCAAGCTCGTCGGGGGCGCGGGAGGCATCGCCATGTTTGTGTTGGTCGCGATGGCGTATTTGTGAACCCGGTACAGGAAACCCTTGATTATACCGAATGTGATGAGTCGCCGGACGTCGATGCCGAGGAGCAGCTCGAGGTTGTCGAGGACCCATTGGCGGAGAGAGAGCCCTTGGCGTAGGCTGGTGTAAAGCGTGATAAGAGTTTCGTGGGGGATGTTGTGGGTATCTTCATCTGAGGACGGAGGGCCGGGTGGATTCGCCAGGCTGTCTGTTGCAGAGAGAGTGTCGCTCTGGGCTGAGCTTGTCGAGGCGTTAGAGGAGACGGAGGACCGTGAGTCGCGTGAGGATCCCGCCACCGAGGCCTCGCTGCCCATTCGGGTGGTGGTGGTACTCGGACCTTTCCACCGCACCCGTGGCACCCTGACGTACCTTACGCATTCTTCTTTTACCGCTTCGTCGACGATGAAGCCCCCTATCTCAGCTGTGGGCGCGTATATCGCTGCAAAGCTGAAAACATCCAGCAGTACTAGACACCCGTAGTAGACTAGATGTTGAATCGCCTTGCGCGTGAGACTGAGGTCCGTGTCCGCGAGCTGCGCGATATGCGCAACACTGTGGATGCCATTAATGTAAGGTAGGATGCGGTTGAGCGTAAGGTCAGAGGAGATTGGCGTGCTGAGGGAGGACAGGCTGATGGTCAGGATGGGGACCTGATGAGCGTGTATGGGCGGTGGAGGCGGGCGCGTGGGGAATAGCTTGAGGTTGATGGTGTTCGAATCATCTACCTGATTAGCATCACACTGTGTTATTTCTGGACTCCAGGGCGAACGTACCAATTGGGATCATACACTCGGCATAATTGTTCAAATCCTCCAGCAGCATTTCGCACAGCGCAAAAACCTTACTTCCGCCGCCCATTCTCCACGTCCTGTCCTCGCTATCGTCTTCCCACACAGCCATCCCATCCTCCTCCCCACTGACGAAACCGCCTTGTTCTTCCAGCCCTCGAAGCAACCGCCCGACCTTCCTCACCACCTCTCCGTACGCAACCCAGTCCGTCAGACTTTCCTCAACGACAATCGACCAGTTGAAGATGAACTCATTTCTGGAGTATCGACCCTCACGGATGCACACGGGGTACCCGATGACGCGGTAGTGGTTGACGCAAAAGGTGAGGAGGTGGTCGCAAAACTGCTGGGTCGGGATGAGGTAGGGCGTCGCGGAGTCAAACGAGAAGAGCGGCGTGCGCAGCGCGGAGAGCGAGGATGACGGCGTTATGCTGCCCTCGGGGATCTGGTGGAGGACGCGGGAGCCTGTGCGATCGATGGGTCAGCTGGCTGGCAGGCGCGAGTGCAGAGGAAGGAGCTATGGTGGGGTACGCGACGAAAAGCACCAAGTTAATGCGCACCTTTCTCATGGTGAAAGCGCGTGAAGAAGATGGCCTTGATCGCGCGCGTCGGCATTGAGCCTGTAAGTTTCGATGGTTAAAAGTTAGTCTGGGCGGCGCGGGCTACATTGTGGGTGTTCAGTGAAAGCTGCGGGGAGCTCGCAGAGCTCAATGTTGGTGGACATGGCCTGTGCTCCGGAACCAGCATGTGAGGAGCACATTATACATGCACGTCGCACACCTTGTCGGAAGTATTCGTCTTTAAATTTCGTAGCGTTGAAGCTTTTCTGGCTCTACATACTGTTGCATCAAAACAACAGAAAGACTACACGCGCTGGTGAAGCGTGAACCAAGAGTCCCTCATTCTTACTGTTGAAGAACCTCTGCTCCCAACAACAACTAGAGAATCTTATTCTTCAGGATTCGTGTTCTCGTCAGCGCCGTACTCATCCACTATCCACGCACAAAACCTTTCCCATCTCGTTGCCCACTCTTTCAATCTCTGCGCCCGTATACCCTTGCCCGTACTGCCGTCTTTGATGGCCTGCACCCATTCTTTCTGCGAGTAGTCTTCAAGACTGGCCCATCGGACGCTGTTCTCTGCTAGCGAACCCAGACCTTCTAGACCCAAGTTCTCCCAGCCCTGGAGCGCCTGCCAGAAATCATGGCTCATCCCACTGACACCCTGTCCCAGGATTGTAGGATCATCGTTGCACAAACTGCACGGTACCCCACGGGCTAGCAATGCCGGCAGTGTGTGGGACATGATGCTACCACAGAGACGCAACACTTCATTCGACACGGGGCAGGACTCGATCAAAATCTTCTTCTCTTTGACCATGTCGATGAGGAGAGGGTGCTTGTAGAGGGAGAAGCCGTGCCCGATGCGCCGAGTGCCGAGGAGGATGGCATCGAAAAGGTTCTCGTCCACGGAGTCACCGTCGCCGAGAGTCTCGCCGGCGTGGAAGAAGAAAGGGATGTCGACGCCAGATTCTGCGCACTTCTTGCGGAAATAGAAGAGCAACGGCGAAAGGTCGGCGAGCGGGCGGCCCACGTCTTCTTGACCAACGAAATCGTAGCCGGCGATGAGCTCAGGGAACTCGATTTTCATCTCGATACATTGGTTCATGCCTGCGCGTTTAGCCAAGGAATGGAAAGGATGCCGGCGTCGGGCTTACTGTTCACAATTGTGCGGTTGTCAAAGGCACGGACTGTAGTCCAGATCATCCGCACGCCCCAGAAGTCTTTGCCCTCTGCGGATGCTTTGAACTTCTCAACCTCATCTTCGATATGTTCAAGCATGTTGAAAAAGTCTGCATCCCACTCTTCTTTGCCGAGACTGCGATACGGTGTGTAGAAGGCAGATCTCAAATCGACATAGTAAGTTCCGTCTTCCAACAGCTGCTGGCACAACTTGCGGATGAACTTGCGGAAGATTGGTTCGTAATAGATGATGGATCCCAGGATGGGAAAGCATGACATAAATTTCCGCCACACCTCGTTGGGCCCCTCATGCTGCTTTAGGTGCTCTTCTGGGGTGATGGATGTGCGCAAGCGAATCCACTCGACAAAGCCTCTGCGTCCGCCATCTGGGAAGTTGTCTGCTGCTGTCGCTACCGGAATCTGCGTGTTTGCGGCATAGTCGTCACTCCAGATGGAAACGCCGCTGTTTGCGCTGGCTTTGCTGTAGGTAAAGGAGAAGCCGGTTTTCAGTCGGGCCTGCTCACTTGACAGCGGGGCATCGCTCCGCACGCAAACACCATCGGTAGCAAACGCCTCCTCGAGGACCCAGTCGAGGTCGACCATGGCTTCGAGATGGCAGTGCAGCAGGGCGCCCTTTGGCATCTTGCGCACAATCTTCCACAGCCTGCTCTTTTCCATGCGCTCCTTGGCTAGATTGAACATCATGCCGGGAAACACGTCGACGTAGTTGCTGGCGAGGCTGTCTTCATAGTCCTTGGTCCAGAGGGTCTGTTGCTCCTCGAAGCGGATCTGGGAGACGATGGCGCAGGCTTCCTGGGCTGTGGGCGACAGGTTCTCTCGGAAGTAGTAGTCTGAAGGCTGTCAGACCGGTCATTCTATCATTGGTTCATGTTGGCTGGGCTGATGGTGACGGACCGCTACGCTGCTTCTTCTCTTGCTGCACGAGGGCATCGCGGCCGGAGAGGTACTTCTGGATGAAGGGGTCGGTGAGGCTGGGGACACCCTCGGCCCGCTCCCACTCATCGTCAGTCGCTGAGGCCATCGTGCCCGTGTCTCCGATGGCTCGTGGCGTCTGGAATGATGTTAGATGGTGCAGCCTGGGAGCCGCGGTAAGCCGGCGTCGCGTGGACAAGGCTCCCGCGAAGGGCGCCGTTATCGATTAGACCGCGGGGAAGCTATGGACACTATGCTCCCGGCATGTGCTGGTGACCATGCCTCGCCAACCACGGCACTGCATCATCAGACGCCGCTTCTGCGTCCTGCGTCCTGCGTCCTGCGTCCTGCGTCCCCTGCTGCCGCCCGCTTGACGCTGCACACGGGGCGAAGCTAGACTGACCTTCTCTTGCCACAGGCCCCTACTGGTGCTGCGTCGGTCCCCACGCCCGCGCTGCGAACGGCGGCCGTCTGCTGCCTCACCCACCGCCCTGCCGACTTTCACCCACCGCACCCTTGGGCCCGGCGCTCTTTCACGCACGTACACACGAGCACGCAGCGGATCACGAGCAGCGCGTCGCTAAGCCCCGCCCTCACGTCTGCAGCTACCCGCGCAGCATCTATGGCGCTGCTGCTGGCGCATCGGTAGGCACTCGACTCGCCGCCCGCCGCCCAGTTCCACCCGCAACCCGCGGCACGGCACCTCCACCATGGCCTTCAGCTTCTCGGGCCTGTCTTCCGCCTTTGGGAAGAAGCTGCTGTTGTTCGGCTTGCGGCATATCGACATCCTCGACAAGGATCCCGCCGAGTTCGTCAACGTTGACATCGGCAAGCACACCACCCTCGAGGTCCGGGATGTTGGCCTACACGTCAAGGTGAGACTTCGCCGTCCACTTTGTCCCCGACGCTGCTGACCTGAAACCCCTAGAAACTGGTAGCCCTCCTTCATCTCAAGCTTCCGCCCGAAATCCACCTGGCCACCGCCCGAGCATCGCTGTTCCGCATCACATTCGTACTCGAGCTGGGCGTCCCGCGCATCATAATAGAAGTGGATGAAATTCGGATCCGCGCCCATTTGGTAGAGGAGACCAACACCGTCTCCAAGTCGCGCGGTACCGAGAGAACACCACCCCGAGCTAGATCTCCGCTACTGCACCGACCGTCGTCTCCCACCACAGCCGATCCAGGCGATTCTTTCTACGACGATAACGACGACTACATACCAACCGTCGGAGATTTGGCCGACTCATTTCTTAGGGAGGAGCCGGAGGAAGATATCAAAGAGCTGGAGCACGAGTTGGAATCTCAGTCGGCATACCTTCAGGAGTCCGTCTTGTCCAACGATGATGACGACGAGGAGAGCGCTGCTGGCATGGGGGCTCCTATTGCTCTGCCCTACTACCTTCGAAATATTCTCAACACTGCTCTTGATCGGCTGCAGATAGTCGTCAAAGATATTGATCTTGATGTGCAAGACCACATCCCGTCATCTCCTATCGGCGAGGATGAGAGCTCATCCACCTCCGTGAACTTTCACGTGGACCGCATCGCAATCGACTCTGTGACCGCCGAAGAGCCCCACGTTGATGTTTCGACACCTAGGCACCCGCAGGATACGTCCAAGTTGGGTAAGCGCCGGTTGCGCATCGAGAATATATGTGGACGGCTGATTTCCGATGCACGCAACTTCGTCTCGGTGCCGCGGACATCAGCACCATCATCCCCCGTCGATGCCCGTTCGGAAATGACTGCGAGCCTAAAGACTCAGAGCGAACCCGCGGCTAGTGAACCTCGTCACAATCCTGAAGCCTCTAATCGATTGGAGGACGCAGAATCGCCACTGTTGGCATCTGTAGAAGCGCAAGTGACGGCCCCGGTGGCGGCATCCGATTTTAAAGCAGTGCCTGTAAACGAGTCTTCACACGTGCCTATATCTGTCCCGGAATTACCACGACCCCCAGACCATCCGCTCAGTCTTTCGACGCACACGACAGACGACGATCGTTTCGCCGATGCTGACTCCGCCGACGGGCTGGATCGCAGCATCGCAAGTCATCCAGGTAACCAACCCGGCCGACCCGATCTGGGTTCCAGTAGTCGTATGTACGATAACGATGAAGAGCTCTTGCATTTCTTACAACACAATGTCCTTGATCCGCAGCTAGGCGCGAGTCAAAGCGAAGATGGCTCAGACTCGCATGCATTGAATGATTTATGGAATTTGGACGGTATGGGGTCAAGCCATGAGGAAGCGCAATCGTTCTACGAGAGCCAATTCTCATCGTCTGACCTGCCAACAGTGTCTATGCTTGGACGTTCGATGAAGCCGACAGAGGAAAGCGCATTGTTTCGAGGAACGGCTTCGCCATCCGAGTCCACGATCTCAGAGCAACCCAATATCAAGGCTGATTTATGTGATAGCCGGCAGTCTATCACGGACAAAACTGCCGACTCAGCTGCAAATCACGATATAGCCAGTTCTACCACCAGCCAAGGGTCTTTCCAAGAAGACTTAACAGAGTCCAGGACGTTTAGTCATGAAGATGCCGCAAGTTTGTATATGAGCGCCATGAGCGAGGCCCCTGCTCAGCATGGACACGTTCCTGGGGGCTGGGACTCCTCTTCGTCAGCATCTAGCCATGATACCTCGTCGGACACATCGGTGGAGGTGCCAGAAGAGATGATTGTAGGCAGCATGTTGCATCCTCAGGCAGACGCTGACGATGGTTACGACACCCCACGACCAAGCAGCCCACACAGCATACCATGTTCTCCTGAACAGAAGCGCCTCGAACTAGCTGCAACTCCAGATGTTCCGAAAGAAAGCCAAGGAGTGCTCCAGAAATTATTAGCCAAAGCCTTTCTGACCATCGATGAAATCACGGTCTGGTTTCCGCTGGGGTTGCAAGGGGATGAGACTGCTATTGAGGCCTCTGCGTTCGACTTGCGTCCCGAAGGACTTGTCGAAGATTCCATGTTTGAAACCATGCCTGGCACATTCTCCCACCATGCCATTCGAGATTTACGCAAAAAGCCTGTCGTTGAACACACAGTCCGCCGGCGTCCGGAATCTCGAATTCCTCGGGTGGAGAAGAAAGCCATGTCTGCGATCATCTCTGTGGAAATCGGTTCGGTCGTTTGCCACATCGACTTTGCTACAGGCAACATCATGTTCCAGATGGTTACTAAGGCAATGGCCGCATTAGCTGGGAACGCAACTAACCTGTCCAAGGAGAAGCCACCCAAACCGGAGGGGACACAGACACATACAGGGTCTCACTCTAGCATCGAACTTTCCGTCAAAACCGTTTGCGTCGCTTGGAAGGAACAATTGATAACCGAATCGTTCACAGAAATTAGGAATCTAAGGCCAGTACTCGAACAACATCCGTTGGATGCTATTGTCAAGATCAGCATGACTTCTATCTACGGAGCAAGCCAAACGAAAGCAACAGAAGCTCAGGCTAAGCTGCAAATTGGCAAATTCGCGTTGTCTTCTTTGGATTACGACATCCTAACGTTCCAGAGTTCCCGCTCGAGGGCTCGCAGATCTATCAGCAATACACCGGAGCAGCTGAAGCATGATATCGAGATCGTTTATGAACAGAAGCAAGACCGGCGTGTCACCCTCATCACCCGGCCGGTGCGGGTCATGTTCGATCTGGAGAAAGTGGACGAAGCCTTGGGCTCATTTGGAGGCTTCAGTGGTGTTCTAGAGCTGAGCGCCTCGATAAGCTCTAATGGTCGCGGCAACAGCCCTGTGGTGTCTCCAGCGCCAGCTCGCATTCGTGGTGTTCGTTTTGGTGATACCTCACCACCTCCTGCGACTGCCCAATCAACGATGCCCAAGATCCAGGTTCAATTTGGGGACGTTGATCTTGTGCTCAAAGGGCAAAGCTGTGCTGTACAATTGCTAACCACTTCCGTTAAACTTGCCGTTCGCGGGGGCAATGTTAGGCTGAAAGTCGCGGATGCCCAACTAACCGGTCCATGCACGCCGGCTACCCCGAACGGCGCGCCGCTGATAGTGAAGTTTCAAGAGACTACAGTCAATTTCCTCTCTTCGCCGGAAGAAGTGGATCTGGATAAACTAATCTACATGATTACACCGTCAAAGGATCCGTACGAGAATGACGACGACATTCTGATCGAGACTCTCATACGCCAACGCAAGAAGGGCTCTGTTCTTCGGATTGATGTGAATTTAGTGGATGTGCTGGTGACTGAGACAGATGAGCTACGCGCCTTCGACGCCTTGGGCGCGGAGATGGCAAAGCTGTCTAGGATCGCCAAGTATCTCCCAGACGACGATCGTCCCGGTATACTCACGCTTGCCAACGTACAGCACATCGGTGCTAGGGTTACAATCAACAAAAGCTTAGGGGATATATCGGTCGAGCTCGATGACACATCGGTCGCACATGTCGGTCTCCCCGCGCTGTTCGCCACTCAGATTGGCTCCATGTCCGCTTGGCGAGAAGACGAGATCCTGGCACATGAGGTTGTCAAGCTCTCAGAGTCAGATCGTCTGCCGATGGTTATGATGCGCATCATTGGCGACGAGATGGAGCCTGTAATCAAGGCAAAGCTGTTCAATCTTTGCGCCGAGTATCACGTCTCTACGGTCTTGGCTGCTCTCGGTCTGTCCGAGGATGGCACTATCGACGATATTGCCCTTGGGCTGGCTTCCTCAGTCGCCACTGTCACAGGTGTTACACCTCCAGCAACCCTGACCAGGCAGGCATCTTCATCCAGCTCCGTTACAACGAAAATAAAGCCGCTGCATGTTGACGTTCTGTTCCGGAACTGCGCGGTAGGACTAAATCCTCGAAAGATCCCCGCGAAAGGTCTGTTCGTTCTGACCGATGCTCATTTTTCAGGTAAACAAATGAGCAAAGCGGAGTACTCTATCGAGCTAGAGCTACGTAAAGCGTCAGTACAAGCAATTGATGACGTGGCCCGTCTTACGGAAGAGCCCAAGGCTGCGCCAACTTCCAATGTCGTTATAAGCAATCCACAGCTTCGCGAGCTACTTGCTCAAGGCTTTGTCACACTGAGCTCAATCGCGGCAGCCAGGGTAATCGTCACTACTGCGGGCGACGGTGCTGCCCAGCCCCAACAAGTCGATGTGGAATTTCAAAATGAATTGTTCGTGATAGAGTCGTGTGCGGATTCCACACAAACTCTCATCGCCATTCTCAACGGCCTCCAGCCGCCTATGCCCCCGTCGACTGCTGAACGCTACCGACCTACGGTGCCATTGCAAGAGATGATGGATTCCTTTACAATGGATGCACTCGCCATTGATCCTGATGCTATCCCAGTGGGAGACAATGATGAGGATTTCACCATGGATGAGGATGATGAAGAATTTTCCATGGAGAATGCTGATCTGATCCTGGACGATGTCCCAACAAATAGAGATTTCGTGGGCAGCTTCTATAATTCAGAATCTCTGCCCACCGAAGAAGACATGGGAGACAGCATGTTGGTACAAGAAGATCTGGGTGCTCTAGCAACACCGCCCATCACTCGCAAGCTTGGTGAACCGGCTATGCTAGAAAGCTTCGAGGAGCGATTCGAAGTCGCGTCCGGGCAGGAACAGTTGAAATTTGACGACGACTATTTCAAGGACTCTGACTCTGATTACAAAGGCAAAGCTCGGAAGTGGGATTCGTCAAACAACAAGTACCATCAAGTGAACGCATTCAAAACCCCAGACGCCCCACTCAAAGTACAGATTCACGACATGAACATCATCTGGAACCTATACGACGGTTACGACTGGCCAAAGACTAGAGGCGAACTTGCACAGGCAATCGATGACATCGAAGCTCGCGCAGAAGAGCGCCGACGGAAAGCTCAGGAAGATGATGACGAGGATCTTGAGTTCATTGAAGAAGGCCAACTTTTCAACTCAGTCTGGATTGGAGTTCCCGTTAAGGAAGCTAAAGGTGCATTAGCAAAACAAGTCATTCAGGATATTAATCGTGGTCGCGATGGATCTGACCAGGCTAGCGAGACTGGCAGTTATGCCACGTCAACTGCCACTCGAACCACGTCAGCCACTGCACGACCGCGCTCCAGCATATCCACCAAACGCCTTCAAAAGCTGGGCCGCGGTAAGCACAAGCGGATCTCGTTTGAGCTCAAGAACGTTGCCGTGGATTTCGTCGTCTTTGAGCCCGGTTCTGGGGAGACGGTCAATTCAGTCGATGTGCGCATTCAAGACTTGGTCGTTTACGATCGCGTCCCTGGATCCACATGGAACAAGTTCGCTCTTTGCGATGTGGAACCTGAGAAGCGCGAGATGAACCGACCGATGGTCAACATTGCACTTTTGACAGTCAAACCAGCACCTGACCTCGCCGCCACCGAGTTAGTAATTGAAGTTAGCATTCTTCCGCTTCGTCTACATGTCGACCAGTTCGCATTGGAATTCATTCAGCGTTTCTTCGCGTTCAAGGATGAGTCCGCTGCCATCAGCTCTGCTCCATCCGAGCAGCCTTTCATACAGCGTTTAGCCGTCAACACGGTGAACCTTAGGCTCGACTACAAACCGCGCAAAGTGGACTACCGTAGGCTACGCTCCGGCTCCACCACCGAGCTGATGAACTTCATGACACTAGAAGATACGCCTATACTGCTCCGTCACGCCATTCTTTATGGTATCAAGTCGTTTGACGAACTTCACGATACCCTCAATAACGTTTGGATGCCGGACGTCCGTGACAATCAGCTCGCAAGAGTCCTCTCTGGTGTCGCCTTAGCCCGTCCCGTCGTCAATGTCGGCTCCGCCGTTGCCGACCTCTTCATCGTCCCCATGCGCGAGTACCGCAAGGACGGCCGCGTCGTGCGCGCCATGCGCAAAGGAGTGGGCGCCTTTGCGCGCAACACTACCTCCGAAGCTGCTCGCCTCGGCGCGAAGGTCGCCATCGGCGCGCAAACCATTCTCGAGACCACAGAGCGTTTCCTCAATCCTGAGCCCGCTTACCCGGCACACAGCCGCCCCTCGTCCTCTCGCACTCCTTCTGGAGGCTATGACTGGGAAGACCTTGCTGCGTCAGACACCGAAGAGCCCCGCGCAGTATCTAACTACGCCGATCAACCCATCACAGTGCGCGCAGGCTTGCGTTCTGCCGTGCGCCACTTTCAGAAGGACTGGGCGCAGGCGCGGGACGCGGTCATCGCAATCCCTGGGGAGATCATGGAGGAGGGGACAGGCGCGGGCATGGCGAAGGTATTGGTGCGGAGGGCGCCGACGGTGGTGTTGCGGCCGCTGGCGGGCACGACGAAGGCGGTGAGTAGGACGTTGCTTGGGGTAGGCAATGCGTTGGACAAGGATTCGAGGCGGAAGATCGATGACGTAAGTTCTTATATGTTCCATTTTGTGGGGCAAGCGCTAACGTGTGGCAGAAATATAAGACGTACTGAGCTTCGCAGACATACGTGCCGGAGTGGACAGGACGTTAGTGTTCATGGCTTGTTGGGTGATGCTCGAGGGGTTGAACAGGTGGCCAGCATACATCATCGCTCACCCCGCTCTCTGACAAATCTTTGTCTCATTTGTTTTATATCTTGCTTTTTGTCCGATACCTGTTCTTTGCGTACATCACCTCACTTCCTGAGATTGCATAGCGAAGGTGCTGAGTGGGGCATTGAGCGTCGTCGCTACTTCTTCCCTCCTCACTCTGGAGTACAAGCTGGGTTTTCTTGTTTGTTTGGGCTGTCTGGGCGGGGCATATTAGGCGTACTTTGCTGGGGGTTATAGGCGGGAGCGGCAGGGGCTTTATATAGATTTAATAATATCGAGATTGCGAATGCGCGAAGATCGTGCAAGTTATGCTGTGATGCGGATGAATTGTGAGCGCAGCTAGGTCTGGTGTACTGCGCGTAGGTAGGATGCGGCGCGGTGGCATCTAGGAAGTTCAGAAACTACTAGAATGGTATTGGATAGGTGGGATTGGGCAAGTGAGAGACTCAAGGCATTCTTGTGCCGTCGTAGCTGCTCGAACGGGGAGTTCGATAGTAACACTTTCTCGCTAAAAAGAGTCGGTAGGTGGATTGAAGAAGATATTAGGGAGCATCGTAACGGAGAACACAGGTGGCAGGCCTTGTTTCGGGATATATGACTATCCGGTAGTCCTTCTTGAGACAGGGAAGTCAAAAAGACATCCAGATTTTAAATAACCCTGAATGCTTTTTCGATGCCCTAGGTAGCGGTATCACCTGCAATGTAACTCTCCATAGGCCGAAGTCATTGCTATTAAGGCGTGAAGGTGAAGACGGCAGGCGCGCACGTGGCCGCTTACTTAGAGATGAACGGGACAGGGGCGTTCAAACACTTCATTCAAGATACTCCAGCAAGCCCCGCGCTCATTTAATCACGCCCTCGCAACTGACTACCACCCTCCAGATCCCCTACGGCTAGGATACGGGACGAACGCTCGTATCATGGAGGCGGCAGTGCCCGCGGGCAATTTCACCAGAGCCTCCGCGCCTTACCGTGCCTTGCGCTCCCATACGAAGCGGCGTGTCCAAGCCTAAGGACCCGCCACCCCTTCTTTCTTGACGGGCCTCCCTGTGGAGATGCGGAACGAGGTGTAAAAGCACCTGTTCACCTGGAGCAACCATTATGGGTCTTGGATAAAGGGAGTCGGACCGAGTGGGGTCAAGCTGAGTCACAGAGAAATGACCTAGTCAATGCCGACTTGTAAATTGCTGGTTTTGCGTAATTACAGACTTACCTTCAGATCTATTCTGAGGCTGTGGAAATACTCTACAGCACCGCCACTTTCCACCAAATTTTGCATATATGGTCCATGCACTTGTATTGAACTTTGTGCGCTGTAGATGACCGAGATTGGATCGAAGTTCAATCTCGTTCAGAACGTGGCGGTCGACATAGATGGCATTTGCGGATGCTAAGAAGCCGTTAACGTACTACTTTTGGTGAGGTTCATGTGGAATGACTCCATCGACAAATTTAGAGCGTCGTTCCTTCGTGGACGTCAGAGACATTTCTCTTCACAGTCCAGTCGGCGGCAGATTTCATGACCAAATAGCCGCTATTGTCGCTACATGGGTCAATGTTGACCCTCGAGGTCATGATTTACGAAGACGGTGTAACCGGTTTCGTTACACATCCCATTGCTAGAGATTCTCGCAGGAAAATTAGAGAATATTGTACGGGGCACGATATCCCAATTTCCGATGACGTAATTCGCTGGAACGGGCAGCTGCTAGTTCCCATACACTCGAGGATATGAATGCCGCCATACAGAAGCAGATCTATGATCATATTGCCCAGAGAGATGGTGGGTCGATCTTTGATCTTAATCGCATCCGTGCAACCGCTTTTCAGCCTCGCGTTCTGGCCATCAATCGTTATCACCGTGCGGTGTTCGATCTATCTGGCCCCTTGCTAATGTTATCACCATCAAGATGCGTTTCATGGAAATAACTACGAACTTCCCCAATTTCCCCAGCCTCAGCAGCTAGATCGACCATCCGATTAGCTGGATCTTCCCAAGAAACCCCGGATTTCAAACACAGCACTAATGGAACTGAGAATCAAGATGAAAAGGTTTCTAAGGTTCACACTCCATCTTGCCAGCGAAACAAACCTACTTTTCTCGTCATAGTACTCTACCAACTCCGGGGACGCGATTATACAACACACCATTGATCTTGAGCAGCTCCTCCATAAGTTTTTCTTTCTGCTATCTCGATACCACGAGTCGCATTCCAATACAGATCTTCGCTGTTTGGATATATACGTTAACGGGAGTGGTTCAGCTGTAGAGCTGATTTATCCGAAGGGATAAGAAAAGGCTGGACAACTATATCCCACAGCTCATCTAGAATCGAGTCACTGGGAACCCAAAAAGCTCTGCAAGGCTTAGGTAAAGAAGCTTGGCAAGTGTCCTCGCGTTCAAAGACAACGCGAAGGTTTGGTCGTTAGTCTCTAGGACTTTGGAACGGTGGGATCCGCGTGGCACAACCTTAAGAACAAAGACCGGCATGGAAAGCTAGGAAATATTACCAGTGAATACGCACTGTGAAGACAAGAAACTTACATACCACAGAAAGATATGTGACTCTGCAATTCTGCTGACTTTTCTTGATTCGAACGCACCGGTTCGTTTGATTAGTTCGAAAACACAACTTCATCCTGCTAAATACTAGTTCTTCATTGGCCAGAATCGAATTCGGTGACCAAGCTGGTACATCTGGGACGCACGACGGCACCCGTACGGTCATGGTTGCACTTGCAGGACGATACAAGGCATCTCAATGCTCGTCTCCTGCGGCTCAGCCAATACGGGAAACCGATGCGAAAGTGGGTCTGAGACAATTTTCAAAGGATTTTACACGGTGAGAGGTTTGCAAGGGTTCATTTGGAATCCGTGATTGCTAGATTTGATTTTACAAATAAGTGCCAACCTTTCATCCTTGTCTTGTCCTCAGCTCCACTGCTTTGCGTAGCCGAGAAGCTGTCAGCAGAATGGATAGCTAGGCATGCATGCTACATAGGTTCAGTAAGAACGTTCAGTTTTCCGATTGCCGTCTCCGCAATGTGTCTCATATGTGACCATATATCCAGCGATCTCGAGTAATGCTTCGGAACTGGAGGCTATTGTTTCTTCCTTCCACTTATACACTGATTTTGTTTGCCTCAGATGAAGGTGCAATATATGAGATGCTGGCGATCGACACGGGGGGTGAACTATCGCCAGGTTGTTGGTGGCGAATCAAATGCGATACTTCCCACTCTTTTGCAAGCTGCTGGGGAATATTCGACAGTGAACAGTATAGCGTGTTCTTTGAGCAGGTTCGAAGGAAGCGTCTGCGCGAAGTATGTTCAAATTGCAACAGGACTACGCCTCGAAGTTGCCGCTATATGGGCCGACAGCCTGTACCATACTTCCTCCTACTGAAATCACACCACAGGATCCACAGAAATGTGCCCTTCGAGATAGTGGGCCTTTCAAGATCAGTTCAGTGATTGGTGGATAGCTACTAGGAGATTGTTATAAAATTGACAGACCTTCCCATAACGCACAGACTCACTTACTAGTTCCTGGATTTGCTTCCGCTCCCGTGGGAATTAGCCCTTGATATTGGCCGGGGTGGCATATTCACTATCTAAAGTAGTCACGAGTAGGAGAAGCATGTCTCACTGTCAATAGAATGCTAGTAACTGGTCTGAAACCCTGGTCTTTCCCGTTCCTTGCGTGCGGATCCCTACGGAGCTCTCGTAGTAGCTCTGGTATGCCTCCTTGCCCACATGTCTCTGACTAGAACCACTTCCGTGAGGCTTTGCTATGGAACGTCGGGGCCAGCACCAAGGCCGTTGAGATAAGAATAACTTGACGGCAAAAACCTCCGTCGGCATTCCATTGGCAACCAGGGTACACTGCCACTCGGCCAAGTTTCGGCTTCACCACTTTTCCTGGCCAAGATGTAGAATGTCCTACAAACGCGGCGTGCCTGAGAGCACGAAATGATATGCCTCTGGCCACAAATGTTTCGTAAAATTATACACTGCGCGTAGCCGAGACCGATTGGCCTGTTGTCTGTATAGCTGTTCGGCAATACTTGATGATCCTTCTCGCTTACGTGGCGGACGGGCCGCCTGACCTGCCAACAACCCGGGTCCCCGTTGTACCATAGAGACAGTTAACCAAACAATGCAGTTTTCGGCATTGACGACGTGAAGATTGTTTGACCTCTCTTGGATCGTGAGTGAAGCTCTGTAGCGCTATCTTTACGCTAAAGGGGACCAAGACTTTCTGCATTTGGAGAGTAGTGTGATTCGTTCAATCTCACCCGACGCATCACCACAAAACGTTCGACTACACCGAACGGCGCCGGTTCCCCTGACCGCCACAAGGCTATGTGCATGTCTCTCGAGTCGCGGTAATGAGCGAATCCGGTTCTCGCATTCTCTAGCACCAATTGATCATGTTAACTCACATGATGCGCCCCAAGCGCACTGCAGGAAAGGCTTAGCAGCCCTACCGAACGCGTCCATAAACCGCGAGCTTATCCAGGCACCACCTCGTGTTCTCCATAGTTTTGGGGCGGATTGGTGTCTCGCCAACGGGCCGCGTCTGAGGCTACGAGACTAGGACCCCAATCGGGATCGATTCATGGCCAAGCTTCAGCCCCGCTAGAACATAAGGCGCTCCGCAGAAGCAAGGCGTCCGACCGAAGCCGGCAACCACGCAAAGATGTATGAATATATACATATCTCGAAGAGAGTGCGATGCGATGGTGGTATACACGAGTTGCTCAAGATTCGATTGAATTACAATGGACCAGCATTGTTGGGGCTGCCGCAAACGAAGAGTTGTGTGTGACTTGGGGAAGCCTGGTTGTGCGAAGTGCAAAAGAGTAGGGGTTGAGTGCCCAGGATATGGGAAGCAGAAACCACTACAATGGCTCGAGGTGGGAAAAGTCAAATGCAGGGAAAAGAAGAAACGTCCTGGGGTTCTGCTGAGTGCCGCAGAAGAGCTGGAAGAGTCCGATGAACCCGAAGCGTCGAATTCCACAACACCTAGAGCATCGCCGAAAGGAAAGGGACGAGCCCTTTCACCTGTTCCTCATGGACCGAGAGCTAAAGGACAATTGAAGGTCGAAGCTGAAGTCGAGGTCTTCGAGGGGAGTGTTCCGAGTCTAGGTATCAAAGACGAGACGACAGATATTGTCCAGGCGGTCTTTTACTGTAAGTTTTCCAGCATACTCATCTCTAACAGACAAGAACCAGCTGACTCGTTCTTCCATTAGATAACAAGACTTTCTACCCGAACTTACACGACTATTACCAGATGTCTCCTTCGTCCTTCGTTGTCCCTGTACCTCCGGAGGTGTTGTACCACATGCCTGCTGCAATGCGACACACGATGGTCACCTTGTCCCTATGCTATCAGCTTTACCGGAAAGAGGTTGCTGGAGAAAGCACATGGCCGAAGATCCTGGTTCATCGAGGGAGCGCCATACAGGACCTGAACAAGACTATCGGAGAATGCAGCTTGCAGGTGAGCAAAAAGCATATGACAAGGGAGCAGGCTCGTATGATTGATACGATAATTGCCTCAGTTATCGTATTTGTTTCCGTAGAGGTACTGGTGACGGCACTGGGTGTTTGCGAGGTCCCTAATCCTGCACAGATACAGTACTGTGCATCGATGGAGTGGCGCCACCACATAGAGGCCATGTCAGGGATGATAGCAACACGTGGAGGACTGACTTCGCTCTGGCACGACTCGCCGTCCGTTCGGGCAAGCCTGTTACACTTTACTTTGTGAGTAGCCAAGGTCGAGTTGCCTGCCTCATGACGAAGGTTTTGACTCAGTAACAGGATTCAGAATTTTTCTGCGTCAACCAGTCCGGTGACTCCCCAAACGCAACTAAGGCCATTCAACCAGCTGCTTAGCATCCCGGAGGAGATGCACGAGGAGATTTTTTCTTACTGTCTCTGTCCGTTCCCACTGTTCGAAAGCATCGCCTTCATCAACCGGCTGCGTATTCAGCTTGCACAAGAAATCACAAATTCAGCATCTAGTGCCGAGGCATTACTTTGGAGGATTGAGTCGTTCTCTGCTAGTGATTGGGCTGCTTCTCAAACTGGATTCGTCGAAACACTAGAGCTTGCGGCAGACATATGGCATTGCGCAGTATTACTCTACTGCATGCTGTCCCTGGAAAAGGTCATGCCCGCGACCGTACCTGCCGGGAAGCTGCATCGGACCTATGGCGACAGGTTGCTTCAACTATTGTCACGGGCGTTATCCGAGACCTCCCCGGCGCCAAGGGTACCTTACTTCATCGTCTGGCCTGTCACAGTGGCTGGTGTTGAGGCTGTTAAACGTGGACCTGGATCCCAGTCACTGGTGGATGATTTCCTGACACGGATGAGTCGGCAGGCCGGTACTTGCTCTGCTTTCATCGCACAGACAGCCTTGCGAGCTTTTTGGGCATCCGGTCAGAGTGGCTGGGACAGATGCTTCTACAAACCATATGCATTGCAGTGTTGAGCGGAGCACACCGCATCGGCAATCCCGACTCAAGGCGGATTTTCCAGTGTGGTAGTACGCGTGACCACCGTCGACATGCGCGTTGGTGAGGAGAGCAGGTGGCAAACAATGGCAGAGCTAAGGGACTGGCTATGCGCCTGGTGCACGCCGAATATTGCGGCTGAGGCCCGCAGAAGCGCAGCAAAGTGTCATCCAGAGAATGCAGAGAAAGTGCAGATGCGTGGAACAGTGCTGAGTGGCAAGGAAGGCTTAGACCTTGAGATGATCAGTTTACATGTCCTGATCGAGAATAGCGCTTTCTTATCCTTGCAAACGATAGCAGCAAATGAGCGGAGTCGTCACTCACACCATCCCTGTCTACAGCATTGGTCACCCGCCCGAGGCGGACCGTCTTTGACTGGATAGGCCATCAAGTCATGCCTTTACATTTGTATTATGTAGTGAGCTCATACAGGATAAGGTGTTCAAGAGTCCAGTTCTTTGTGGCACCTACTCTGAATGGTGTGGCAGGTGTACCCGGAAGTTCGTGATCGTTTCGCCCTTCCGTTTAGACTCTGACGAATGCGAATCATGCCTCAGCTTCTGGTGTCATCACGAAACAATCCTCACATCACTAACAACATTTGTGCGCAAGGATTCATGCTTCAGCGTCTTTATGATCGTCATGGAATGCAGTGCTTGGGCAAATTTGCCTTCGGTTGCTAACCTTCAGCCCGCCGCGGTGGCTTTTGCGGAATCGGTCTCGAAATGGCGCAATCGCGCGCGATATATATATCTATTGGACTAACTGTGCTTGTTTTCTGATTCCAATACTGCATTACAACAAGAACACATTTTGAACGATGGAATTACACTGGCGTCCGCTTTTACTAGCATCTATGCTGTTACCGATAATCGTGCAAGCAGATAACACTTTCCGCAGCCGCCCCGACCTTTCACCACCTCATCTGAATGTCACCATATCCGAAGCTGACAAGAAGAGCCCTGGATTTATCTTTGCAGCACCTTACTCCGGACTGCCTGAGCTCTCCCACCAGTACTCCGTGCAGAAAGCTCCATACATACTCACCGACACAGGTGACCTCGTCTGGAGCGGCTTCGGATACATCTACCAATGGGCCGGTAACTTTCAAGCCGCGCGATGGAAAGGCGTAGATGTACTGTTTGCTTGGGAAGGCGCTCTTAACGCTTTGCACGGGCATGGTCATGGTCATCATACCCTTTTGAATCAACACTACGACAACGTGAAAGAGATTAGAGGTGGCAACCATGTGATCCCGGATTTACATGAATTCGAAGTGGTGGATGGGCGAAGCGGATTGCACGGGATCTATCAGCCTTTGCAGTTGGATCTTTCGGTCTTTGGTGGTAACGATCAGCAAACATGGATTCTGGAAGGGCGGTTTCAGGGTCTGTTCACTTACTTTCATGGCTTTGCAAAAGCTGATTCACAGCAGAGGTCGACCTTGAGACCGGTCAAGTCCTCTTCGAGTGGCGCAGCCTTGACCACATTTCACCCGACGATGCGATCTTATCGCTAAACTCAGGTGTCGTGGGCTCTGGCTACAACAGTGGCTCAGCCTGGGACTACTTGCACATTAATTCCGTATCAAAGGGGAAAGATGGCCACTATCTTTTATCCGCACGGCACACCTCGACAGTCTACAAGATCAACGGTACGGATGGGTCGATCATCTGGCGTCTAGGTGGCGCAGCATCTGACTTTGAGCTGGGTGATGGCGTGAGATTCGGCTTCCAACACCATGCCCGTTACCTGACCGAGGATCCATACTCGGTAGAGCTCATCTCCTTGTTTGATAACTCTGCCCATAGCTCTGACCCCGCCCCCACTACTTGTAATAGTAACGTCCTTTCACGTGGGATATATCTCCGACTAGACCACCGCACGAAACAAGCCAGTCTCGAGAACGAATTTCTACCTCCCGGAAAATCTATTTTAGCAAGATCCCAGGGCTCGCTTCAAACCTTACCCAACGGCAATGCTTTTATCAATTGGGGCTCCGCAGGACAGATCACAGAGTATACCACGGATGGTACAACGATCTATCATGCTAAATTCGTAAGCAGCGACCCGAACGACAACCTACAGAACTATCGTGCTTTCCGCTTCAACTGGACTGGATATTCTCCGGAACCGATTGCTGTCTTTGCAGAAGAAACAGGGAGAGGTGAGGTTGATGTGTACGTAAGCTGGAATGGTGATACCAGGACTATATCTTGGAAGCTCAGCTGGAGCGAAGAGACTTCTGGCAAGACCACTAGGCACACGAAGGTTCTTCCAAGACATGGTTTTGAGACAGTTTTCAGGTTGACTTCTCGTGGGTCTGCGCATGATGTGCGCGCGACAGCACTAGATGGTCAAGGTCAGGTGCTGTCTGTATCGGAAAGTATCAACTCTGTGCCTGCATATTGGCTCAAGAATGTGAGGGCGGGATTGCAGCAAGACGAAGAGCAGGCAAGGGCCTTTTTGCAGGAGCTGTGAGGGTCCAAGCCACACGTGTACATCTTAACTTGCGTGCTGTTTTCATAATATTGCTGGCATTATTTTGCGATTCTAGTGTTCATGACCCTGTTTGTTCGCAATGCTGAAGCCTCAGAACACAAGATTCGCAAGGTCGCCATAGGACGAATCAGGAGGAGCGGGGGCTACGACCGGTGTGCCATGTTAACTCATTAGTTGGTAAAGGACAGGGACGATGAAAATTCAAAGCACTACAAAGTCCAAATTTTATTATCACTCACTGTGATTCTGGGTGTACTTACTCTTTTTGCCCACTCCACACAGTATATGCCAGCTCTGTTCGCGTAGCCTATGCATTCGCATCGGGCGTGGTAGTCCACCACATTGCTGCATTCCAATTGCTCCATTCTAACTTGCTCCGACCTCACGTTGATGCTACCCACGGCCGAGTCGGTGCGATGGGAACGCGACTGTATGAGAAGACTCAGACATGTGCAGGTGGCTCAACCACCCAACAAATTGCTTGTAGAGCAGACCTATCACAATTCACGGTCCACTGAAATGCTCAATGAGGATTCTCCTCATGAAAGCCGTCGAAGCTCTCTTCGGACTGTCGGTGATAGCCATCGCCGTGCTGGCCTACTTACCTGAACGTGATTATTCCAGTGCGCGATACCATGGGCAACAGGCTATCTATTGCACAGCCGGACATCATGTGTACTCTCCAGCTGTTCCATATATATGTGTAAGTAGACGCGTCTATGCATTGGCTCTGATAGAACTGCTATCAGCAGGCTTTCAGGTTCGTAGCCGACTAGCTACAGCCGGCGTTCACGAAGTACTTCGCTGTAAAGTGACCGTTTGGAAATCCGGCCAACGCTGCTGAACGAAATTCAGGACGTCAACACCACTGTACCTGCACAGCAAGGTGAACGATTCAAGAATCGCCCCGACTAAGTTAAACTATGCCCAGCTCAGGTTGCCCGTCACTAATTTAGTGTCCGAATTGGAGTCGTCGTGGTACTGAGGCAGCGGTTGCCGTGTTAGACGCCCTCACATATTTAGTGCAAAAGTCCGTACCGATGCACCCTCCGGGGGAGACTAAGAGAAATAGAAGAAGAGACGAGGATGTGCTGAATAAGAGCGAGACGGCAAAGTGTTCCTGGTATGGCAACGCAGATAGATTGTATACAAGGAGGGAAGGATAAAATATAGAGAAGCTGTAAAGAGCGGCACCTTTGAGAGTAGGGCGGGCGGCAGTCACGTAAGTACGCGCACAGACCAGACAAGTTGAGCGCGGCGAAGGTGAAAGATGAAAGGTAAACAACCAGAAGACGCGGTCAGCAAGTCACGTAGAGGATCATGGGAAGACGCTGAACATTTCCTGCTTGAGAATTACATTGAGCATCCCAGTACCATAGGGAAACCAATCTCAAGTCTCCAAAGAGGTCGAGCGGAAAGATCCAAAGCGAACGCTTAGGTATTCGCGGTGCCGCTTGGGCCAGTTTTTTCACTAATTGTATTACCGTGACAGCCGGAATATAATGAACCACATTGCCTTGGAGAAAACCAGTGGTATTGCTTGCACTCAGTGCGCTTTCGACCGCGCTTCTGCCGAGAGCGAGAGGTAGTTGTTCGACGATCTGATCTCTCGAAAGATGGACACCGGAAACACGCGCATTGAGGAGTTCATTCATATTGCGAACGCAAGAGGAGGTAACGAAGCTTTTCAAGTCCCGGAGGCCACCTTCGTGAGTCTTGCGAGTCGCCTCAGAGGCATCAAGACCCTTTACCAGCACCAAGACCTCAAACATGCAAAACCCCTTGGAGACATCATTGGGAACTGGGAACCGACTCTAGAGGTTACAAGTTTCCGAGAGGGCATGAATGACATGTCGAATGAAGATATCCGAGGCCTGTTCATAGATGCGCCCTACCTATCTTCCTTTGGGTGTAACCGCAGCAGTACTGGTACAGTTTTACGGGGACAAGACTTGGACGACGAGCTCAAGGTATTATTTGAAGCAGGTGGGAAAGAGCTAGTGGTAAGTAAAATACTACAGTTGGCATAAGCCGTGCCATCCTCGCGTAATGCCATGTCCGCCAACCAGGTCTAATGGGAAAATTCTAGAAAGCGATTTCCCCCGACGGGGTCGAAAAGCGAATCGACACGCTGCTGTTCATTGTTCATCCCATCGGTCCAAATGTCTCTGGTTGTAAAGAAGGCATACCTGAGTATTCTCGTCGGATTGAGGCAACCAAACAAGTATTGCTACATATGTTCATGAGGTAAATGAAGGAGGAGTACATGATGATGTAAGTATTTCCTACCCGCACAAAATGCTTCAGAAGACTTGTGGCGAGAGGAAATCACATTCACCCTCGCGAAGCATCTCACACCCAACAACGAGCAGAAGCTGTTCCGACTCGGCGGAAGAAACGATGTTTCACATGTGCAGTTCGAGCAGGCACTGATTCAACAATGCGTTCCTCAACGCGAGAATGCAGAAACATATCGTGACAGGATCTCAGGAACAGGTGGTTTCGATGACAATTAACCGCCATTACCCAAGAACATGGGGGTTGGGACAGTAGACAAGCGAAACTATGAAAGCGAAGCCGCTGCTCCGATTCCTCGACAACGTCAAACACTTCCTGGGAACGATAAGGTCGAGAAAGTGGGAAAGTGAAAACATAAGGGAGATGCTCCAGTCCCGTGTCCTGAACAACGTCCAAAGAAGCGGACCGAGAAGGAGAGACCCAGCGGTAAGCAGCCTAAAAGGCAAGGCCGCAATTGATTCAAGTGCAGGAAAGGTATGACGGTCTAGTACTGGGACAGAAAGCCGAAATTTTCTTGAAGCCGACGTAGTGAGCTTGCCTGACTCGGGTGCGTCGAGCTTTACTGCTTTGGATGTCGTGGCGTGAGCCATCCGGCAATGCCCCAGAAGCGCTCCAAATTGAGGGGCAATGCGGGGTTCGAGACATGGTCCACGGAACGGCAGTCCTTCTGTTGTTTCTACAGAATTAGTTGTTGGATTGACAATTCCGGGCGATAGCATACCTTTCCACCGATAGATTCTCTATCAAACGCGCCAAACATGTCTCCACACAAGACTCAATCCGATGAAACTGCCGCATACCTCTCCACACTCCCATCTAAGGATGTTGCGCCATTGTGGACAGTCATGTCCGCAATGGTACCACCGGCACCAAACCCAAAAGCCACAGTCGCGTCTTGGAAGTATGACGAGATCAGACCTCTACTCCTGGAGGCTGGCCGATTAGTTGCCGCCGATGAAGCGGAGCGCAGAGTGCTTATGCTCATTAATCCAAACATGCGTGCACCCTACACCACGGACACAATCTATGCTGGCCTGCAGTTGATATTGCCTGGAGAGACCGCGCCGGCTCATCGGCATACGGCGTTTGCTTTGAGATTTATTGTAGAAGGCGAGAGGGGCTTCACAGCAGTTGAAGGAAAGAAGATCATGATGCGACGAGGCGACGTGATATTGACGCCGAGCTGGCAATGGCACGACCATGGTCATGAAGGTGCGTCGACTTTGAATATAAAACAAAAGATCAAGTGTTGATTGTGGCAGGCGACGGTCCCATGATCTGGCTGGATGGACTTGATCTACCCTTGTACCAGGCTTTCCCAACCAACTTTGCCCAGATGTACAAGGAAGAAAGATACCCAAGCGAGTGAGTAATTGTAGTTGAGTTGGGCGAGTACTAAGCATGTTACAGACGCGTAGACTCCGCTCAAGATCTACAAATTGGATGGGAAGAAGTTCAAAAAGATCTCGACGCGCAAGAGGGATCGCACGCATTATACCACTACCGATTAGCTACAGGAGGCCCACTTTCTAAGACAATGGGCGGCCAAGCCGAGCGAGTCGATGCCGGAACCAGATCTCCTCCGATACGCGAAAGTTGTTCATTTGTGTACCACTGTTACAAAGGCTCGGGAAGGAGCGAACTGCAACTGGCGAACGGCGAGAGCAAGGCAGTCGAGTGGACCCGCGGTGATACTTTCGCGGTACCAGCGTGGACAGAAAGAGTGCATATGGCCTCTGAGCTTAGCTATCTGTTTGCGGTCAACGACTCGCCGCTCTTGAACAATTTGGGCATGTATCGTAAACAATGATGGAGAAAACCATGGGTCAATAGGTCGATGTAAACAGTTCCAACGTATACCGCGCTAGAAGTTGTATGGGTATAGTGCAAGAATCCATTGTAGTTCGCAAACCAGTAAAAGCAGTCGTTACGGAAAATGCCGGCCAGAACGGTATCTCTGCCCACAGTGGGACTTAAATGCCATCCTTGTTGACCCCGCAACATCTTACCACCTCGCTAGCTACCACACGCCAAAAGAGCCACGCAACATTCGCAACAGCCAACGCAACATGTGAACCTAGTGGCCCCTTCGTTCTTTTTCGCATTCTTGCGTTGCCCAGCAGCTGTAGCTTGTGGCTTGTATGCTGGTGAGCTGGTGAGCTGTGGCTGTTGTGTCACAGGTGGTTGGGAATTGGGTCGCAGAGCGGCGTTTTCGGTTTCGTATTGAAGGTGCGCTTGTGGTGGTGGGTTCGGATCGTATGGCTGTGGTTGAGAGGGAAGGCCCATTGCGATTGTATGCTACTCAGAGCAGTATATGGCGAAAATGGCGAAAATGGGTATTGATCGGGACGAGAGAGGGCGTAACGGAGAAAAGTGTATTGTGGGCCTGGGATCAAGCTTCGCTAAGACTTTGGAGAATTGGCATATACACCGACAGCGATGCTTTACAAAGGTGGGCAAAGCCTGGACGTCATCATCGTACCTCTGTGAAGACGCTCGAATCAAGCTTCGCCTGCGAGCCGCGATTACAACATGGTGCACGGGGAGATGCACGCCTCGCCTCTAAAACGGAGACACTATGGCGATCTTTGGATGGCTTGTTCTGATTTTGGACGATATTCAGCGGTGCTGGGAGCTCGTATTGGTTGGGGGCGGGAAGGTGCAGTCAGCATTGAGTGACGTCACTGTCCACCTTCGGTGCCAACAAGCGCAAGGTGAAGGCACTCGGTACAGAGGTTTTTCTTGTTTTCATATGCCCGTATCCTGGTGAACTCAAATTCCGAGACACGCTTTGAGAATTCCGTGATATACATGGGCCTAGCCATAGAACGTGTTGCCGATTACACAGCTCTCGCAACTTCGACAAAACGGGTAGATACTGCATACACAGAATCCAAACGCGAAGACGACAGCATTTTCCGCGGATTGCAAGTAGCTATTACTATCGTACAACCGATACATCTTGCTTTCGCAAACTGAGTTGGGCGTGGAATGCATACTTGAGCCAGAACATGACTGTCACCCAACTTCGCTCTAGAACCTGCGCAACGGTTTTCAAGCGCGCCATGGTCCCTCCCCTTGCACATCCAGCAGCTTCTCCGCAACATTTAACTCGTAATCAGTATCCTTCTGCAACCCCAACTCCACCATCTTGGCGACTCTTGCTTGCACGTTAGGCGTGGCCAACAACCCCAAGGCAGCGTTCCAATCCTCAGCCTGTTCGTCCACCGTCGGATACCCAGCCCTCTTGTTGATAATTCTTTTCGCCTCCAAGATAGCCGATTTATCAAAACTCGACACTCTGCGTGCAAAGGTATCAATGAACCCATCAAATTCTGCATCTGGAATTGCGCGGTTGACCCACCCGTATGCGGCCGCAGTGTCAGCATCGAAGTCTTGCCCCCCGAGAACTATTTCGAGCGCTATGCTTCGGCCAACAAGGCGCGGAAGCAGCGAGAGGCCTCCGCCACCAGGCAACGACCCCAAACCAACTTCAAGTTGTCCAAACACGGCCTTCTCCCTGCTAGCGAACCGTACGTCCATCGCAGCAGCGAACTCGGCACCACCACCGTGTGCAATCCCGTTTACAGCAGCAACGCTCAACACCGGAAGGTTTGCCAGCTGTGTGATGTTCGGCCAGAAGCCGTCAATAAGGCTGTTGTCAACCGGGCTCAAAAGGTCGAAGTGTGCGATGTAGAAATCTGGGACGCTGGAGTCGAAGACGACGACTTTGACGGCAGGGTCGGTGGTAAGGTCGGTGATGAGGGTATATAAGGCCGTATACCAAGCGTTGGTCTGGATATTGAAGGGCGGGGAAGAAAAGCTGGCACGCCAGTAGGATGGAGTGACCTTCGTGAGAGTGATGGGGCTTGTTGTGTTCAGTGTGGCCGTGGAAGTGAGTGATAGGGCGGATAGAGGGAAGGCGAGGAGGGTAAAGATAGTAGGTAGCTTCATGTTTGGAGATGGTGAGTGGGATGGAGGAGTCGGCGCAGGGAATCAATCAGTGATCGAATGGATCAGCAATTGGCAAGTATGTGATTAGCAGAATGAATTTGATGGTAGCGTACCTATATATGGGGTACTTCACCGCCCAAGAGGTTGGATAGGAGGAGAATGGGCGGCCTGACGGTCCACCACGTCGTGCCTGGCAAGCAGTCAAACGAAGCTTCCAATCCAATTCAACCCATTGAGATCGCGGCCCGGCTGATATCGAAGAGACAGCTTCGTGCAGGGGAATGACCAAGGCGTCAATGGTTGGTAAGTAATCCTTTGCCCAGCGTGGTGCCATCTGATTCGATACCCACGCTCTGGCTTAGGTGAGCCAAGCTGGATAAGCAGAGCCAGATTCCGTCCGCATGCCCGGTATTTCCATACTTACAAGAGAGCCTACAAGTGCACCTGGTAATCCAATCGAATTCATCCGTGTTAACGGTTTGTTCTGCCACGCCAGGACTGTGTAGAGGTCACCAAGATTGTATTTGATGCGTTTTGGCTGTCGGAATTTCTATTTTACATTGACATGAACTAGAGAGCTCCGGTAGAAGATGGGATGCTTTGAACCTGCTTTTGAAAGTTGAACAAACGATTTCCTGTTGCTTGAGTCGCGCGTTCCGAGGTCGGGCGGTGAGGGCGATTCAGCGATGTGCACGATGCCAGTGGCAAAATGGCTGCAGACAAATGCTTCTACGGAGAGGGCTTGGTTTAATAGTGTGCACCGCAAGATATCCCTCTCCCTGCGATGTTGACCTGGATGCACAGTGGCTGATGACACAAGAATGGGCATGCATGCGCACTTCATCTTGTATCAACCTAGACTATTATGCGCACCACATCTTGTATTAACCTAGACTATTATGCACTTGTAGACCTATAGTGTACTTTTGAATGATCCAGCGTGGAAGTTCAAAGCAGGGTTAGCCTCAGGATGCTGCTGTCATGTACCTTCCCAGAATCATGGTTGCGCTTGCAGCAACGGTTTGTCACCATCCACGGGAACGGGAACAGCCCGCGGCGGACAGGCACAAACTAATTCTCAATGGCGTCCTCGACGCGTCCAACGTCGCGAACCATGATCCCACAGCTGTCGGTCAACACCACCTTGAGCCCCTCCGACCAGCGACCCTCCAATGCACGGGGAACATTCTCTCAGACCTATGCCGTACCTGCTGCCGATATATCCAGGGAGCTACAAGAGCTGCGGTCGCCCGCCGAGCTGTCGAAGGCCTGCATTGGGAATTTGGAAGCGTTATTGGACCCGCCTGTGTGAACTCAGATCACCGAGACCAAGAGGCTCAGGTGAGATGCACATAAAGCCCTTGAGAATTACAAAGTCGTATTCTCGGAACCGGAGAGTGTCGAACTTGTGGGAGATGTCACGGTAGAAGCGTGGCAGGTCTACCAGCGGTTGGTCAAGATCGAAGAAAAGCTGCGACGAGCAGTGGCCGATGCCTCCAGCACAGAAACTTCTCAGCCAGGGGCGTTGACACCGCAGGTTTCGACAGGCGCGGGGCACAAGAGGCACCAAAGTCGACAGAGCTCGGACTGTGTGTCATTCGCACTGGAACCTAGGCCAATGATTCGAATGGACGATAAAGAGGAAGCAATACGGTCGTCATCGCAGAGATCTGCCCGCTTCTGGGCATGGCCCGACACGTAAGTATGGGCAGAAGATGAGAGACAGCTGGCGGAAGGTGGAGCATCACCCGCAGAGGCTTCAGCACCTCTTACCCCGATAGACAGCGAACCGCAAGTACCAGGCCTTTACAGACCCTCATACATAAGGCGAATCGCGGAATGAACGGAAACTGCTTCCACGACCGCTGTCACCAGCGGTACATCCAGTAGCGAGGATCTTAGGGGCCCCTCAGCCTTTCCAATCCGCCCGGTGGATTGTACAGCGATACAGGAAGCAGTGCATCTACGAGGGTCATCGATTCAACTTCCGAAGCTGAATCGCGTGCCTTGTACTTTGAACATGGGCTTGAAGCCCAGCCGTTCAGGATCACGCCAATGCGGGAGGAGGTATGCACGAGGAGAGACAGTTACAACAATCGGGCTGTATGACACAGATGGGCAAAGAGTGGCTGGTACAGAAGCACCATTTGGACAGGTCTGGCGAGATCAGCCGAACAGAAATGGTTTTTGACCTTATTTCTTGGGAGATAGCGCCAACAAGGCCAGGTTGCATTAAATGGTCCCTATTAGCACTGGTGAAGGTACTTTACGCCTCCCAAACCCGCCGAGTGGATGACGAGCTGGATCTTGCAAGGCTGCAATGCGCATAAGGAACGTTTGCACATGCAGTCACGAAACCTGGGGACGTGATGAGGCCAAACACGGACTGCCCGAAAGAGCCCGACAGAGCGACTTCAGACGGCGAAGCCACGCCAGTGCCACGCCGGTGTTTGTGGGATTGGAAACAGCCAAATCAAGGTGTCGAGTCGCGTCTTATGAGAGGACGGCAAGCCTGGTGGTTCCCGCGCGCTGGCCACGGCAGTGCAGACTCGTGTCAATTTCCTGAGTCCGGCGATCCGTGGCGCTGACTCCGCCGAGGCTGAGTGTCTTCACAGTTGCGCTCGCGCTATTCTGGGGTCGCCGGAGAGGATTGGACGTCGGCACGGAGATGCTGGCCTAGCGTTTCAGGTACAAAAGCTTGTTCTCTTATCGCGCCCCGGCGGGCCGTACCTGCATGCGCCTGGCTGTTGTGCAGGCGCCTACCGCCACGGCGACGAGGATCGCGGGCTCAGCAACAGCGCTGCCTGCCAACGCGCGCGCTGGCACGACGAGTCGCTCTCGCGCGCTGGGAGACACCAGGCGGCGGTTGCAGGCCCACGCACCCATGTGTGCACTGTTTTGTGCCGCCAGCGATCGGCGCTGCTAAGGGCAGATGGGCCAATGGCCCTGGTGACACGAGCCAAGCTGGGAATGCCCCTTACAATCTGCACTCCGTGCGCGCCTCCCGCTTGGGCGGCGCATTTCAAAACGCAGCCTTGCCCTCCTCGGGCTCCCTTTTCCTCGTTGCAGCGTCATTCCCTCATTGTCTACTCACCTACTAACCCAGTCACTCTTTACAGATCGAACATACAGGTGCGTCTGGCAACGCCCGCACACTCCTTGCAGCTTTTCCAGCTCCCATTCCTGTCCATATTACCACTTCGAATCCCGCCATGTACTCGTTCGCCCTCTCCGCCGCCGCGCTCCTCGCGAGCACCCTGCTCCCCACCGCGTTGGCCCAAACCCACACGGCATGCAACCCGCTGAACACGACGGGCTGTCCTGATATGGCTGCGCTCGGCGGCAACTCCACCTTCGACTTCACCAAGGACTGGAATCCAGACGTCTGGGTGCAGATGAACCAAGGCTCCGTAGAACACATTGACAACCATACCGACTTCATTGTCCAGTTCCAGGGAGACTCGCCGACCGTCTTGTCCTCGTTCTACATCTTCTTCGGCCGTGTTGAGATTGTGATGAAGGCCGCTCCGGGCCAAGGCATCGTGTCCAGCGCCATCTTGCAGTCTGAGTGCTTGGACGAGATCGACTGGGAGTTCCTCGGGACCAACACCACACACGCTCTCACCAACTACTTCGGCAAGGGCAACACGACCGACTACACACGCGGCAAAGACTTCAGGATGAAGAGCGCGCCTCAGGACGACTACCACAACTACACCATTGACTGGACCAAGGAGCGCATCCAATGGTACATTGACGATGAGATGGTCCGCGAGCTCAAGTACGCGGACGCTTTGGGCGGTAAAAACTACCCCCAGACGCCGATGAATGTTCGCCTGGGTGCCTGGTCTGGCGGCGACGTCGACAACAACAACAAATACACCGTAGAATGGGCTGGTGGTCCCACCGACTTCAAAAAGGCTCCCTTCACCATGTCCGTACAGACCGTCTACGTTCAGGACTACACCACTGCCAAAGAGTACAATTGGGATGACATGGATGCCTCGGGTGACTGGCAGAAGGTCGGTGTCGTCAAGCTAGCGTATGTCAACGTCCATTGGTCGTCATCAGGCAGTGACTAATTTTGACTAGGGACAACGAGAAGTCGGCTACTCTGCAAGAGATCGAGAAGCCGCATGGTGTCAAGAACCGCTGGGGCGCGCTCTCCCAGACTGCCAAGATTGCCATCATCGCTTCCATCGCCGGAGTCGTCGCCATAATCGCAGCCGTCATCCTCTTCTGCTGCATCAAGCAGCGCCGTGCCGGCCGCAGGGAATATGCCGCCTACCAGGCCAACCTGGACAAGGAGGCTACCGACCTCATCCAGCACAAGGAGCAGTGGCAATCCTCGCATGCTGCCTCCCGCTCGAGCAGATACGCGCGTATATAAGCCATTGTACAGCGTCCAAGGCACGTGCAGTCGTGTGGCTGGAGTAGGGGCCGAGAGAATCCACGCGACGAGACTGGCCCCAGGTGTCGGTCCCGATGGACCCTGCACCGTGGTGCAGGGGTGGCGTCATTAGAGCAGAAAGTGATAGCGATGGTGTTGGTTGGCATCTGAGTTGCTTTGCTATATTTTGGTTCACGTCCGTTCATGACACTTCGAGAGATACCCTCGTGATTTGAGGTTAGGGTGGGCAGTATATTTCCGCTAATTCCGCGTAAGGCTTGATGCCGCGCCTTGGAAGATGGATATGTTCGGGTCTACTACTACAGAACACAATTTTCATTAAGTCGTACCAAATCCATGTTTCTGTGCATAGTCATGATCGACAGAGGGATGATGCTGCAACGGAACGGGAACGACGCGAGCATGGACGCTGTGGCGCAAGGGTGTGGTCCGACGCGGCTGAATGCGGGACAAACGTCACAACCCCGCCTCAACCTTCTTCAACATCACTCCTCTTGAATGTTAGCCAACGAGCAGATGTGAATCGGCTACTCCCTGCTTGCTCACCTGTTCTCGTAGAATGCAGCCTGAGTCCACCGATTTGCTTATAAATTTGCAGCCGTTCATCCCACCGTGAGCACTTCGAACAAGCGGTAAAACATCACTCCACATTCACCATGGACAACGCAGCCGGCAACTCGTTTCCTACCGACCGCGATCGCGATACTGCCGACGTTGACACCCCAATGGATGGCTCCGAGAGCGATAACGAGATCTTCGAGGATGTCATGCCGCAGCGCACCGAAGCGAACGAGATTCCCGCCAACGTGCACGACGTCTCCATTAATGTCGACCTCGACATGGACAGCCCGCACGTCCAGAACTTCAGCCATACCGATGATCTTCCTACTCCGCCCGAGTCATCCTTCGCACCTTCGGTTCAAACCGCGCCTTCAGTGCACAAGGCTGCGCCGCTGCCGCGTCCGCGGAAACACCCGCTTCTTTCGGGCGGTCAGAAAGAGATGTCTCTGATCTTCTATCTCGATCGGGCGCTGGAACACGTAGGGAAAAGGGCTACCAACAGACATGTGAAAGAGCTGTTGCCGGGAGAGGTGGCAGGATACAAGAGCTTCGCAGAGGTTGCAAAGGACCTAGACCCGCTTATCGATGTGGTCTGGGTCAGCAGTACACCTACACTCCAGCTCCCATATCTCATCAGTATCACCGTGGCAGCTATCAATTGCATTCCCATGTTCCCGCCATTGCCCCGCACCACACTCAACTTCCTCTCTAAACTCGATACTGCGCTTGCTGCTCTTCTCAGCGGCTCGGATCCCGACACCAATGAACCGTTGCCCGGGTTCAAGGACAATCGCGGCATCTCGACGACCGACAAGGTCCGCGTGAAAGGCATTGTTGAGCGCGCGAGAAGCACAGCCACTAAGCATCTCGTGGGGCAAGAAGGCGAAGACGCCCCAGAGGTCAACAGGAAAGCGGACCACGCGGGCAATAACGAGGATGGCTTCGTCAAATTTGAAGGTTTCGAAAACTCGGACGACAGCGACGATGAGGAGGAAGCCTACAAAAGGGACTCGAGGGATGTCGCGCACGTGTTTGAGAAGACGGTCGTAGAGCTCGGGGACATGTTGGGAGGTGACCCGATCGGCATTGTAAGTAAACCGCCGGACACAAAGTGGATGTGTCTTTCATGCAGAAGCAACGACTTCTCGCTCGGCTGAGACATGTAGCGTCCTGTCTCAACTCATACTGACTTCCGTACTCAGGTGACAGACGAGGAGCAGGATATGCGCAGGCAACTTGAGGAGGACGCTGCAGCCATGAAAGAACGGGCTGCATTCGAAGCGGAAGACCAGGGGGTGATGGAGTTTGAGAATGAAGAAGAGGCGATGGCTGAGCAGCGGCAATATGTGGAAGACTCGCGGAAAGAGTTTGAGGACGAGGTCCAGTGGTCTGGTGAGCCACATAACTTTGCAGCTCATAACGTGTATGCAGAGAAACCCAAATAGGAAAGCTATCTCTCTCGGGGAGGCAAGAACGGAGTATTCAGTATCGGTTCCACAGTACATACCCATATAGTAGCCTAAGTTCCCGCAGGAATCACTATCAGGTACCTATCTGACTGGCGAAGGCTCCAGTTTATATCCGGCTTTTATCTTGCCACGGGAGGCTGTCTGGTGATGTACGATTCGGTATCTCTTTACTTCTCAATCTATCGTCTTACTGTGTCCGTTGCTCCATTCTGTTACCAATTCGCCTTTCAGCTGACGCGGAGTCTTGCATAGCTTCACCAGACGCGCTCTCTTGACGCAAGCGCAGAACACCACACAGGTTCGAACGCTTTCGATATGCATTAGGAAAGGCCGGCTGCCGTGGGGCTCCCCCTGCTGGGTCGCTCGCCGCCGGCCGCTCCTTCCCAAAAGTTCTTGATGGAAGGCACGATGCTTGGCTCCCACCCGCTTTCTATCGGCAACGCGTTGGTACAAACGCGGACCTGCCCGCGCTTCACACCTTCTGTACACATTCAAACACTCGTTTTGTGTGAGCCACTGCCCTACTGGCTCCAGCGCGACACGGCACTCACTTACACACGGCGGGGTCGTCAGACGCTCATTGCGATTGCTCACACGCCAAAGCAAACCCTATCGCCATGCCGTCCCTCTACGGCTCGGGCGTGCGCATTCACTTGGCATCACAGCCGCTCGCACCTACCCTGACCGAGCACATTCAGCTGAAGAAGGGCTATCATGCGGCTTCCAAAAGCGAACAAGCAGAGAAGGCACTGCGAGAGAGCGTGCATACGTTGCTTCCCGAGGAGAGAGTGCCATTTCCCGGGGACGACGGCAAATATGCGGTCAATTGGCTTGGTGATGCGCCATTTTTGCAAGCTGTTGTCGGAGAGTCTTATGGCAGGCGGGGGCAACTCGAGACTCTGAAGCAGAGGCTTGCTTCGAGCAATACATACGCTGCACTCGATATCAACAGCAGACGCTCGTCACAGGCCATGGCTACGAGGAGTGGTTGCCTGATATCTGCCGATGCTGAGAACGAGGAGAGCAGCTCAATCAACCAATTTCCAACGCATGGCTTACCAATTGCACCATCCCCATATACTCTGTCTACCAACCGCCAAGAGCCCCAGGCGCTCGTTCTGCATGTCATGCTTAGCGACAAGACCTTCCACCACAACCCGTTCAACAGCAACCCACAGCACCTCAAGATTGATGTGCTGTTCAACGGCCAGTTGTCCAGCTCTACCCTCATACATACGCAAGATATTCGGACCGGCGCCAAGTCCCTCAATCAGATCTTTGCCGGTGCGCGCATTGACTACATGGCAGAGCGACCGTGGATCATACATACGTCCCAGTCCGGTGCTGCTTCGGGAAATACCACAAGTGCCCAATTTCGCTGGACAGAGATCCGGCAAGCCTTGAAGGGTGAAGCCAACGAACGAGGAGTCGATGTAAACGGCGAGAAGTCACCAACAGCAAGTTATCTACAGGAGCTCGCAAACATGCAAATGCCGGACATGGTTGGAGACCTTCAGAAGCCCAGTGGGATGAAGTTCGGCGTCATCGACGTGATCATCACAGTGGGAACTGGAAAGAAATCCGTCAATAACGCCGTGTACTTGAAGTCACCAACGCGATTGTCCGATGACCGATTCTGTTATGAAGTGAATGAGGATGCTGGCTCTGGGCCATGCCAAACCCATGCGCCTATATCTGGACCACATTCGCTCGATAGCGATGATCAAGACGCAGAGGGTGATTCTGATCATGAGGGCCCTGTGTTGACCCAGGACACCATCTACTATGGCCTACCGACCCCTTCTAGCCAGAACCTTCCACTCCCGACGCCACAACCAGCTTTACCGTGGCGCAACCCTTTCACTGGTTCTCCGATCAGGCCGTTGGCGGCACTCGCACCTCGGACCTCTTGCGTTCGCAGTAATTTGTCCCTCCCCGGAGCGAGTGGACCACCACAGATACGTGGATCCCAAGGTGCTGCTGACTTACAGGGCGCGGTGACACGCCAGATGCCACCTCCACGAATATCATACCCATCCGCTCACGGCCCGGCGATTCCCCCGCGTAGCTCGTACGCACCTTCGGTACCATATTCAGGATTCAATGTGAATCAATATGACGGCATCGAACATGCCAATCCGTACCAGTTGCCTTACGACGGCGTGATGGCTGAGCTGGATTTTGCGAATTTCGACGGCCACGCATCTTCCCCTCTCAGACATGGCTCCGATGGCCAAATCACACTCCCTTCGTTCATCCCAATGCCCGAGGAAGTTACCCCGAGCCCTACCAGCGCCAGTGTCTTTTCGAGTCCTTATTTTCAGCCAAGCGTACTTCCAAGCCAAGGGTCTGGCGCCGTCTTTTCCTCGGACAGTTCGACCCCGTACGGCTCAATGAGCCACGGCACATTTCACCCCGGTGCGATGTTTTACCCAAGTATTTCTCCAGGCTATACTTTGAATGGGACGTCTCGATCTCCTTTAGGGCCACTGGGGGTCATTCCTCGTCCAATAAGCCCATATGCATCTATTCCGTATATGCCACCGCTTAGGGTGCCTTCGAACGGTCCGCCGCCTCCTGTGGCTTTATTCAAAGTCACTGAGAAGCCGAAGATACCTCCGACCGAGTTGAAATTAATCGGCCGAGTTCCGATCAGACCTGACATTTCTTTGCGCCGTCTGGTGATCCGTCTGGGCCCTCGCGTCGTTGTCTCTCATCATTTCACGGCACAACGTCTACTTCCTGCGAACGTAAGCCTCACTGTTGACGTATCATTGCCTTCTAGTTCTTCCGGCAGAGCTTACGAGGAACCGACAGGCTCGGCTGATTGGATCAAACAACCTGCCGTGCGGCGTCGTCCGAACGAAGCAGCTGCTGGGATGGAGACTCGGTCGGCAGCATCGACGAATGCAATGATCGATCCAACAGAAACCACGAGCTCGAATAAGACTAAGAGATACTCCATCCAAGACAGTCTCACGAATGCTGATGCGTCCACCGCGACAGTTAAGATCCCAGCTGCAGCTGCCAATGGGCCCGAATCCGCTTCCGCTGTCGCAAAGACATCAATTCCGACAAGAACTGCCTCTGGTCAATACGTGTATGCGCCAGTGCACCGGAAAGCTGAGACTGGCATTCTTGGCGTCCAGGGCCCCAAGGCCAACCTCTTCGTCTTTGATAATCCGGAGGAACTTCTACGCAAGAAAAAGTCGAAAGGCCAGGGAAAGTCTCGCTCTGCTTCCCCAGCTAAGGTAGATACACCCGCACGTAAAGGGGCCGCCAGAATTGTTCATGCTACAGAGTTTCGAGTGGTGGACCGGCCAACTGTATCAAAAGGCGTCGATACTGGATCAAGTTCTCCATTGTCCGAGCTATCCATTTCACCGCAATTGTCAGCCATGGAAGCTAACACCCTGGAAGCCGAATCGAATATGCAAGTCAGCCCGCCAGCCTTGTCAGCTCCTACTGTACCAGATCGTACGGAAACACCTGCTTTATCGCATACTGTCCGCTTAATTTCAGCATCCGCGATCGAAACATCGGCACCTGCAGCCCCCTCAGTGCTCCCGGCTTCCCATTCCACCCCACATTCTGTCTCCACCACCCTCAAACGCAAGCGTGGCCCCGAGAAACCCCCCAAGCGTACCTTAACTGGCCCATGCATCAAGAAACCCCGCAGCCCCGACCGCCTGAACGCAAAGGACAACCCGCCGCTGAATAAGGACTGCGTGATTCAGTACGCGGTGAGCGAAAAGCAAGGAGGCGCGCTGAGGCAGGTGAAGAGCGAGAGAAAGGGAGTCTTTAAGGAGGAGAGTGTAGTCGTAGGATGCAGGTTCTTTGTAAGTGGATGCTAGGAGGAAGCAAGGAAGGGTGATGATCGGTGTGGTGTGATGTATACGTGTATTCCTTACGGCGCTGCTTTTCGATGTGTGGAGCACTGTACAACAACGAGAATCATGTGTGGAAGGTCAAAGAGGGAAGATAAGCGAATAATTGATCGTGGCGGGGAAGGAAAAGTGAATGCTGTTGCTGTTGTGGTCTCGTGTGTAGATAAAAGCCACAAAATCAATCAAAGCTCAAAGAACATGCAAACACCAAGTCAGTGTAATTCGAGACAAGATAGTATATGCTTCCGTGCCTTTGCTTCTGCGAGAAACATCCACCTTATACCCGGTGGTTTGCTTACAGTGATGCTATGTGCCGGACTGTGTGTGAAGTCGATTAGCGACATGCACAATCAATCTGCCTTGCCAAGCACGTGGAAACGGCATCATTTCCGCTACAGCAGGCATGCGCACTCAACGGGAAACCTTGATACATAGGCCATGTGCTAATCCATCTCCAAATTCTCCATATTCCACGCGTTCCAGTATGTCCTTAAGCTCGACGCACGCCCAGTGTGTCTAAGCAAATGAGGCTTTGGGTGCTTGGATGATAAGAAATGTGTACGAGGGGCATACGAACATCCAATACATTCTAGTCTAGTCTCTTCTGCGACTGCGTGCATGTTCCGCTTGGTTCGATTTTGCAGTTAGGCAGCGCTCATCGAATTTGGAGTAGTTTGAAGAGAGGACATGTCGAGTGTGGCGGTGCCGGAGAGTTTGAGGGTGTGATACGATACTGCCCAAGAGCTTGGGAATCGAGAGATTGTTTTCGGCATGTGCGGTGACACCGAAAATTCAGACGATGGGACTGTTGTCCTAAGCGACGTTTGTTTCCAAGCATACTATCGAAATATGACGGTGAGATGGGCGTCAATGGCGGGAAGTATGTAATCTGTGGTCCCGCACATCAGACACCGTCTCAATTGGGGGCCAAAACAACCGCACTGCTCCTTCGCGCTTCGAGCCTAGCCAGCTCCTCTATCCATCTAAGCGTCTTACGCCCAGCCAATCTTAACCAGTGCTCCAATGTCGGTGCCCGCGAGGCTATCCGTATTTCACAGATGGCAGGGGGGTATCCAGCTGAGACCTCCCTCGTGTATAATATCGTCGCGGGGATCCACCAATCTTTGATTCGAAGCCCAGGTAGCATCCTCCTCATCCAGTATTGCCAACAACAACACAAGTTGAGAGAAGAGAAGATGGCACTTCGCCAGCCCACCACCACGCTCGCGTTGTCGACCACTTTCACAGCTCCCGCATCATGCGCGGCCACGCACAACATCGACATCCTGCCCTCGCCAGGTTTTCTCATCTACTGGAACGAGCCGTTCCCCGCGCCCGGGGTGACTGCCAGCGGATGCTATCCCAAGGAATTTCTGAAGAGTTACACCGCAGTGTCGCCGAGCGCTGCGCGCGCGCTGGGAAGCTCTGTGGTGCCGGCTATGAGCCCGCTGGCTTGTCCAGACAAGTGGTGCACGGCATATGCGGGCAATGACAACTATTTGGCATGCTGTCCTGAGTGAGTAGCCGCTCTCTCTTCCCTTTTGTGCTTCCTGCTCTGCTCGATCGATTCTCTAGCATCTACAGATCACATGACGCACGCGTGACAGACCAAGAACCTCCGCTACCAAGTACACATACTGAGTAAACTTTCCATCAGATCCTACAAATTCGACACCACAACCTCCGCCCTCGCAGTCTCCTCCCGCCCCGCCTACGGCGGCATCTGCTACTCCGACATCGCCATATCCCAGAGCGAGACCGCGCGTATATACGACGCCAACGGTTCGAGCGCGACGCAGATGTGGTCTGCCAGCACGAGCGGCGCGCAGGCGTGGGCGCATCCAATCGACGGGTGGGCGTCGTCGGGGGTGAAAGTGAGCGTGGGGTGTGCGGCGCCCTCGTCGTCTTCGTCGTCGTCTACTTCTAGGAATTCCAAGGCGACGACGAGTTCTAAGGGGTCGTCTGGGGGCGTGAGCAGTTCGAAGAAGAAGTACAAGAAGAAGAAGGCGTCTGGGGGCGCCATTGCGGGTGCCGTGATTGGTGCTATTATTGGTCTGGTCGCTATTATTGGGGCTATCGTTGCGTTTCTGAAGAAGAGAAAGGCAGGCACGGAGGGAGAGAGGGACGTAGAGCAGGAAAAAGTGCATGAGGTGGAAGACCGCGAGCGCGGGGTGCACGAGGCGGGGATGTATAATCAGGCGCCGCAGATAGAAGGGAGCGCGGTGCACCAGCTTAAAGGTGGGTGCGTGGCTGCGGAGCTGGATTCGCCGGCGCAGGCACAGGCGCAGAGGACGGAATTGTCGGCGGGAGAGGCGAGGAGGGGGGAGGCAGGAGTGGTCGGAGGTAATGTGCAATGACATAGACGTACTAGAGCGGACCGTAACTGCCCTTTCTTTCGGTTGGAGCCACCGGTGCAAGCCGCGTCGTTCTTGCCTCCTAATATGCTCCCTCCCTCTCTACCCACCCATCCATCGGACTCAACTCCACATCCCCAAATCCACTCTCCACAACCATCCCGCTCACCATATCAAACCCTCCTGGTGTTGCACCACCCTTTTCCAACGCCCAAATACTTACGCCTAGCGTGTTTTTTCCGCTGTAATTCAGTATTCCCTGCGGAACGGGAAACCTCTTCTGTGGCCCAATACCATTCGCAAACTTTCCGAACTGATAACCGTTCACCCACAGCTGCGCTCTCCAGCCTTTCCCCTTGCCGTTGAAGGCATCGCCGGAGAAGACGAAGGAGAGGGGAACATCAATGGAGGATGGGATGGAGAGGGTGAAGGTGGCAGTGTAGAACGTCACGCCCGGTTTCTGTAGCGCCGCTGTGGGTTCCTTACTCGCTTTCCAAGACTCAGTCGGTGCCCCAGGGAGATGGTAGCCGTGCCTCTCAACCCAGAGCGCGCCCTCATTGAGCGAGCCTCGCCGTCCACCGTGGAAGTCCTCGCCACCGAGGTTGCCCGTGATCTTCCACTTTATGCCGTCAGGCGCGCGTGATGTGCCGTTGTTCGGCGGCGTGTGTCCTGGGAAGTCGTACCCTATGATCCCGCGCGGCGTCTTCATCTCGTTGTAGCCAATGAACCAGTTCCCATTATGGCCCATATGGTCCGAAAGTACAGTCAGTACGTAGTTATCCCCCTTGATCAGCTTCGGGATGGGTAGTGTGAGGTTTGCAATCTTGACGTCGCCGGCTCCCTCCCAAGACCCGATGAAAGTGCTGTTAACCCACGCGGAGAAGCCAAAGGCTGAGCCACCTGAGACATTAAGGTGGATGATGGATTCGTTACCGGTGGCAACAAAGTGGCCACGCGTGAGGAGCGAGCCAGCGTGGAAGCCATACTCTGCACCCCAAAGGACGGTGGGAGTGATGAGAGGCCAGTAGGTGTTCTTTGTGTCTGTGTGGTCTGCGTCTGGCCATGTGGAGTCATCATAGTCTGGTTGCAGCTCTGGCAGGGTGTCGATGGACTTCCATGATAGAGTTTTAAGGTCTGGGAGATGGACCTGTGGGGTGGAGAAGCCAAGAGTAGTTGACTTCAGGAAACCGTTCCTATCGAGCGTGGCTTTGACGTCTGCGGAATTGAAGGTTAGGCCTTTGACTTTTTCGTGCGCTCCAGCAACCACTTCCACAATTGTGGTCGCATTGATGTCACCCGTCAGGTGAATCTTGCCGTCTGTTATGGACGCAGTGCGAAGTAGATAGCCAGCCTTCACGATGAGTTCCGACGATGGTGTAAGCTCGTGAGAGTAACTGCCCTCACTGGTGCTCACGGTCCAGTAGTCGTATGCAGAATTTCGATCAAGAATGATGATATACAAGCTAGGACCGATCCTAACAACTCTTCGCTCAGGTCTAGAGTCCCAATTGACGATGGTAACCCCGTTTCGGTTGGCGAACTTGACGCCAGAGCCTTCGACTGCCGTGGCTCCACTTGTCTTTGAGACAGCCAGCTCATGGCGCTCATTCGGACCGCCGTATACTACTAAAGTTGTTCTGGAACCGTGCTTCTTCCAAGTAAAGATCTCGGCCGATGAGTAGAGGAGGTTGTATCCTCCCACTGGGTAGTCAGTGACATGAATCTTTGAGTCACGACCGTGCAGAGAGAGGGTTCCACCAAGCTGCGGGATGGTAATGTTGCCAGTGCTGGTTGGCACTGCGAGCTTGTACGATACGGAGTCTAACGAGTTGTATTTCACTTGGCTAGCGTGTGTTAGAAGGTACTGTCTAGGGGGCTTCAGAAACATACCGCGTGATGTAGAACTTGGTCTGCTCTCCGACGAGGGGTGTTACCGTGACAGCGTCGTTGTCTGTATATACTCCCGTTGTGTTAAAACCAGGCGTAGCAGACGCAAGAGCATCTCCCGAAGCAGCGACAAAGTTTGCAATGAGCTTGGCCTCGCTGTACTTTTCACGATGAACCTGACGTTCCTCGGTGATAGCAGCTCCGTAGTCGTACGAAGTGTATCCATCAGCATGGCCGAGATTGCCCCAATTTGTTCCGCCGAACGTCGTCTCGAGATTAGCAAGAAGTCGAAGCATCCGAATGTCTGACCTACCATATAGAAATTGCTTATCGTCGCACCCACAGCGATGTTGTTCTTGTAGAACACTCGCTCAAACTCATGATTCGTGAACTCAGCGCACTTATCGAATCCATCACCTCCCCATGGCTGGTATGCACCGCCCTGGTACTCGACCAGTAAGTATGGCGTTTTCGGGCTCTGCTCAAGATGTGTCTTGCGCCAATCCGTAGGCAGCGCGCCGTCAACCCAGTTCTTCGGATCCGAACAGTTCATTCCCAGAGGATACGAGTTGTGTCCGTAGATATCCACTGGGGCGTCTGTACCCGGAGCGTTTATCCCACTCGGCCATGCAACGTTATTAATGAAAGGGACGACGATGCCCAGATCGCGAAATTGCTTCATGAGACCGTTCATGTAATCTGCGTCTGGGAAGGTGACGTTGTTCATGCCCATGGAATATTCGTTCTCCGGTTGGAAGAGGATGATCGGGCCTCCATTCGTGATCTGGGCCTTCGCTAGAATGGGAGTGATAGACTCGATGTAGTGCTTTGATGCAGCCTGGTAGTCCGCATCCGGTGTGCGTAGGTTTCCCGAGATCCTTTGAAGCCAGCCTGGGAAGCCTCCGCCGTGTACCTCCGCGTTAATATACGGCCCAGGACGCTGCTTCCAGTCAATCTACGTTCAAGACCTCGTGATCCTACTCACAGCAACGAGATAAATTCCTGCTTTCTTCGCTGCCGCGAAATACGGCTCCCAATCAAACAGGCCCTCTGCTTGGAAATGTCCTGGCTTGGGTTCGTGGAGTACCCACGCAGAGTAGAAGCTCACACCATTATAACCCATAGCCCTAATCTTCTGGAAGACATCGAGCCATAAACTTGGGACTGGCAATCTGTGACTTGAGTTAGTAGGAGAGAAGGCGAAGGCGAAGGATAGAGAGAACATGCCGGAAAGGATGAAATTCTCCGCCCCAGAAGTTGACGCGTTTGCCGTGAACGAAGAGTGAGTGCTCATCCCAAGTAACCTTTGTGTCATTAGAACCAGGGCTCGGAGAAGTCGGGAGATATGCTAACAATATCCTGCAGAGCACGTTCCTCACGGATGATGAAGTCGCTCGGTTTGCCACTCAGGGCTCTTGCAGCAACGACATTGCTACCCAGAAGTGCCAGCGCAAAGCGCAGCATGTATTGACGGACCTTCATTTCGAGTTTCTGGCTTGGTTCCAAGCCGGTTCTGTATTACAGGAGCAGAGGCCTATATAAACCACGACCGAACATCCTAGGTGCTGCAGTCACCGGCGAGATCGGGCCGCATACCAGTGTTGCCTCATTTCCAGGCCATTGAACCTGACCGAGTATGCAAGATGTCGGTACGGAAGCCATCGCATGTGCAGTGTAGTCCAAAGGCTAAGCGGGTGGTTGCTCGTTACGGTTTGGAGGCGGAGAAATTTGATTCCGTTGTGCGGGGTTTCGGTGAAGGTACTGTGCGTTGCAGTAGCCACTTGTGACCAGCGAGCGACTGGAATGGCTTCAAATGTCAGATCAGGCGTTTGCTCGATTTATTCTATGTTCATGTATCATTAAGAAGGGATCTCTCCGGTAATGTCGCCTGCACGTAATTCCACATTGCCCGTCCTTATACTTCCAGACAAACCCTGCAATCCTTGTGCCAATTTGTTACTGGGTAGTGGCAACCATGCGAGACCCTGCATTCCAAGTTCCAAGCTGTCAAGATCAATAAGAGGCAGGTGTTGTCCATGTACCGGATCGAAGGCGAGGCCCAGTCGGACCTCTGACGGTTAAGCTTGAGATGACTTGGGGTACTTGGAGAGTCTAGAACTTGAACCCGAGACTGATACGCCGTGTTCATGTCTACGGTAGAGGTGGTGTTGAGAGTACCCTATCCCGCGTCACATCTGGCAAGTCTAGCCGAGGCCTCTGCCGTCATCGGGCCAACCTCACAGAGCTCACCCTCCCCACCAGCAGCCAAACATGTCCTCCTCCCACTTCAAGCCGCCCTGAACCGCTCCTTTCCCGATCCGTCCTCTCCCCTCAGCCTCCCCATAGCTGCCAGCATGTCGTCCCTGCTCAAGCAATCCGTCAAGCTCGCCCTCGTCCAGCTCGCCTGCACCGCCGACAAAGCGCACAACCTCTCGCACGCGCGCAAAAAGGTTCTCGAGGCCACCAAGCGCGGCGCAAAGATCGTCGTACTCCCCGAATGCTTCAACAGCCCATACGGCACGAAATACTTCCCGCAGTACGCCGAGACGCTGCTGCCCTCTCCGCCAACCGAAGACCAATCTCCCACTTTCCACGCACTCTCGAAGCTCGCGAAGGAGGCAAATGCATACATCGTCGGTGGAAGCATACCGGAGCTTGTCGAAGAGGAAGGTGCTAAGAGCGGCGGCGGCAAAGACGGAAAGAAGTGGTACAACACGAACCTCACCTTTGCACCGAGCGGCGAGCTATTAGCCACACATCGCAAAGTGCACCTCTTCGACATCGACATCCCTGGCAAGATCAAGTTCAAGGAGAGCGATGTACTCTCCCCAGGCAACAAGATTACACTGGTCGACATACCTGAGTACGGTAAGATCGCCATCGCAATATGTTACGATATCCGCTTCCCTGAGCTGGCGACCATTGCCGCGCGAAAGGGCGCGTTCCTACTCCTCTACCCCGGTGCGTTCAACATGACGACGGGCGCGCTGCACTGGGAGTTGCAGGCGCGTGCGCGGGCCATGGATAACCAGGTGTTCGTCGGGTTATGCAGTCCGAGCCGAGACATGGAGGCTGATTACAATGCGTGGGGGCACAGCATGGTTGTGGACCCCAACGCCGAGGTGCTGGAGCAGCTGGATGAGAAGGAGGGGATTGTGGTGCAGGAGTTGAAGGCGGGGAGGATCGAGGAGGTGAGGAAGGGAATTCCGCTGTATACACAGAGGAGATTCGATGTGTATCCGGATGTGAGCGAGGGAGGTAGATTCAAGGAGTAACGGAAATGGTGGAGGTTGTGATAGAGCAGTCACCCAGTCGCATATATGACTACAGAGTCTTGAAAGAAAAGCTCAGTCTAAAGGCGTTGTGATATGCCTAGCTACGTTGTCATGTCAGAAAACTAGACGCGTATAACACCGCGAGCCACCCCGGAATACATCATTTGGAATAGCGGGAACCTTAGACATCGAACCAGAGTGAATTGGAGGCAAATTGGAAAATGTCAATAGTGAAGAAACAGCAACCTGGTATATATCAGTCCTCCAACGCCATGCCATGCTCCCAATTTTTGACGCCCAGCGTGGCTTTGAGGACACAAAGGAAAAGGGATATCGTGTAGGTCTCTCCTCCGTCGCCGCAATACTCTCAAAGGGCAGATGCCCATCGCTCACACCCAACTGGTCCCGGCACTCCCCGAAACTGTGCAGCCCAGCCTGTGCCTCATGCACCTCCTCTACCCCTCAGCTAGTGCCGGCCTCAACGCCTGCATCACCAACACTAGCCCTCTCAGCTTCTGAGTCTGCCCTACTGATACTGATGCGGCACACCCGCGGGCGGCGGCCCATACCCAGGCTTCCCCGTGCCCTGCTCATGCCCGCCCATCTGGTATCCCTGTCCCTGCGGCGGCACACCTCCCGCCCCGCCAATCTGAGCCTGCACGTCCGGCCGGTATTTGACGTCCTGCCAGAAGTTGCAGATGTGGCAGCCGAGCTCCTTGTAAGGTTTGAGGCTGAACGGGATGACGGGTACGAAGCAGAAGGTGAACCACTCCCAGCGCTTCATTGGGCGCGCCGAGTGGTTGCCGCAGTTTTGGCATTGGAAGGTCAGGCCTTCAGCGCCTTTGAGGGCGGAGGTGAATGCTGGAGTGGAGAGTTAGTTTGGGCAGGAGGAGAAGGGCGGGCGGGGAATAAGGACACACTGTGCGTCCCGCAGGTAAAGAAGAAAAACATGATTGCAGCGAGTGCGCTGGTACGACGCTCAGTGCGGGTAGAAGCGTGGGTTGTAGCTGTCGCGGCAGGTGTCGTACGCGCGCGAGAGATGAAGCTCGGGGATTGATGTCGCAGATGGATATCGAGTTGCGCAGATGTCAGGGATTGTGTTGCGCGACAGGAAGGTGCGGTGTGATGTGTGAGGAGTGTCGCGGCGAGAGCTGGGTAAATGTGAATGCTGGAACGCGAAGCATGACGACAGCCCACTTGGCGCCATGGAGCTCCGCCACACTTGGCCAGCTGTGGCGCCAACCCAACCCTTTGGCATGCACTACACACGCGTCGCGGGGTACTATAATCTGCATTTACCGCATGTATGATGCAAGCAGTTCGGCATGTCACGCAGCAACGCCCGATCACTTGATAACGTCGGAATGTTCAGCGAGCCTATGCTCGACTTACTACCATCCTATCACTCTGCGGCAACACGTGCTTGGTGCAGTCAATACCGCGTTTCCTTTTGAATTGCTGAGGGCAGATACGACTCTAAAACAGGACTGAGGCATTGATATGTGTATGTGGCTCTGATATATGGATCGTTCCATTAGGTATATACCTGCTTATAGACACAGTTTTGGGAAAGGAGACTCGTGTCAGTCATATCAAAAGGCGCTTTGCAGTCCGGCCAATACGTCGCTCCGTTTCCACATCTTAGAGGACCTCAGATCCGGTGCCCGAGAACCTCGAAAGGCGACACGTCCTATAGCCTGGGATTGGTGTGAGTGCAAGCCGTGATAAGGATATCAAACGAGGCCGAAAGTAGATTGGGTATCCAGTGTCCAGATGGCGAGTTCCCGAGTCCATTGCAAGTGTGCTTACTGAGTCTTGAAGAGTAGGATGGCGCAGTGTCCAAGGTAGAAGTAGATGAAGTGCTTGGTCTCTGTGCAAGCTTAGTCAAACATACATGCCTGTTGTCAATGCATTTGCGTACCGTGAGTCACGAAGCTGCCAAAGTTCCTGCCCACTATGCAATGCCACGTCGCGCCCTTGCGGCTATCAAACTACTTCAATGTCAGCGCAATACAGGAAGGAGACACGATACCAAAGCTTACCTCCTTCTTGATGTACTGAGCAATGTCCTGGCAACAGTCAGTCTTCAGATGTATGCTTGAAAGCCTCTCATATCATACCTTCTCGATGGAGAATTGGTCCATGGCGGTCTGGGCTGCTGGCTGTCAGTTATGTATTTAGGCGCCAAACAAAGGGATCCATACCAACTTCGATGGCCTCCTGCTGCATCTCGTCGCTCTAGCTCTAGCTATCAGAAAAGGTGCGGGATCTCCACAGCAAAACTTTGTTACCATATCCGCAGACTTGATCTGCGCTGTGCACGTGTTAGCGGTCGATTCAACTTAGGGATACACAACATCTGTACACCCGTACCTTCTTGCTTGATCGGAAGGTCTTTCTCGCTCGCCATGGTGAAATTCGCTGAGTCGGTCCGAGTGAGAGGATTGAACGGTGATTTGATCTAGCGAGTAGACTAGGCGAGCAGTGGTATGCGACGTATGGGGGCTTGTGGAGTGTTGATGTTGCAGGGCTGGCGCAGGAGAACCGCGGGCTTGGCGCGCAACGCGGCAGGTGCGACCGAGCGTCTTCGCTTGGGCCCGCTAGCTAAAAAATTTGGGAAACCGCGGCCAGGAACCTTCACACCTAATTCACTTTTCGTGCAGGCCATGATACACTGTGACAGCAGCTATGGAGACTTCGCGCATATTCGTACGCGGTCTACCGCCAAAATTCTCGGAGGAGGATGTCCGCAAACACTTCTCCAAATTCCCCGTCACGGACGTCAAGTACTTCCCCGCTCGCCGCATTGGCTACGTCGGATACAAGACGCCAGAAGATGCCTCCAATGCGATCAAATACTTCAACAAGTCTTTCATCCGCATGTCTAAGATCTTCGCAGAACCAGCGAGGGCTGTAAGTAGCCTGTCGAGCACAGCACTGGATCGCACTAACGACAGCCCCAGATCGCGGACAAGGAACTACCCAAATCGCGACGACAGCAAAAGTTTGAGAAGAGCGCCCCGAGAGACGATGCCTACGTACCACCTCAGCAAGAGAACAACCTCAAGCGGAAACGCGAGGACATTGAGAAGGACCCAAAGCTGAAGGAGTTTCTCGACGTCATGCAGATACCCTCAAAACAAAAGGCGTGGGCGAACGATGACACACAACTGGGGGTGCAGTCTACCCCTGTTGTGGAGCCAGCCGAAGAGGTTGTCATTCCGGAAGGCGAGAGCGACGACGAGTACCAGGTGCTGTCGAAAAAGCCCAAGACTGTCGAGCGAAACCCGTCACCTGTAGTGGAACCTGCAGTGGAGCCTCAACAGATCATTCCCGACGCAGACGATGCCCCAAAACAAGTTGACGATTCCGAGGAGCTCCCTGATGCGCCTGCTGTTGAGGCCGGCCCTGTCTCCGATGCTGACTGGCTCCGGTCACGGACAAATCGAGTTCTTGATCTTGTGGAAGAAGATAAGGACAGTTCACTACCACCGCCACCGCCAGCGGTCAAGCACGACGCGGAGATGTTTGAGGAGCAGCCTGAAGCTTCAGTCGCTCAGCTCGAGCCTGCACCAGCAGAAGAAGCTCAAGATGAAGATGCTGCGCCAACGGAAGAGGACAAGGTGCGCCAGACTGGCCGACTGTTTCTGAGAAATCTTCATTACGACGTCACTGAAGATGACATACGGGAACAGTTTGCCAAGTTTGGCACACTCGAAGAGGTAGGCTCGCATTCATTTCTTTACCACTACTGCCATATGATGAATATCAAGATAGGGACAACTGATGCTTTTGCAAATGAGGTTGACTTGGAGACTATTTTAGTAGATGTGTCTCTTATCTGAAATTGGCGACCCCCAGCGCTACTTCAAGCTGTTTTCGTTTCAGGCCAATTTACTGACAGTACAAGGTCCACGTCCCGACGAAGAAGGTCGACGGGAAAGGCAAAGGATTCGCATTCGTGCAATTCGAGGATCCTGGCCAGGCGGTCGAAGCGTATCTTGACAACGATGGTACTATCTTCCAAGGAAGACTGCTCCACATCATCTCGGGCAAGGCAAAACGTAACGATGCACTCGATGAGTTTGCCATTTCGAAGTTGCCACTCAAGAAACAGAAGGAAGTGCTCCGGAAGAAGAACGCCTCCGCGGCGACCTTCAACTGGAATTCACTGTATCTCAATACTGATGCTGTGCTGTCTACGGTGGCGGAGCGTCTCAACATCAGCAAGGCTGAGCTCTTGGATCCCACTTCTGCAGATGCTGCGGTCAAGCAAGCCCATGCTGAAGCGCACATCATCCAGGAGACTAAGGGGTACTTCACAAAGAACGGCGTGGACCTTGAAGCATTCAAGAGAAGCGCAAAGGGCGATGTTGCCATCCTTGTCAAGAACATTCCACACGGAGTGAATTCAGACGAGGTACGGCAACTTTTCGAAGAGCATGGCACCATTCGCAGGTTTTTGATGCCACCCACAGGCATGACTGCCATCGTCGAGTTCGCGAACGCAGGGCAAGCAAAGTCTGCATTCATGTCTCTGTCGTACAAGAAGATGAAGGATTCTATCTTGTACCTCGAGAAGGCACCCAAAGATCTCTTCAAGGAAGGCGCGATTAGCGCCACAGCATCTGCGCCCACTGCAGCTTCTGACAAGCCTGGCGCAGTATTGTCTGCCCAGGACTTGCTTGAAGAGGAGCCAGAGTCGACCAACACGGTTACACTACACGTGAAGAACTTGAACTTTACAACCACGACGCAGAAGCTTTGTGAGACATTTAAGCCATTGGCTGGGTTCCGCAGCGCGGTCGTTCGAACCAAGATCGACCCCAAGCGCGGTGTACTCTCCCTCGGTTATGGTTTCGTTGACTTTAGTAGCTCCGAAACAGCTTCTGCGGCGCTGCGAGCCATGGATGGCTATAGCCTTGAAGGCCATACCCTCAAGATCCAAGCCTCGCACAGAGGAGCTGACGCTGCTGAAGAGCGACGAAAGGAGGACGCTGCCAAAAAGGCTGCCGGGACGAAGATCCTTATTAAGAACTTGCCTTTCGAAGCTACCGTACGTACCCCTCCTTTGATATTTCAAGTTGCACGTTCTAACCTGCATACAGAAAAAAGATGTGCGCGCGCTCTTTGCCCCTTACGGATCCTTGCGCTCGGTCAGGGTGCCGAAGAAATTCGATTCGTCTTCTCGTGGATTTGCCTTCGCCGAGTTTTCGACGAAACGCGATGCTGCCAATGCGATGAGCCAACTTCGTGGCACTCATTTGCTGGGTAGACACCTTGTTCTCAGTTTTGCTGAGACTGAGGCGGACGACCCAGAACTGGAGCTGGAGAAGATGCAACAGAAGGTTGGGTCGCAGGCGAACAAAGTTGCCCTGCAGCGTTTGACGTCAGGCGGACGGAAAAAGTTTAACGTTGCAGGTACCGACGATCTAGACGAAGCTTAGCCAGCAGCACGTCCTGGAAAAATTGTGCGTCGCGACACCAAACGGTCCCTTGACCCACCCCTTGCTGTCATGACTAAGGACGCGAGGCTTTCAGGGCCCGCCCTTTCGCTCTATACTTAAGACATCAGCGTCACGGACGCTTGGCATCCCGGTCTTGAAATCTCGCTACCCGCGACAGGAGACCTTGCTACCTGCACAGGCTTGAAATCAAACGCATGGCTACCACACCGCGTTGCTGCCTTGCTCCCTATGTCTTAGACGTGAAAGACATTAGTCAGTCTCGCACGCTCACTGCCACGCCTGTAACGTTGAAGTTTTGTTTACGCTTGCTGACATTCTTCGACATCAGAACATTCCCGTGCCTCGTCTCCCTCGCACAAAGTGCGTGAGCCAGTTCGCTCCAATCAAATAGATCTTCGGCAGTTGCCCATGCCCTTGCTCGCCTTGCTAATCGCAACCAAACCAGCAATGTTGTCATTCCACTTGGTGGAAACCTCGTGGGCGTAATTATACGGTCGACAAGCGAAATGGTCCGGTCGACGCTTGACTCTCTATAGTGTGTTAGCCTAATCTCATCTCGACATTATGTCACCACAGCGACTGTGTGCTCCGTTTTGGTGGTAACCCGATGTGCCTTGTGAGAGGCGAATCCTGCCCTCCTGACGGCCGTCTAGACTCGCTGTATATCACCGCTTCATGTGCTCCTACATTGCTGCTTCGGCTTCGCCACGTCCATACCATTCTCTTCAGTCATTCCTTCGCTCTGACCGCTCTACGTTCCTTCCCTCAGACATTGTTAGATTCCTATTCTTTTCAGCTACGAGCATTCCCTCCTAATGGAACTACATCATCGTTCATGCGTCCTTCCCTCTAATGCGCCAGCCTTACCAAACACTGATACATACATACCAAGCCGAGTATTGCAAGAGCGATCGGCAAACAGGCGGCACGGATTCAGCGAAGATGCTTCCTCGTGCAAACGCTCACCCACTCCCATCTATGCCGGTCGGTTAGGTGGCTACTTTACAGGCAATCTGGCTTCTCATTTCAATGGCGACAAATCAGAAGCCCAGATCGATCTTGAAACGAAGAGACTCATGAAGCTGTTGAAGGCTTGCGACAAGTACCAGAAGTACCGTGATCGCCAACCCTCGGATACAGCATCGGCCAAGGACAACAAGGAGCAGCGGTGGCCAGACCATCTCGAAGAAGCGTTTTTCAGAGGTATGCTCTCGCGGCACAGTTACCGCGCTCAAACTGATGTGCTCAGCTCTCGTTCGATGGCCACCCATGGGCCGCCGAAAGCAAATGTTGGATGGCCAGCTGCGTGGCCGGAATGAGTTGGTAGCAGACTCTATCCACAGGGACACAGGCGAACCCCGCACACGGAAGCAAGTCTCAAGTCACATCCAGGTGCTGAAGCCTATGCTTTCAGATCAGCCGCAGAGTAAGTGCGCCCTGAAGCCTGCAACACTGGTTGCTGACGTTGAGAGCAGTTCTGGTTTACATGTCCACCGAGGATATGGGTGGTCGCGGTGGCCGAGGACGTCACGGCTCACACTTCGGCCATCACCGGCAGCGACACGCATCTTCCAAGTATGACCACTCACAGACCGACTCAGACCTACAGCAGAACATGGGCTACCTTTCTTCTTCAGTTGCTCTTGCAAAACTCCTATCCGGTCATGAAGACTCTCCGTATACAGTGGCCGAGTTCGACATGTCTGTCGAAGTGGCAAATCGACACGCCCATGATTTCACTCGACTAAGCAACAACGAACCCCGCCTGGATGATCTCCACATTGCCGATATATCGTCATGGCACAAGCAGTATCCCGAGTTTAGATTCCACCGAACAGAGCAGTTCAGGGACCATCATGTCCTCATCTGCGATGCCACTATCAAGGTTATGACCATGGAGCGGCTCGCAGGAGCAACACTGAGCATCACGTTTGACGTCCGATCACAAGTCGACCTTTCTGTGTACGATTCGATAGAATGCCGAACACGCTTTTTTGAGAACGGCCGGGTGGCCGATCAACCCGATGGGGATCGGGCACAGGGGAAAGCCAGGGAAACACGCACGCAAGAAGAATACCATGCCGAAGAGGGGTTTATGCACGTTCACTTCGGCTCCAAGTTCTGGGTCCATCAGATGCAAAAGCTTGGTGATTTGCTTGGCAAAGCGTCCGCACAGGAGGAATTGCCTGCCCGCACCCGCTACGAAAAGATGGTCCGCGGAGAACTGCAGAACTTGACCGCCGCACAAGACATCTACGGCATCAAGGATGGCGAGCGAGCGCGTTTGCTCACAATCCTCTGGCGCTTCAGCCAGACCCGCAATAACCACGAAGCAGGCCGCACGACCTGGCGGGTTGCCAACTTTGGTCACCGCAGGGAAAGAAAATGGATCAAAGAAGAGGAACTCTCACACATTCGCAACGCAAAGGAACTCCTCGCCACCCACACGAGCTCATCTCTCTCCATGCTCTCGATCCCTACCTCCCACTCCATGTACCCCACGCTCCCGCTCAACTTCAATCATCCCTTCGGACCCACTCAGCCACAGCTCGACCTTGACGCCCTCGCCCTCGAAGGCATGGGCTCCTCGGATTTCTCCAACCCCAACTCGGCCACGGCCCCGAGCCTCGCAACCGACTACTCGCAGACGCACTCGCTCCCATCCCTGTCGCACGGCCAGGACACGTCGGGCAATGCAAACTCGCAGTCGTACCCCGACGCCAACGACTTCGACTTTGACGGCGGCCACATCACCATCAGCGGCTGTCTGGAGCCGGCGATCCACCTGGGCGCGTCCGTCTACGACAATTACAACCCCAACGGCAACGTCAACATGAACGGCTTGTCGCACCACACGCCCAACACGCTGCCCACTCTGTCATCCATGACGGGCCTTGATGGGCAGACCCAACACTCCCTGTCCGTGTCCGACCATGCGTTTGGCGACCTCGCGTCTTTGGCCACCATGTCGGCGTCGATGCCGAACGGGTGCTACGCCACCAAGCCCAGCTGGCACCATCCGTCTCTCATCTCGCATCTTGAGAACGCGGCGGAGTCGTTTGGCGTGGGCGATATGATGGACGAGGGGGGTGGGATGATGGATGGCGTTGGGGGCATGTGGAAGATGCAGGGGGGGGGGATCGGGTTTGGAGAGGATACAGGGGTGGGTGCGGAAGGGGTTGGGAGCGGGCGGCGAGACAGCAAGGTTGGCGGTGGGGGTGGTGGCTTGGGACAGGTTGACTTTGGGGAGAGGGAGAGGGGGGTCTGGAGGGTTTAGCATGTTGTGCGAGGAGGGGGAAGTTGGCACAGAGGGTTGTTGGCGCTGGTGGGTGATGGAGGGTTAATGCAGTTATGATGTTACGATTCATGTGCGGCGGGGTAGTTGGCTGCGTTGGCTTGATACCTCTTGGGCTAGTGGAATGTAATGTTCTTAATGGGTGGCAGTAGAGGCTGTCGAAATCGTCTAGTGGAGTACATCGACGGGTTGGGCTCGCGAAGGGCCGACGGTTGGGAAGAGAACAGGCGCTGTGCGGGACAAGAGCGTGCAGTAGGGGGTCTTGCGAACCAAGCCACGGCACAATCCGCCATTCAACCTTCTCAACCGCATGTCTCAGCACGGCAGCTTGTGCGCAGAACATGGCGAACGCCACGGTGACATGTGGTCGATGGGATTTGGGAGAGACGTGAGAAGGCGGGGAGTGAGGGCGGCATGTCTCGTTGGGCTTGCTCCAGGGCGGCAGCGTGTCGCGCCGTCCACGGGTCGCCCCTGCCCTCTCCAGACGCGACTGCTTGGATTGCGGCTCGCGTTGCACAGAGCTGTCCGTTGCACAAAGATACCGTCAATTGCCCCCATCAAGTCGTTCCTGGACGCTCCGCGTTTGCTCGTAGTCGCCCGTTAGCTACATGTACACTCATTACCCGCAGCCTGAAGTGGTCCAGACACCCAGCACACCCAAGCTTGGTCAGACCAAACGCGTCCCGACGTCGTCGCGCAATCAGGCGCAGCTACACGCAACAAGCAGAGCCCCCACCAAGCAGCCCAAGTCGCTGTCTCGCAGCAAACACGCCTTCGTCCCCGCCAAGCCATGCACGCTGGCGACGACCTGTTGCGGTACTTGATTGTGCCAGGACAGACATCTTCAACCGGCCCAGCCTCTCCCTCTCGCTTTCCACCGAGTTCCTCAGACCCACAGTCATTGTTACATCAAGAAGAGCCAGGCCACACCCCCGGTTGCCCGCCCTCTCCATGTCCCAGCGCGCACTCCGGAAAGAGACGAAAGATGGAAGTCGACGCGCCATCCGCCATGCCCGCCGTCCCTGGCTCCTCCAACATGCCGGGTCAGATCCTGTCCATCGACGACTTCAAGGCTCAGGCCATGCGCAAGAACTCAGCCTCGGCCATCAAGCCCTGCCCGGAAACTCAACCCCAGCCTCGCGCCCTCGCGTCCCGCTCGTCCAAGTTCACAATTGAACTGCATGAGAAGTATCAGGCGTATGGCATCCCTCGCCCGGAGTTTGTCTTCAGCGGAGACGGTGAGGAGGGTTTCCGCGTGAGCACAGAGTTCATGGGAAAAGAGTTGCACGTGACCGAGCCGTGTGGAAGCAAGCAGGAGGCCAAGGAAAGATTGAGCGAGGCGTGTCTGAAAGTTTTGAAGCAGCTGGAGTCCGAGGGGAAACTGGAGCGTGCATCCAAGGCGAAGAAGCAAAAGATGGAGCATGCGCAGCCCGAGGTCATCGAGAAGGGGAAGGAGAAGATGCCTGTGGTGAACTACATTGGACAGCTGCTTGGTAGGTACATCCAGCCCATGATGGGACAATGAATCTCAACATTAAGCAGAGTTCCAACGCTCAATCGCCTCTCCGCAACCCACATACATCGACTACCAGCTCGGCCAATCCTTTTCCTGTGAGCTCACCATCGACGGCCACCCCGACCCCTTCGGCTCCCGCACCACCTTCTTCACCTCGAAGAAAGCCGCCCGCCAGCACGCCGCCAGCTGCGCCGTTGCGCACTTCCAGGCCGCAGGCCTCTGGCCCAAGACCGCCACCCATCTCGGCGGCATCAAGAAAGTCAAGTCCCCTCCCGTCCCTACATCCGGTTCCACCATCCCCACCTCTCTCGCCTCCACATCATCCTCCGCCGACAACCTCCCCGGGGCATCCTCCTACGCCCAGCGCGCCGCGCACCTCGCCACCCAGCTTGGCCTCAACACCCCCGAGTGGCGCTACGCGGCTTCCTCCGCCTCCGCTCAGGGCTTCCACACTGTGTCATGCTTCTTCAAGAACGGAGGTCCGCACGAGGATCCAAACTGTGAGGTGCGCCATGTGTTTGGCAAGAAGAAGGCGAAGGAGGAGTGTGCGCGGTTGGTGCTGCAGTATCTGGAAGGGGTGCGGGAGAAGAGGATGGAGCATGCGCGGGGGGTTATGGCGGGGATGAAGGGGTGTGAGACTGTTGTTGGACGGGCGGTGGGGAAGGTCGCTGAGGGTGAGGAATTGGGAAGTGTGCAGATGGAGGTGGAGGAGAGCGGGGATGAGGAGTTTGAGAGCGCGAATGAGGGGACGGACTAGTCGTCTTTCTCGCAGTTGACGCTGGGTGACGGCTTTCTGGTGTGTTGTTTGGAGCACGGTTTGGCTGGAATGGTGTTTGGCATCCTTTGAGCGTTGGATGGATGGGGCGGATGATCACATTGAATATTGCGAGCATGGCATGACACATCGACACGACACGACACGACTTGACGAGAGCACGAATATCTTATACCCACCCCTCATCGAGCCACTCACACCTGGATTATACATAGACTTTTCATATACTTGAGACGTATTGACTTTCGAATTCTCTAGGATGACTTGAGCAGATGGGAAAGGCATTGATACAATCAACTGTGCCATGCGGGAGCACGTACGAAAGAGGCGTTAGTAGTACAAGAGGCAGTCTGCTGCCAGCCATCCTAAGTACCCACGAACATATTCGGTATATCCTGCTACAAGCGACCTTGACAAAGTAATCATGTAGTATCTGTTGCGGCTTCGCAATGCGATGGCTTTCTAATCCGAAGACTCTTCGTTTAGTCGGCTGTGCGCAGCAGCGACGAAAAGTTTCTCTGGACTTGACAGTCTCCCACGCGGTGCTTGTGGCCCGTTGTAGCCAGCTCTTCGACGCAGCATCGCAACCGCGTTCGATGGATGTGTAAAGAAGGGAAGCTATCTCTGGACGCCTACTCTCCCTGGGAAAGCAGCTGACTGATCAACGTGAAGAATATGCCGTGCAGATGCGGTTCTGTGCCCGGCACCTAGAGGATCGGCGTGGACAAGTCTTGTGCTGCGGTCGAAATCGCATAGGTCAAGATGCGTAGAGTGCTGCACAGCTGTGGTGCATAGCATGGGAATGAGAAGGATGCAGTGGTACTGCGAGCAAGTGAGCAGATTGCCGTAGAAAAAGCGCCGTGGTGCTATGTCGAGTGAACAAGTCACCGTGGTGCAGTGCTGTGCGGTTGTTCGAAGGGGACAGATCCTCGTGGGAAATATGCTGTGGAGCTGCAGTGCTGTGTCTGGTACCCGGAAGATTATTGTTACAAGGAAAAGATGATGTGACACTATGGGAGGCAACTGGACGAACATGTGGTGCGTAAGCCTGACAAATAGAGATGCTATGGTGCCGTGGACAGCCACCAGGTCAAGGTGAAATAAGTGCTGTGATGCTGCGGACAGCCAACTTCAGCTCTACAGCTCCACAGCAGTCTTTCCACGCTGGTCTGTTGACTCGATTCGTCGCCTGTCCACACATTACCCGTGAATAGAAGCCCAGCATCAGACTGAGCCTTTCCGCCCCAATCAACTTCGCCATCTTCAAGATAGGTACGTTGCCGCAAGCAGAACAAATGCCCCTCAGCTTCTTCCCACATGCATCTCTGCAAGGGCGGCTACCCTCAAGAACAGTTCGGGATGGATGCTTACCTGCAATGCCGCTAGTCCTCACGTTTGATGCTTTGAACAGGGCTGAGAATAAGCATCCTTGATGATCAAACCCCTCACTCGAATACATAGCATAGTTCCTTCACGAATGCATGCTCTGGTCTAGCATATCGGAGAGAGGTGAGAAATTTTGGCAATATACAGCTACGCGGCAGCAAGAGGTAGGCATCTGTGGGCGATTGGTCCGTGGAGTAGACTGACTGCGAGCTTCCGGCTGTGCGCGCCTCCAAGGGAAGGCCGTGGACGGAGTAGCACAGGTTCAGCATTGGAATTGATGCCGAGTGGCCCTGGGGGCTATCCAGACTAATCAGGCAAAAGGTTAGGCTTCCAGGGGCCGACCAAGGAGCAAGCAGACGGGGCAAAGAGTGTCCAACCCGCAGGCAGCACGGCGTGGAAATGGAGAACATCTGGAGTGACCACATCCAGAACATCGGAGATGAGGTAAAGTGGAACCAAGGGTACCATGATCCAATTGGACTTTTTGCTTGTCTCCCCTAATGAGAGTGCGCATACCCATACCATATACCGAAGTAATATCGATGTCGATGTCACACCGCACGCACACGATACAAGACTAAGATCTACAGATACAGACGAATGGCGGCCGTGAAGTAGCACAACTGTGATACTGGTACGAAAACGCACAAATTGTTCAACCCATCCTGAGGGTCAGCCAGTCCAGTAGTACGCCATTGCAGTGCAGTGCAGAGCAAAGCAAGACACAGCATCAGCTAGTCTCTCCACACCTCAAACGCCCTCTGATTCGCATCCCTCAACGCAAGCGGAACCCGCCAGCCTCTCTGCGCCGCCGTCGCCGACAGAAGCCCTACACACAAAGCTTAGCAAAGCTACGCCACGCTACGGTTCCTCAACCCTCCTCAACCACGCCCACACCGGCTCCTCCTCCTCAGAGACCGACTGCAGAAGGGGCGCCGCGATCTAAGCCGCTGCTCCCTCGCTCTTGCGCTTACTCCTGTCACGCTTGCGCGTCGGCTTCTCCTTTTCTTTCTCCTTGTCCTCGCTCTCGGCCTCCGCCGCGCCGCGCGTCGCCCGCTTCTTCTTCTCCTTCTTGTTCTCCTCGGGCGAGGGTTCCTTCGCAACTGGTGCCACAGCAGCAGCTTTCTTCTCCTTCTTCTTGTCCTTCTTCGCGGGGGTAGCTTCAGCGAGGTTGGGCGGCGGGATGGCACTCTGAACACGGGTGGCAGGCAGAGGGACAGGGGTCTGGCCGGCGGCAGGCGCAATAGGGACGTGGGTGCCGTTGACAGCGGGCGCGGCGGCAGTCTTCTGGCGCTTGTTGGGGCGGGGGGTCTTGCCGTTTGCTGGGAGGGTTGGGGGTGGGGTGGGCGCTTTAGTGGGCGAGAGCTCGTCGTCCGAGACTTCGTCGTCGTCCGAGTCGACGTCGGAGTCAAGGGCGGCGGGGTCGGCGTCGTTCTCGGATGCGTCATCCTCGGCGGCGGGCTCTTCTGCGAGAGCGGCGGCGCCGAGGGAGGCTTTGTAGGCGGCTACTTCCTTGTTGTAGGTTTCCAATGAATCGCGGTAGGAGGCTTTCCATGTCTGGGGGCGTCAGTGAAGGTTCGATATCAGGGTCGGTTCAATGCTCACCTCCTTGTCTTCGTCTGCCATCTCGTTCCAGCGCTTGTTGACCTCAAGGTTGATAGCATTAGGTTCAAGCTTTGCGCCTGGCGGTAGCTCGTTCTCCAGGTCCTTCCTGATGATGGGCCGGGCGCTCTGCGCAAACAAGAAGGCAGCCGTAAGGGGCCGCTTGGGTGCGTTGGGGTCCTTGATCTTCTTCTCGCGCTTGCGCTTCTTCGACTTGCCGGCCTCAGCATCGGCGGCATTGCCAGCGGGCGCACTGCCGAGCGACTTGGTCAGGTTCGCGACGCTCTTGGTGGCAAGGTCGGCCTCATCGATCATGTGCTGCGCGCTCTCGGAGAGCTGCAGACCCTCGAGGGCGCCGTCCTCGCCGGAGAGGACCGAGGCGGTGTGCTTGATGTAGGCATGCATCAGCTCATTGAGGTTGTTGGAGACATTGTGCAGTCCCTTCTGGACGCTCGCGAGGGCCATGAGGACCTGCTTGGTTGTTAGCCATTGCGCTCCGTCGTTGGTGCGATGTGGTCTGGACGCGACCGGACGCGCGGATGGCATGGACACGCTCTGCGCTGCCGGACGCGGCAACAGCGGCTTTAATGGTGCTATGGTGCAGTCGCGTCGACGTCGCGACGACGGCGACGCAAATGCGCCGCGTCAGAGCGTGTCGCGGAGACGATGAGCCGTGTCGCCATGTGTTGCGACAGGCCGGCGCAAGCCTGGTGGTGCAGCATTGTCGCATCGCGAACGAAGCTGAACAAGCGCGTTGCGGTGCGCCCACAACATCACAACCAGAAGGCGCACTTACCGAGTCGCGGGTGCCCCTGAACTGCTCCTTCGAGATGTTGAGCTCGATCTCTTCCTCGTTCTTCTTGCGAGGAGCCATGGTTGCGGTGGGTGTTTTGCGCTATGGGCTGGGGGTTGGTGGTGTAGGGCGGCGCGCAGCGGGTGTGGGTGTTGGATCGAAGGGGGCGGGCGCGCGTTCGGGGGGAGCTCTCGCTAATAAGGCCGGGCTGTAGGCTCTCCAGCCCACTACCTGCCTACCTGCCTCACCCAAACAGCGCAGAACTCGGGCTTTGCTTCCGCGCAACCGCCGTCTGCTGCGTGTGCTACCCAGAGCTGCATAACGTGTCCGCGCAAATCACGGCATAACGTGTCAACATCAACACAATCAATTTCATGCACGCCTGTCTAGTGCGCATTTCATGTAAATAAGCAGCAGCAGGTCTCGCGTTCGCAATTTGCGTTGCGATGGCATTCTGGGCGGCATCAGAGCGGCACAGCCTGTTGTGCTTGGCTATCGACCGTCGCCGCTGCTGGGTATTGAGCGCCGTGTGTTTGGTGTGTTCGGGGGGTCTGTCGCCCTCACCTGCCCGAGTGCCCGCTGCGATCTGACCTGTCTTCGGTTTGCCGCGTTCTCGCCCGGCCTAGCCTGCATCCTTAGCGCTTGCGTCGCTGTTCTCTAGGCACCCTCGCAGCAATGCTGCGCTGCCCTCCGCTCTCGAGTCGCCTCTTTTTTCGGTAGCTGCCCTCAAGGAGCGCGCGCGACGACGACAGGGCACCGCCTGCCCATCCGTCGGTGGCCCCCCCCCCCCCCCCCCCCCCCCCCCCCCAGCGCGCCTTCGAAGCTGCTGCACCACGCTCCGTATAGCCAGCGCGTTCGACGTCGGCCATGCCTTTTTCTCGATAATGTGCCACCCACGAACTTGTCCATGTCCATCAACTCCTTGCAATTGCATATACTCTTCCGTCATTGGATTTTCATGATGCTACCTGTTGTCTTCGGGCATCCTGCATCTTAGGCCAAAGTCGTTCGCGCGCTCGGTGTAGCACGTGTAGTGTGAGGACATAGGAGGGTGGTGAATGACTGAGGATGACTGGAGCGAGGTAGAAGGCTTGAAAACCTCGCACAAGCTGTGCCTGGGTTTCCTAGCTCCTAAATTTCCATTGCCGCTTCAGGCTCGCTCGAGGAATTGAATTGAATCGGGCCACTCGGCATCGTCGCATGGCAGGCAGGCAGGCAGGCAGGCAGGCAGGCGGGCAGGGAGGAGAGTGTGTGCGTGCATGCGTTGGAGTTGGAATACCTACAACGTCCGTGGGTATGCTGAGAAAAGAAATCCCTATTAACACGGCAGGGAGATTTCTCTCGTCGCTGCGTTTCCCCACCTTTCATCTGGTGGTGAGGCGGAAGTCGCGACCGCGGTGGCACTCACGCATCACTCGCTCGCACGCAACCACCACCACATACTGTACAGACATCTGCTACTGTAACGCAGACCTGGCGCTGCGACGCGTACCGTACAGCCAGCGAAGTCGACCACAACATTGCTTTTCCTCTCTCTAAAATATGTCTTCAGCGAGATGGTCGTTGTACATCCACTCTGACTACTATGCATACTCTCCCGTCATTGACCTCCATCATGCTACAAGTCGTTTTCGAGCGTCCTGTGCCCTGAGCCTGTATATTGCGAGTTTCGGTGTAATGCGGGCTGCGCGTTGAAGTTTTTCCCATGCTGCGACACAAACGCATCTTACGCACGACTTCAGTTTCCGCATGATCCCAGAGTAAACATGTGCTTCTTCCATAGCGACTTCAACATACTCAAATTTATCCCCAGATCCAATTCAGTTCTCGACCAACAGACCCCCTGTCACCTCCGCACCCTCCTTCAGTACACAAAATACCCCTGCGTCAACGGCAAACTCTCCGCAGGCTCTGCCTCGCACACCACCCCGTCAGCCTCCACCGTGTACCTCTCAGGATCCACCTTCATCTTCGGCCGCGCATCGTTGAACTTCATATCCTTCTTGCCGATGTTCCTGCAGTTCTTGACCGCCTCGACGCGCTTGCGCAGCCCGTACGAGGCCACCACGCCCGAGGCGATCGAAGCCTGGGACACAAACGTGATGCTGCTGGAGGGGACGAGGGGCGCGAACATGGGGCGCATGAAGATGGGCTCGACAGTTGGGATAGAGGCGTTGGGGTCGCCCTAGGACATGTTAGACCGGATTTGAGGGAAGGGGAATGGAATCCTCACCATCTGCGCATACGAGCAGAAGCCGCTCTTGACAACTAGTTTTGGCTTGACGCCAAAGTTCTCCGGCTTCCAGAGCACTAGGTCCGCCACCTTGCCCGCCTCAATGCTGCCAATCAGATGCCCCATTCCCTGCGCGATCGCCGGATTGATGGTGTACTTGCTGATGTACCTCTTTACTCGGAAGTTGTCTGCGCCGGTGCCCTCATCTTCCTTGAGGGTACCGCGCTGGACCTTGTTCTTGTGCGCGGTGTTCCATGTGCGCAGGATGACTTCGCCGCAGCGGCCCATGGCCTGCGAGTCGGAGGACATCATGGAGATGGCGCCAAGGTCGTGCAGGACGTCTTCGGCGGCGATGGTCTCGGCGCGGATGCGCGATTCGGCGAAGGCGACGTCTTCGGGAATGTTGCGGGAGAGGTGGTGACAGACCATCAGCATGTCGAGGTGCTCATCAAGCGTGTTTTTGGTGTAAGGTCGCGTGGGGTTCGTGGAAGACGGGAGGACGTTGTCGTGCTCGACTACGCTAATGATGTCTGGGGCGTGGCCTCCACCTGCGCCTTCAGTATGGTAGGTGTGAATTGTTCGGTTCTTGATGGCTTTGATGGTCTGTTCGACGAAGCCTGCCTCGTTCAATGTGTCGGTATGGATGAGAGTCTGGATGTCGTACTCGTCGCACACAGTTAGACAGGCATCGATTGCTGCTGGAGTACTACCCCAATCTTCGTGCAGCTTCAAACCACAAACACCGGCTTCCGCTTGTTGTTGTAGAGGGCGTAGCTCGGCATCGTTTCCTTTGCCTGTGATGCCATAGTTGAGAGGGAGCTCATCAATGGCCTGGAGCATTTGCTTGATGTGCGTCTTGCCGGGTGTGCAAGTGGTTGCATTGGTACCAGTACTTCAGAAGTAAGCGAGAGATCGATCAAGCGTATCCCTGTGACATACCTGGGTCCGGTTCCACCACCAAGCATGGTAGTGATACCGGAGGCGATGGCTTCCTGAGCCTGTTGAGGACAGATGAAGTGGATGTGAGTATCGAAACCACCGGCAGTGACAATGCTATGTTCGCCCGCAATCACATCTGTGCAGTTTCCGACTACGAGGTTGGGATCTACGCCGTCCATCACATCCGGGTTTCCGGCTTTGCCTACACCTGTGATCACTCCGTCTTTGATGCCTATATCAGCCTTGTATATCCCTGTCCAGTCGACTATCAGAGCGTTCGTAATCACAGTATCCAAACATTCGTTATCAGATCTTCCGCCTGCCTGGCCCATGCCTTCTCTCAAGGTCTTACCGCCACCAAAGGAGCATTCATCGCCGTACCGTGTCATATCTTTTTCGACCTTGATCCATAAATCCGTGGCTCCAAGCCGAACCAAGTCACCTGTTGTAGGTCCGAACATGCTAATGTAGGCCTGCCGTTCCATGGTGCAAATGTCAATATGTGCCACATCTCCTGCTGGTTCCGGTTCGTGCAAGAAACCTCCGTTCTTAATGTTCTCCACGATGTTATTGGTCACGTCTCCAATGAATCCCGAAGCGATCTGGTTTCCCCCCTTGATAATTTGGTTTCCCGCGATCTGTACCAACGTGACCGTTTTGGTGTCGCCAGGCTCGAAACGAACCGAGGTGCCAGCGGGAATATCCAAACGGTAGCCATGCGCTCGTATGCGATCAAACTGAAGCTGCGGGTTCGTTTCAATGAAGTGGTAATGCGATCCGACCTGCGTATGTCAACCCTCTGTCCTGCGACGGATTTCAAATACGAGTACCTGAATCGGTCTGTCTCCAGTGCTCTTAACCCTCAGACGAATCCTCTTGCGTCCCTCGTTCAGCTTGATTATGCCAGCCTCTCCTTTGACCGCCACAATGGCACCAGGTTGGTTGGTGCTCTCGTATACACGAGCTTCGGGAAGAGGAAACATGTCGTTCGAGGGAATGGGCAGGAAGGAGCCGTACAATGCCTTCTCGAGGTCGCCATCGTCAGAGCTGATGGGATGATGTACGGTGACTAGGTAAGTACCGGTAGGGAAGGTACCCTCTACCATCAGCTCGGAAAGAGAGGAGACCACAGAGGGAAGCACATGGCGGCGACCGAGCATAGTCGTGCCGATGGACATGAGGTCCGCGACGGTATGATTTCCATCGCGGATGAGCTGGGTGGGTTCAGCATCGCGGGGTTAACTCATGTAGTGATCAGCATACTTCTTGAAGGTTGTTCGCGATCAGCGCCTGGGGGTGTCAGTCGCAAGTCGCGTTGAAGGGTCCATTGTCACATACCGTAGCTTCTGCGTGGTTCAGCTTCACGCCGCGAGCTAGACGTCGCTGTGCCAGCAACCCCAGCTGCGAAATGACGAGCTTGTCGAGCTGTCCAGAACAGGTTAGCACCGAGGGGTGGGGTGTCACGAAGCAGTGCCAGGTGGGCCAAGCCGCCACGCACCTCCTTGGGACACAGCTGCATCCTGTGTCGCTTGAGACGGCCGCGCACGTCTTCAGAATAAAAGGAACGTTAGGTTCCTGATGGAAGCTCCAGCGCGCCGTTCGAGCTGCTTCCTGTGGCCCGCTGGCGCGCTTCGCCCATCTCGAGGTAGCGGGCCGCGATAACGAGATAAGACCCCAAACCATCACTCATCCCAGCAGCTTTCGGGCGCGGGGCATCTGACCACTAGGGACCGCCACCGGGAGCGTATGCTGCAGCCTTCGGAGGCTCGGTACACGTGCGGCTGCTTACAAGACGTCCTTCGGCCAGCGCCGCCTTTGAACCTCAACCCTCTGAATCTCTTGTGACTGCCTTGTGCTTGTGTCGCGAGCCCGACCCCTCGCCGCTTCCTGTTTCGCGTCCGCGAGCTTCGACCGCCCTTCCTCCGAGCGTACAGCATCGCCAGCTTCCTGTCATGCACCAACTTTCCCCTTCATTAGCACGCCCTATAACTGCTGGCCGACTACTTTGGCATACCACCTGGCCTTGGACCTAGCTTCTATCGTAGCCTGACCCCTGGACGACTGTGCCACCAGTGATCCTGCATCGGGGCACACCGACAATCCACTCCAATGAGTTCATGGCTGCACCGTCTACGTGGAGAACATGTACAGACTAACGAAGACCATGTTGAGCAATCGAATGTGGTCGAGCGGAGTAGAGCGAAGCCCCGACAACGCCCCGTAGACCCCAAACCAAAGGACCCAAACGCGCCGCTCAAACGTCTGCAACTGCATCAAAAATGTTTGTACGAGCGGACTATGCCTGGCAATGCCTTTGTTTCCGCACATGTGAATCGCCTCCAGCAGGGGTACTACGAAAGCAAGGCCCTCCATGAAGGTCCACTCAACAACGTGTACTTCGTATCAGTGCATTTTGTCTTTCATCCTCGTGATCACCACTATCATCGGTTCCGAGCAGCGACCATCAAAGTATCTGTACACACTGACTTCAGTTCGTCCGACTTCGATCCAGAAAAAGGGCGATACACACCTCTCGGTTCGCATCCACGGATATTGAAGCATGCGCCTGAGCTGATCTACGGAGCCGTGTCTCCAGAGAACTTGCAGTGGAACTTCAACCTATCAAGCTCACTCGGAGTCTCACAGGCTCCTCTGAGTGCCACCTTGAACCCCAGCGGTGGCGTCAAGAAGACATATCGGGTGTACGATATGATGAGCATCCAAGGGTCATTGAGGGTCCTGAAGAGCCCATTGGGTTCCGACTTCGACGTTGACGATGCCATGGCAGTGTGGACGCTCGAAGAGAACCTGACCCAACGATCGGGACTGCCCCGAGAGTTCGATTTCGTCATGCTTGTGCATAAGCCTGACGATGTTCAGAATGTCTATTTGAGTGTGGACCTCGATGCAACAGTCAGCTCCTGGCACGGAGATTACCCACAGTGGTACACCAATCTATCCAGATACCTGCCTAATGTGGATTACACCCTCGACTTAGACACGGATATTGGTCAGAAGTTCCGCCCCGAGAAACCAGGGCACGGCTTCAACTTCGCGGATCTCCCTCAAGCTCTTGACCAGTACGTCTGCATGCCTGGGACTATGTATCCTACAACAGACTCGAAGCCGGAGGATTCAGGATCTGCAGACCGGAACTGGTCAAGGTACCGTCAATATGAGCCTAAAGGCTCAGCGAACGACTATCGCGTGTCAGGAGCCCCTCCCGCCGCTTCGTCTGAGCCGATGTCTCCGGAGAAACAGATCAACACCTGGGGCCAGCAGTTCGGACCTTCCCCAGCCTCCGTGCCAACGGCCCAACGCCAACTCGTATTGCCTGAAACTCTCAATGTTAGAGTGACACTGGAACACAGTACTCCTCGCTCTCCTGCTACGTACTGCTACTCTGGATCCCCGATTGGCAGTCAAGACCCTGCAAGACAACACTCGATAAGGAGGAGAAGATCCCGATCCGAACTAAAAGAGTATGGGGTTCAACAAGCGCTCCAAGCGTTGGCAGGCGAGACGCTGAAGGAGAATGGAGACATACCAAAGCGAGCGGCAAAGACCGCGAGGGCAAGATCTACAGAGAGGATAGTCAATGATCGGATGTAAGGAAGAGGAAGGGTCAGATGACCATCATCCACGCAAAAGCATCCATTGGCATACAAGCGAGAGCGACTTCTGTGCGAGTATGCTGTGCAATCCGAGGAGGAAATTTCGACCGCTAAGATTCCACAGCAGCATGACTTCGACGTCCGACTGGAGCGCTCACGGTAATTGATGACCCCCTCTTGATGATTGACCAGCAGTACCTTGGGTCTGTCGATTCAAGAGTCATGTGGTTATAAATTGTCAGAATTTGGAGCTACACTAGTCGGCATGGTGTCGAGACACCTTGTAAGCCGAGTTAACTTGATCTTTACCCCAGCGCACCAGAGTCGAACCTTTGTCCTGGGAAGGGCAAGCGTGGCGGAACGTTGCTGTGAGAGGATGGCAACGAGGCGCCTTCTCGAAGAGTCGCACACGGCTGTTCGCCATTCTGTACACGCAAATGGGCGTATCGCATGGTCCGCTCGAGCTGAAGTAGCTTTGTGTACCAACAAGTCTGTGGTACATCAACTGGCACCGCGCGGGCGGTCAGGGGCTGATCCTGTGTCTAGCTACGCATAGAGTACCGTAGCAATATCGAAGCAAAGTGATGATCGCATTCAAGCCGCGCTCCAGCATTACCTGTGGTCTCAAATGTATCTTGACTGCTCGTCTACCGTATACCTAATGCAGTATTACTCCCGCAGTATTCAATGTATCATCAACGCTGAACGCTATCAGTACCAGCCGCGCGCCAGCTCTGAGAGCCTCCTCATGCAAAGCCAGACCTTCAATAGTGTCATCGTATAAGTCCCACCGCGCATCGTGCCACTGGCGCGACGCAGGTTGAGGGCAAGCCGCCACCCCGAGGCAGCTTCATGCAGGTACGTCGCATGCCGTCAGCTGATGGCAGAACGGCTACCCTCGACCCCAAGAAAGCATCCCAAAGAAAGCTAGCTGCGATGTCCAAACCGTGATCTCCGCATGGCGCGATGCCTGTCTGTCGAGCACCGACGCGTAGGCGCTGTAGAAGACTCTTCGAAGTGCCACTGCGCCAGTGCAACGCTCTCCTTGGGTGTCCTCGCACAGCAGCCCTCTTCCCCAAATCCCGTCTCGCCACAACCGCGAAGAGCCTCCTTTTGCCTCAGCTGAACCAAGACGTCGCGCTACGAGCTCGCGACGTCCTCGCACCAACGCCCGGGAGTGGCGGATTGGCTGTTGCGCACGTTCCGCTTGAGATGACGGGCAGATGAGTGGGCAGCCCGGCTCGGTGTGTCGCGGCGCAGAGGGCCCTTCAGGGATGTGATTGGCTGCCAGGGCTCCGGGCTACGCAGCGCCTTCCCCAACGCACGACCACACACGTCGCTGCATTGCTCTCTGTCCTCACACACACGAGCGCTGCCGTGGAGTTATTGGGCTGGAGGGCAGCAGGGTGGGATGAGAGATGGGCCCGTGGAGGGGGCGGCGGAGGGACCGGGCGGACTGGCATGACGGGCTGTGTGGTACTTTTCTTGGGGGGCGACGGCTTGTGTCTTTCTTTGCATCGCGAGGTCGTGAGCGTTGGTGCTTCCTTCCTCGAAGGGCCTGGTGCTGTGGTGCTTTCCGACTTCAAGGCGCGGCTGCTTCCTGCGGTGTCTTGGTTTGTACACTGCATGTCTCTCTTACGACCCGTCTAGTACCTTTAATTGAGCGCGCTTCTTCCTATATATGGGACTTTTCCTCCTGTCTTTCTCGAGTCGAGCTTGAACACTGCCGCTGCGGAGCTACACTACGGCCTTGAGACTGTACAGTCGTTTTGTTGAGCATCGCCACCATCCGTGGAGTACTACCCAACAAGCAAGAGATATACAGGGTACATACGTTGAAGAGCTGGGTGGTGAGTAAGAGGCAGACTTGGGTTTCTGTGCATGGGACCCAAATCCATGCCCGACCTTGAAAGAGGAACAACGAGGCTGACATCCTTAGACTCGAAGGTCGCCAGCCAGCGACATCGCGCATGGACTCGGAGCCGCAATGTTCTTGTACGACATAGTCGTTCACGATATCACTGTCGAATACCCCAGACAAGAACATCCGAGGTGACAGCGCGCGATATCCAGGACAAACAGCCCGAGCCCTAAGTGAGAGACCATCAATTTGAAGCGGTCTGCGGCCACAAACGCCCGTGACGGCGGAAGCTCAGCAGACATGGCGACGTACTCGCATTCACCGCGTTTACACGCGGTCAATCCAACGACGCCCGTACACTCACCACACCACTCCGTCCACAGCTCCTCCTCCTCTCGTCTTTCCGTCCGCAACCTTACCCTCCACGAGTACCGCAAACAACAAAACTCGCCCGCGTCGCAAGCTACTCCGCCTGGCAGAACTCTACGGAGGAAGCCCGCGGCGTCTGGGCTGAAGGAGACTGAGAGCGCGCCGTCGGTCTCGAGGACACCACTTCCATTGTCGCGAGCGCCGCCTCGACCTTTACACCTATCTCAGTCGGTACGTAAGCTTCTTGCTATCTACACTTTTACACAACTCTTCTTCGGCATGTTTTGCTCTCGAAAACTCAAACAAGATAATCTCGAGTCGTTGGCCGCGTTTGCTGCTGTAGAAACATCAACTGACGAACTTTCAGACCCACTCATTGTTTACGTATCAACAGCTTCCGCCGTCTCCTCCGCACCAGGACGACCTGTCTGCAGACAATCTCTTTCGGTCACAATCTGCAGGGCCGAGCGCGCAAAACATCGAAGCTACGAAAAAGCGTGAGTTCAAGCCGATAAAAAGGCTACCAAAACCGTTGTCCACTTCGGGACGCGGTCCCCTGCCCATTTCTCCTGCACCTCTTGCCTCTGTGACTTCAAATCAACCGCGACTTTCTCCTTTGAAATCGACGTCGTTTCCATCGTTCGAAGATTCGACAATCAACGACGACTCTCAGCCGACACCTTTGTCGTTTTCCCTTTCGCGATTTCCGCAGCCACCGAACTTTTCGAACCCTACTCCAATCGACGAGGATGAAACACCGCGCTTGAACACCATCAGCTTCGTGTCAACAGCACCGGTGACACCCCCGGCGACACCCGCTGTAATTCACTACCGCGGTGCGTCGTTCGACCTCGTCAACCCGCACAGCTCGCTTGTTTTGGACAACATCGTAACGCCGTCGCGCGAGCGTGACTCGAGCGAATACTTGCCATTGCGCTCTTCCGAAGATCCGCTCTTATCTGAGGTACCTGCATTGTCCCTGTAACCCGCAAAACGCTGATGAGATCAGATGGCCCCGAAACGGCCGCTTTACGGAGACTTATCTTCGGCTTATGAATCTATAAGGTCAGGGAGAGGCGACAACCGCCCTCCACACCTCAATCTCGACTTCCCACTGCCTTCGACTCCAGGTGCACAGAGTCCAGGATCTTCTGCGTTCGATTCACCCGCCGTGAGCCCCCAATCCTATGCTACCGCCTCGCCTCCCTCAAATCGAAAGCCTGCGAGCGATTCTCGCTTTTCTCTAAAAAATCTCACCCGATCACTTACGCAGAGATTCTCCAAGGTCTCTGAGAAGGAACATGGACAAGAGCTGCAGGAGTTTTCCGAGTCTCGAGCCAGTCTTGCCTCGCCAAGCTTCGAGGGCGAGTTTCCTCGCCCGCTTGAGCGGAGTTATCATGTGGAGACTCCAAAGGCGTCCACAGTCCCAGAGGGACCAGCGACGCCTGTGTCGCCTTTGGGCCAGCCTGGTCATTTCACGAATCAGCAAAGCTCTCCAGCCTCAGTTGAGCAATCTCGTTACTATACACAGCGCGACTTCTCCGCACCTTTAACGTCTATGATACCGGATGATCCTTCAAGTCAGGCTGGACGAGCCAACGATGTTCGTCCGTGTGCATCCGAGTCGGACTTGGCGACGAGACCGTACTACGACGACTTTTCTTCGATATATCCGGGGTCATCGACCTACTCGAGTGAGAGTCGACGGCAATCAAAATTCGCTCAGATCCGTGCAAGCAACAGAGAGAGCAGTCCTTTCTACTGGGGTATAAGCGGAAATGCAGATGCGCTCGCGGAAGAATATAAGTCTGATGCCTTGCCACAATATCCGGCCTCGCGACGTACGAGTCGTCGCGTATCAAAGCCTCTTGATCAGGAGATGTTTCACGGCTCGATGCATCTGGAGCGCGAGAAGACGGATACCATAAGCAAATTCATCGACCAGTACAAAGGAAGCGATAGCGCCAGCGCCTCTCACCCTCTGCTCTACGGAAATCGTCCGGGGATAATCGATCATCAGCCCGCTCCAGCAGAACTTTACAGTGATGCGGCGCGATCCAAGCGAACAAATACGACGGGACTCATATCTGGCACTGGCCAATTTCAATTCGACTTCAATCAGCCAGGATCTAGCAATGATGATAAGACGTCAGTCCCGCCTGTAGAAGTAGGACGTGCTACCTTCGCAACTCATCCTGGCCTACCGCCGTCTGTCCCAGCTCCCTTGGCTCCTGCATTCCAATATGACGAGGATTTCGAGTCACCGAAGCTTTCTGGTCCCTCAGATAGCTCGTCTCAGTCCCCGTCTTATGACGACACTCGAGTCCTTCTTGAGGTTCCTTCACCACCTATTCAACCGGCATCATCTTCTTATTCTCAGCCCGGCATCACGTCGACTCCTCCTGAGGCCATGGAGCAGGCCGAAGAGGTATTCTCCGATACAAGTGGTCGACAGCAGTCCGAAGCAATCCCAGCTATGTGGTCAAAGCGAGTGTCCAGTCACAATTTGCTGCGCAATAAGAGTAACTGCAAGCTCGACGACGAGGAAGAACAGCAGGATCCAGAGGAGTCATCCGAATTGATTGGGTACGAAGATGAGGAGCCTACCGATTGGGAGACTATGGACTACGGAACCCCGCGGCGCGGTGCCCGCGTGTCAGGTGTGTCAGTTGGCGAAAGCCTGGCAGACTACAGTAGCTCAGAGGGCAGTCACTCCAGCCGTGATAGCAAGGGCTTTTCTACAACGTTTCCTGTCTACGAAGACCCTCCCCTCGAGGCGGGTTCCTTCCAATATCGACACCCGCTACCTCTGCGCAACCCTTCGAATCCCCTCACTTCGTCTCCGCCACAGCTTTCGTCTACACTACAGCTTCCCGTCGGTGTCAGTCTGCCTGGTATGGTGCTCGGTAGGATCGTAACCCCTATGCAGTCGAGCCCGCCGGCTTCTTCAACACTTCCCACAGTCGACAGGAGAAGCACGAATGTGTATGGCAGCAGTCCTAGCCCGAAGGTGCATGCCAGCAGTCCCAACCCACGACAAAAGTATCTTCCCTACAAGCCCTGGACGAGTCCCTATGAAATGAGCGAGAAGGTGACCCAGGAGCTACTTGCATCAGGTCCAAATGATGAAATTTTGTATGAGGAAGAGGACACACATCGGGATGGCACGCGCTCCTCGGATGACGATCCATGTTCAATGCAACCCATGCGCATCAGCCTCCCCAGTGCGGATACGATGGACGTTGCGAGTAGTGATCCTAATACTCCCCGCGACCGTGAGAACTCTTTCGACAAGCTCACGGTAATCGGACGCAAGGGCAATCTGACTGGCACTCCTCATGGAACAGGAATGAAGGATGCTGGCAGCAGCGTAGCTGATAACAGCAGTCCTGGAGCCATCCTGGACTCAACTCCGCTCGCATCCTCTACACAAGAGCATACCGGGTATCGAATGTTCAAGTCTACTGCTGCTCAAATCGCCAATTCGCGCCCGGACGCCAGGTTTGGACTCGAGATCAATACTTCGAGCTCCAGCCTTGCAGATTCTGAGCGTCGTGGCAATGTCAACCGTGATATGCCAAGGGTGCATACACCACCTGATATGTACGAACGTACGCCTTCCCAGGCTACTCTTCATCAGGAGTCACCTTTCGCAAATCCCGAACGTCGAGCGAGTCGATTGTCACTACGATCTCCCATCACGCCCCGCGACCCACGTCGCCGAGGCAGTCGTGCTGCCGTTCCAGGGCAGACGAAGCTCAGGCAGATGGTGCTTGCTTCTAGTGCGGCAAAGCCGTCTTCAGAGGACAGGAGCGTACATGACTCTCGCATCTTTGGAACAGAGCATAGTGCGCGGCCGTCTACCAGCAATACCCACACGCCCCTGCGCCATGCCGCCAGTCGGCCGACATTGCGGACAGTGCTTGCATACGAAGAGTCTCCTCATCTTCTCTGTCCCGAGCGTGCTTTCAATCCTGTCGAAGAAGAGGCGCGGCGCAAATTTTCGTGGGCTATCTTTACGATTTTCTGTATTCTACCACCCGCGCTTATTCTCTATCGCTGGTATGGCGATCTGGTCATCGTCAACGTGACGAAGGGTCGGTTCTCTCACGTGTCGCCGGAACCCAAGAGGCTCGCACTCGGCGTGGGAATTGCTGTTAACGTCGGTATAACCGTGGGCATTCTTGTGCCTATCTTGATTGCGCATGCAGCTGGGACTTTGTGAGAAGCTCAGGTATGTGAAACGTCTGGTGAAGTGATAAATGTGTCTGACAACATTGTGAAGATCTTCGACGCAAATGTTTGGAATGATTTCTCCACGCCTCACAAGTCGCGCTGGGGCGATACGCCAGCAACGCGTCAACTGCTATCGGCGCAATGCTTTCCATTTTATTCCAATTGGCCAAAAGTTCCAAGAGCAGACCGATTCTAAATCATCCCTGGAACATGGGATCAATCGTACATTCGCTCGAAATTTCCTTTGTCGAAGCCTTGCATTGAGTCGGCGTTGAATCTTCCGAATTGGATGGGCAGCACTCTCCGCGGAGGCCCTTACGCGTAATGGTTGCTTACTCGGCATGGGAAGGAGCGTGGAGTTTTGTTTCCTGGACCTTTTCATCTTGATGCATATCTGGCTTTCGGTCCGACAGGCGTTTGATGCTTTGGCAGCTTTGGCAGCTTTTGCGGCTGAGCCAGGCCTGAGTGGGCATGATATGAGTTTATTTTCTGCTTCATACTTGTTTTAATAACTGATATTGATGGTTGCGGAAGGCAAGATAATGGACATTATGGGCGGATATCGTAATCAAGGAGGAGAATGCGTCGAAATGCGACGCCGAATCGCATGCTTTGTACACCCTTGTAAGAATTTCTCTCGGCCTACTCGTGCGGTGTCGCTTTTGGTGGAAGGCGCTGCTAAGCAGTTGGCAGGCACAGCAGTGCCACTCGGTAGGTGCGCACTGGGCCTTCATAAGGATTCCGTGACCTCAGGATAATCTGTCACACTTACTATCGCCTCACTTCACACCACTGCACATCACTTCCCTTCCGCGGTGCGGATACTTCACACAGGACAAGCACGGTGCGCTCCCTTTGGAATTGCATGACTTCTATCAAAGAGGAGGCTCTCGACTTCACGATATAGCGGCACGGCATCATCGGCGAAAGTGCGTGCGTGCGCGCAGGGCTGCTGGCGAACCGCTCGAGGGTCCACATGGTGCGTGCGATGCCATGTGCGCCCCGAGGGTCGTGTTTGTATGCTCGGGATCCTCGGCAGCGGCGAAAAGCTCTTACGACACATGATTTGTGCAGTGCTATACTGTGCACACGGGACAGCCGTGCACGAGAGTACGGCGAAGTCAACACACAACAGAATAGCGCGACCCAGGTTCCAGAGAGACTGGAGCCGGCGAAGCGATGATAGAATAGAGAGAAGATGAGGCTGCGTTGCCCGGCGAGCTTGACGTGGAGAGGATGTGGATACACATCGTGACTTATGTCGCGACACAAGCGGAGCCAGCGGAGCCCCTTTACCCCTATGCCGCCTTATGAAAACGCACGATCTCCAGACCTATCGATATGGAGTCATGCCACTAGGAGATGAGGCGCGACGATGCGCGAGGCGGGCAGAGCGGGTCTGGAGACGGCCTACCTCCTCCTGACCGCATAATTGCATCGCATCGCATTGTCCCATAGCGCAGCGCACCCCGCTCGCACCAGCCATCGATGGCGCGTCTGAACCCCAATCCTGCGCCTGCACCATCGCCCCGCGCATGCTCCGCTCCCGTTCCAGCTTCAGCCCGTCTGAAATCCACGTATACGCCCTCGTCGCCGACGTCATCACGCACCAAAGGCTCGCGGACGAGTTCAGGCGATGCGCGGGCTGGCGCAGAGCAGGATGAGAAGCGGGAGCAAACGCACGCATCGAGCCGAAGCCTATTGGACGAATGCAGAGAGGATAAACATCGGCCTAGACTTATTATCGCGCGTGTGAGCAGGGCCGCGGCGAACCTCACGCTCAGGAAGAGGAGAAGCCCGCAGAAGCAGGCCAGCGCGCCGGACCTGGCTAGGATATACCCCTTCTTGGAGAACGTCGTGGTTGTAGAGGTTCCAGACGATTCCGATTCGGATGCAGATTCAGAAAGGACGAAAGAAATTAGATATGAGAATGAGCATGGATGGGAAGCCTATATAGGCTGTGGCATAGGCGAAGAGAGCTCGCTGTTCGAGACGGAGATTGAGTGCCAGAAGCAAGAGGAAGAGGACGAGCAAACGTGTGACACCGAAAAGATTGGCTCAAATGGAAACAAATCCGAAGACGACGACGACGACGACGACGACGACGATAGTGCCTACGGAAGCTTCAACATTGAGGTTCCCGAAGCCGCATGTCCAAGTACGTTCGCTCACACTGTAACCAGGGAATGCGATCAATACTGACAATGCGCTCAACAGCATTCATCACACGAGAAGACTCTCACTGGACTTATGCCGCGATATGCGCATGGCGCGACAATGTCTGCGCGGGGTCGCCGTCGCCGCCGCCTTCCAAAGCGCTGCCGAGTATCACCGTGAGGAAGAGGCCTACGCCGAGGACGCCGGGGAAGAGCCCGGGGAAGCGGTTGTTGACATTTTGAGGGCGGAAGAAAGACGGAAAGAACAGAATAAAGAAGAAGTTTGAATGATTGATGGATTAGACACAGTCTGGTCGTCGCCCTTGATGTGGTATATTAACTTTACTTACAGAAAGTGGCGGGAGAGGTACCGTACGCATTCCCCGGCGTATTCATTCATGCCGAGACTGGCGTTGGAGGGACCGTGAGAACAGAGCATCGACTCTGCAGTCGAACCAGAGATGCACATGTGCCCACAACTAGGATGTGATGCCGTGGAGCGATGCGGCACGATGCGACAAGAAACCTTCTCCGCCGCTGCAAACCAGGATCAGTAGTGAACGTGTCTGTCAGACTTTATCATCGCCAAGCACACAGGAAACATCCGCCTTCTCTCCCCTGGCATGTACAGCAGCACCGGCGTTCCATTTCCATATCACGATCGCGACAAACCCACCATAGCAAACCCAACCCGGCCACGAATCCCTGAGACGCTCACTGGATAGACGGCGTAAACCATCTAGAAACTCACCAGGGAGACGGCGTAACTCCTGTTCCCATCCTCCCGAGTAGCCCCATCGAATCCATTCCACCGTATTCCTTGCATCGTATCTCAGCCTGTTCGCCAGTTCCCACTTTGCTGTCAACGCTACATCCCACCACCGGCTGGCATGAAGCCCACTGGCACACTGGCACGCAAAGATAGGCCAAGCACTATTCTTGGCGCCGAATGAAGGCTTCTGCATGGCAGCGTACGCTCCTGCAGCAACGCCCCGCGCAGCCGTAAAGGGATCCTCATCTACGTACGCGCCGGCCGTAAGTTTCTCCCCAAGGATGTCTGTCAAGAGGGCGTGAAGCTTGGGATCGCGGGCCGAGGCACCGGTGAGGATGAGGCGGTCGATGTGCGGCGGAGCCTTAGGACCCAAGAATCTTGATCGAACGACAGAGGTATCTGGAATGTTGTCATCATCGTCTCGAATGACGGGAACGTGATGTGCTTGGATTTTTTCAAGATCTGGAGGAGAGTTTTCATGCTGGTGACTGGGAGATATGTCTCCTTCGTCTGGATCTTCATCTTCGTCCGCTGTTGAACCGTCGTCGGATGATTCGGGCTCAGCGTGCAGACGGGCGTCCAGCGCCGCCCATGTGCTGTCTGCGTCTTCAAAGACGACCGGGGCCGCCAGCCAGCGCGGCACAGCTCGTACGCGCTCCTTTTCTTTTCCCAGTGTCTCCGGATCGGTCTGGATCTTGGCACCCCACGGAACCTTCGCATCCTGTTCTCCCCCGACCCAGAAGCGCGCCGTGTTGAAACCGTGCGGTTCGTAGTGCACCACTAGCACCGTCCACGCCTTCTCGTCGTCCGCGGGCAGCGGCTCCATATGCGCAATCTGCGCATCTACGATGGGAAAGAGGGAGTGGCTCGCGACATCGTCGACTTCGTATCTGGAAGAAGGCAAGCACCCCCGAGATCGGTACTTCTCTCCACGGGTCACACGCACGTTTGCCAGACCCACGCTTTCTAGCGCTATGGCGGCTACCTGGCGCAACGGACCGCGCTCCACGTCGTCGACGACGAGCGCGGCGAAGCAGATACGTGTGCCGAGGTGGGCTTCCACTTCTGCCTTCAGCGCGGCAATGAGAGGGCGGACGGCGAGGACGGCGGGAGCAAGACAGGAGAGCGGCGTGGGGATGAGATCGGGGAGTTCAATTTGCATAGTATAGATGAAGTCGCAGAAGCGTGTGCGAGGGCGGGCCTGCGAGAGGGAGGCGGCGTTGCGCATGAAGGCCGCATAGGCAGGCGAGCCGGGGATGCGCGCGATATTGATTGTAGACCCATTTTTGTCGTAGATGGAGGCGAGTCTGTATTGCCATGAGGTATTGCATAGCAAGACTGAGCTTGGAGGTTACGCACCCGCTCTCCGGCACCAAATGAAATGCTACGCCCACTGTCCCTCCCTCGCGTTTCCCCCACTTGCGCTCCAGCGCCGGATGTGCAGCTGCATGTCACTCGTCAGCCTTACGCTCACGTCAAGGGAGCGCACCTCGGACCAGTCCGTTAGGATGAAAATTCAACCCGACTCACCAGTCCGAGGCGCTTGCGTGGGGATAATCACCGCGAGAACGATGGCCGCGAAGAGCACGGCCCAGGCGTAGACTTGCTTGGGGGACCAGCGAGGCGGGGGACGGGCGGTGGTGCGGGGGCGGGGGCGGAGGAGCGCGTGGGGTCTGCGGGTGCGTGCAGATGACATTGCTCGGATGGCGTTTGGAGATGTGGTGTGGTGGAGATGGACGTCGGAATGCGGGGTTGAGATAGTAGCTAGATGATGTGATGCGGCGTGGCGTTTTGGTTGGGGGTGGGAAAGTATGCGTTGACCGGGTGTGAGACTGACGATGCTACATAGCGGAAAAGAGAAGGTTCTATATGTGAGATGCTAGGCTGCCGTCTTCAAGAAACTGTGTTTCGAGATTGTTCTCGAACCTTCGCATTCGACTCTGACTGCTGCGCATGGATGGCATGTGTTGAGGTGTTGATGCGATGTGGCCCCAAGCGGACAAGGCAGCCGCCCAGACTGCCGTGCGTGCTTGCAGACACGTCGACTGAAGAGTATTAGAGTCATATTCTGTGAATGGACACGGTATCGAATGGAGCTTCTGGCATGACGTTGAAGAAGGTAGTTAGACAGTACTGAGAGGAGTAATGTGTGTGGGAATATATCCTGTGATTAGCGTAGTTGGTAGATTATCGTAAAGATAGTTCGTCATTAAGTCTCGTCCGCAACGACCACAATTCGCGACAGCATCACGCGCCAAGATTCCAGCAAATGGCGATCGAAAACGCTTTTACTTGTTTCTTTACTGAGGCCGTCAATCGTGGTGCTGTATCTACCTGCCTCGCAGCGCAGCTCCGCTCCGCTCAGTATGGTACCAACCCACCCGCATGCCTAACCAACAGGGTACCCAGGTGCTCAGGTCCAAACCTAGTACCTGCGTCCATACCCGCCCTCCTCGCCATACTGCTGCCTCCGCTCGCCATACTCGTCCTCGTCGCGGCGGCCATAACCTTCAGACTCCCCTCCGAAGCCTCCCGGTGGGGGAGGGCGCCCGCCGTAGCTCTCAGAGCCATACGAAGGCTGCTCTTGACGGCCGTAGCTGGAGGACTCCTGGCGCCCGTACTCAGACTTGCCGTAGCCAGACTGTTCCTGGCGTCCATAACTAGCTCCGCCGCCGGAAGAGTAAGAGTCGCCGCCGTAGCTGGACTGCGATTGCTCCTGTCGACCGCCGTAGCCTCCGCCGCCAGAGTTATACGAGTCGCCGCCATAGCTTGACTGCTCCTGGCGCCCGTATCCGGACTGTTCCTGACGGCCGTAGGAAGACTGCTCCTGGCGTCCGTAGCCGCTGCTCTCCTCACGACGGGGCTCCTCGCCGTACCTTCGCTCCTCGCCGTAGCCGCCGCTCGCGCCTGAGTAGCCGCCCGAGTGCTGTTTGGGGCTGCCGTGGCGCTTGTGCTCTCCTGAACGCCGCTTGTAAGCATCGTCGCCAGAGCGCTCGTCATCACTACCCTGCTTGTATTTCTTCTTCTCCTCCTTTTCGCGACGCTTGCGCTCCTTCCTTGCGCGCTTCTCGTAGTCGTCTTCGTCGTTTGAGTCCTCGTCTTCAGACTTCTTACCGTACTTTTTGGTCTTCCTATATAAGAGGTTAGAAGATGTGGGGTACATTTGACGGGGAGGGATCTTACTTCTTCTCTTCCTTGTAGTATTCTCCCTCGCGATCGAAGCCTTCGCGAGACTCTTCGATGCGAGTTTGGCCACCGCTCTCATAGCGGCGCTCCTCGTGTCGCTCGTAGCCGCCTGAGCCACCATAGCTGCTTGTCTCGACGCGTTGCTCGTAACCGTACGATCCGCCGCTCGTATCCTGCTCGTGGCGAGAGTACTCCTCGCGGCGTCCACCACCAGGGTATTGCGTCTGCTCGTAGGAGGCCTGCCCATAGCGCTCAGAGTCGTCGCGAGAGCTCTTCTTGTGGTGGCCAGACTCAGAGTAAGACTGGGTGTATGAACCATCGTCACCATACTTCTTTTCCTTCTTGCTCTGCTTCTCGTCATCTCCGAATGCACCTCCAAGGAGAGAACCACCGATGCCACCAACAAGGCCTCCAACAAGGCCACCGAGAGCGCCACCGCCGACGGCCTCGCTGGCCAGCTTTCCGGCCTGGTTGCCGATCTGCTGGGCTTGGGCATTGCCTCCACCACTCTTACCTCCGAAGGAGAAGTCATTGGCCATGCCGAGCGGCTTGCAGCATCCGTGGCCAGAGTCCTTCGGGCCTTCCTTGTGGTTCAAGCCTTGCTGGACACCTTCGCGGCTAAGCTGCCTGAGGAGTTGACGCTGGCCATCTCCTTTCTCTTCCCACCACTGCCTGACAGTGTTGAACATGACGTTACGGCCCTGCTCGACACGACGGTCCCGGTGAGTAAGCTGCGCAGGGTGATGGAATACAGCTTGAATTATGGTGTCAATGGTCTGCTCCGGGTCGGCTTCGCCATCCCAGCAGGCAACGACCTGAGGGACTGCCCACTTCAGGACTTCAGACGCAACTCTTCCAGCGGGCTCGTTCAGCAAGTTGCTGAAGTGATCCTTGGAAAGCATACTGTGAGTAGGATCGGTCGAGTCATCGTCGTTGAAGACAATGTGCTGCTTCTCGCGCGAGCTGGCAATGACCTCGCTGGAACCAGTCTCGAGCTCCGTCTTGACCTGAGAGATGATGGGTACAACGAAAGGAGCAAGTAGACTGAACACAAAGATGTTGACTTGCTCCTGGAGCTGCTCGATGAGCTCGGGGAGGACTGGGATGTTCTCCATGAACTCTGAGATGGACTGCATGATTTCATCGTGGAACTCCATGATGGGGTAGATCTGCTTCACGAGTGCATCCAGCTGCTGGGTAAACTCCTCCGGCTCCTTGGGGCTAATGTGCATGTTGTCCATCTTGGCTGCTTGCGCGTTTGCCTCGAGCTCGTCAGCCTTTCCGGCTTGGTCCTTGTCACCAAAGATGCCGCTGGGCAACTTTGCGAGGAGATCCTTGATGGCGCTCTTGTTCTGCTTGCGGTCGGCGTCGTTGATGGCGCCTTCGAGCTCTTGAAGTTCAGACTGCGTGGCCTTGTCGGTGATTTCTCCGCACACGGAGTGCAAGAAGTCAACACCACCAAAGGTTCCAGTAATGATAGGATAGACGGGGTTGCGCACGCCCTCGATCTGAAACCTGGCGTTCCTGCCTACGTGCGGGAAGACATCGCGAGCACCGAGTTCGATTAGACAGAGCTCGGTGTAGTTGGAGTGGGCCGAGTAGTCCTCGAGACAGTGCGTAGCCGTTCCGAGGAGTCGCAGGGCTTCGTAGAAGTCTGGTCCACGGCCGCCAGAACGCCGTCCAAGGTCGATGCAGCGGCGGAGCAGGTCGCGGACCATGCCAGCTGACGTTGTGATGCCCAGGTCCTCCGATGCAATGTAGTTCTTCAGGCCGGTGCGCTCATCGACGGCCAGCTCGCGCCTCTCATCGACGGGCCCGCGTAGTCGGCGGTCGTAGTCGCGCGCATCGAGGTTGTCGGCGTAGTCCTGCAACGATGAGCAAGGTCGACATTCAGGACGCAGTCTTCGCGTACCTTGGGGTTGTCAATGTGCTCCTCGGGGCGGTAGCACCCCAGCCTGTCCCTGGTAACCTCAAACTCCTTTGTCCCGTAGCCAAAGCTCAGGAAGCCCAGGACCCAGAGCAGGATGCGAATCGCCTCGGCCGACACCATCTTGACGGTGCCGACATCGACGGCCTGCGAGTAATCACGCAGCCAATTGCCAAAGTAGACCCTCTTGACGTCCATCTTGCTGAACTTCTTGCCCGTGCGAGACGAGATGAGCAGCGTGAGCAGCGTGTCCTCGATGTCTCCATGGCGCCAATTCTGCCCCTCGATCTTGCTCAGGCTGGCGATGTTGCCTGCGCCAAACGCCGCCGTCGGGCGCGCCCAGAGCACGAGAAGGATGAGGCATGGCAGCCACATGTCGCTGAATGCGAGCTGGCGAGGCATTTTGCAGGCGGGGGAAGCGGAGCTCCTGCCTTCAAGCTGCGCAAATTGTAGAACGCGGTTCCAGGAGTGGGGAGTATCAATACACGAATAGAGAGTGCGCCAGGTGAGAGAGTGTTGCAGGCCAGACAGTGTAGGAGCAGCGTGTAGCAATAGGGGTCTGATCAGTTGTTGTTGATCAGTTGACGCAACGTCTGTTTCAGCTCTCAGAGGCTGCCCTGCTGCCCCGCAACGCCATGACATAAGGAGGGGTGTCTTGGCCTGCGCACAGCCACGATACGTGGCGTAACATCGAATCCTGAGAGATTTTCAGACCGTCAGGCGCACGAAATCTTGTTCGGACTTCCCAACAGGTCTTGCTTCAGGGACCTTTGGACCCTGAAGTGACGGCAGGTTTGGAGTGCTGCTAGAGCCGTCAAGACCCAAACTAGGGCCGATCGAACCTCGGGTCAATTGGGAGCCTCCAAGTTCGAACCCAATCACGTGTGAATACTGAGCCCTGAGGATGGTAGTCCACTCGTCAATTAAATGAACAACACCAGCATGTGAGAGCGTTCTAGACATCGACGCATGTCAAGCGCGATGACAAGCTGGGCTAAGGCACCTACCCAAGCTGAAAAACATCCCTGAGTAAATCGCAAACACGGGCTTGCCGATTTTGCCTCGACTCTGCCCAATTTGCGTGAGCCGAAGGGTGGCTTGCTGCCGACATGCAAGTGTAGATACCTGCTCACCGCTCAAACCCTTACGAACCATGTCTTAACAACTTTGCTAGACCCATATCCCAAGTCTGATTATCAGCGGCGATGATGCCCTTGCGCCCGCAAATTCTCCGCCCACACCCCCAAGAATAGCATATGTACGGACAAGTCGAAATAGGTCATTTGCGCATAGCGAGCCGCGCAATCAATGCCTGACGTTGCCGTCCGAAGTACCCGTTTCCCCACTGCAGGTCGCTGCACCTCTTCAAAAACAGCTCCAGCGTTACATGGAGGGGACGTACTCCACAATTGACAGGACACATTCGCTAATCGGGGCGAGTTGTCATATGCATTATGGAAGCTGCAAGGAGGCACATCAAGCCGTCGCGGCGGGAGGAACGGGATTCGCGGGAGATATCGGGCAGGAGACGCCGTTACACGCAATGGGGCAGGCCGCGCACATGACAGCGGTTGTAGAAGTCGAACTAAGGATGCACTGCGCGATTAAGCGCCGTGTTGAGTAGCATCAGCACACCAGGTGTCGCGCGGGTACTGGCTTTGACAGGTCAGTAACAGTCGCACTTTGCGGAGCATGAAAGCGACGAGTATTCGCTGGGGGTGTGCACACGGTCTCACACGCATGGCCTGACACTGTGACTACTGCCGTCAGTGCCAGTCACCGTGGTAAGTTTAGAACTGTCAAAAATTGGTGCTGCTTCGTTTCTGCGCCCAGCCGCGAGTGGCAGAACGCCGACCCACGTTTTCTGTACGACGCCTACTTGAGCATGAGAGATCCCTTTCGGTAAACACGTCGTTGGCAGGTCCGCTTCGTGCTACATGTACCCGCAATGCATTGTAACGTGACTCTCAACGGTGGGGAATATGGATGCTGTACCACCGTCGCCAAAAGAACACCGCGCTAGCGCTTGCTTGCATTTTGACAGCAGGTACAAAGTTTCGTGCGGCGCACTGACAGCTGCACGTCGGCTAACCCACTGTTCCAATCCCCCCTTTTGCAGCAGGTGGAGCGTTTGCGTACATATTCCACCATTGTGCCATGATCGGTGACAGCAAAGCAGGGCATTCTGGCGGGTGATGCGTTCCAGGGATTGTTTTGCTGTCTTGGTAGCGCGCACCCGGGCTAGCTGCTTGGTGGCAGCATCATACAAGGAACGTCCAGAAGCTTGGGTAGACGAACTCGTCTTCGAAGATGCGCCTGACTTGTTCCAGGACGAAAGACTCCACTTTGCCCACATTTTTCAGGACCTGTCCGCCCTCTCCCCGCCCTCCGATCTCGCTCTCAACTTTGATATGCTCCAACAGACCACCGACCCGTAGGCGTTGAGCCTGACTCTGCGCCTCGGATTGTACAGAGTCAAGGCCGGTTTCGCTTCCAATCAGCGCATCAGCATCTTCCGGAGACAAGAAACAGAAATGAGCCCGCTTCTTGATGTACGCCAGGATAGCAACGCCATCAAAGGTTAGCCCGGTGATGTTCAGCTTGAGCGGTATGCCAACGAAGCTTGGCATAGGGTAGTCTAACAGGATTTCTGCAGTCAGCGACATCTTGATATCGCCCGAGTACTGAACGTGTGACACTACTTGGATGTCTTCGGGGCTCTTCTCGCGCATACGGGGAATAGATGGAGATGGTGTCCTGTCGTAGCTGTCATCTGATGATTGATTCGATGCTAGTGAGTTCCGTCGGTCTGCATCATGCTGATGTTGGGAGGACGGCCGTGTGGTGGGGTCTGGGTTCGACTGCGGAGTCAGGGTGAGCGAGTTCATGGACGGAGCGTGGCGAAGACGCATATTGGTTGGGGTGGTCGGTCGCATGTTGTTAAAGTCCGACCAACCTTGGAGCTGTGCACCGGCGACGGCAGCAAGAGGCGTAGTTGTCCCAGATAGGCCCGCCCCCAATGGTAGATGAAAATAGTTCATGTTAGAAGTTCCTCCGGGGATGCCAGGTGTGGAGGCCCTAGGGATGAACGGGCTCCCCAGCTGTTCGACAGGCGCCAGTGTGGTGCGAAGGCCCGGGGTTCTGGTGTTTCCAAATGGCAGCGCTAGATGTGATCGATGCGGAGGAAGTTGTTCTACCTGAGGCAATGTCTTTTCCGCCCCTCCCCTTCGCTCCTTCGTCGGGCGGGTTTGAGGGCCGTTGCTAGCCCCGCGATCGTCAGGTGCCTGCGCATCTTCGTCATCGTCTGGGTAATCTTCATCCTCCTCGTAAAAGTCGGGAAGTGGATCGCAGATGTCTTTGATCTCAATCTCGGGCGGAATGCTCCCAAAATCGAATGAATGGACGTGGACGGAGCGAATGAAACGCGGCAGCGTCACCTGCTGGAATCGGTCATGAATGAAAGCGCGGATCGACTCCGCCCGCAAAGAACCATCTGAGCCGCCCGTCAGCTTCTCCCAGTTGATATCAATCGACATCGATCTTCGGTACGGGTTGTTGTGGGTAAATTCGAAGCTGAAGTCACGCTTACCGGTCCGCGCCAAGTATCAAGCCGAACCGGGCGCTGCGCTCGGACCAGCAGTCACACCTATGTACTTTCCTTGCACACCAACACTAACCATGGTTATAATAGCGATTGCCGCAACGCCAACCGCACTTCATGCAGTCAGAATCACGACGCCAGGGCTCTTTGCGGAAAATCTACCTCAAGCTCAAGTCTGCGTTCGTGGACCGCTTGAAATTATAACACGTTTCCCCACCACAACCCGCGGACGGCGTGTTCGAAAGCATGTCGAAGACGTCGGGCTTCTAGACCTGCCCTAAATAGAACGTTGAGCAGAGCCGCATAGCGTCGATGCATATGCTTGATCATGCACGCCATCGCGAAGAAGCATCGCTACTGCAAAGCGTCACAGTCCAGCGCATACATACAGCAGCCCCTCGCAACAAGCGAACAAGCCTTGCAAGAGCGTCCAGGGCTAAACGGCGATAGACGCACGTGCATACACGGTAAGGCGAGTATATTAGCCAAGACGGACAAGGGTGAAGAAGCGCGCTGTGTGCGCATCCAAGTCCGCTGCTGCTTGACGCAAATTACGCGCACCATATAGTTATATAAATATACACACCAGATCACGACATCGCAGCCCACTCGCTTATGGATGCCATTCTTGAGCTTGATTAAAGCGAGTGTTGGATACTGTGCAGGGTTGTGAGTGACTGGGTGTGGAAGGCTGTGGTATATCGATGATGAATATACCTTGATACGCGGCTATATGAAGATGGCCTCCATTCCATCTACAGGCCACGCTGCGACATCACATGTAAACCTATCAGGGTGCGCACGTCGGCCATGAGACTACTGTGGGTTAGCTGGGTCGCGTTGAGTAAGAAGTCCGGTCTCAGGTCACGACAATACATTGTCGGCAGTGCATAGCACAGGGCGTTGTCATGTACGTGGCTTACGGGCCGACCCCGGGCACTGCGGGAGGATCACGGGGGTGAGACGAATAGCCGCAATCTGACAGCCATCCTGTGATTTCCTGGTCGACAGCGACGCATCTGATATCCTGGCGGCATGAGGGGGGGGCGTGGTGCTGTCGCTGCATACACACTTATCGCGGCCTATCACCCCACTGGGCGTACACCACCTCGCCTGTCTGGAGCCCAGAGCGTCACGGATGCAATGGTTAGACAAGTTGAACAATATCGGCGGCGAATAAGGCTGAAGCGCCGAGCGGGTGACTTGCGAAACTGGTTTCGAGGTGTGGTGTTAGCCGTGTAGCTCTGGACCGAGGCGACAGGAATACACGGCTTCTGGTCATCTGGAGGCGGCCTGGGCAACGCTGCCGTACCGATTGGCGAACAACGGTGCTGCATCCGCGCCCTGTAGATATCCGTCACCGATTGGCAGATCACCTTGAGGTGATTGGTCCGACGCAGACAAAATGCACTCAACTCTACAACAAGCAAGGAGAGCTGAAGTGGAATTGGCGTGCCATAGCGACTTGGTCTCTCGGGACACGGTCGCCGGCGCGCACGTATTAATTGAGTCGCTTTTCTGTCTGATCCGCAGCCCCGCCTTGGCGTCACGGAGGGGTGTCGAAACATGTCGCAGAATAGGAAATAGAGTTGAAGGAAATAAGGCGGCCGTTTCGCCCATCTGCCCGCAGGTCGGAACAGAACCCATGAAATAAAACTCGTAGAGATGGAGGAAAACACGATGAGTAATACAAGACGAGAAGTGCGATGCAAGGCTGGACCCGTCCGTAACGCCAGACTCACGATGTCCTAGGCCCCGTAAATTCCAATGCCAGCCAACGCCTGTGCTTTTGTCTCCGTGACGCCGTGAAATGCAGCCTGCCGGCCGGCCGCGAGCCGCGAGGCTCTGCGCTGGCCGGAGGCGTTGTAGATGTCGGGCCGCGCTGCTAACAGCGCAGGATGCAAGTCCGCTGAGGACACCCTATTGCGTGCCACCGGCCGTCATGGGGATGTCGTCCGGATAAAGTCTGCGGTGGCACGCTGAGGCGTGTGTCAGAGAGCGGTGGCACGTTGTGCAACGAGGGGCGCGTACCTGCTAGTGGTCGCAGCGGTCACATTTTTCGTCGTGCTTGACGTTCTTGACCTTGTTTTCGCCGCAATTCGCAGACCGCGAGGCCGCGCAGGGAGCCTTCTCCGACACGACATGGCCGCAGGCGTACGTGTGGTGGATTCTCGTGCACATGCTGGCGGGTGTTGGGGGTTCGGGCTGCTGCTATCGATTGGCGAGCGACGCGGGCCGGTGATGTGATATGGCTGCCGGCGAGGGCAGCGGCGGGCGACGAGGGCGGATGGCGGGGTGCGCTGATTGGCGGGGCACAAGAGTGCAGGTGCGGTGCGGCGTCGCAGAGGGGAGGCAGAGGGTCCGGCGCTGGACAGTGACGGGCGACGGCGAAGGTGAAGGCGAAGGCAGCGGGCGGAGGTGGCAGCAGGTACTGCTACAGGCACAGGGCGGCAGCAGAGGTAGAGGTACCTCGTGTGCGTATATGGCACCGGCGCGAGGTGCGAGGAATTAGAAGTGGGAGAATGCAGGGAGGGCTTGCGCTTAGGGGGCGTGGGGTGTTTTATAACGCTGAGGCCTTTACGCTCCGAGCAGACGGGCCTCTTTTGCACGCCGTTAATTACTGCTGCCGTTTTGTTGCAACATGGAAGAGCTGCGGACAGCCGTTGCAAGTGCTAATCCATGGGCCTGATCCCTGTCCCCTGTTCCTTGTCCAGCCCGCATGGGCAGCTGTGTTGGTGACGGGCTAGGGTCGCTAGGGACGGCGAATGGGCGCGGCTTCGAGCGGCGTGCAGTCGACGCCAGCAGACGCCATGCACCGTGACCGCGAGCCCTCTCCGCCCAGCCAGGGCCGCGAGGCATCGCCTGAGAGGCACAGGCTGGCTGGCCGGCGCGCCTCCGCGCTGCCCATCACCGTCACCTGCCCGCCGCGACTGCTCTTGGGCGCCGCACCGCCTGTGGTTCGATGCCGGTAGCGCACATTAACCGCCATGGCAGATCCTGGGCCCCTCTGCCTCTCTAGCTCTACACTCGCGCCCAGGGCAGTCAGCCCTGCGCTGGTACGTACAGCTCAGTACACGATGACGAGCCCTGTGCGACGCGTGCCGGCGCGCAGGTATATTGACAGCACCGAGCCTCGGGTGCCCGCGTCCACCGTGCTGCTGCAGCTGTTGAGGAGCGCGCCCGCGACGCTGCCCTCCTCATGGCCGCACAGCTGGTCCGCTCTGTGCCATGACCGTCACCCCATGGCCGCTCTGCTTGTGAGCGTCCGCACATGGCACCCCGGTCGGGCTGGGGCCTCCTTTCGAGCCTGAAGGGATCCACGACACACGACGCAAGCGTGCAGCAACGGGTGGCACATCGCGAACTTGCACCAAGTGCCGCCCTTGCGCTGGCATCCACTGATAGAGAGACAGCAACGACCGGACGCGGGACCATGGCCAGAGCATCGCCATGCGGAGATTCCAGGTCGTTTGCTTCGGCGGAGACGGCTCCATCATGCACCGTGGCCCAAGAGCTTGCCCTCTCGGGCTGCGAGTGGACTGATGCTTCGAGTCACGTCCACGACGAGTAGCTCACGCCTTCTGCAACTTGACCGGCTGCTCTGGCATCTGCCGGAGGATCCATGGTGTTGCCTTCGCCTTGTCGCCGCGAGCTGTAGACTATGCTCGCGCCGCCCGGTGCATCTTGCTGATGGAAGGATGGCAGATCATCGTGGAAGCAATTATTCCGTCTGCACATTGAGCGCACAAGTCGCGTCTTCTCATCAAACGGCGCGGCTTTCCCTCTTCGGGCGCTAGCGCGGCGGGCCGAGGAAGGCGCACGTCGATCGACTGTGCCTGCCATCTCGCAATGTGGATGCGCCAGGCTGCCCACGCCGTCTTCGCTTCGCTTGCATGCCGCCGTCCACTTTTCCTCTCGCAGCGCCCGTCTTCCGCGACGCCGTGGACGACATCTCTGGCGCTAGCTACGGACAGCCTGTCGTTTCATTATTCGTCTCCTCTTTCTTTATTCGACGCCCCGTCGCTTCAAGCTACTCCTCACAGCCTTCGCGCCGTCGCCTTCAATAGTCCATTCGTGGCACAGTTGCTGGGCCCGAGAACTGCCGATACTGTCTCAGCTCGCTGCGAAACGTTTCTGTATCTTTGTTGTTGCGCCGTTCGGTCTTTTCTCCCGCGATCAGACCGAGGCTCCGTAACCTGAGGTTTGATCGCCGTTCCCCACTGGATCCTCGTCTGTCTGTTTGTGCATAATGCGGGGTCCCGAGTAGTGTAATATGTGCGCTTTCTTAAACACAATGCAAGAGCGGGCTCGGAAAGACGCCTGTCACATGCGCTTGTCCTTGCCAGCCTGGAACGCGTTCTTGCTCTGACAACGCCAACCGCTCTGATAGTCTCAGTACTCCTAACAGCGCCTGGCTCAAACACGACGTGGACGACCCAGCAATACGCCGCGGAAGGTGCCACGACCCTGGGCATTGTCATCCGGGACCTCGGACACACGACATAGACGCGCAACTCTTCCAGAAAGACCTTTCCCAGCGGGAGACTGTACACCTTGCTCCATTGCGATCAGTTAGTCCTCCCACGCGGGATCCAAGAGCAACACGGGAACTGCGGATCCATCCAAAACGGCTTCTTGTCTCCACCCATGAATGGAGCAATACTCTCGTGTTTCCATGCACGGTGGATACAGTCATCTAATCTAAATTGTGTACCATCTCCTATTGCTAGACTATGGCGCGCATTCTTTCTTCCGTCTATGTTTTCGTTGAGAGCTCATTGCCTACCAGGTTCAATACAGCAGGTCACCGGCCGACAAAGGCCTGATGAAACGCGCCCTTCCAGCATTCCCCGGCCTTCACCTTCAAAGGCCATCGGGGTCGAGAATTCCACTCACGCTGGGAGATTGTTGGTGCTCTCCCATTCATCACACGTCAATGCATCTCGCGAACGGCCATGTCTCACTTGTCTGCGGCTTTCACTGGCCCATTGATTCTAGCAATTCAACGAAGCCTCATGCATCGAAGATCCATCTAACACCGTAGATAAAGTGCTCGGCGAATGGACGACAAATAGCAGCTTCTTCCGACTATGTGATCCTCCTTTACACGAGGTCATGGAGGGGTGCTTTCCAAGAAGGAACAGCCTTGGCGCGACTTCGGGATGGTGAACCCAGATGCTCTATTACGCGCTCATTCACTTGATGGTTGCCAGCCGCATTGTTCTCATCGTCCCATTCATGGCCCGTGCCCGCCCTCAATGGCAAGCTGCGCTCTATACCCCAGCAGATTCAATACCCGTAGAATCGCAACATCGTTGTGATTATCAGATGTGTGGCGTACAGGATAGTCGTTCGATATATCGACCGGTACCGCGAGTACCTGCATATCTACCAGGTGATTGGACACGGGCGGAGTTGGCCGTCAGCAACCGCATTCCAATCACCCCCTTGTCGTTCTCGTAGAAGTACTATGGATGTTTCTTAGTGTCTGTTGCTCAACAATCCTTCAGTCCAAGAAACGTGGCATGGTAATCTGCAAGGCTGACATATCGTGCGCAAGTAGAATCCTACAATGCCTCTTTACCGCGCGAGACACCGTGCGTAAGTCTGAGAAGCGACGGTTCTGCGCGTCGAAACCAACAAAGCGCTTGTCTCCCTACCTGTCTTGCACAATAGAGGTCTGGTTCAGCTCACAAAGGCTGGCTCAGCTAGCGCTAATCGCTCGCCTCTCCTGCGCCAAGCGTCCAATGCGGTAGGTTGATGCTATGCAGATGCACCTTGAGGCTTTACTATCACCGATGAAGCCCTTCTTAAGCGAATCTTGAGTTTCAGTTCTCGGATCACATTTTGTACCAACTTGCCGACAACGTTGCGGGTGTTGCCATGCGGCTTTTGCTCACGATGCTGTTGTCCGACTCGGAACAGGTGCCTACCGTAAGACTATGTTCCAACATACGCCCATGCAACGATGTCTGTGACCTGCTGCATATCGTAAGCGGGCATGAGTAGTTAACTTCAGCTTTCATGATGTGAAGTCTCAGGTTGATGGGGTCAAAGTCCAGATCAGGCATCCCATCGCCATCTCGTGCGCACCGCCCGGCGCCTCCCGTAGAACATACAACCTAACTACAAACTGCTTTTTGTGCGATTGACGCTTCCTCAGGGGGCATCTTCCGCATCCACGCATTGGACGCGACAGCGTAAACGTAGGTCGGGCCGTCTCGTACGTACACAAGCGTGAGCACAGCGGAAGGCTGCGGGAGATGCCCTGAATGGGGAATGTGTATTAGAGGGCTTGCCCACGGAAGACCGTTTGCGGTCTCGACCGATCGGATATGCGGCCGTAGCATGTCGACCGGCTGTCATAGCGCCGAACGTTGTCGGATATTTTCTCAACGGCTATCGCGAGGGTGGCATGGCTCAAACTTCAATTGCGGTTCCGAGGGCGCTTTAAGCGATGCCGAGCCGTCTTTCCACCTCAACTGATTCGCAAACTCTGTCTTGTCTTTTCAATCACTTGTTTTATTGAGCAACAGGCTCGTATTTCCGATTCTTCGAAGCTCAGAGGGAGCGCTACGTCAAGCCACCAGGTCTGTGCCGATGACTATGCCCCATATCTAGATTGACCACGTGAGGTTATCACGTGACTCTCGGCCACTCTCGGCATTTCTGTGATGATGATTCCAACTACACCTCATAGTGAACTCATTGTACGATCCATCCCTACGCTATGGCGGGAGACTGCTGGAAAAGGGCCCGCCCCTTCGTCAATAGCTACTGACTGCTCGCCGTCTTCGCCGTTGAGACGGCAGACAGATACGGGAGCAATCGTGCAGGCCAATCAATGCCTCACTGAAAGAACTCTCGCCGGTAACGCACCAACTTTGATTCGCGGCTCGTCATTCAGATGTAAAATGTACAGGGGCAAATCTTGTATACCATGCACGAACACTCCCATTTCTCAGCATCGAATTCTCGATTCTGGCATGGGCGACCCGCATTAGCCATTAGTGCGACTCCGCAATTCAGATCATCGAGCAACTCCCGATCATTGCTCGTCATCATTAAATCGCCTATTGGTCAGTAGAGCAGGGGCGCGTCCGAAAATGCGCCAAAGAACGGCTACGGGTACCCTTTCATGCGCACGCGTGTCAACGTCGCGTAGCGGTGTGGGCAAATGTACTGTTCGTACAATAAAATGATGTCATGACGACGACAGCTTCGATTGTTTATATACGATCCCCGCCACGGCCGTTTTCGCAGCATCCTTATTGGAACTGTTTCCAATCAACTCCCACACACAATCAGAACATGGCTTCCAGCATTCTATCGCAAGGCAAAGAGAAGATCCAAGAAGCAATGAGCGCAAAGGACACAAAGGCTGCCCAGTTGGCCGCCAACACCAAAGATGTTCACGACCCGAGCTACAGGATAACGTCCGACTGGGGCACCAAGCAGTCCAACACAGACGACTGGTTGAAGGTCGCTACCGAGGACAAGACCGGTCCTATGTTGTTGGAAGATGGATTTTCACGCGAAAAGGTTCGTCGCCACCCACATCCAACAACTGCAGATTGGTTTTCTTACAATCACAGATCCAACGCTTCGATCACGAGCGTATTCCCGAACGTGTTGTCCATGCACGAGGTGTCGGTGCCTTCGGAAAGTTCACCCTCTTTGAGTCTGCTGCAGACGTCACATCCGCCAAGGTCCTCACGGATACGTCCCGCGAGACACCCGTATTCGTTCGATTCTCCACTGTGCTTGGTAGCCGTGGCTCCGCAGACACCGTCCGCGATGTCCGCGGGTTCGCTGTCAAGCACTACACAGAGGAGGGTAATTGGGATATTGTTGGAAACAACATTCCCGTCTTTTTCATCCAGGATGCTTTGAAGTTCCCCGATGTCATTCACGCCGGTAAGCCCGAGCCTCACAACGAGATTCCTCAGGCACAATCAGCACACAACAACTTTTGGGACTTCCAATACCTGCACCCTGAGACCACCCACATGCAATTCTGGACCATGTCGGATCGTTCCATTCCCCGTTCACTCCGTATGATGCAGGGGTTTGGTGTCAACACCTTCACACTCATCAACGACAAGGGTGAGAGAAACTTCGTCAAGTTCCATTACACGCCTGAGCTCGGTGTTCACAGTCTTGTCTGGGACGAGGCCCTGAAGATTGCTGGGCAAGATCCCGATTTCCACCGCAAGGATCTCTACACTGCTATCGAGAGTGGCGCATACCCCAAATGGAAATTCGGTATCCAGTGCATCCCCGAAGGCAAGGAGGACGACTTCGACTTCGACATTCTTGATGCTACCAAGGTGTGGCCCGAGGAGTTGGTTCCCATTCGATACATTGGTGAGCTTGAGCTCAACCGCAACCCCGACGAATATTTCACACAGACTGAGCAGGTCGCATTTGCCACTGGTCACCTTGTGCCCGGTATTGGCTTCAGTGATGACCCTCTCCTTCAAGGCCGTAACTTCTCTTACCAAGACACCCAGCTTAGCCGACTCGGCATTAACTGGGAGGAGTTGCCCATCAACAAACCCGTCTGCCCCGTCATGAACCACAACCGAGACGGCGCTATGCGGCACACAATAACCAAGGGCACTGTCAACTACTGGCCCAATCGTTTTCAGTCTGTGCCTCCTGCCACCAAGGAGGAGGGCGGATATGTCGACTTCGAGGAGAAGGTTGTTGGTATCAAAACCCGTCTCCGCAGTAAGAAGTTCCAGGAGCATAAGAATCAGGCCGAGCTTTTCTACAACTCGCTGTCCGAGCCTGAGAAGACTCACATGATGAATGCATTCGCCTTCGAGCTCGACCACTGCGACGATCCCATCGTCTACGAGCGCATGACCCAGCGTATTGCAGAGATAGATTTCGACCTCGCGAAGTCTGTTGCCGAGATGGTTGGTGGTGAGCCTCCCAAGGAGTCTAACCGTCCCAAGCACAACAAGAAAGCCAAGGGTCTTTCGCAGCTCGATTTCGCTCCTGCGAAGCCCACCATCGCCACTCGCATGATTGCCATCATGATCGCAGACGGTTACGACGCCATCGCCTACAACGGCATCAAGGCTGCTCTCATGGCTGCCGGCGCCCTCCCCTTTACCATCGCGCCCCGCCGTAACAAAATCTTCGCCGCCGGTGAGGACAAGTCCACCGGCAAGGGCGTTGTTGCCGACCACCACCTCGAGGGCATGCGCTCGACCATGTTCGACTCGGTTTTCATCCCCGGTGGCGCTGAGTCCGTCGCCACGCTCCGCAAGAACGGTCGCGCCATCCACTGGGTGCGCGAGGCCTTTGGCCATCTTAAGGCTATTGGTGCCACCGGCGAGGGCGTCCAATTTGTCAAGGACGCGTGCGACCTGCCCGGCATGGAGTTTTCCACTTCCGGCGAGGTTGTCGACAGCTACGGCGTTGTCACTGCTAGCGAGGTCAGCCCACAGAGCTTCAAGGAGGCTATCCAAATGGCCAAGGGCGCGAAGGACTTCGTCGACGCGTATACTTTTGCCATCTCGCAGCACAAGAACTTTGACCGTGAGACTGCGGGTTTGAACGCTATGGTTGCGTACTAAGCGCGAGGGATCGAGGAAGTTGAAAAGCGAAAAGCATACGATACCAGAAGATTGATGTCTTCATGTTAGTTTAGTTCATAGCAGATACCAATTTAATGACTACCATTGACCAATGTCTGAATAGCTACATAGCCTGTGATCCTTTCCTACCTTATTTGTTATCTTACTTCCATCGAATCGCTCGCTGATGTCATATCCCGAAGTATTAGTCGCAGTAACGTGGATGACAGCAATAATCTGTCGAAGTTGGCGCCAGTCTCATGGCTTTCTTGCTCAGTTAGCTTGAAAAGACTAGATATATGATCGTATTATTCAAAACGACACGAACATTCCAAACTCAACGATAGAAAATAAAATGATGAAGAATGAAGCGGTTGTCTGCTATATGGAGCTTCTCTATCAATGACCTGCCAGACTTGGCGATACCCGTTGAGCCCATTTCCTCGAAGCCTCTTGGCAATAGTCGAATTTTACGGTGAGATCCTCAAGGATTCTCCGATGATCAAAAGAACGTCAAGTTTCTCGTATAATGGCCACCTTAGTACGACCAAAATCTCGACGGATCTTGAATTCGCCTCGCTGCGCCACGATAATAGATGATCTGGGGACTAGAATTCCCCGGGCCAAGATGCCAGCCCTAGTGCTCACCTGCTGTTCAGGGGTTAGAGGATTACTCTTGGCCCCCAAAGGTCGGAATGGCTACAAGGATGCTGGCAACTATACCTGATTCGTACAAAAGCGAAAGTTGATTGGCCTTTTGATGTTTGCTGCATGACTCTGGTCGACCATTTTTTATAGTATCTCATTACAGAATATGACTATAAAGAATGGCATGTCACTATGTTTCCACCGCATCTACTCCCCAACACATCAATCGTATTCTCTCACACTCCAATCATGAGACCCACCACTGTGTCCGCTTCCCTCCTTCTCCTCGGCACAGCCCTCGCTGTCCCAGAAGTCCAAGTCGTCCCCCGGTTTCCCGGCACCTGCACAGGCTACCCATCCATAAACCTCGGCTCAGGCGACCGCGCCCTCCCCTTCCAGATAATCGCCGACCAAGCCGACAACCCCACCGCCAACCTCCTCACACTCTATCCCCACGACACCACACTCAACGGCGCGCCCATCACCTACCTGGCCGTAAACCGCTGCACAGAATGCGCCGCCGCAAACACCATCCTGCAGTGCGAAAACGGGCTGGTCACGTCGTGGGGATATGAGTCGCCCGACATACGCATCTCGACAGCTGGGCTACCGTGGAGTGGGGAGGGATATACGGCGGGGATTTATCGGCATGTAATTGATGGAGTTGATCAGGGGCATAATTACTGGGGCGCGCAGAATAGGACGACGTGGGGATTCAAGGTGGCGGATGATGGGGCGCCCGAGCATTATATGGTGAGGTTGATGGGATTGGAAGGGGAGCCGACGGAAGCGGCATGGGAGCCGGAGTTTCTGGGGTTTGTGAGGGTGATCCAGCCGCATACGCCTTGAGGTATTGCTAGGAAGGGGAAAACAAGGAAGGAGTGAGAGACTAGGGGAGTGCGAGTTAGGTTTATTTCATGAGTGTTGGATTCCAAGCTTCACATTGTAGGGGCCGCAGCAGGAGTAAAAAAGTCCATGTACCATGATTGCAGCTGAAAGAAAGGTCAAGAACCGTCACAAAATTGTCCAGAAACATGTATGACTTGCGCACCGTCCTCTGCACGTTAGGGTTAATGTTGAGATCCTTTGGGTTCCTACACCTTAGTTGAATTGTAAGGAACAAACTTAGTCAACCCCTTGGGAGCCGTGAGCCAGCCGCAGCTGTAAGCTTTTGAATGTCAGTGGCTACCGAGAGCTCCAGGTATCAAGTTTCAAGTGCTATTGATCGTTGTTCCTGGTGTTCATGGCGAGCATTGACGCTATGGTACTTCTAGAACGGTCAGGAAATTAGGTGTATTTGTCAAACATTCTTTTCATCAAAGTTCCGGCAAGCATTGGCTGTCTGATACCTGGCCATGGTCCTTCCTCTCGTACGCGGGTCTTTTTCTGTGGAAATCCGCTTTAGAGGTCTTGTCATGTAACAAAAGCCCGATTTACTTCCCATTATGACCATTATCTGTCAAGACATCAATTCCAAGGGAAGTGGCATGATTTGAGAACACAAAATGGCACTACCACAAGACATGAAGATGGAAGACTCGACAGTGAGACAACGACTGAGTGCAACCTACATCGAGATGCCAACCCTTATAATGGGCACCCCTTGGGCCCGGCTGATGGGTGCACAGGCGTATATGTACTTTGCTCGTAGATACCGCCACGCGTTCCACCCTGGCTTAGGAAGAACAGGCAACGCCAGAACCCGCAACTGTGCAATCAACAGAGAGAAAACAGTTTTATTGTATGAAATCCAAAACAAGAGCGACTCCGCATGCCACTAAAATGACAACCCTCCGAAGATGAGAACCAGAGCCCGTTAGACGGCTGTCCGAAACCAAGAAATCACGAATCGTGTACCTGCTATAGAATTATATTACGGGAGGTATTTGGTACTGGTGGGGACCTCCAGGTTGCGTGCGCGCACTCGTAGTATTTCGCATCGCATCATGGATGGAGTTGCCGTCCAGTAAGGATAGGGAAAAGTCCAATGAGCAAACAGAGTTAATAATTGCAGGCGATAGTGTGAGTAGCTCCCGAGCGTAGCGGATGCTGCGATTGCGATAGCACCTAATGGTGGGAACACCTTCGTTGCTCGCGCTTTCCGGGATCCAGAGAGGTAATTAGACCATCGCGGGAGGACGCTACATCCTAGGCAGCGTCTTCATCCTCCTGCTGACCTGCCCTCTTCAGTTTCTTCTGCTCCTTCTTGAACTGCTTCTGGCTCTTGGCCTCCTCTTCCTTCTTCTGCTTGCCGCCTTGGGATGCCTTGCGGGGGTCAACTCCAATGGTCTTCGCGTTCAGCTTCTCTTCGATCTTCTGGCGCTCGGCCTTCTTCAACTCCTCAGGCGTGGGTTCTGGGACTGCCTCTGGCTGCTCGAAGATCTTGGCCCGCCGCTTGAGGTTGAATATTTCGTGCACCAAGGTACCATTGGCCTCAAATTCGGCTTCGGCTTCATCCTGTATTTTCTGGATCTCGACGGCTCGCTGATCAGGCTGCTCAGCCTCTGCGTGCTGGCGTTCGATCCCCTCCACCTCCCAGGGATACAGGATGCCGCTATTCGTGAGAGGCTCGTTGTTCTTCAAGCGGACAAAGATTTCGTTCCGGCCACGACCGTACACGTGGCGATGTGTCGTGCAACCGCCAGATGGGAAGGTGAATATGTTACCACATGCTCCGCGGATGGTGGCCGACCACCTCTTGACCTGCTGACAGAAGGCGTGCCTATATTTGATTAGATAGCGCTTATAGTATGAGGTGGTAAACAGACAGAGCTAGGGAGTGCTCACTTTGGCGCGTGTGGGTAACCTTCTCGGAAGTGGGCCCGAGTCTTTGCGGTGCGGTCGCCAGCATGATGCCCCGAACTCATGGTGTCCCCGGTATAGATATTTTTGGTCTGTGTGTCGAAGAGACAGCTCCGAAATCCGGGACCATACATCCTGTCAAAGGCAGTGTACCTGTCCACCTCGGCGTCTAGGTCCTCGTACTTGATATCCTTGGCCCACTCTCTGTCATCACGGAACCTGCCGACCTCGTCTCTCTCGAGGTTGGTCAGAGTGGGCGACCTCCTGGGCGCCATCGCGGTTGGAAGATCGGCAAGGCCTTTGGCGGCTAGGTGAATGTTAGCTTGCTCGACTAAACCGATTCGACGACCGCTGTCGTCTTGGTCAATTATGCTTACGTATTGCCTTTCTGTGCGAGATGGAATTGAACTTTGCGTGTTTGTTCGCTGGTCGTGGTGAGGTGGTGATAATAAGCGCAGAGTGAGGCAGTTCGTTGACACGGAAACAGTGGGAGTAGACTGTAGATTAGGTGAGGTAATGCGTGCGTTCGAGCGTTTCCACGGTTTTTAAAGTGTCTGGCGGAGGGCGGAGCCCTCTTTGTGAAACTTGAATCAAAAAGTTGAATGTTGCAGAGGCCATGGGACTCGCGCCCAGCTTCTCAACTTGTAAGGGTACACCAGGTGCTGCATCACTCTCAGCATATTTCTTTGCTGCTCGATTCATTGACATATCCGTGCATCTCAAGCTACTGCCCATGTTTTTGGCGTTCACGCCTACCCCCCTATCGGTGCTATAAAGACACCCTCCCTGTACTTCCTTGAAGACCACACCACACCACAGCCCTGAGACACAGCGTACACCGAGGTTTATACCTGGAAAAGTAGTGGAAGGCTAGGCCCACACGCTTGCTACAGGCCAATTTGTCACAAGGTTCTTCAAGTCGCAAATTATAGACAGAGTAAGCCAGAAAACTCGCCCCATCGTATTTGACGATCAACTGAGGTGGATAAGATCTCCATCTTGCACTCAAGTCTCCAAAAATTTCCTAGAAATCTTGACAAGACATCAGCGAGGGGCAGACTTGTCTCCAAAGTCTAAGACACCTCGAAGACAATCGCTTTGAGACTTCTTCGGTAACTCTTCGCTCACAATAAAGAAATGATATCAAATCTTAGTACACGTCGACAATGAAGGGTCTTGATTTGTTACGGAGAGAGACGACTGATAATGAGAGAAGCGACACTGGTAACTCAACATCGACAACTACTCGCGATGAGCGTCAAGACTTCAATGCGATGCGCGCGATCCCAGAACAGAACTATAAAGCCTGCCTGGTTGCAATCAAATCCTTGCAAAATCGCCATGGTGATTCGATCACCGCTGAGGACTGCAGGGTGCTTGGCAAAAGCGAAGGCGCCTACCACATCGTTGTATCTATTGGCGTGACCCGAAAGGGAAAATTGGAACGCTACATGTTCCGAGTACCGGCGACTGGTACAGCAGCGCTTTGGCAGCAAGAGGATCAATATATGACGGAGCGAGAGGTTGAGCTTCTTCGACAGATTCGCCGTAATACAAACGTCCCTGTTCCGAATGTTATCGACTACGTCGCGGAGCTTCTCAACATTCTCGGTGCACCTTGGATGCTTATGGATATACTTCCAGGCAACAGTGCATACCGTATTTGGTTTGATCAACCCTCCGAGGAGCCAAAATACTATCGCGCAGATGTTCCGTCCCCTGCAACACACCAAAAGCGGGTAACCTTTCTTAAGTCACTAGCAGGTCACATGGTAAAGCTTCTAGCTTTGGAATTCGATCATATCGGCATACCTGAGGTCCGGATCACCCACAATATCCAGGATCTTGTCGCTCGCAAGAAATACAACGCTACTATAGGACCTTCGTTTCATTGGAACTCTAGAACGGATGCTTTCAAAGTTGAAATGCGCGGCCCTTTCGAGTCTACGCAAGATTACCTCGAGTATGGGGCTCCGCGACTGGATCGACCAGGAAATTCTCCAAGACGAGGACCAGGATGACTGCGACGATCCAAACGAAGATCCTGTGATGCTCATGGGAGTCCGCCAAATACTTCAGATCATCTTCAATTGCACGGTATTCAATCCCGACCGTGACCCCGAGAAGTTTCTTATCCACCATATTGACCTAGACCTGCAGAATATTCCGACAGACAAGGATGGCGTCGTCACGGGGATCATCGACTGGGACGGTGCTTATGCGGGACCTCGCTACATTGGACCTACAGCAACACCTAGATTCCTCCGCCGCGACTGGTTCCCAAATGAATGTGGCCCGAGCCTGGAGCACGCACCCTTCATGAGCTTCATGACAGAGCATTACCGCAACATCTACGCTGCGGCTGTTCATGCGGCAGGCAAAGAGCAAAGCATCGATGACATTGCCACCCGATATACAGCCAAGTCCGCGCTATATCAAGCCATATTCGCGGCAATGTATGAAGGTGGCCATCCTCTGGATATCACTAGCAAGGTTTTGCGCTCCCTTCCCGGGTTCCGGGTGCAACCTTACCAATTCAATAAGCTGTTAGGGAAAGGTTGGCCTGCCGCTGTGGAATATCTAAACCCCGAGATCCCAAAGCTCTTCGCGGCCGAGCTCCCAGGATTCTACTCACGCTGGACTACAAGCGCCAAGGGCTTCGGATTATTCAGCATTTCACTAGAGAAAAGGTGCATAAGCAGCACATGCCAACACTCCAGCAGCAAGAAGTTCTCTCTTTCCATGCACTCGTCCGGGATTAGTCCAAAAGTACCCTTCCGCGATGGCGTCTGTAGCCACAAGCTTCTCTGCCTCTCTGCCTCTCTGATCGCAAGCAATTGCAGCTCCTTTTCGTCCAGACCATGGAACTCGGGTGCCACTGTCGATGGGTCCGAGTGTGGGAAGAAAACGCTTTGGATGTGTCCGTGGGCGCTCAGCCAGACGCCGGGAAATCGGAGGTATCCGTGATCCAGGAAATCGCGGAGGAGTTCACATAGCAGGATGAAGAGCTGCAGCCGCACGAGTCCGGGGTAGTGCGTGACTTGCTTTAAGACCGACCCCTGCATGTGCACGGCGAAGCGATCCCAGAGCTTGATCGTGGCGATAAAGTCCCGCATGCTGATAGTGTCAACAGCCAACGGTGCGGAGTACAAGCGGATGCTGAAGACGGATGGGTCGAAGTCGAGCCAACTGCCACGCCCGTCGAAAAGGCCTTTGAAGACTTTGAAAGTGGTGAAGACAACTCCACCATGGGCACTGCGGTTTTGTAGAAGATTGAAATGTAGGACGTATAGCCTGGAGGAACTCAACCACCACGTCGTCACATCACCCGCCTCGCGATGCAACAACTAGGACACTACTATCCCAACATCATCTCATCTTTTACCCTAGGATCAATACAATTTTCTACATGTTCATCTCTCGTACTGCCTCATTTTGCAGCCTTCCCACATGCGCTTGCATATACAATGCCTCGACACCAGCTTCCTTTGGTTACACTGTGTTGAGCTAGGAGGAGTTTCGTGGTGGGAGGTCTTTTGATGCAATGCCTTGTGCGGGGAGTGAGAAGTAGCTGAGATTTGGTGCAGGTGCTCAATCATGATGGAGAGGCGAGATTGAGAATGCAGTGCTGATGGAACGCACACATTGGAGGGGACAGGCTATGAAGAAGATGTCCAACAGACGGAGAACGGCAGAGCCTGATATGGTGCCCGTATCTGTCTCTTCTGTTGTATGCGCCGAGGAAGTGTTTGAGGAGATATTCCGGCCGTCTTTGTGTTTGTGAAGTATGTTGTTGCCTTCAATGGCAGATACGTAAGTTCTGCTAGAAGATAGAGATAGCGACAGGATTATCTACTACCAGATTAATCTAACTTATCCTCTCTCGTCTAGCTAATCGTGTGACGACCATTTAACCGCAAATAGAAACAATCTACCCTATTGTAATTACCACACTGTTCAAACACGCATGGGTATAAAACGTCTCAGAACGTCGCACATAAAGCAAACTAAACGATCCTTCCCCTACTAGTCACTCTCTCCATCCTGATCTCGCCGTCTTCCTCCTCTGCCTCATCTACGCCCTCTCCCGGCAAAAGCACCGCCTTATCAATTGCAACCGGCAACCCCCGATGCCTTCCCCTGATCATCACCGCGCACAATACCAACTTACTCAGGATATGCAGACTTCCACTGAAGCTAAAGTCCGAGCCAGGGAAGCCAACGGAAATGCCAACGCACCCATAGGCCGAGACAGTCTCAAAGACAACGTTGAAGACGCTGTATTCGGCAGGGTGGGCCTTGAAGTTCGACCCCTCTATGATCATGATGAGGAAGATGGCGAGGACGACGGACCAGAGGTCGTGCGCGAGCTGGGCGCGGAGTTGTTGGCGGACGAAGTAGCTCTTCGTGTGCTCGAATGCTTCTCCAGTGACTTTTCTGCGGAGCTTGCCGAGGATGCCGGCGGAGGACGCCTGGCTGGCGGCGTATCCCGGGTCGTCGGTGTAGATGCCGAGGCTGCGCTCCTCGTAGACGTTGCTGTTGCGCATGGTGATGACGACGGGGTAGACGGAGATGTACATCATGATTACGTAGAGGACCTGGAGGGCGATGGGAAGGAGAGCGATGGTCACGACGTAGAATCCCCCACTGCGGACGGCGAGGGCTTGGAAGAGGCCGTCGAGGACTTCATAGCCTGTGGATAGGTCTCCTGTGATATCGGTGTTACCAATGTTGAGAATCTCGAAGGCTGCCCAGTCAACGCCGTTGAGACAAATGAGACACGCGAGGAGCCACCAGGTGTGGCGGGAAGGGAACATGTTGGTATAGCAGCGGCGTGGGTGGTCGAGCAGGAACTGCAGAGTCTTGCGGAAGTCCTCGAAGCGTTCGCATTTGGGAACCAATTTAAGAGATGTCCAGACGATGAGGCGGAGAAAGATGGGGTATGCTGTGTTGCCGGCAAGGATGAGCAGGCCCATCGTGATCAGCATGTAGGCAGACTTCTGGAAGGCCACCATGTTTGCGTCGAGGAGCGACATGCCGGAATTGTTGAACGCGGACACGGCGTTGAAGGCGCCCACCCACCAAGGATTGAGACCGTTCGCTCGTGTGACCATGGGCTTGTTCATAGCGACGTAGGCCCCCAGCCCGATGCAGCCGAAGAGCTGGAAAAGAATGTAGTATGCGGGTACGAGCCATGAGAGCAAGATGACAGCACGATACTCATAGCCGCCAAGTTGCTCCCGTTCTTCTTCGGTCAAGTGATGAAATTGCGAGTTCCGGGACAATATACCAGAAGATTCAAACGGTAGGTTGTTGTTGGACAGCACTGTTGCAACATCGGACTGAAAGTCGCCTGTGGCAGCAGAGGCGCTTGTTTGTGGAAGTCGTTTGATGTTGGCATGTGGTTCTGCGCCTACACCCATCATAAAACGATTGAGATGACGTTGGGTCGAGGAGGACTCCTGTGCACGATGATACACGTCCGGTTCGAAAGTTATGTGGGCTGGTGCACCACTGTCTTGGCTCGAAGCTGGCTCGACGCGAATTTCGTCACCGGCATCACTGCGATACGTGATGAGATGCGGCCGTGACGAAGAAGAGAGCTGCGCCTGCTCTGCGGGCCTGGTGTCAATGTCGGCAACAATGGAGCCCTCATCTGTATCCCCGACCATAGGCTTGGGATGGTCATCAACTGGGGAGCGATGGTCGTCTTGGCTGTCTCTTGCGCCCGATCTGGAGAGACTCCTCGATATGCGCCGTGCAAGAGACCTTGAGCCTCGTCTGGGACGGTCTGACCTTCGTCGGCGTCGCTCTGCCACATACTCAAATCGATGCTCGAACGCTCTCATCCGGACTTGAACCACGAAAGCCGAGACGAAGATGGCAGAGCCAATCATTATGAGGAAGAAGAGCATGAATTGCTGAAAGGTGTTCAAGCTCGACAAGTTGACGGTGTTGAGGCCTGCCTCGGTCATAGCGCTTGTTACCAAGAAGAGAGAGTCGGTGTAGCTGACACTCCTAGGTGGGGTCGAAGCGGCATAGAAGATGCCGCTGGAGACCAGGCATGTTCCAACGAAGTAAATGTAGTGGAGGGTTATGAAGTTCAGCGAGGGCATCCAGCCGTGCACAATACGCCTAGCCCGACGGAGGGGACCAGCGTTGGGAACACGTGAGAGCAGCATGCTGGCACAAGGGGTGTGTAAACGGTTCAAGGCGACGAGAGGATGTCGATGGCCGTTCGAAACGTCAACAGCACACTCAAGGGTCGCCGCCCACGGTCCGTTTGCTGGTGTAACATGGAGAGGAAGCAGATCTCGACGCGAAAAATTTACGCTGCAGGCTCACCGCTAGGATTAGCCGGGTTCATAACGGCATTGCATGGACCAGAGCCTGATCGCGGGCGAGGGTAGGACCGCGGGCATGATGGAGGAATACGAGTGGCTAAAGTCTACACGATGCACCTGCCCGACAAAGGGAGTGCGCGCTCCGTCGTCCCTTCTGCGAGCGTGAGGACGCCAACGGCAAGAGCGATGGTGATGTGGCGGTGCATCGCTTTCCAGAACTCTGTCGAATGAGGGTGGGGCTGTTCGCCACAGAGGCGCACAGGCGGGCGAATGAGAGCGGCGCCTGCGCCACGGAGGCGGGCGCGACGTGATTGGGCATTCCGCTTTTCCTGGCGTATCTGACGTATTGCAATTAAGCGCGCGACATTCCCAGTTGCATGTTGTAGACTTAGCAGGCCATAGGAGAAGGGCCCGTCTTGCGGCACACGCGCCCAGACGACACTACACTGCCCCCTTCTTTCCTCTCCCAGAGTCCCTGGACGTGCTATTTAACCAAACCTGAGTGCATCTCTGTCCCTTGTCTGCACCCACTGCTCGCATCCGCGCCCCTCTGCATACCCCGCCAGCGCTACTTCCTCAGACCGTCACCATGAGCCACGGCGACCCCCGACTGCTCTACTCGATTGGCGGCATCAGAGCCTACCACATCCAGCAGGGCGAGGAGCAGCCCCTCACGCCTTCGGGCGCGCAGACGCTGTCGCTGCTGATGGTGCCCACGAACTCGCCCTTCGCCGACCTCAGCAACGTGAACCCCCAGAACGAAGCGCCCGAGGAGGACTTCTACCTCCACCTGAACCTGCCTCCCGAGCTCGATCTCCCGCTGCCCGCGACCACGCAGATCTACCACCAGCCGCCGCGCAGCTACCTTATCCCGCGATGGGACCTGGGCCCCGACAGCGGCGCCTTCACGCGCATCGAGTTCCCACCACTCGGCAGTGGACCCAACACGGTCACACAGGAGGATATCGACACGTTCGAGACGATTCTCGCGCAGTGCACCGCCTTCCTCGAGCGCGCCCAGCCTCCACAGGCCAGTCGTGATTCCAAGGGCGCCGCCAAGCCTTACAACCCCGCCGACTACGCGCCCGGCGAGGGATACGCTGGGGGATCCGGCAGGCACGGCGAGATCGTGCTCGTCGACGAAGAGAATGGCAGCGTGGTCGGCGAGTTGAGCAACGGAGCCCAGATCATCGAAGACCCGCGGCTGCAGCAGGGCTCCAAGAGTGAGTTGCACGATCCTTGTCCTGACCGCTGCGCAGTACTGACACGCCCAGCAGACCCCGTGGAGATTGTCGTCTCTGCCGACGGTAAGAAGATCAAGGTCCAGCCCGTGTCGGAGGACTACCTCGGCATGGCCCGCCTGCCCGCGTATAAGAATTCCAGCATCGTGCAGAACTCCGCCGCCGCCTCGCGCCTCATCGTCACAGGCTCGACCTACATCAGCAATGCCCTGATCTCCGGTGCCGAGACCTTCATGAACAAGACGAAGCCGGCCGAGAAGCCTATGGTCTTCAAGACAACTACGCACGAGCGCGTCCGCAAGATCAACACCCTCACAACCAGCGTGGCAGGGCTCTCCTCGAAGACGGTCGGCGCCATCACGAAGCATGCGCAGAACTTCACCGCAGGCGCGCTGGGCAAGGGTCCACGATCGGCCAAGGCAGTGCTGCCCGATGGCACGCCAAACCCGGATTACAAGCCTGGTCTACTCAACAAGTCCATGATAGCATTCTCCACTGTTGCGGACGGCATCGCCCACGGCGGCAAGACCCTGCTGACGCACAGCGGTGCTGCAGCCACCGCAGCCATCGGCCACAAGTACGGCGCAGAGGCCGGCGGAATCGCTGGAGACCTGGCTGGTGGTGTCAAGAACGTGGGTCTCGTATACATCGACGTGACTGGCGTCTCCCGCAGGGCCATTATCACGTCCGTGGCCAAGGGCATGGTGGTCGGCAAAGTGCGCGACAAGAAGGGCGTCGAGCAAACGGTGCTGGTCGGAGGCGGTGATGGCGGTGTCATCAACGAGGCAGACCTCATCCAAGGGAAGGGTGCCGAGAACAATGGCATTCCGCCTGGACAGAGCAGCGCCGGCCCCGCGGCGACGATTGGCTATGGCAACGCTGCACCGCCGAGCTACAATGCTACCGGTATAGGAGAGTCTCTTGAAGGACAGCCCGCATACTACCCGCGCGAAAAGCGATGAAGCAACGAGCTATGAGGCACGACAGTTACGACCTGGTTTTCACGGCAGTGTTAGTTAGCAACGGGTCTCAGCATGCGAAACATGCGGCACAGGATTGGTAGCTAGCTTTTCATCAGACGCCTGCTTTAGCACAGATAGATATCCCCTTTGGCGACGAGCAAAACCATCTTTCCATCTGCTATAGTACTCGATATAAGGAATCCCCCTAGGATCTTGACAACATCTCCTCTTGCATTCCTAATACACAGTCGTGAAACCGGATGAACAGGCTGCCCACCCCCAAACCCGCAACAGCTATGTCTACCGAAATCCCACCCACGTACCTGCCATATCGTCACAGGTATACATGCCTAGCCCACCCTATCTTCCGAAAGTACTCAAACACAAAAACTCGCGCCGGCCTCCCTCCAGGCCCCTTCCTTGCACCCTAGCAGCAAGCAAGACCCTTGCCCACGTGCAAGGCGCTATCCCTACGCATGTGATACATGACATGACGTGGCAGGCGAAATGTTTTGTTTCCTCGCCTGCTGGCTGCGAAACGCGCGGAGCAGCGTGGACTAGGCCGTGTTGAAGCCCCGGTGCATGAGATGTCAGTGTGATATCCTATACCCGGGTTGGTGGCATGCAGGACATGGTGTCTTGCATGTATAACGGCGGTGCATGAATGGGCTAGGGGGGTGATCGGACGCCATGCTATAGTATGGGTGGGTATTTGCGATCTCGACACACGACATAGGGAAGCCTGGTATATGCTGAGGAGGAGGGTGGGAGGGTGAGCGCATCCAAGCGAGGATGTATCCGCGGGGCACGTGAGGATGCATTGGCATACCATTGCTGGGATGAGGCAGCATGGGAAAGGACGATCCCGAGGCTGCGGGGGTACGATGCACGCTCGCGCTGCCCTTCGCAATTGTGTGAATTCAAGGTCTTGACACAACTTGGCATGTCCAGTGCAGGTATTTCATCCGCGCAAATACCCGCGGCGCGCGCCCCGTCGTGGACGGCGGCATGGGCTTGTCGTCGGCTGCAAGAGAGGATACCAAGCCCGCGGGAAACAAATCGGGCATCTCCTCTCATCTCATGCCCTGCGCATTTGCGATCGTGCTACACGACATGGAAGACGCAGGTATACGCCGAGGCAGCGACTTCTTTCATCCAAGCGAATACGCCCACGGACGAGCGCCAGCCTCCAGTCGAGCGATTCCGAGCCCGCGGCACGCCCATCGGACATTTCGTTCCATCTCACCTCGCTCCCTTCCCCGGCAAGTTCAGGCCTGCCACACCGTACCTGCCCGGTGGGTGTCGCTCGTGTCGTAGAATAGCCTGCGGACCACCCAACTCCGTAGCTCCCCAGCGTCGCGGTCGCGGGCATCGGAGGATTCCGCGAGTAAGTGCGCCGCAGCTGCATCGCTTCGTCTCCGGGGCGCTGGATGGGGGCTGCAAAGCTCATCGGTGAGCACGAGTTTAATCGCACGCCCGTGTAACACGGGAGGCGGCTGCGCTGGCCACACGGGGTGGTGAGCGGAGGCGTGAGCTGAACGTCAAAGGTCCGGTGGACGGTTCAGCTTGCATGCGCGTAATAATAAGACTTATGTAAAGCCGCCACGTGCGCTCCAGTCGTGCCTCACGGGGACGGCGGCGCTGGCCAACCGCGCAGGCGCACGTGGGACGCGCTGATGGGGTTCGCGAAATGTCTGAGGTGTCGCGTGCGGAGTGGAAGCCGGAGAAGGAGGGGATGGCAGCGCCGGTGTGGTGGGAGCACCATGGGCTGTCTCTTAAAAGGTGGACGTGGCCGCGAGCTGGCGGGGGTTGCGTGGCATGCTCTCCTTCGACGACGTCGCGTGCACATACAGTTCTCTGCACACGGCGCCCGTGTACTTTTCGGAAGTACTTCTTTTGCATAGCATACCTCTCCGTCTCCCACACATTGAGCGGAGCCAGCGTCCTCACGTCGCACCGTCGTTCGTTTCTCAGCGAGGAAACCAATCATGTTCGTCCTCGAAGCGTGCTCCCTCCTCCTCATCACAGGCCTCAAACTCGCAGCCCTAGGCCTGACCTTCAAGTGGCTCGCACGGTACTAAACTCTTCCACGTGCCAGCTGAGCAGCGAGCTGCCCCGCACTCCACGCCGCCATCCGGCCCGCTGTAGTCCTCATCAACAGCGCTGGTCGCGCACACTGCACTGCCCGAGTAGCACTCCCTGTCGTCCTCGCCCAACACCAGAGGAGAAGACCGGGCGATATCTGGGGTTGGGTCGTAGAGGGTGCCTGAATGACGCCATCTGCGGCTCAAACGCGACAGCAGTGAGGCGCGCGTAACCCCGCATCGCATCCCACCACCACAAGCACCAGCCGAAAGCGCTCCGAACATCGCCTTCCATCCCATCCCCTACGGTCCTACCATCTGCAAACTCGACGTCCGAGGTATCTAGAATCGCATTCGCTGCGCAACATGCCCGATCCAACCCCCACGCCCTTCACGGCCATCCCCATCCTCCCCCTCTCCCACGCCCTCAACCCTGCCACCAAGCCCGCCTTCCTCGCGGACCTGCGCGACGCCCTGCTCAACGTCGGCTTTCTCTACTTGAGCGAGACGGGCTTGCCAAAGGGGCTGGTCGACGACGTGGTGAGGGAGTGCAGGCGGTTCTTTGAGGAGCTGGAGATCGGGGAGAAGGAGGCGATTGAAATGAAGAACGAGAAGAGTTTTCTGGGCTGGAGTAGGGTGAGTCGAGCCTTTTCTTTAGCAGTTTGGGGTTGATGGATGGTGTGGGGTGGGGTGAGAATATAGAGAGTTCTTGATATCTACGTACTACCGTGTGCGGCGTAGAGCAAGAGATGGTATCCAAAAGCGATGCTATATGTGATGCAATGCAGCAGGAAAGATGCAAGTATTAATGCTTCGGAATGAGGCCGTAACGCGCAGTAAACGAATGCTGTAAACGAAAGGAAACGCATAACGCATCAAAGGACGTATACATACATGTCGCTGAACGAAAGAGTCGAGTCATGCGCGCAAGAAAAGGGACCAACGCCACCGCCAGATAGACGCAAACCAAACCAACGAGAGATAGTGGGTATCTTCTTTCGACCGGACCGGATCGTGTACTCATGAACGCTGCGACAAAGCCAAAGCAACCGAAAACGAGATTCTCCCTGCCATTACCACCACCGCCGCCGCCCCCCTTTTAAGATTAGTGCCGTGTATAGAGTAATGTAGATAGTAGAGATGAGATGAGCGTGCAGAAACAAAACAGACGGGCATGTGCTGACTGACGAAGCTCGACAACGAGACCACCGCCCTCAACACCGACCACCGCGAGCAACTCGACCTGTCGACTCCGCAACCGCTGCCGGGTCCAGACGCTCCATTGTACCACAACTTGCTCGCCCCGAACCAGTGGCCGTCATCTGCGCATCTTCCTGCATTCCGCTCCGTGTACGAGGAATACATGAGTCGCATGGGCAACATCTCCATGCTCTTCACCAGCCTGATCGCCGAGGCCATTGGGCTCCACCCCAACGCTTTCGACAGGTTCTTTGACAAGGACCAACAGCACAAGCTGAAGATCGTCAAGTACCCTGAAGTCGACGTGCCTGATCTGTCCGACGGAGCCAGCGAGATTGACAGGAAGAAGTGGGAGATCAAGCGGCAGGGCGTCGGCCCACACAAAGACAGCATGCTGACTTCGTATCTGTTGCAGGCGAGCGATCAGGCAGGGCTGCAGGCGCAGAACGCTCGCGGGGAATGGGTGGACTGCAAGCCGATTGCTGGGACGCTGGTTGTAGCCATTGGACAGGGCATGGAGGCGTTGACGGATGGCGTCTGTGCGTCCACCACGCACCGCGTGCTGAGCCCACGGAAGGGTCAAGGAGCGAGATACTCGGTTCCATTCTTCCAGGGTGTGAGCTACGACGCCCAATTCGAAGCCATGGATGTACCCGAGGAGGTGTTAAAGTTGAGAGACGAGGCTCGGAAAGCACGGAAGGATGATGTAGAGTTTACATTTGTCAAGGGCCGCTGGGGACATCTGGGTGAAGCGACGCTGATGAACCGGATCAAGTCGCATCCGGATGTCGGCGAGCGCTGGGTAAGTCTCGTCCCATGATCACCCCAGGTGTTGAATTGACGTCCGAGCAGTATCCTAAATTGCTGGCGCAGATCAGGGCGCAGCAGGCGGCGGCCTCGTGATTTCCATACCTGATCGCCGACCATAGTGAAAATCAATAAGCAATAGACTTTTGATCGCACCTCGGTAGCATCCCGAACAATTCGGTAATAGCTCGAGAGAATGTGATGACCATCAAGATGAGGCGACATACTGCTACTGGACCATCGTTGATGTGATGCAGTAATTGCTGTGGGGCCGTTGTTCTGGCAGCAGGTAACGCGAAGAGGTACGCGATGAAACAGGCTTGCCAAGCTCATTCGATAGCCCATGTGCCTTGAGCCGCTAGCGTTGGGCGACTACTCCAACACGATTGGAGATCTTCTTAAGTTCGTAAAAGTCGCCCGTGCGTCCGGTCGCAATTCGGTACAATAGCGGCTGCATGATTCCGCAACCAGGAATCCCAGGTAAAGGTGACAGGCACCAAAAAAGTCGACACGAGCTGTACACGAGGTCTGCGGAGTTCTTGGAAACGAGATGCAGGGATAGGGTACGCCACAAGCCCCGCTTTGGCAACCTCGCGAGCTTTCTCCGCTGATGCTCTTGCCAAGCGAAAGCAAGTTTCAGCATGTTGATCGTTGAAAGCTCATAACAGAGCACATGGAGGGGTAGCTTGAAGATCGCGGTCCAGGTCGAACACCAAGCTACGGCACAATCGCGTATGGTGTGCCTCGGCAGGGCGCTCCGATCTGGATTGTCGTTCTCCGGTGAAACGCCGGAGTAGCGCGGCGGCTTATCCGTTCCAGACATTCTCAGAGAGGGCGGGAGCACGTCTCTGAGAGCTTCTGGGGCCGTGCTATAGAGCAATCGGTGGTTCCAAATGCAGCCAGGCACTTCTTCGATGCAATGCAATGCAAGGTAAAGTCACAAGACGACCCGTCACCGCCTAGTTGAGAAGCGCTCCTTCACCGCCTCGTCCCCACTGTAACGGTGCGGGCGACAGCACCAAGAGCGATAGTAGAACCCTCGATCTAGTGCTCAACCTTCATGTGCGGCGGGAGATGATACATCATCTGGCCCTGTTCGTTGACCATGTGGGACTGTTGATGCGAGGCGGGAGCCATCATATGCATCTCTCCTGGGTGGCTGCTTTGGGGAACGTAACCGTGATGTGCAGGACTGGAGTATGAGTGCGGATGCTGACCGTGTCCGGCCGGTGATGCATTGTTCATTGGAACGCTCATCTGCCTGTGATAATCTGAGGAGTGGGCCGAAGGATTCGATGTCGGCGTATTATAACCACCGATCTGCATGGCTTGGGACGTGACGAGCGATGCATTCTCCAGAGGGTAGGACATGGCCCTAGTATTGTGATCCATTGAGTACGGGGTAGGATACGGCATGTTTCCAGATTCCACAGCATGCAAGGATGAATCTGGCACTGAAAGCGACACCGGGTGCTGGGAAGGGTGTGCGGATGGATGAGAGCTCCAATTTGTCGGGGGGTGCTCGACATGAGGCGAGGGTACATTAGGTGAGTAGGCGTGCTGCTGGTGCTGGGGCGGCTGAGGGTGCTGCTGCTGTTGCTGCCATGGCGCAGGTTGGGCCACCGGCGTCGTGGTAATCTCAGGCACAGAGTGGACGCTCCTGGCGGTTCCCGTTGAAGAACGACGCGCGTGACTCAATATTTGGATGCGATCGCTAGGCGACGGGGCGCCTCCCGTCGCAGCTATCAGGCCAGTCTGCTCATTGCCTGCTCAAGATGTCAGTATGAATAAGCTGGTTGGAAATTAAACACTACGAGTAAGCTATCGCCGTTTGGGAAGTGTCATGACCAAATGCATCAGACACAAAAAGCAACCACTCGGTTACCCTGAGACAGATAGCGGCCAAACGTCAAAAAGCAATAGGTCCCAGCGAACAACTGAACCGTGCCACCGGAAGAACAATTGACGTACCTGCGCCTTCAAGCATACCTAATGCCTGTCCGGCATGAGAAAGTCGCGCTCGAAGCAATGCGTTCTCTTGCTCCAGCTCCTCGTTCCGCCGCATCAGCTCCATCATCTTGGTGGAGCTGTTGGTACCAATTTGCGCAGTGAGATCACGCACTTGGCGCTCGAGACTTTCGATGTGGTCTTTGGTCCGTTGACGGATGGCTCGCTGTGCTTCGCGGTCGTTTGCTCTCTTGCGCTCGAGTTGTGCAGCCGTCAGCGTGGTAACGCTGCGGGTGCCAGCTCTGGAAGGCCGCTTTTTGGCCCCGGGCGTGGACTGCTTTCGCTCGGAACCAGAGGAGTGATCATCGTAGACAGGCGATCGGTTCATAGAAGCCATGTGCGGTGGAACATAATTCGTACCCATCAGGTCGCCGTTCCGGTAAGCAATAGGGTCTCGATAATGGATTACTGAAGTCATGAGGATCCGCGGGGGCGGCAGAGGGTTTAAGACGGGAAGTGGTCGCTATGTAAGCGGCTCGGGACCAAGCTTCCAGAGTTCCCGCGTGCAAGATGACGAGGGCGTCCTTGGTTTTAGGACGACGAGGGTGGGTTTAACTTGTGCCGCGTGGAGCACGGATGGAAGGGACTCGGGCCAGCAGGCGGTGTAGCAGCAAATATCGATTTTGACGAGAAGACGCTGGTGTGTGGGCAGATGGGAAAGATGTACAGGTAGAGGGAGAGATAAACAAAACGCAGAGGCCTTTGACCAGCAGGGAGGAGGGCTATAACAGGATCTCTGTAAGGATAGCTCTCATGTTACGAGGGACCCTTGCCGGTGGCTTTCAAGGCCACTAGGCACCCTGGGCGGGACCTGGAAGGGACCCAGTGCGTCGGTGGTCAGGACGTGCACCCTGCGGGGAAATGCAGGTGTGAAACCTGGTAAAGTTTGTGACGCGCACAGAGGGACTCGGTATCAAGGCGCCGTTGAATGGAGACTGCAGGAAGCGGATCCAGGGCCTGAAGTGTCGGCGTTGTTGCTGTGCTGGGACGACTACGGTGGCGCGCGAGGACGGCCGTGTCAGAAGACAGACGGAGCCTCGTTCGCGCAGCGCAGGCTTCTGGAGGGTGACTAGAAGCGGCGGCGGCCTCGTGGTCCGTGGGCACAGCAGCGCAAGGCTTCGCATGGCGTCGAGCTGGAGCGGCCATGGGCTGTCTGGGAGCCAGCGTCGCGAAGGCTCAAGCTCGTCGACACACCGCAGGCGCCGTCGAAAGCGGATGGCTCGGCCCACTTCCCCTTTGGGATCGAGTTGAGGCGATGGGCACGCAAGCCAATGGCGGGCGGCAGGGAGGCCTCTTCACTTCACCGCCCACGTCCAGGGCCGTGCCGTGACTGCAAACCCTCACAGGCAGCACCGGAGGGCTCGGAGAAACGGGCGCTCAGCGCGGTGCGCCCTGGAATCTCGCGAGCGCCGTTGGCGGCCGGAGGAGCTCGAAGGAACATGGCCCGGCACCTGGGTTGACGTATGAGCGTTCGGTTTTGTCGTGCGCGAGGCGACAGTGCCGGTGCTGGGGGGCGCGCCGCCAAGCGCCGCCACGTGCCGGCCAGGTTCACTGCGGCCCTAGCCCGCTTCTGGCGGCCCCACACTGCAGCTGCGCAGACGGACCAGGCATCAGATTCTGCAGCGCTGGCTGCCCTGCTAGGCTCGGTGCAGGCACTGCACGCCTGCCTAGTGCGCGTCCTGGCCGCCGCCGCCGCCCATCGCCATTTCGCTGCAGCGCGGCCGTCTGCGCGGCGAGCTGCTGGCCAGCGCGGCGTCCGAGCGACCGTCGCTGCCGGCAGCCAGCGCGCGACCAGGGACGTGTCGATCATTGGGCCTGCAGTGCGACGAAACGGGCCTTGGTCAGAGCTCCCCACGCCCTTGGCATCATCTCTCTTGCGTCGTCGTGCTAAGGGGCAGCCGGAACCGTGCCAGACCATTATGCCATCTCCCGATGGAAGGTTCGCGGAGATTTGTCCCGCAATGATGCCATCCAGAGCCCGCGACCGCCGCCAGCATCGCCGCCGGCTCTCGCCCATGGCACAGCATGCGAACCAGCGCCGACGTCTGCTCGCAGCAGCGCACCTCGACCGGCGGTGAACGCCAACGACGTGTCGCAGCGTGCGCGATGTGCAGTGAGCGCTCCCAGGGTGCATGCAGCAGCGGCATCCGCAGAACGTGACCCCCACCTTGCTCAGACTAGTCACCTCCAGGCCAACGTCGAAACGAGATGAGGCATTGATCTTTGCCCGCGCGTCCCCCTGCCACCATGGTCAGGAGACTCCTCGTGGAGGCCTTTCAAAACTTTGACCGCGGCAATCACGGGCGCCTACCCAGTTCTTGTCCTGTGCTCAGGCCGCAGCACCTGTCTCCAAGCACCGTGCGGTGCCGGACGTGGGAGCATCTTCGTCGCCTAGTCGAGAGCATTGCGGTGCTTAAACTTCAGAGCTAGTGCTGCCCGTAGCCGAGCCCCACAGCCCAAAGTGGCAGACTCTGGCGACATGCGCGTCTGTCAACCAGCAAGATAGCCGTCACCATCGCCGACGATCGCAGCAGCGCCTTTCACCGTCACTGGAATACGACCCAATTAATCATCTTGACTACTCAATTGGATGGTATCCATCCTGCGGCGAAACACTTGTCAACATCCGCGAAACAGGGGTCGAGGGTTGGCGACGCACTCCTGTAGACTGAGTATTTTTAGGCCTCGTGAAACACGTCTCGTAAAGTCAAAAGCTCTCGGTACGGGCAGTCAATGCACACTGTCACGTTTTGCGGCTTACGCACAGAGCCATGACACCGCCGCGGCGTCGGTTCGCATCTACCCTAGGCATGGACAGAAAGCCTGATGGAACCTCAGTGCACTATTGAATATGCCGCATATCCATTTCACGTACTGAGGCTGAAGCAAGTTCTGGTGAGAGAGGGATCAGCAATGCTTTTAGTCGACGTGCAGGCTAACGGATAATTCCAACGGCTGATCGTCGGTGGGCCATCATTGTATGCGACGAGACATGAAACTTGACATGTGTATTGATCCACGAAGCGGATGCAACCTTGGGCGATGGCGCAAGGTGCTGATGTCGTCAGTCGCTGCAGTTTCTAGCAGTGCTTCTAGCGCGCCACCACGACAGAACTATATAGGGGGTATACGTTCGAGGCAATTGCGCCGCTGTCAGACTGCGTGCTTGTCCCGACATGGCCCCAGGAACAGCCGCAACTAGTGAATTAGCTATGGCAACCCTCGTCTTGGTGCTGATTTGTTTCTGCGGCAGTGTTTCGCGGCTCTGTGCGCACCTCTCTTATCGCCGGCGGCATGATGTTACGGCTGCTATTACAGCTGCTATTACAGCTGCTAAAATCCAGAGCATCTCCATCATAGACCCAAGTGTAGATGTTGTCTTTGCATCGACAGAAGCGCCGGTCAAGCATTTGCGCGGGGACAGCGCCTTCCTCCGGCAGCAGCGGGTCTGGCGCTTTCGTAACCATGACTTCTAGCGCAGTGATGCCGCGAGAATCTCCACGAAGTGTCCAGCCAAGATCATCGCTGCCCGTTGCGCCTCCCCACAAGCACAGAGCTGAAGCGCTACCGACGGCTACACGAACATACAAGTGTACGACATGTTTTCGCCTGAGCGGGCTACGTTTTACCGTGGCCTCTGCAGCGATGCCCCTCTGCCGTTGCCAATGCCGTTCCTTGCTCATTTTGAAGACGCTGTCACAACGGCCGCAATCTAGGCTCCAGCAGAATGTCTGTGGAACTGTCTAATACATTATGCAGAAACCCTCACGAGAGTCCGCTAGTCAATTGCGCAAGTGTGGCTCCTCGGCGGATCTGTGGATCACTCCGTGCTGACTTCACAAAAGACTTTCGTCTGCTCGATGATTTGATCCCTAATGTTCGTGCCTTCACCTCCAAACTATCGTTCCTCGGCGCTTCTGACGGGAAGAGCCGACAAAGAAGGTGGATACAGCACTGCAACTGCCGATCAGAACGCTCAGCCGCCGAACCATCTGGGCTATCGGCTGCTCTCTTCCGTTTGTTCCTCCAAGTTTCTCGCATTATCTGCCTGGTGTTGACGCCTTTGGACGCTTAGGAAGCCAGGGGCTTGCTTTTTGTCACGATTTCCAGCCACGCTACATGGTGGGGAAGCTACCGCAACTCCCCGCTCTAGACGCACTAACTGCTTCACAGAATATCGGTCACCACGCAAGACAGCCCGCCGTCTCTTTACTAGAGGTATCTTGATACGCTCACTGGACGACCATCTGATGAGCGGCTCTAGTGCCTGGCCGCATCCGGCCTTGTTTCCAGACCCCTACGAGTACCACGATTAGTCTCTCGACAACAATGCACGCACGGAGGATCCTACACACAGCGGACAAGGGAAGGAAGTCGTCATCAACTTGCCCCTCTCGCCCTATCAAGAGATGGACGCGACGCTTTGCCACGAGGTCGCTACCGCTGAGACGCAATATACACAAGGTTGCCCGCTCGTGTGTGAATAAAGTTTGCGCTCAGGTTGCACGACAGCGGGCCAGGGGTTGTGGAGGGTGGCGGATAACGAGTCATTCGGCCAAACTCCAAGCGCCACACGATCTGCCATCTTCTAGCTCCAGCCTAGAAAGACACCTCTGACGCCCCAGCGGCTCTCAGGAAGGAAAGGGTTTGATCACCCTCTTAAGGTTGAACTCTAAACTCGAATAGCCCTGGTGGATCTTTCATCTCCGAAACAGTAGCCTCCATATACTCGAGACCTCATACGGATGATTACAGCCGTTATGATGCTTTACACCGTCAAGCATGTCGCATAATGGTGGTGTGAGGTATACAAGAGCAGGTGGACAAGCGGGTCGCGGCCGTTGTGGATATATCAGTCTATCGAAAGCAGTAATTTTTCCTGACCAGCCCGACCGGCTCCAAGGACTCCATCACAACACACGCTGAAGTCGGCCGCAAAACTTCCCTCGTTGAATACCCTGGGCCGATCCTCCAGCGTCGCGCACATCATACCGACACCCGCACGCGCACTTGCACAAACGTTACTGCACGTAAGACCCTCCTGCACATCACGCCAAGATGTACCCGGTTCTGGAAGCCTCTCAGAATCATCGATTGCATATGCCTCTGGCCCATGTCGCCTCGAGCCACCGGCTGCAAGCAATCTAGTCCTTCTTGATGTATTTTCCGAAGATTTGGCCTACTTCGTGCGCACTCTTCTTCGGGTATCGCTTCTGGCCACCCTCGTAGTCGACGTACGTGACGCCGAAGCGCGTCCGGTAGCCCTCGTGCCACTCGAAATTACTGCAGGTATACAGGGTTAGCACGGAGATCCCCTATCGCGTTCTAAAGAAAAAAAAAAGAAGTGCAGCGAGCCATGCTGTCCGCAACTGAGAGCGTCCACAATTGCAGGCAGCTAGTAGGAAATGCTCTCGTGAGCCATCCCTTAAGCAGAAATCAATGTACGCGAAGTGTCGAAGAACTCGAGACAGCAACATGCCACGGCGGGAAAAGATAGAAAGGAATGGGATACGTACTCCAAGAGACTCCATCCAGTGTAGCCTCGAATGTCTATGCCGTCCTTCGTGTATGCGTCCGCGAGCGCTCCGATATATCCCCTGAAGAACCAGCAGCGGAACTCATCATCCAAAATCTCCTCACGGGGTTTATCGTTCTCCCCTTTCAGACTTGTACCATTTTCTGTAACGTAGAATATCGGTCCGCCATAGCGCTTGTTCAACCAGTTCAGCAGACTTCTGAAGCCGCGGGGATTCGGTCTCAACCAAACAGACTCTGTCTCTGGTCCAATCCAATCACCGGCCTTGTTCTGATCGAGCACATCCAGATTGCCGTAGAAGTCATCTGGAGCAGGTTCTCCTTCCTTGTGCTTGATGTAGTTGTCGCCATACGAGTTGATGCCGAAGAAGTCGTTGCTACCTTTGACCAGCGCGATTTCTTCGTCTGTAAAGTCGGGCAATCTGTCTCCCAACTGCTTACGCATCGCATCGGGGTATTTTCCATAGTACACTGGGTCGGCGAACCACCCGTAGGTGAACTCCAGCTTGCGGTTCGCCGCGTCGACATCAAGAGGATCGTTTGCATCCCACGGCTCGGCATAGTCACCTACAACGTGTCTTGTCAGCTAAGTCTTCACGTGGCATATCCATGGCGGTGAGCAGCCTATCCTCGTATCGCCACGTTCCGCCTTGGGCTCGCATGAGCTGCTGGTTGAGGCAGGATGTATAAGGTTTCGCAAGGCCCCACCATGAGGAACGCCGTATACGCACCGTTCAATGTGATACCAATGATGCCACCATCTTTCTCTTTGAACTCATCACGGTACACTTTGACCGCCCTGCTGTGCGCAATCAGCAGCGAGTGTCCTACAATCCAGGGTTCTGTGCTGCTGTCGCCGATGTCGCTCTTGCTCCGATCACTCGTGCGTCCCGGAGCGTGGCTCGCAACGTTGAACCCAAGAATAGAACTGCACCACGGCTCGTTGAAGGTGATCCAATACTTCACTTTGTCGCCAAAAGCCTTGAACACCACACGCGCGTAGTTTTCAAAATCCTGCGCAAACTCGTCTTTGTTGAGGTAGCCACCGTACCGCTGGTACAAGCCGTCGGGTAGGTCCCAGTGCAGCAGGGTGACCATGGGCGTGATGCCCGCGGCGTGCAGGTCGTCAACGAACTTGACGTAGTGCTGCAGGCCGGCCTCGTTGACGGGGTCGTTGCGGCCGCCCAACGGGATAATGCGCGTCCATGACAGCGAGAAGCGGTACGTGTTTGCGCCCGTCGACTTGAGCAGCTCAATGTCCTCGGCCGTGCGGTTGTAGCTGTCGCAGGCTACATCGCCGTTGGTGCCGTCCCAGACTTTGCCCGGAATGTGGGTGAAGACGTCCCAGATGCTCTCGCCCTTTCCATCGGCTTTGGGCGCGCCTTCGATCTGGTAGCTGTGCGGGGTGGACGTGAGTGGGATGTTGGTGGAGGACAGTCAATTGTAACCAGGGGACACGCACCATGCTGTTGCGAAGCCCCAGCGGAAGTCTTTGGGGAGGTGTGAATCCGTCACATACTCCTCTTTGGGGATTTGCGAGTCCGTCATGATTACTTTTGCTCTTCAAAATCACACGAAAACACGGTGAGGCACTACAATTGACGCGGGCAGCTCGAGGGCACCCGGGCTACATATATCCTCGGGGGCTTCATAGCACGGCGGTACGGCATCTTCGAACGCGTCCCATGACATTAAGACGGGTGCCGTTAGGACAGATCTAGCAATTTTTGCAACAGGTACAGCGCTCGCTCGGATGTCGAGTGATTTTTCCGCGAGAACATGATGCCATTGGGCGTGAGATCCACCCGCAAGCCGTGTGGTGTGCTCAACGCCGTGCTGCTGCCCAAGGTTCAAGCGTGATTCTGCCAGTGTACAATGCGGCTACGGGGGCGGTCAATGGGTGTGCGGGCCGGGAATGCTACCTGCGTTTATCCAGGAGGGGCGCGGCGCGATGGCGGGGTAGGTGATGCTGCGGCGCGGTGGGCGCAGGAGGTCCAGCCGACCTTCCTCTCTGCATACTCATTGGTATGGCGATGGTCTTTCCAACGGCACTGCGCATTTCCTGTGCCATGGTCAGGCTCAGCCCACAGCATCGTCGGAAACCTTCCAGAACATGTCCCGCAGCGACGACGACTCCCCGCACTGCCCAAGAGCGGTTTAGCTTGGCTGGCGGACCCCTTCCCGCATCGAGGATTCCGAAGAAGCTAGGGCCACCCAGACGTCGTTCGTCGACAGATGCGCTGCGGAACTCGACGACTCCAGCAAGAGCTGTCGGAGCACCGCAGGCTATATAATGGGGAGGAGATTCTGGGGGAGCAACTACGACATCGGCACTTTGCAGTAGCAACAGCAGCACCAAGCCGCCCACCATGCTGTCCGTCGCGCGAACCGTCCGATCGCGACCCGTCCGAACATTACTCCGCGCGCGCACCGCCGCGACGCAGGCTGCTTCCAAGCGCGAGGGCGACATCTCGGACGCCTTTGCGTCGCTGTCGGGCCAGCAGTTCACGCCGCTCGCGCCCGAGTATGCGGACCTCAAGGCGCGCTTGATCAAGGGCAACGAAGAGGCTGTGCGAGCGTCGTGGGAGCGGCTGCTCAAGGACCTGCGCGAGGAGATACCGCTGATTGTGGAGAAGGGCTCCGAGATCATACCCGAGATCGACTTCAGGGACATCGACGACGCGCCCGAGGAGTTCAGCAGCGAGCTCCGGAAGAGGGGCGTTGCTGTTGTGCGCGGCGTCGTGAGCGAGGAGGAGGCGCTGGGGTGGAAGGAGAGTCTGAGGGAATACATCCGGGCGAATCCGCAGACGAGAGGTATGCGCCATAACGTTGCTGAGGAGCATTCATCACTGACGCGCGCAGCCTTCCCCGCCGAGAACCCACAGGTCTTCGAGCTGTACTGGTCCCGCGCCCAGCTGCTCGCCCGCGGCCACCCCAACATGCTCAAGGCGCAGAGCTTCCTCATGTCCTACTGGCACGCCACGAACCCACACACACCCATATCCACGCGCCACCCCATATCCTACGCCGACCGCCTCCGCATGCGGCTGCCCGGTGACGCGCGCTTCGCCCTCGGCCCCCACGTCGACGGCGGCAGTGTAGAGCGCTGGGACGAGGCTGGCTACGGACGCGGAAAGGTCTACGACGCCGTCTGGAAGGGCAACTGGGAAGCCTTCGACCCGTGGGAGTCCAGCTGTCGGCTCAACGTCGTGTCGGACCTGCACCAGGGCGTGGGCGCATGCTCCGCGTTCCGCATGTTCCAGGGCTGGCTGTCTCTGTCCACCACCGGACCCGGCGAGGGCACGCTCCTCGTGAACCCCCTCCTCGCGAAGGCAACAGCGTACTACCTCCTCCGCCCGTTCTTCAGTCCGAAGCACGGCGTCGCTACCCCTGGTGCCCAGACCGCTGACGAAGCGACTACCTCTTCCGCATCGTTCCTAGCCTCAGACAACTGGAAGATGGACACCACCTCCACCTCCTGGATCCACGGCGCGTCCCCCGGTCACGGCCAGGAACTCTCGCACCTCCTGCACCCGCACCTGCATCTCAAACAGAGCATGGTCCACGTGCCTACCGTTCGACCGGGTGACTACGTCGCCTGGCACTGCGACACCATCCACGCTGTCGACCGCACGCACGCAGGCAATTCCGATTCGAGCGTGATGTACATCCCCGCATGTCCACTGACCGAGGACAACGCTAAGTACCTCAATCGCCAGCGGTCCTGCTTCGTGGATGGGACGCCGTCTCCGGACTTTGGCGGCGGTGAGGGCGAGAGTAAGCATGTTGGACGTATTGGCGTTGACGAGCTGGAGAACCTGGTCGGCGAGGAGGGAAGGAGGGGGATGGGGCTCGAGATGTGGGATAGTAGTGAGGAGGGGTTGAGCATGGGAGAGAGGGTGGTGTTGGATCGGGCGAATAAGGTCGGAGGATGGTATGATCCTGAGGTTGAGATCAGCAGATAAAGATCAGACCTCTTGTAGTGCTATGTGTATGTTCTGGTTTTGTATGATGGAGTGTTTGGCGTCTTAGCCGAAGCGTTGTTTGATTTTCCACTTGCAGAAGGTGCGAGCGTGAGACATGAAGTCAATGCTCACCAAAATGAAAGGCACGCTTGGGTCCGCACGTGAGGCATACTCGCCCTGGCCTAGGTGTCCGACGTATCGAAGGTATTATGGGTATTTAAACGTTACTCCGCTTCCAGTGTACACTCCACGAATAGCTTGATGACCACTCGCTTCGAGGGAACCGGTCACTGGATCCACCCTCGAGATCCTGTTTCCCCGATCTCCCACCTATCTACTGTGGGTATTCTCCCAGCGCTGCGTTTGGACAGCTTGTAGGTCAAATCTCTGCGACATAACGGAAAAGCAAAGCGTTGACATATTTTCTCCACAGCGGCCAATATATTGGTCACAAGAATGACGGCGCCTCCACCAGCCGTTGCTCTGTTGACTCTACCTAAGGTCGTCTCCAGCCCAGCCTATCCAAACGCTCTTCCGTTCCTGACAAGCCTGCCGGCGGAGCTCGAGACCATGATATACCAAATCTTGTTCAGCGCCGAGGAACCCATCACTCTTGCCGAACGCCAGCTTGACGAGAACGAGAAGCATAAGCTCCATCCGGTCATGCCTTGCCTCCGCACTTATCGCCAAATCTACTCGGAAGCGATTTCAATTCTCTACATTGATAACACTTGGATGTTCACTCGGCCATCGAACTTTTGTGATCAGGATTGTCATCCGACGGACTGTATCTCGACTTGGATAGAAGAAGTCGAATCAAACATGAACCTGATCAAGCGAGTCATCGTTGATGTCGGCCGTACGTGTCCTAGTAGGTGCAGACGCTCAGTGTCTATATACGACATGATTCTGCTGGCAAAGATGGATTGGACGAACGCACGTCAGGCTGGCGAGGACATTGAGTTCGAGATCACCTTCGAAGATCGTGGAGGGCACCTCGGCGATCCCTTGCACCGCGACATTGCGCCGAGTCTAAGTCCGCTATCAGAAGCCGACTTCCTCAATAACGTATTCAGAAGCCTCGTGATCGAGAACTCACTGTACTTGTTTCAGTACAATCGGTTCGAGAAGGTTCTTGACACGGTCAAGCTCGACGTCTTAGCACAGTGCTGCGTGGCCTATAAGACCCTCTTCCGCAATTCCAGCTCTGAAGAAAAAGTCAAGATTGACCTACATCTACTTTTCCAGCGCGCCTTCTTGGCCCTGACAGATTCGTTCTTCGCATCTCCGACTATGAAGTACCATCCAAAGCTCGACATTTGGATAAATGGAATGGATTAGGTTCTGGGTTTGGCAACTTGAAGACGATTGGCACCGATGACCTGTCCTTCAGCCCTAGTGTCAATGAGAGCCTCAGCCCTGCTTCTGTTTCGGATCTCTGTAGCCTACAGAAACAGCGTCTCCTGGATCTGATTTCCAAGGAGTTGGATATTAACGGAGACTATTGCCAGGTCGACCTTTGGTGGGTGTTGGTAAGACATTGCGTCGAGTTTGGTGGGAACATGTAAGCCCATCAAAAACCCTGCGCGGTAGCGGAAGACACTACAATAAAAGCAGTACGTTCCTGAAACGCGATGAGCTCACCACGTTAATAGGTCTTGGTAACCAATTGATATGGCCTGGTGAAGAAGCGGTAGGGTGTGCCTGGGAGCGGATGTAGTCGTGGCAACCAGACTACAATTCCATATCTAACAGACACCCCAGTGCATGGAAGAAGATAGCGTACCGCAAGGTAAAATATGGTTACAAAAAGGTGCCAGGCGTGAAACAGAGTCACACGGTTCCAAAATACAGAAACACAGCTGCTCCGTCCCACGCCACACACGTCCTCTACCCCCCTCACATCCGAATCACACCATCCCTAGACATCCACATCGCCGCCAAAACCCCTCCATCAATCGCATACGCCACAGACACCTGCGACAACTCCACACTCCCAAAGACCGCCCTCTCCACGCCATAATGCCACAGCGGCACCGCCAAGCTCACCATACACGCATCGTACCAGCCCTTCTCCCCCCAGTAGTACCACGCTCCGAATCGCAGGATCCCGCACAGAAAGAACCACGCGCCGAGCGAGCGCGCGGCGAGGGCGGTGAAGTGCGGGCGGTGGGTGGGGGTGTAGTTGGCGCGGATTGCGGAGGGCGAAAAAACAAGGGAGATGTAGCCGGCTACGCCGATGAAGGCGGTCTAGACGAGGGTTAGATGGGTCGGGCGGAATGAGAGGGTGGGCGCACGAAGAGGATGGCGTAGCGAAGGTACGTGTGTTCGGGGGCGGCGAGGTCAGCCATGGGTGGCGGTCGTTTTTGGGACTGTTTCTGTGGCTGTCAATCGTTTGGTTGCCGACTTGGGGTAGCTCGCACTATATGTTCTCCACGTGCTTGTTTGTAATCACATTACAAGCGTAGGTATGTATGGGGGTAGCCTTGATAAGATGGAGGCTTGGGCTTTCTCACGTCAGCGGAAGGCCACGCCGCAGATCAAAGTAGATTCGGCCTGGTAGAGCGATTCCAGTAGTACATTCTCGAAGAATGGGCTGGCTACAGCTCCATACACTAGGACTTGACATGCGACAATGGAACTCGGATCAGATCGCTTCCAGTTGGTGATGGATGGGTACTTGTTCGCACTAAACCCAGTGCGGCCACAGCTCACCCCCGTGATACGAGTTCCCCTTCAACGGCCCCTCTGAGCTCAGAATCTGCCCCAGTTCACATTTCGAGAATGACACTTTCGGCTGCTTCGCGTAAAACTCGTCGTACTTGGGCGCCAGCGCGTCTTCCAGGTTCACAACATCGCCCTTGGGGTGGATCACAGACCAGGGGTCCGTGCAGGAGGAAGCTTTGCAGGTCTTGAGGACCAGAAGGAGGGCGTCGAGACGGGCTTGGAGCTTGGAGATGGGCTGGTTGAGGATGAGGGTGCGCCATTTGGAGGGGATGGCAAGGTTGTTGAGTTGGCCCGGATCTCTCTGCAGATGTGTGAGTATGAGTAAGGCAGGGTCGAATGTAGTCCCTACAGTCATGTCGTACAATTCGTGCTCGTTGGTGCACCACACTGTGTACAAAATATTGTATCGCTCACCGATGATGCGGACTGCCTTGTAGGTGTTGTTCGGTGCGTCGACTGCGCGAAGCAATGTTAGCTGGAATACGACAAAGCATGTCGGGATGCAACTTACGACCGTATTTGCCTTCGTCGATACCCTCGCCCCAAAACTCGACATTGACATGGTCGCGCTTCTTGTTCTTTACTTGCTGGGCAATCGCATTGCTCGTCACCGGAATCGGCTGTCCATCAAAGTCGCTGCGTTGCTCGATACCTGCCAACTGAAAGAGCGTCGGTACGATATCTGTGTGCGTGGTGACCACATCAACAGTCTGGCCTTTGGGCACGTTTGGCCCGCGGAGATAGAACGGCACGTTGATATCTTCTTCGAACGCGCATGTCTTTCCGGGTTGGAGCCTATGCTGGCCGATATGGTATCCATTGTCGGATGTGAAAATGACGTAGGTGTTGTCCAGTAGATTGTAGTGCTCAAGGCGCTTGAATACTTCATCAACGAGCTCGTCAACAGATTGCAAGGACTGGAGACGACCGACGTGCCATTCATCGTGGAAGTCGATGACTGTGTCATTTAGCTTCTCTAACTTCGAGATCCAGCTGGCTCCACTTGGCTAGAAAGAAAGTTAGAAGCGGTTTTATTGAATGGAATCATATGTCTCACCTCATCCGGATTCCAATTGCTCGTCCTCGGGGCTTTGGCTTTCAGAAAAAGCTCTTGATGCCGGGTAGCGCCGACCGGCTTCGTGAAAGGACCAGATCCAGTGAACTCGGCGTGCGGTCCAATTGGTGCAATGCCAATAAAAAAGGGGTTATCGCTTTTGGCGACAGTGTCAATGAAAGACAACCCTTTCGCTTTTACCAAGTCAGTGTTGTATTGGCCTGGAGCTGGCGCTGGGGGCGACTGATTCTCCTGAAAGGTCGCGTTGAAATAAATATAGGTACCAGGATCGACAAGGACTAAATGTATTGAGTTAAACATAAAGCAAATTTTCTCGATTGGGACTCACACTTGGTACCGTTCCAGCCGGCGGGCAGCGGTTTGTTCCAAGTCGAGATTGAGTGGCCATTCATAAGTTTTCCGGTGTAGTAGGTGTCGTATCCAGCTTCTTGTAACCACACAGGAAGATACTTGTCGTTCAGACCTTGCGATATGAACTTGGTATATCCGCCTATCCATGTTAGACAACAGGCCCATTCCACTGGAAAATCAAGAACGCACCATATGGTGGGCTTACGTCGGTCACATTTGTATTGTGAGCAGCTTTGCCAGTGAGTAGGCTGACTCTTGACGGACAGCAAATGGAGATGGTGCAGTAGTGTTGCTTGTAGAAAGTACCTTGCTTTCCAAGATGTTTTTTCACTAAAGGCATGTAATCGAGAGAGCCAAGATGCAAATCCTGGTCGTCCGTGATAATGAAGACAAAGTTTGGTTTGCCATTTCTGTTGCTTGCGTCACAGCTTACAATGGCAGCCGTAGCCAGCCAAAGTAACGAGAGGGGTGACAGTAGGATTGAGCCAAACATTGTGAAACGAACCCAGGGGCCTGGTGCGCTGTGATCGGAATCTTTCCATCTTACCTTGGCAGATCTTTATGTTTTAAAGCTTTTCCACTATTCGTCATGTCGCCTGTACGTTTTCCCCCACAAACATGCAGAACGTGCTCACAGGTTTGTATTGCGACATAGGGCTCAAACTAAATGTGGTATAGCGTCATGTTGAAGCGGGGGCCGCCGGGGAATCGTGAACACCACGGTTCCTCCGATTTGGTGCTTGTCTCGTTCCTGCATAAGCTATCATGTGCCGAAATGTCACTCTCGGGGAAAACCTCGTCTGAGCACTGAAGACGACCATCATTCGTGGAGCGAGGGTGAAGGAAAGAAATGAAAGCCCCCAATCAAATCAACAGTTGGTCTCAAAGTTGCAACTTCTATTGGCTGATCATGAGAGAACGCCTGCAGATGATTTCAACCCAGTTCCAGTGACAGAGGCATTTGATATTAATAATCGTAATGTGTTACCGTAGATTCATGTCTGTTGTCCATCCATGCGGGTGAAGATGGAGGATAAGATTGTGAGGTCTTGTGCAGAAACTTTGTGATGATATTCGGCTAAGATCTCCAACCATGACGTCATCACACACCTCAGCCTCCGACGTCTGGCCGAAATGTTGCTACTCGCTCTAATCTGGTGCGGAGTCAATATCAAAGTGCACGGGCGACAATAGGTATACTATGGGCCTATTGGCATGATTGTAAGCCGCGCGTAGCTTTTGGTACAGCGGGACGAAAAGTGCGCACCCCCCTGCGACACCGAGAACCGACCTGGACCCGTTGTTAGCACAGCACAGGAATCACTGCATCGTCCTGAACATTGCACAGATATTTGCTTGCTATGTCTGTAATCGATACTACGTCTACAACTGTCGTTCCGACAGTCATACGGGCCCGTTACGAATTGAACCAAGCTCTTGCGTCGTAGTCTGTTGCCACAGCTTCATTCCTCCTCTACATTCGAAAAGCATCTGCACTTCCAGCGTAGGTATAGATGCCTCCAAGAAAAGGATGTCCAGCAATACCCCGCGAAGCCAACAATACGCAAGATGATAAAGAGAGTGAGGACCGTTGGGCGCGCAGCAAAACAGTATCCGACGGAATGAAAGTGGTGAAGGCGCGGCCTGGAGCAACTTTGGTATGCATAAGTTTGGGCCCACCTCTTCTAGATCTCACGATCGAGGCGCCAGAGTTCTAGAAGAAACAGCATTGCCTCATCGCAAGATGCCTTCTCGTTGGTATCGCGCTCGCGTTGTCAAGTGGCTAGGTCTCGTCTCAACTTCAGATTTGCCGACGTCTCAGCCTCAGGCTAGCCGAAGTCTCAACATGCCTCAGATTCTTCACGTCTCAAGTCTTGCAATGCTCACTGCTTGATCTAAGCTTTGATTGACATTATGCAGATGCCAATTGTTTGGTTAGACAGCCCATTCGCCTTCACAAATTCGCTCATTCTTGTTTGTGTCGCGGACCAAAAATGGATGTGCTACAGCCTCGGTTTTCCTAGCACACTCCATCTAGGTCGCTTAGAGCTACTGTAGCATAATGCTCTGCATTATTTCCTGGGTTCGAGCAGTTATACCCTGCGTTTCTGCGTCTGTTAAGGCGCTGCACCCCGCAGTCAGGAGCTCCAGTCACGGCCAAGGCGTCTACACGCTGCATCAAAAGTTGCCGTCAGATACGGACGCGGTGCCGCTGACCTGGTGGCTCATGAGACGTTCAGCAACAGTGCTTCGCACGATATTTCAGTATAAGTAGGCCGCGTCAGCCGTTTCCTCTTTTCCTTCCCAAGCCAGTCTTCGATTCAAATCTTCAGATCTACATTCGTCTATTCTTTCCCGCTGTGCGGATTACTTTCACTGCCAATCAAGTCTCATACAACAATCTTTATAATACCACACATAAAATATCAGTCAAGATGCAGTTCTCCATCACCGCCCTTCTCTTCGGCCTTGTTGCCATCTCTTCTGCCGCCAGCGTCGGAGTTTCCTCGATCGATGCTCGCCAGGCTGCTAATGGCGCCTGCTGCATCGCCAACAAGTCCCTGAAACAAGATGCTTGCACCGTCAATGGCGCCGCTGGAAAATGTGTGCCCGGTGGTCCTGCTCAATGTAAGTAGAACAACAGTCAAAGAGCTATTGCGAACCGAATGAAGAAGCAATGCTGATATGCATCATAGGCGGTGGTGCTTTAAACTGCGTTGCCAACAACCAATTGACTTGCGATAACGCCGTTCCCGAGCGATCTGGTGTTCTATGCCGATTCCAGCTGCCCAACGGCAAGATCCAGGATGGAGCCAAGCAGATCACCAGCTTGTCTCAGGCCAAGGTCAACTAGAGCGTATGGTATTGTGGTTCAGACTGAAGGATAAAGCTCGACTTGCACATAGAATATTCATTGTAGATAATGATGTATCTGAATCGAGCCTGTCTCCACAAAACCTTACTTTGTTCTTGGCATTACTGTGATCTATGCGTTAACTTACGTTCAAACCTCTGTCCTCCCATGGGTAGGCAGTCGGGCAAAATATCAGGACAGTCGAACCCGCCGAGAACCACTGTTTGTTCTGTGTTGCGAAAAAGGTTTCCGTTTTTAATTCGTGCAGCATGATCAGTCACTATTGCCACCTGTACCGCTCTGCAGGATAGTGGTTGCACTGCTAGCCACGAAGTAAAGACGCCTGCTATGCCGCATTCATGCAGCCGAGCCTTGGCTCCCTCCCATAAGAAAAGATATCTTGTACCTCATTCCCTCCCCAAGACGTTTCAGATACTCGATCTCAAGCTCTGTAGTTCATGTTGGTCTCGATCTTTCCCACAATGTAGCGTAGTAGGGTTCTGTGAGCTGGTGCTTCTCAAACCACTCTCGAACAGCGTTCCAGACTTTCGTAGCTAAGCAATTTTAGCAAACGCTAGCTGCCTAAAGAAATACTTATATACTAGAGCATCTCACTTCCAAATGCGCTTTCGATCCGTAGCATAGCTGTTCGATGCCGCAGTCCGAGTGTTTGAGAGTGTAGGTCAGATTGGTAAGCAAGGATTACGTTGGCGTCCACGCCTTGCCGAGGTTAGGCTGCCCAGGTGCAAGTGCTCTTCCCCACACTCCCCACAAATCGGTCCTTTCTCTGGCTTGTCTAGCACGTGTTGTTACGCGAACTGCGAGAGTACGGGGAAAAGATGCAGTGGTTTGACCACATGTTTCCCCACAAACACCTCAACACCTTCGTTCTATTCTGTTCTGGACACATCCCCACAGCATGCCACCAAGTGTCCAACGCCGCCGAAGCGCACTGGACTTTAGATGTGGGTCCTGCGACCGATCATACGCGAAGAAGGAGCACTTGCAGGTAAGACGAAATCCCGTTACTGTCTGCCGACCACCTTGCTAACTGTTAAGCACTAGAGACATGAACTCTCACGTTAGTATCACATAAGGCCTTCTCACAGTGGGCGGAGGCGCAACTCGGACGCTCTTGGTAGCGTCTGCTATGGAGGTGTCCGAGGTTAACCTGCGCGCACGGTGATTGCTAAGACGGGTTCTAATGCCTCGAAGATACGGGACAGAAGCCATTCGCATGCGATGTCTGTGGTCGCACTTTCGCTCGACAAGATGCACTGAACCGACACACACGAGTGCATAAAGGATCGACATCCACGACAACACACATGGCGGAGCAAGTGCGAGATGGTGGATTTGATCCGCGCACTTTCGTACCAGAACAGTACAATCAGCATGTTGATCAACCCCTGGTATCGCCTTTGGCAATTGAAGGTGACTTTCAACATTCTCAATCCCAAAACTCGTTCCTGTTTTGGCCGGACTCTGAGCATCTGCTTCAGAATATTCTCTCAATCGATCCAACGCTGCTGGATCAACCCCCAGCATACATGCCCCCTCCACCGGGAAGCCAGCCTTCCCCAGGATGGGATTATATTTATGATAATGCGACAGAAGGCCTGGACGAAGGCCATCGTGCTATTCATACGCTCAGTACCCTGCTGAGCAACACCGTTAACAGGGTTACGGCTCCTGCAGCACTAGCAAATCTGACCTCGCGATTTTTGGATAGCTGTCTGCACATGTTCTTTTCGACCTTTATTCCTATGATGCCTATTATTCACAGACCGACTTTTGTCTTTCAAAACTGTTCGCCGCCCTTGCTACTCAATGCAATAGCAATCGGTTCTTTGTTCCTTGGCAATGAGGAAGCGTCTGACAAGGTAACGGTTCCGTAATTCTAACACTGCGATTACTGAACACAAGGTAGGGAGACGCTTTGTGGCGACTTGCGCATACTGCTGTTCAGACGTCCTGGCATACGATGATCAAGCATCGCGGAGAGTTTGACGCCTCCCCTGGGATCCAACTTGTACAAACGGCTTTGCTTAGCCAAATATACGCTGCTCTATCGAAGGTACATGATCTGTTGACCAAACCAATTGGATCCTTCCTAATACGATTTAGTCTCGGAATCTCCGCATCACAAGTCAAGTTTTCCACGGCTTAGGGTTCTACTGGGCACGTTACTGTGGACTGTTCGACCTTCCAGATGTACCCATTGTTCCACAGCTCCACGACGATCCTGAAACAAAGTACCGTGCATGGCGACTGTGGCTGGCACGTGAAACACAGCTGCGGTCCCTTCTCGGCCTGTACATCATCGACGGAGTAATCTCTCAATATAGCGGTAGTCCTACGGTGGCACAGCACATGTCAAATCAGCTCCTGGTACCCTCCAGCGAGGCATGTTTCCGTACCGATAGTCCTGATGATTGGATTCGAGCAGTAACATGCAATAACTCACCCTCAAATTTGCTGAGGTTTTGCGACCTCTTTCGCCACTTCTTTTACGATGGAGACCAAGAGAATGGGCAGATCCCGCCTGAAATGTCTTCCTTCACACTCAAAGTCATTCTAGAAGGGCTTAAGTCTCTGGTGGCTGAGTCAAAGCGCATCGAGCCACGGCCAGTTGGAGTTCCATCTCGGGTGGAGATTAGCGGGGTATTGGATCGTGTGCGCAGATACATCGAAGCGCATTCATCTCTCACCCCTGTCGCAAGAAGTACAGCTATGCTGCGCTGGCATGCTATATGCCTTGACGCATTGGGGAGTGTCACGGCTCGTGGGGCGAGGAGACTTTGTACAGCCCACGGGATCTCGCAACACATATTCGGTGGTGGGAAACGGGTCGAAAAGGACGTACAAGCTGAACGTTACGTCAACTCCGAAGATGCAAGGAGAACGCTGATGCACGCTTCTGAAATCCATCGGATCGCCTCACAGCTGCCGCTTGGTCTTGCGCACGATCCGCATGTCCCGGGTGCTGTTTTTGCTGCAGCTACTACGTATGCTGCCTTTGCGTTGGCTGGAAAGACGCAAGTGGCTTTTCCAGAACCAGTCGATTGGCAACAGGCCGTATTGCTTCCAAGCCAAGAAAGTCAGACTCCAGCGGGCTTCGTATCTAACGATTTACACACAACTGGAACAGCCCAGTTCATCCGAGGCACACTGACAACGACGCGAATTCAAAAGGATTTCGTTTTCCGTGACCTCAATTATGAGCTGAGTAGCATTCGGTTACTTCTACGTGCATTAAGTCTACAGTGGGGCGTTTGTAAGGAGATGGAAGAAGTTGTTGACGCATGGATTGCAAAATGCACATAGATTACGGCTCTACTACGCTAATGATGCGAACTGGACAACTTATAATGCCCATCTCTGGCATCTTGGCGTATTGCAGTTCACCATCAAGGTCCCAATCTTGGCTGTTCTCCAGCATCACTTTCAGGCCGACTTGTAGAGCCATCCTGGCCAACGGCATTCCGGCACATCTGTGGCGTCCACGACCGAACCCTAAGTGCTTGCTCACGTTTTCTCTGCCGAGGACGAACTCGTGGGGATTCGAGAAAACCTCCGGATCTCGATTGGCTGCAGCGTAGGTCATGGTGATCGGCTCGCCTGGGTTCAGCGTTCGACCATGTAGCTCAACTGGTGATGATGCAGTTCGAGAGAATCCTCTGTAGGGTACATAGAGGCGTACGAATTCTTCGACTGCAGAGGGAATGAGCTCCGGATTTTCACGTAGTCGGTTCTGCAGAGCTTTGTCCTGTGCCAGATGTGTCGCCATGTTGCCAAAGAGAATGGGTGGTGCCACCATGCCTACTACCAGGCACTGGCGAAGAGCGTCGCTGTTCACCATTAGTACGCCACTTGCAACACGCCAGGTCTCCTTGTAAAGTTTCACTTACATCAGTTTCTCTTCCGCAATTGGCTGGCCGTTCACTCGCTCCGCAAGCAAGCTACTTGCAGGGTCGCTCTCTACGTCCCTTGGATTTTCGCGCCTATCTCGGAATAGTGCCCTTGCCATATCATACAGCTTTTCAGAATAGAATTTGACCACATCTGTCTGCTGCTCACGCCAAGCATTCACCCAGGCAGCCGCTGTCTTCGCAAGCATTGGTGCACTCTCGTCTCCCAGGTTCAGCCATGTCACCTCCACCCAAGCTGCGAAGTTGGCCCCAAAATCCGCACTGACGTCGCCTCTTCCCCTCTCCACCAGTACTTTCCACTCTCTCCGTGCATGGTCTTCAAGTACACTTTCCAATCGCTTGAGACGCGAGATCTTCAACGTCCGGTCAATTGCTGTGCGGTACGGTGTGTGCACCGGTGGGTCGGTGTTCAGTGGCGGACGCCGTGTGCCGCGTGGGTCAGATGGTATGACGGCTTTGACAGAGGAGATGAAGGTTGAGGTGTCGGAGGCGCAGTTCTTGACGTCCTCGTAGCGTGTGAGCATCCAATAGCCTCCCATTTGAGAGGAGTATGCCACTGGACATTTTGAGCGAAGGGTGTCAAATTGTTCGTAGATATCAGATGGAATTGAGCTCTCCGCAAGCTCGAAGTCTGAACGCGCTGGAGCACCTGCGAAGGGGCAGGTTGCTGCCGTCATGAATGCTGTAAATTGCCGGCTGTTTACCCTGGGAAGACGTGTTCCTTGACTAGGGCCGCGACAATAATTCTTGTTGGAGATGTTGGTGCGAAAGATAATTCATGTCAAAAGAAGAGAACTGGGCATGTCACTACCGCGTACCATAAATAACGGCTTCGGCATTAGACGTCCTCCGAAACTCAAGGGTGCGATAACGATCGTGACTGCCGCAGGTCAGGATTCCCCACGTGGGGAAGCTGTGGGGAAGCTGTGGGGAACTAAGCCCGGATCTGCGATGGTGGCATGTTCCGATTCAATTAGTGCCCCGAAATCTGGGGAGTGGCGGGGAATGAGCCCATTAGCCGGTCGGCGAAACTCAATATAACATGGCCTAGACGACACAAGCATGGATGGAACGTCGACGAGTTGACAACTGCTCGTTACAATGCATACACCCAGCGACGCCGACTCCGAGAAGCGCGGTGCGTACGCGATTGAGCGCGTCCCAACGAGCAATGAGCACCTCATCAATGGGTACAAACCCTTGACCGACGAGGCCAAAGCCCTGGACAAGCGCGTCAACTTGAAGCTTGACTTCATCGTCGTGCTTGTACTGGCGATTGACTTCATCCTGTGCGGGATCGACAAAACGAACATTGGCTATGTTGCTACAACGAGTGAGTGCAGCTTTCTAATAGTGAATAGTCTTCGAGAACAAAGTTGAGAGAAGGCAGATATGGTCAAGGATGCAAACATCACCCAAGATGATATTGCGGACTCAGTATCGATTCTGTCCGTTACCTTTATCACATTGCAGCCATTTTCTACCGCCATCGGACGTCGCATAGGACCAAAATACTGGATCGCTTGCATGATGACCGCTTGGGGAGCTGTGTGCATGGCTCATGCAGGCACGAAGAACCGAGGGACCTTGATCGCCTTAAGGCTGCTACTAGGCGCTTTCGAGGCTGGCTTTGTACCGACTTCTTTCGTGAGTGTTTTGATACTCGCGACTGTTAGCGCTCACTGATAACCTCCCCAGTATTACATGTCTACCATATATCCCAAGTATTCGCTTGGGCTTCGCCTTGGGCTCTTTGCCGGCATGTACTCTATCGCCGGAGCTTTCGCAGGCCTAATCGCATATGGCATCTTCCAAGTGAAGCACCTTGCCGTGCACAATTGGCAACTGCTCTTCCTAATCGAAGGCGCCCTTAGCATCCTTATGGCTGTTGTCACAGTCATTGTGCTTCCTGCCCGCTTAAATACCGCATGGTGTAAGTCCAATAGATATAAATAGATCACAACAGTGTTAACCATGTACAGTCTTCAAGGCGGATGAGGCTGCGCATGCCGTAGCTCGTATGGAAGCTGACGTTGCTGGCGCCTCACACGAGGGTGCTCAAAACAAGACTGGTGGCATAACCCGCCGAGACGTCCTCGATGCTGTCACCGATTGGAGGAAGCTTCTCACGGTGGTCTTTAACGTTCTTGCCACGCTTCCCGTCAGTGCGTTCGGGTACTTCATGCCGCTCATAGTGAAAGGCATGGGGTACTCTGGAGTCCAAGCGTCGCTTATGAGCGTCTCGCCATTCGTGGTCGGCGCATGTGGGCTCTTCGTTTTCGTCTATCTTAGCGATCATTTCAGGGAGCGTAGTATAATCGTCTCGTCAAGTATGGTGCTGGCGATTGTGGGACTTGTGGTCATGCATGTGAGCGACAAGCCAAAATTGAGATATGGCTTCGTGCATGTTTGTCTTGCCGGGGCATTCACCGCGGGGCCACTGATCGTAGCATGGTTGGCAGGGAACACGCCGGAGAAGGTATGTTCAAATCTTCTGCTCGCGGGCAGTAACGTACTGATGAGACATTATAGGCCAAGCGGTCAATCATCATTGGTATCAACGGCTACAGCAACCTTGCAGGCGTTATCGCTGGGCAACTCTTCAAGTCTAAATATGGGCCGCACTGTAAGCTCCATATCTTCACACGGGTGAAGTAAATGCTTACAATACTAGACCGGTTTCCTCTCATGATGACAATGATCTTGATTGCAATCGGAGCAGTCGGTTTCATATCCATGAGAATGCTGCTCATGTGGGAGAATCGTCGGCGAGCACGCATTATTGAGACGTGGACGGCGGAGGATTTTGAGCGAGAGAACGAGAGCCAAGAAAGGCGGGGTGACGCGAAATTGTCTTTCAGGTACGGTTACTGAAAGGCCGAACGGGTACGTAGGAATAGGTGAGAGGCACACGGCCACTAGTAGCCTCGAAAGTGAAAAGGGGTTTAGAATTCAAAGGGAGTGGTAGCAATACTCCTCCATGGGCCCCAAAGCTGCGCACAACAATCGCTCATGTATACGTTCCCTGTTGCGTACCTCCCGACTTAATAGACTCGCCATAGATGTTGCATGTTTCAAGACAAAAGGCCTCCGCGATTCCACTTCTGGACCGGTGGCAAAAGCCAAGCACGCGTCGGCGCATTCCATGTACCCTTCAGAGTCGCAGCGCTTCGCGATGTTGTCGCTCACTTCGCTAACTGCAGATACTATACGGATCTTCAGAAGTTGATCCTGCAAACTTAGGGGAAAATAGCATCGGCATGTGTGACGTATGACGGCGTACAAGGGCCGCGTGGTCAGAGCGCGCTGCGGTTTAGATTGGAGTTGCCAAGGTAGCGGCAGCCAGAGCGTAGCGAGAAGAGCTGTAGATAAGTGCATTTTTGACGTTTTGTAGATATTGGAACTCTTATAATGAATGGAAGTAGTTGCTTGGGTAGAGTGATGATGAGGAGTGAACATGTAGGTTTTTATAGATTTTGGAAACCTTGAAATAACGAACACCTATCTGGTCCCCATTTGGATGTCACATCTTTAATTTCTTAAAATAACATAACCCTGCCCAATCCTAAACATGCTGAAATCTGGCCAATGCATCCGCTTCTGGCCCATAATCCAGGAAGCCTGAGCTTCTGTGGAGCAGGAATACTAGCAACACATGTCTCTGAAAGCCTAATAGCCCAGACTAACATTTCAGACACAGTTCTGCGCCTATCAATCATCTCTAGCAGTATTGTGGACGCCAAGTATCCTGCAAGAAGAACCAAGTTGAGCGATTATCATCGGTCCAGGAAAAGCTATGTGTATGACCAAATCAACGATGCAAGAGCCGAGATGCATCGAAAATGGCATCTTTAATCGATGTTAGAATAATTGTCTTTGCTATAACTATCCTAGATAACCCCATTTCTGAACTACAGAGTTCCATGCTTGATCTTTCAACGACGCACTGTTCAAGGTTGATCGGAAGTCACAAAACGGAAGCTGCATAACGAGCAGTACAAGCATTGCGGTCATGTACCAGTACTCAGTGTTGGAAGCGATGTTTTATGCCGAGGGTCGCCTGAACGACACACGTGGATCGCTTGATGTATACGAGCTTGATGCATAGAGCAGATCGTAGCAACCCCAGTTACAATTGCCCAGCTTATACATGATAGGGTTGCTTGAATTCAATGAGTAGTCGTGCTCCAAAACAGGCATTACGACAAGCTGCTGGGATGCATGAAAGCCTAGGGAAGCTTATCTGCGTGCGTAGAGCTAATTTCACAGCCGTATCATGAGTGTGAGATCCAAAGCGGCTGGACTCAAAATCATCGCAGGATGTGAGCCTGAGTCACGCTATTTAGATCACGTGGGTCTGCGATCGACTCCGTTCAGCTCTGAAGCGACGGCTGACAGTTGTGTGTATTGTCTGAGGCAGTGATTTGCTGATACACGGGTCATTACTTTCCAAGTTGAAAGATTTGCGTCAGGTTGAGTGTCTACTTTCGACGAGCCAATGCATGAATATGTTCCTGAACACGGTACTCTACCGCCGATCTATAGTATGTCGCGGGTTTTCGAGTCGAATTTGGACGGGGCTCGTTCAAGCAATAGAAAGCTTCCAGAGAATACCGAGAGATCGGCGCCTATTGCCTACTGCCCCGGGTCAGGCTCAGGCTTATATACACAAGTCATTACACAAGGGCATCGAAATTAGAAACTAGGAATCTGGTCTACAGACATGATCGGAGTACCTGTAGCATGAGAGGGACGATCAGGCAGCTTAGTGGGCAATGAGTTGCTTTGTTGAACTCGCAATCGCACCACCTCCTGCAACATCAGTAGGGTTCCTTTTTCCCATCTACCTGAAGAAATCGTATGCTCTCACACGAGAGCGTTGTGGGCGACAGGGTGAAGGAGAGCCCCACGTGCACCGCACGATGCAACATCCACAGTAACGGGTGGGAGGGGATCCGAACATGTGGAGAAAGGAAATGGCAGGGGCTGTAGTGCCGATATGCAACCAATTGTCGGGATATAGACATGCATATACCTCGATCTTTCACATACGACCATAGGACACTGAAAACTAGGCTTCCCGTCCGCTCAGCCATATATAAGCAGTGTACCGGCGAATCAGTAGTTGCGTGGGTGACCAGCAGCGAATCCCCGCTGTTGTATGTTTTTTTTTTGCCTTTTTGGGCAAATTTTTGACATTGTGTGCATGAATCACGTGATATTTCCGCGTAGCGAGATAAGTGCGAAACAAACGAGTCATGACGCTCTGCAGCTAGGATTAGAGAGATTAGCTCGCAAGTTTTTGCTCGTTGCTTTTGCGAGAAAGCCTACATTGCCAATGATGTCCATGGCGGTATGCTGTCGCCCTGAATAAGACATTCACGGCCAGTCACCCTGGACATCACATCGCCCAAAAATCCAGAGACATTGTTCAGACGTGTCAAAATATTCAGTTTGGTCTACCTACAGCATAACGCCTTCTTTCATGTTAATGCTCACAAAAGTTGTACGTGTGATTGTGCCAATTGCCCTCGCTCTCGTCTACAAACGCTGTCCTCATCTCCATAAGCTTCAACCTATGCTCCTTAGCCTCTTGTTCGCTCAATAAGCCCTTGTCCTTGGAACTAGTAAAGTCGTCCCATACTATGTCCATCAGCTCAACCGGAAGCTTGCCGTCCTTCCCATCTTCAGCAACCGCGAGCGAGTTGAGCGACGCTTTCTCCATGCGCGACACCACGTCTTCTGACGTTCTTGTGTCACTGAAGACTGCTTCAGCCCACCAATTCTGCTGCTGCGGTGGCACATTGGCAGTCGAGATGATACGCTGGTGCGGGTCGACAAGCCAGAGCGCAATGAAGCGGCGATGACCCGGCTTGGTCTTATCCACCAGGGAAAATGGCGACACGCGATGCTGGAATACGTTTGGAAAGGCAAGCAACCTCCCTTGAGTTGTTTCCACGCTTCCGTAGTTCTGCAGACAAGGTCCGTCATCCCCTAGCGGAGTGCCCCAGATTTGTTCGAGCCAGCCATAAGCCTGCTGCCGTAATCTGTAATCCTCGTGAATGTATGCGTCGGTCTGCATGCGAAACGAAAGGGAGCTTGGGGTGACGTTCTCGCTGTCGAGATAGTAGAGTGCTGTGGCGCAGATGCGTTCGTTCATCTGACCTTCGACCTATGCGATCGTCAGCAAGCGATCGTCGAGCTGGTAATGTATTCGACTTACATGCCATGATCCAACAGGAAAGTCCGGCTTCTCCGGCGTGAGCTCAATAGAAACCATCTTCACAATGATTTGAAGCCCCGTTTCGCGAAAGTTGTCGGAAAGCCGCGTGCCTTCCTTCCGTCTGTACTCGACATCCTTGAATTCGGCTTCTGGGATACGAGCCTTCCGCAGCAACTCCCATTTCTTCGCCTCTTCGTCATCATCGTCTGCGTACACTGGTCTGAACTCCCACGAATGAACTTCATCCCAATTGACCTCGACGTCAGCCAACTCTTTCGGATCAGAAGGTATCCAGTTCTTCGGTATGTCATCACTTGCGGGGAAGGGTCAACAACACTCAACAGCCGTTAGATAGTTAGGACTTACTCAGCGCCGTCTTCGTCAGGGTATGCAAAGCGAGAAGTCGTTCTCCGTTCCAGTGCATCATCACTGTCGTCTTCGTCTCCCTCGTCAGGCGCAAGACACTGGTCCCACAGAGGAAGCGCAGTTTGAATGAGTTTTTCGATCGTATGATACATACCGGCGTATCGCTGAGGGTGAAGGTTATTGATATAACTGGCGAACTTCACCTTACCGTCGTTCTGGAATGTGACATTCGCCGGTAGCCACTGGTATGTGTCATTCCAGTACTCTGGCGGAATGTCACCTCCAATGCCAGACAAGCGATTCTCGTCTTTCGTCTTGTCTTTCGGGATGACCTCACCTTTGCCAGACCACCTGGAAATAGCACCTTCAATGCCGACAACTTCCTCCTTGATGACCCTGCTGTACCCGTAGATCAAGGGGTACATTGATGGGTGTACTAAGTCCAGGACCATGTCATTCGATTTGGGATGCCAGTCAGGAGAATCCGACTGGTCAATTATAAGCTTGCCGAATGCTTCACGCAACTCTTGGTGGAGTGCGGATGGAATCAGTATATCTGACTTAGCGACCGATGCGGTTGCATCCAATGTAACAACGATTCCGGTTTCCTTGAAGTATTTCGCTTTGCTGCGAAGTTCTTTGATGATCTGAAGTGTGTCAGCTGGCACTGCAAGGCTTGCCTATGGTGTCTTGCATTTTCTCGACTTACACAATCGAAGGTGCTATCATTAACGACACCATCCAACTGACATCGGGCCCAAATGTAAGGGTGATCATCTTCATCCTCATCGTACATATTCTGGTCTTCCCCAATGTCCTTACCCGTCGTCGCAATATTCCACCACTCAATATCTGGGATCGCTTTCACTTCTGCGCGCCACTTTTCCACGATCGTCTCATCCCAAACTTTCTTGTCCCAATCTATCTTGTCAGTAAGACGGTCCATGATGTGCATCATGGCCAGCTCCCGTACAGGTAGCAATTCGGTGTGGGAGCCCGAGCAGCTGCCATGAGCACCGATGGGATAATAGTTCTGCTCATCAGCCTCGATGCGCAGCGGCAATCCGAGGCCCGGGTAGGGCGGTCCAGTATGCGGACCTGGCATGTAGTAGATCTTTCGGTGTTTTGTCATCGCTGTTGCCCGATAAGTTACGAGACTTGCAATGAGTGCGCATCGGTATCCATACCGAGGACGCCGTACGCCTCTTATGTACCCACTGCTCGAATATCCTTGGTCGTTGCTGCCTACGGTGCCTAACGCACTGGCTTTGGCAATGATTTTGTAGTAATTGAGGTGGTCGGTGTATCTTGCTCGTCTCGCACGGGTCTAGGCAGATGTTAGCGCTTGCCGTGTCCGTCCGCGTCAACACCCTCAACCACGCCGCAGTAGCTGCGCAGTATGATTTGATAGGTTTGCTTCCCTTTGGTTTCACTTGATTGACTTGTGAGTCAAGTGATTAGTGAACTGCGCGCCTTTACCTAAGGCGCCATACTTAGGCCTACCCAACGTTATAGTAAAAGAAAGACACAGTACAACGATTTGCCCCGAGCTGAACTTCTGATTGGCTTACAACGAGACAGTCAGAGTGACGGAGTGACTCGACCCTTCGCGCTAGAGTGCCTGAGCAATAACAGGAGGGGTGTGATACAGACGTTCGTCCCAGGAAAACATTTCACAATCTACGCAGCACAAACATCCTTCTTCGCATCTTCTTTCATCACGTCGCTCGCCTTCTCGCTGATCATAAACGTACTCACGACTGGGAACACCCCCGGCGTCTTCGGAAAAGCCGACGCGTCGACAACCCTCAGCCCCTTCACGCCTCGCACCCTGAACCGGCCGTCCAACACAGCCTGAGGATCGCCGTCTTTTCCAATTGCCGCAGTGGACGTGGGATGGTGTCCAAAGGTCTGTCCAGTGACTGCGACATATTTAGGAACTTATAATACAAAATAATAGAGGAGGATATGACTTACTCCAGTCCTCATCTGCCTGCCCACAATAACCCTGCGCATCCGGGCCTTCAGGGCACGGCGGCTCTTTGGCCTGGACACTGACGCCTTTCGCACCGACATACATTTTGCGCGCCCATGCAATGGTGTCTTTCATTGCGCCCATATCAATCTCCTTACCCTCCTCGAAAAGCATGAAATTGATTTCAGGCGCATCCGTCGGATCACCCGAAACCAGCTTCACGAAGCCTTTCTTATTCTGTGGCTTCCCTTTCACCATGCTAATACCATACGTATTGGGCGCGTCCTGTGGCAAGGCTGCATTTGTCTGGTTCGCTGGCCAGAAGCCGCGAAATGCGAATTGCCCCTGCATGAGGAACATGTCGCGTTCACCGTCGGGTGAATGGGGGGTCTTCATCATAATAATGGGCTGGGAGAATCCGGCGCTTGTCCCGGAGTATTGGCCGATGATGGGCATTTCCTGGTTGTCTTGGAGGTTTCTTCCTACGCCTTGCGCGTCGACTACAAGAGGGATGTTGAACTGTGCGAGCTGCTCTTTAGGCCCGATACCACTGAGCATGAGGATCTGCGGTGTGTTGAAGGTCCCGCCTGAGACAATGACTTCTTTCCGTGCGTTTGCGGTTTTGAGCGTGCCTTTATTGGAAGAAGAGAAGCGGGCATCGGCCTTGTAAATTGATTGGCCCTGGAGATACTCTACGCCTGTCGCTCGTGGCTGGCCGCCACAGGTTGTTCCGTTAGCGAACAGTACCCTTGTAGCAAGACTGTTCATACTCAGCGTCAAAGGGAACTTCCTCTGAATCGTGTCTTGGATATAGTCGCGCGAGCTGTACCGATCACCAGTAGCTTTTTGATGCATTGGTAGACCCCATATCCCCGTCGTCCAGTCGCGCTGTGAATCGAGGTAGTTCGCATCCGAACCCATCCTGGTAACAATCTCCGACTGCGTGGTGGGCAGCGAGAAGTTCTGTGCGATAGCTTGCACAATCCCTAAAGCGGGTTGCCCTAGGCTCACTGGCTTGTTCATGTTGGTCTGGAAGTAGCCGTCGAAGCCGTGGCCTGCCGTTCCTTTGGGAACATAATTGTTTTTCTCGATGCGTTGGAAGATGCTGCGCATATTGTCCGAACTGCACGAGTTAGTACACAACTTGCACAATCTTGTGCCAAAGGTTGGAGTAATGCATTGCACGCCCTAGGGTAACACAGGGCACTGAAACGTTTGACCATGCACATTAGTGTAGTTCGTAAGACTTACTTCCACGAAGCATCGCCGGTAAGATTTTGGATGTAGTTCCAGTCGCTGTTCGGTGGCAGCCATGTGCACATCTTATTTATCATACTCGAGCCGCCAACACTACTTCCGCGCGGATAGTACACGCCCAGAAAGGTACTGCCAGCGGGTGGCGTCGCATCTCCTGCCGCAACCCAGTACCTCCCCTCCTTGGTCTTCCATGTGAGGTGTTTGTTCATCATGTTCTTCTTGTCATCCGCATAGTGCCTGACGAAGAAGTCCCAAGTGATCTGTGGTGGGTATTCCGCGTTACCTGCCGTGGACTGGTCGCCAGCCTCGAGAAGAAGCACCGAGTAGTTTGCGCGTGCGAGGTTCGATGCTAGAGGGCCGCCGCCGGGACCAGAGCCGATGACGATGTAATCGTAGGTGTCTTGCGCAGTTGAAAGCGAGACGATGGCCAGGATGGCCGCGACGTGTAGGAAACGCATGGCGACGCAATATCGTGAGTAAAACTTTTGTTGATGCGCCGTCTCATAAGCCTCGCGTGGAGTGACCGGTGGAGTGGATCGAGGAGGCTGGCATATAAGATATTGGATTGCTGAATTCCACCCGCCAGATCAGCTTGAGCATCTGCCGCTGCCATGGACTATTACTCTGGACCGCAATTGTCCTAGACCTTCACTTGCTTCATCAAGCACTTTCCAAACCCACAATCTTTGGGAAGAAGCATCGCCAAGCTCTGCTATACATTGTGCCAAGTGTGGGGCATACACTCGTAGAAGCTGGAGGAACCATTGATATCCAGCGACCATGATGGATACTCCAATGATAGCTTTTTGCGTTTCCAGGGAGTATACGTGACTGCTGGGGATAGATGATCAGGCTTGGCTTTGTGCAGAGCGACGCAAGTTGACAATCGGCAACATGAGAGCGATGCGATAGTGGAAAAGAACCTGGCCCTAACAAGATCGAACGTATACGAAAGATGGCCCCTGAAAGTGCTTATATATATGAACAGTTGGGATAATGCAAAGAGCCGGTAGCACAAAAGTGGGGTAAAACCAATCCAAATTAGACCGCGCTAGCCGTTGTTGGATCCAGAATGAATGGTAGGTTTTCACCTGTTAGTCGAAGGCTGCTTCCAGAAATACGTTTGAGAGGCGATCCATTCTAATGAAACAGTGTGTTGTCCTGGGTTCAGTGTGTATCTCGTACTGTGCAGTGACGTAATGAGTTGCAAAAGGCAACTGCTGAGCGGGATCGGGGAAGTTTTTGCGCTATTCGGCACGGTGCAAACGCTATCGCGAAAAGCGGAATGAAACATTTCAATGTCACTGTGACCAGAACGGAAATCGCATGACATGTCTTGCTTGATGGTGGTGATAACTCGTCGACGATAACGGTCTGTGCACGTCGGGTGCGGATCCGAGGTACGCAGATTTTGCTCAGCCATGACTCTTGGAAATCACGAAACACCGCGGAGGCATCTTTGAGTACAATGGCTATACGATATAGCGAAGCGCTCGGTATCATCAAATCAGTTGCGGAAGACAAACTTGGGCAGGAAGATGGAAGAGATGTTGATGTTGTACCTCTGGAAGATGCCGTTGGTCGCACTGCAGGAGAAGACCACGTGAGCCCGGTTGCAACACCACTCTTTGATGCCTCGACCGTCGACGGATATGCCATATCATCGGCTGCTACTGCGAACGCCACGAAGAAGCGACCAGTCACATTCATAGTAAGAGGGGCCATCACGACGGAGGAAGAACTACGCAATGGTATGCCATCGAGTGGCGGTGGAATACCATCATGCTTCGAGATCAAGACAGGAGCGCGGTTCCCGACTACCACGACCATCCACTCACTGGATGCCTGCGTGAGGGCTGAAGACGTCGTAACCACGGCTTTCGGCGGACAGAAGATGATAACCGTCGTGGAGCCAATACCGAAGAATGCGAACAAGAGATCGGCAGGTTCGGATATTCAGAATGGAGAGAGGTTGTTAGAGAAAGGAGAAAAAATCCAGGCTCGGCATATCATGGCCCTTGCATCTGCAGGCATCACTGGGGTTGCAGTTCGACGGGCCCTGAGGATTGCGATATGGTCCAATACAGACCTGCAAATAACGGGCGCGAGCGTCTACTTCCTTATTGCTGCTTTCCGAGAGCTTGGCGCATATGTTGATTTTAAAGGCGTCTTGGAGGGCAGCACAGATACATTATCGAAAACCGTCTTGCAGCAAAACGGCAATGCTGCATACGATGCAGTGATAACCACCGGTGGCGTCTCCATGGACTTGAAGTTGGCCTTGAAGACATTGAATGCTCGCATACGGTTCGATGATGTTGCCATTGAGCCTGGTCGTTCTGTGCTGTTCGCTACACTGCCAACGCCCTACATCTCTCCATTGGTGGCACTTCCTGGAAGCCCTGTAGCGACAGCAGCCTGTTTCCGCTTCTTGTTGGTGCCTTTCGCCATGCAGCTTTCTGGCGACAGACAGAGTGTTCCCAAGATTCTCAAGATGCAGGCGAAACATGACTGCCGGAATCTCTCAGTAAGCTGCCCGCCTCACTCAGATTGCTTCAAGCATGGTTGGATCCAACGGAACAACCGAGGGGAGGAGTATGTTCAGCTTGGCTCAGACCAAAAGCCTGCAAAGGTGTCGCACTTCGCTGCATCAGATTGCTGGGTGCATGTGCCGAGAGGCCATACCGGGAGTTACAAGGACACGCTGGTGTATTGTTACCCTCACACGTCTGGCAGTTCCATGTGAGGGAAGAGTGTCCAACACTTCACAGGCTTGGCCGCTGCCACTTCAACGCCGCAATTCCGCATTCGGCCGGGTGCGAGGGGCGGTCGATGCTGGACTCGGCATATGCGTACGATGCCCAGCATGTCGGGTATTCTGTCCGTGTCAGGATGAAGGTCAAGAGATGAGTACGGAGCAAGCGAGATGGCGATAATCGTGGCCCACTCTCGGCGAGGCGAGACGCGCTTACGACGGCTGCGGAGCCTCAGAAGAAAATTGACGATATGTTGCGGACTCGAGTCGCGGTCAGGAGGTTCCCCAGGCCATGCATCGAGCGTGATGAGGGACGCGGACACGTTCATGGCGCATTGTTTTAGCTTGTTGGTGGCTCCTTCCTTGCCTTCTCGCACGTCATCTTGGTGCGCCCCACCTCCTCATCAACACAGAACATGCTCCCGCCTCTTCACCTCATTTTCGATAATCCGAAGTCTCTGTCGTTGGTTTCGAATACTCGCGTGAAACAATGCGGCGCTATGCGATGTGGCGACCGATTGGTGGGAGTTCTCGCTCCAGTTTCGAAACAGCGGAAGTGGACGAACTGGCAATCTCGCTTCTCACCCTCAGACTCCACCCGCATAATCGGGTGTTCTATCGACGCCACCGCACCAAAGATGCACCACGTATCCACCGTGAGCCTCACGACTACGCTTGATTCGGCAACCGCTTGAACTGTTGGCGCATGGTGCAGCGGCTGTCATCCCACGTCCACGGGTGCCCTGGCACCATCCATCAACCTCTGGCGCGCGGTACGGGAATGGATGGAACTACTTTGTATGCGAGGAATTCGAGGGCTGGCGATCATGGAAGCCGAAGATCCAGGGGCCATGGCAATGTATAAGAGTTTCCCTGCCGCCCCACGTTTTTCTTTTCCTCGCAGGCAAGTCCTACACGACTAACATTCGTTTACTTCGTCCACTTTCACTCTTTTCCAACCACATTCATTCATTTGTCGTGATCCGGGATCACCTACTTGCTTTGTACAATGTTCTCCAAGACCATCCTCGCTTCCTCCCTCATTGCGGCTGTGTCCGCTCATCAGAACTTCCACCAGTTCTGGGTCAATGACGAGACTCCCGGCTACCAGGTCGGCATCCGGATGCCGCCGTCCAACAGCCCCGTGACGGATGTCACGAGCGAAGATATCGCATGCAACGTCAACGGACAAACCGGCGTGGCCGACACTGTTGCCGCCAGCGAAGGCGACACCATCAAGGTTCAGTGGGATCAATCTGGCCACCCTGGCCCAATCACCCACATGCTCTTCGGTCCCGTTGACAGCGCGAAGGCTGCGACCGGCGTTGGTTCGTGGTTCAAAATCGACGAACTCGACTACGTTGACGGCAAGTGGGCCAACGAGATTATGGGCGCGGCCAACATGACGCACGAGTTCAAGCTTCCTACGGGTCTGCCCAGCGGCGAGTATCTCCTTCGTTCGGAGATGCTTGCGCTTCACGGCGCGCAGACCGTCGGCGGAGCCCAGTTTTACATTGGCTGCGCTCAGCTCAAGATCACCGGCACCGGCAGTGACGGCGCTTGCGGTCCTGAGATCAAGCTCCCCGGTGCGTACAACGCTGAAGATGCCAACATCTACATCCCCAACGTCTACAACGGCTTCGACCCCACCAACTACACTGCCCCGGGAGGACCTGTTGGCAGCTGCGGCGGCTCTGGCTCCACCGCGCCTGTGTCGTCCAAGCCCTCTAGCAACAGCACCACACCTGCGACCTCAGCCGCCGCTGCGTCGAGCGCTGCTGTATCCACAAGCGTCAGCATCGCCTCCAATGTTGCTGTATCCGATGTAGCCGCTCCCACCTCGAGCGCCCCGGTTGCTTCCGTCACAGCTGCCCCTGGCGGTAACACCACTGCCTCCGCCCTTCCCAGCCTCGTCTTCCCCAGCACGTTCCAGACCTCGGTCGTTGCTGCTCCCAGCACTTTCCAGACCTCCGTCATCGCTGCTCCTACCAACAACACTGCTCCTTCTGCCCCAAGCTCCACTGGCTCTGTCGGAACAATAAAGAAGTATGGCCAGTGCGGTGGCAGAAACTATCTTGGTGCTACGAGCTGCGAGAGTGGTTCGACCTGCACTGTGATGAACGACTATTACTCGCAGTGCGTGTAAGGGTGTCGATGGGACACGGGTGGCGGAGCATAGGACATTACTGATGGTGATGGAGAACTAACTTCTTGTATATATATATCATACTTTCTCTGGTCCAAACAATATAGGCCTGTACATTCTTCAGCCACTTCCCCATCCTGCAGTCTATCGTGTTGCACTAGTGTGCCTCGTACATCTTAGCGACCCTTTCGCGCCCCAATTTGCCGTCTCTCAGCCTTCATCCCCATCCCCGAGCAATGTTCCTAATCCCTGCTCCAATGCCACAGCTCGCCTCGCCGCCCACCAGAATTCATCGCCGGCCAAGAGCACGCGGACCGCGCGGAAGAAGTGGTATAACATAAGCATGGCGCGGGGATCCCGGGCGGCAATCTTGCCACCAAACAAACCACGGCTCAAGATGGGGAAGCAAAGGATGTGGCGGGCGATTCTCGTTGATATTGATGTAGCGGACGAGGTAAGCTGAGATGATGAGTAGATTCTGTGCGATATTTGGGTTAGGTGGAGGAGGGGCGTGAGTGCGGCAATGACGGCCGTATATGGGGAATTATCTGCAGTGCTTTGGTGATCTGATTGCTTGCTGGTGATCGGATCGTCGGCATAAGTTGACGCGACAAGCGAGAGATCTTCAGGCACGACTTTGCGTTCGCATAGAAAGAGGTCGCGCATCTGGGCTGCGGTAGCTGCATCAACGGGCACTGCGTCTGACAGCGTGCCGTCGTTGACCAGCCACTGCATCACGCTCGACCGGTGTACATCGCTGGGTTCGAAGCATCCCAGAAGAATGTTCTTCAAGCTCGCGCTGTAGGTGAATAGCGCGTCAGTCCCGGGATCGTATATTCCACCATCTTCCCCTGCATCCTCTTCTTTGCCAGAAAGATGGCGGACATTAGCCCACAGCTCGAACTGCAGTAGTAATGCTGTCGCCATGAACACGTCGATATTCGCTTTTGAGGACTCCACACTGAGTGAGCTGCGGAAGCCAGAAAGTGCGTACGTTAGATGTGTGGATGCCACGCCAGCATAGTGTGATGTCCGCTCCCTGCAAAGATAGGATAGATGCCGTGCGGATATGCAGAGGATGGCGTGGAGGAGGAAAGGGAAGGAGAAAGATAGATGCGTTATAAGGTGCCAGACGGGGCCGGGCAGGAGAAGTGTTGAGCGAGTGTAGGTCTGGAAGTGGTGGAAGAGCTTGACGTTTGTGAGGGTCAGACGGGCATTGGTGGGTAACAGGTGTTGGAGTACTGGAGTGCGAGGTTGTTGTATGACGGAGTTCTGGGATGATCTCTTGGAAACGCGATCATGTATATGGTTCCGGGCCCGTGAGCAGTGCTCTTTTCGCTGAACACAGTTTGAGCATGGGAAAGCTTCGTTGCACTATCGTGCGTCAGCCCGAGAGCATTAGAAGGTCTTGTTGTACTAACTTTAACGCGACGCCTTTTGCAAGCTGCACAACCATTGTTGGATTTTGAATGCGCGCGTCGCTCCCGGTGAGCATCTTTCGCTAGGAACTCTGGGACTTCATGAAGGACTGGGTAGTGATTGGAGGTAGATGAGGGAGTGAGGATGAAGGTGCTGGTGAAGCTTTGCATATTTCCCGCGCTGCCTTCTTGAGTGATATGGGAGGACTGACTGCTCGTGTCGCAGGTTAACCCATTGTGGTTCGTATGTTCTTTTCTGGGAAGAGTGATAGAGAGCGAACTCTATCTCCTATCTCCGCATGGCGCTTTCCCAATTGGCCTCGTATCGCTCGAAAAGGTTTAGCGCAGATTGACCATCAGCAATAGGTCTACCGCAGATGCTTCATCCACTCTTCTTGTGGAAATTGGCATAATCGAAGACGCCAACTTGCACAGTACCAAGGAAATTCTATAAAGACAGCCATCTTGCTCTCAAAGCCTTCCATATTTCTCCTGCGTTCAGTGGTGCATCATGGTCGCCTTGGCCGAAGTCATCGCTTCAAACAAACGTATCGCAACATCCTTTCCTGATGGACTTATCGCCGTATTCATTGGAGGTACCAGCGGGGTCGGTGAATACACCGTGAAGGCCTTTGCTAGATACGTCACCAAGCCGCGCGCTTACATTGTTGGACGGTCCGAAGAGGCGGCCGACCGCATCATCAATGAGTGCAAGAAGCTCAATGCTCAGGGCCACTACGAATTCATTCAAGCAGATGTGAGCCTCATACGCAACATCGATGGTGTATGTCACCATATCCAGAGCAAGGAGAGCGCCATCAATATCTTGTTCCAAAGCCAGGGATCGATGGGGTTCACAAAACGTGTGTCCAGTCCTGGCTCCATCATTGAGTAGTAACGCTTATCTAGTTCATAGAGACTTCCGAAGGCCTGCCCTTAGTCGCAGCTCTCGCCGTCCACGGCCGAACACGCTTCATCCTAAACCTCCTTCCTCTTCTCCAGAACGCTCGTCACCTGCGCCGCGTCGTCAGTGTCGGAGCAGGCTCATTCGAAGGGCCCATAGACACAGACAACATATCCGGGGTTGGTTTTCCTATTCGAAAGTGGCGTGATCAGTTCGCTTCATGCATCACGCTACTTCTCGCCAAAGTAGCGCAACAAGCTGCGGATGTTGGCTACGTGCATACATGTCCCGGTGTTGTGGAGAGTGGCATAATGCGCGATATGGAACCTACCTTACAATTGAGGATCATGGTGGCCATCACGGGATTGCTCGCACCGCTGCTCAATACGTCGCCGGATGAATGTGGGGAGCGTCAGTTGTTCGCAGCTACTAGCGCCAGGTATGGGCATAAGAAGAGCCAGCATGAAGCTCTGGGTGTTCCAGTAGAAGTTGCTGTGGGCCAGGCTAGGGGTATCGACGGACAGATGGGCAGTGGAGTTTACTCGACATATGTAAAGGGTGAGAGCGCGCCACTGAAGACGGAACGACTATTGAGGGACCTCAAAGCGAGTGGTGTGGCGGAAAAGGTATGGCAGTATGTGCTATCCGACTCTGTTAAGGTCACTGGAAAAGAAAGGATGATGTAGAAGTGACAACATACAGGATGGGCAGTGGGCAATCTGTAGTCAATGTCGATCACCAGAATCAGGCCATACATCGTAGTGAAAACGGCGTAGCATTTGGTTTTGACCTACAGATCCATGAAAAGAATCAAATTTATTATCTAGTAGCCAATAGATACAGGCTTCTGGTCGCTTCCATACCCGCCCACGAAGTATCCCTCAAACCCGCTCACACCCTTCCCGGTGCGGTTCGTGGGAGGCTGAGGCCAGTTTTCAAGTATGACTTGGTCGCCAGTTAAAGTGAAGTTGAGCATAGTCAAGGGTTTGTTGTCGATGAGCAGAGAGTAGTCACCAGGGTACAAGACCTTGTTGCCCTTTTCGTCGACGCGCGCCAACGATCCAAGGGTGAGGTTAAGGTTGGCGGTATCCGAAGAGCCTCCGTTGATGGCGAAAAGACGCTGATACGAAACAAGCGACTTCTTCGGGTGCGGCGCAGGGCCAAAGTTACCAGCGAGGTAGGCAAGGGTGACGTAGTCTGAAGTTGTCTTTCCCGTGTTGGTGACTTCGACCTGGACCGGTGCGCCGAAGGAGCACAGATCAGGATACTTTGCGTTCGAGTCCTTGCAAATGGTCATCAGATCCGAGATAGCGTAGGAAGAAGATGTGTTAGACTTGATAGAGGCAGTAAAGTTGGTGTAGTGCAAGCCAGTTCCGAACTCGAATACAGCAGTGCCGTTGTACCACTTATACGTGCGCCCAGGGTTGCTACGGCCTGGCCTAAGAGACATGTCTGTCATGGGCACCTCGTTGATGAAGGACGCCGGGTACTGGGTTGTAGGCAGGCGACCTGCCGGCGCGGCCTTTCCAGTGATGATGTCCAGGATAGCAACGCCTCCGTCTTGCCCAGGGTAGCCGCCCCAAAGCAATGCCGAGATGTTGGGGTTGTTTGCAATCGGCGACGAATCAATTTGTCCCCCACCCATCTGCACGACGACCATTGGCTTACCTTGCTGGGCAAGTTGTCCGATCACGTCAAGCTGTGCGCCGGTCCATGCAATAGAGCCGCGGTCCATGCCCTCTGCCTCGACGCCGTTGTTGATACCACCAACGTAGATGATCACATCGCTAGCATCGGCGGCCGGCCAGATCGAAAGCCATGATCCAGTAGTTGGGTCACCCTGGCCCCCGGGTCCTTGGGCATAGTTGACTGTGACGTTGAGCTGTTGGGCTGCCCAGAGCGGGCTGTGGAGATAGGTCGAGATGCCCGCATAGTTGCCCAGTAGGTCGGATGTAGCATTAGCCCAGTCGCCAAAAAGGCCGAGAGACGTGGACGAATCCAGGGACAGGGGTAGCACGCCATCGTTCTTGAGCAGGACAATGCCTTCTACCGCAGCCTTGTAGGCAAGCTGTTGCGAGGCATTGGTTGCCACAGACTCAAAACCGAGTTGGCGGTAAGGCTGGTTCTCAGGCGCGTCAAAGTACCCCAAACGAACCAAGGACGAATACTGGCGGACCAAAGCCTGGTCAAGCACAGTCTCGTTGACCAATCCCTGGGCAAACGCACTGGGTAGGTGGTCAGGCATGTAGGTACCGCAATTGACATCCGTACCGGCGATGAGCGCATCGGCAGCAGCTTGCTCGCGGGAAGAGCTCCATTGGTGAGGTAAAAAGATATTTTGCACAGCATCGCAATCACTAGTAACCCACTGCTCTTCGTTCGTCCAGCCCCAGTGCTCACGAAGGATGGTCTGAAGAAGGTAAGGATCGGCACAAGTCGGCACGCCATTTACGGAATCTAGTACTCGTTAGAAGGATGATTCTGGAAAAATCACAGAAAGCTTACTGTAGGAGCACATGAACGCTCCGACATTGGAGTCACGTGCACAGCTCTGGAAGGGGGGCAAGTAATATTCAACAAGATCCTGCTGCGAGATCTGAGCGTCGAATTGGTACCGGAGGTTGCCATTCCAGCTTTCGACGTCATACCCTGTGGGAGGATAAGATTTCGAACTCGCGTTGTGCTCCTGCTGTAAACTTACCAGCAAAGTGCTTGCAGGTGGCAACGACTCTCTTATACGGGTCGCTGGCATCGCCTTGCAGTCCTTTGATCAAGGCGTGGACATATGATGAAAGATGGTACGGATCCTCTCCAGGTGTTTCTGCAATACTCCGTCAGTTCAGTCATCGTAGTCTTGCATCACCGTGGCTTACCCTGTCCTCGGCCCCATCGAGGATCCCTAAAAGGGTTAATGTTCGGCGTCCAGAAGTCAAGACCCGTCCGGTTGGCGTTGTTGAATGCTCTGGCCTCGGTCGATATCACAGTAGCCACAGCTGTTATCAGCTCGTCATCGAACGCTGCACCCATAAGAATAGGTTGCGGGAACGATGTCGAGTAGCTGTAGTCGCCCTCATCGGAAAAGTTGGTGAAAGGTCCAGCTATGCCGTGAAGCCCCTCAGACCACCATTCGTAGGGCGGTATACCCAGGCGAGGAACACCTGGTGCAGTGCTGCCCGTGGCGTTGATTTTCTCCTCTAGCGTATAGAGTGAAACCAAAGCCCTGGCTCGCTCAGCCGGTGCTGTAGATCAAGTCAGCCGAGATCATATAGAACACTGCCGTGAGATTCATACATGCGGATGTGTTGCATAGAGTGTTGTTCTTCAGCGGGCCATTAACACAGTCAGGGAACAGCGCGTAAGCGCTACCTGCCCAGAGAAGCGTGAGGAGGTGACCGCGATTGACTGGCATGATGAAATTAATAGCTGGAATGCAAGGTATAGCAAGAGCTGGTGCCTACTTGACTTGATATCCTTATACCTCGTTCATGAACCACAAATACCGCACCGCGGAACGCGAAAACACTCCGTTACAACGGATGCGGGGTGCTGGGGAAGCTGATGCTCGGGTATGACGACATGAACACGCGTTTCGAAGCCGAACCCACCAAGAAGCCAAGTGCCGGGTACCATCGTGCCGCAAATGCTTGTGCTCAGCTTGGGGCACAGACGGTGATTGTTGTGAGGGGTTTGCGCCGTCTTTCGACTAGTAATCAAAATTAGGTGTCATTGGCCAACGGTTTAGGCAAAATAGATGATCTTCAACTCCGAACTAACATTGGAGCCGTAGCGGTGCGCTAGCCACAGATCGAACTCCATTTCTCGCCAATGCTCCCAATGTCTTGTTTATTATTCTATTCGGAGGTTTAAGGCAGGCACAAAAACGTGGAGTATTGTTAGACTAAACAAATTGGGATGGTCGCATATCGAAACTGGAGTAGTTACGTCCGCGAACAGCAAGGGTTGAGGATGCACCGCTCCTGCTCTCCATTTGTGAGCTACTTGGTCTCGGTCGTAGGTAAGCTTCTGCTTACGAATCCCAAGATCCGCACCACGCGAAAGCCTCCGATCTACAAAAACAAAAGCCAGTGGTAAATTGACTCAATCAGCCCTCAGCGCCAAAATTGTCTGACAAGCGACATCTCAATACCTCGACATGGGTGGGCACGTGGATTCGGCCTCTAGTTGACAACAAACACCTGGACGCTGACCCTTGGCCTTCATAGGACTAGAATGGTGGAAATTTTGTAGGTGGTGGGATGATATGCCTTGTAGACCTGGAAAGCACCCTTGATGCCCTGGATAAGCCCGAAGAAAATGGACAAGCAAAGAATCAACACAACGTAGTTCATGCCTCATCGGGAGAGGAATGAGTTGCAGAACACAAAAACATGTAATGGATCTACGTGACTCTGTACCTCTGCACGAGACATTGTATTCGTACCGCTGTAAGATCTTTCGCGCCTGGTCTGGTATGGAATTGAGCAGGTCGTAAGCTGCGCAAGACCATTCCGAGTATGCAGATAAGCGATAGAACTCGTAGTGAGACGCTACAGGGTGTAAGGGTGTACATCCTGAATACGCTCAGAACATCAATCCAGCTGGTACCCAGATTGCAATGTTGCACCAAAAATATTGACACGATAAACGACAAGTACTGTCCAAGAGGCAGAACGCCGGGTAGCGTTAGGTGCCAACTTGAATACGAGCATTAATTGCATCTCACCAGCAGAACACCGGCAAGTGACGGCTGCACTATCCGACCCACTCGAGGATGATGCTATCCCACAAGATACCGCGCCACTGAGTGTACCTATCAACCGTAAAACTCAGCACGTTCCGCCCATTATGCAGATTCGAGCCCGGAAGCTCAAACTGCAATAATCGCCACTCTCCACTGGTCGTCCCAGATCGATACAGTGCCGGGTCATTCGTCTGAGTGTCCTTGTTAATAGTGCCAATTGTTGTATTCCCGTTTAGATATATCGTGAGTCCAGTGCTCTGCGAGTAGCCCGCCAAAGATAGAGAGAGCAAGGCGGTTGCGCTAGGGTTTGGGCGCGTGGTATTGAAGACTACATCCCACGTGCCGAGTTTCGAAGAGGCATAGTACCAATCCGACGTTTTCGATGTGCCGACCACGAAAGTTAGGTTTGCAGGTCCTTTCTCGGTGAGTCCATGCTGCCTTGGGGCGCCGCCATTCCTGAAACCAAGTGCTTTCTTGTCAAAATCACCGATTTGAAAAACGCTAGTGCGATTCTGTTGGACTTCCCAGGTCAACGTACGCAGGTTCGTAGTTTTCCCTTTCGTGATGCTGACGCTGCTTGTCGTGAAGTTTGTGTACACATCGCCGAGTGCTCCGCCGTTCGACCATGCGTATAGCCCATATTTTCCCGTGCGCAAGTGATCCAGAGAAAACTTTCCGGACGCGTCCGCATACGTGGTGTAGTAGTAGTTGGCGCCCTGAACAAGCGGACGAGTCGATGTATCGGTATCGCCAAGGAATATTGCAGCCCCCGCAGCAGGGCGGCCGTCGGATAGAACAAGTTTACCTTTGATGTTACCCCGTGAATGATAAGCTTCGTCCTGGAGAAAAGGATATGGCCAGTTTTTACGCTCTTTTTCAGCACGCTTGTGTGCATCGGCTACCGAGCCGTCATTCTAGCATATTGTTAAAAGCGGTGTCGCCACGCGGCGGAACTGAACGACCTACAAGATACCAAAGCCACGGGCCCCAGATTTTGCCTACAGGCTGGGGAACAGCGTTGCCAATCCTAAAGTGCGAAGTATCCTGCACAACGTTGAGTTGCACAGCGTCGCCTTTCGATGACTCGCGATGTACCTAAACCCGTTAGTCTCAGTTGCTTTTGTGTTCCGGCGTTCTTGGTACGGATACAAGACAAGATTTGCAACATCGAATTATGGTCTATCTCGAACCTTTATATCAGGGAGAAGCAACTTACAGTCAATGTCTGACTCAGTTGGGACCCTGGCTGATACTCATATGACGGATGAATGTACCACGAGCCAGTCTTATCGCCGTACACGCCTACGAAATCTCTTTCGCGCACATAATTCGAGAAGTCGTACTTGGTAATATACCTATATCATGTCAGAGAAAGTAACAGAGAGCGATCGATCTGCGTACGATCCATCGGCAAGTTGGAAGGTCTCGTCTTGCACTTTAGTCGCATTTGCATACAGAGAGAAGTCTGGAAGCGGTCCATCTTTGGTTGTGGTGTAGCCCTTCGTGAATCTTGCCGGGTCCAGACGCCACAAAGTACGGAAGATGGATATATCCGGGAGCGCTTTGTTGACGAAATATTGGTAAGCGCCAGCAAGGTCAGGATATATAACCCAGTGAAGCTCTCCGTATGTGGATGAGAAGCTGATATCGATATAATCAGGAGCATCTGACACGATCTGGGCAGAGGTATACTGAAGGTTGGATTCACCATCTGCATATATTAGCACTATCAAGTCGCAGATTCATCAGGGAACGCACCATATCCCGCGTAATGACCCGGTGCGCCTTTAACAGCATCTGAACCCTGGTATTGCAAGTTTGTAGCGTAGGTCTGACCTTGTGTTAGATTCCATATATCGTTGCCGAATATCCATGACGTCGAATTGATCTGTTGCAGGAAAGGCCCTCTGGCAGAAGCTGGGCTGACGGCAGCAGCAAAGCCGACGAGGAGATGAGCTCTCATGTTGGGGTAGTTCTTCTGACTGGCAATTCAGTGGCTTTTTCTAATTGCACATCACCATTTATGTCTTCTATGACTGAGCACGCAATCCCGATGCGATAAAACGATCACCCCTGCGATTTGCACAGGGACGCGTGGGTGGATCAAAGCTTGTTCGAAAGAAGCTGCTCCCTACGCATGCCCTACGGTTGACATGCAAGGATCGCGCGGCTCGACCGTTATCGCAATGGCGAAGAACATGGACTGGAGAATTTTTCCGGTGCGATAGGCACGTGTCTATGTTGTGTGGAGATGAGCCACGCGATCTGAGCAAAGCCCAATTCTGTGCAAAATACGCTTTGTCTTTTTGGCCTAGCAAATTTCGTAGCGCTTCACTACGCCTCTACCCAAGGGGATTCCAACAGACTTACATTAGGGCATATTTGGATGTATTTTCCCAAGATCTGTTACCAGCACGATGTTGGCTATGAATTTGATATGCGTATGGGAATCGGGTGATAGGTGGGAAATCGGGATAAATGTCACCGAGAACCCGCTACTCGCTCGGAGGTACCTTGCAGATCATTTTAAGTAGTGGATGACGCATTTCGCCTCATCAATTGCACGATTGAGACAACTCGAGAATTATTGTATAACTTAAGAGATAAAGGCGTGCTCAAAATTGAGAAATCTAGTACTTTAGGTGCCTAGACAAACTCCGTCAGTAACCTACAGCGAAATTCGACATTCGAAATGCACTTGCCAGCAATCAGCATCCTTCTTGGGTTTGCAGCCACTTCAATGGGCGAAACACTATTGTACCGCAATACCTTCAACGATACATCAGCACTCAACGGATGGGTTGCCGAAGGCCCAGTCAATGCCACTGTTTCCAACAACACCCTCACGCTCGCAGGCGCAGGCGGTCCAGACGACTACTTTGTGTACTGGGTACGCGAAGTCTTTCCCGATCAAATCCGTATCACATGGGAGTTTCAGCCAATCCAGGAACCGGGACTGGCTATGTTCTTCTTCGGTGCAACGTCTGTTGACGGCGGAAGCATCTTCGACCCGTCCTTGAAGCCACGTAACGGTTCTTATCCGCAGTATCATTCTAGCGACATTCGTCTCTTGCACGCTTCATACTTCCGTCGAAGGTGGCCGGAGGAGCGGAATTTTCATGTCGCGAATCTGAGAAAGAGTCCTGGGTTTCATTTAGTGGCGCAGGGTGCGGATCCTATTCCGTCGGTCGAGGACGTGCAGGGAGTGTATTACAAGCTCGAAGTTGTGAAGGACAAACGGGAGGTCACATTTAAGGTCAATGATCTGTTGCTATTCTCCTTTGACGACACGAAGACGAATACTGGGCCTGTGGTCAGGGGAGGGAGAATTGCACTTCGCGGTATGCAGCCGCTTATTGCAAATTATCGCAATCTTGAAGTTTGGAAGCTTTAGTGCTGAGATCGCTGTTCGGATATGTCGTACTAATTACAAGTCAACCCAATCTTTCTAATGCAGCACTACCATACGTTGTTTCTCTAGTGCTGTCAGGTTCCCTTTCCGCTGCGTTTGATGCTGCCAAACTTCTCCACATCCGCCTAATACCTTCATATCCACCTCCCCCATATCAGTTCTTGATATGTATGTACCTGAACTTGTCCTTCGACACAGTACGAGTGCCATATTTCTCTGGGTTGTTCCAATTGTACTCCTCAATTGTTACCGTCTTCTTCCCGACCTTAGTGACCCACGCGACATGGCCCGCCGAGCCTGCATCCGTCTGTGCGACACTCCCCACTTTGGGTGTCTTGTTGACCTTGACGCCAGCTTTCTTGGCTGCCTCATTCCACGTGTTCGCGTTGTGCCAGCCTTCGCCTTTGTAGTTGTTGGTAAACTTGACGCCAGCTTTGTTGAGGCGGTAGGCTACGAAGCTGGTGCATTGACCTAGAGTAAACTGTCAGAGGAACAGATGCATAGATACGACCGTGGAAGAGTGACGAATCGAAGGTTATTACGGACTAGGGTGCTAAGAATCTTAACGTACACCTGTAGAATTTCCAAGGATCCACACCTCCATTGCCGTTGCATTTTCCGGAGTAAGGGTAGTCATTGGCTCTCGTAACAAGCTCGCTTCGTGCGGCGAAGCCCTCATCTGTGGGAAGGGCAGAGGTAACAGCGGCTATTGCGCTCAAGATGACAGTGAATGAGAGCTTCATGGTGTAATAGTACGTGCAAATATCCTGCAATGTACAATGTAATTCTAGCTTGAGGTTGTTGCTGGGACCATAACCCCCTCAGAGGAACCTTATATAGTGTGAACGATGGAAATAGGCATGCGTGTGCAGATGCAAAGCGAGAGATGCGACCGTAATTGACATTGCTACTTCGCGAATACGAACGTTTTCAGGAACACGGCTCGTATTATCCTGGAGAGGCTGGCCCCCACACCGGAGATCTACAACTGCCTGCTTTACACGAACTCGTATTCCGGACAACGATCCGCAGCTGACTGTTCATGTCACACCGTAATTCTAACGCCGGACTATTTTTGTACTGATCCGCAATTTGTGATCCTAGCAAGGCAGCAGTCGAGACACAAAGTATGCCAACCAGGACTGTCACCGAGATGGGAAGAACAACATTGCGGTTTCGCTTTACACCAGACCGCTAGAAAAATCATTACCTCCTACAATAACCTCCGCAATCTATATCAGATCCGCACCTTACAGAACAATTGGTTTGGAATCAGGTCATTCCAAGCTCGCAAGCATCGTTGCCGACGGTACAAAGAACGTAGTCCCTGTCAGCGGGGTCGAATAATCCAATATACGATCATGCAGACCCGGCGGATTGCCCACATACATCCGTTCCAGCATCTTCTCAATGACCCACAACCGTCTGGAATACCCAATGAAATACGTCCCAAACTCCTTGCTCCCAGGCGACCCAAACGGCATATTGTCGCGCAAAATGCCGAACTCGTTACCGTCGTCGTCCTCGATCGTGGCCAGGCTCTTGTGACTTTGCTGCTTTCCCTCTGGCGCATCGTCTAGTTCGACGTTTTCGAGCTTGGTGCGTCCGATAATAGACTCTTGTTGTTCTGTGGACATCGACTTCCATGTTTTCATGTCGTGCACGTACTTTTGCACGACAACGTAGCTACCTCCTGCGGCTTCCGTATCCTCTTCTGCTATGAATACTGAATCGTCGACAGCAGGGCCGACAGGGTTCGCTGTTCCGTCTACAAAGCCCAGCAAGTCACGCACGTCAAAGTATCGGAAGCCGACAGTCTCGTCTATGAGTGTGACGGATTCACCAAGAGCATCCATCAGCTGTCGTTCGAATTCGAAGTTGAGGTCTCGTCTTTCTGAGCGGATGTGGAAGAGCAAGTCGCCAGGAGTCGAGACGGCAAGGTGTTTTGCCCCTTTCAACTCTTTGAAAGGACGCAACTCCACAGGCCGAGGGACGTCAGTGATGCGGTCCCAGACACGGCTACCAATCCCGGCTGTCACGGCAAAGGAGGCGGATGAGTCGCGGATAGCAACGTTCTTGGTTAGATCTGCGACGCTGGCGAGTGTTGATTTCACCATGCTCGTAGCTTCGTCTCCATCGTTGATTGTAAGTACGAGAAATGTTGCCGACGATGTGAGCGGCGCATCAACCCGTTGAGGTTCGATAAGGATACGGTGGCTCATGCTGGCTCTTCTGTTTGCCTGTCGTGGATTGAGACCTAGAGAAGATCTAGCAACGCGGAGAAAGGATGGCGCAACTGGCGTTACTGGATTATTATGGATACTATTGGAATTCGTCGTAAGTCGTTGTGCTTTAGGATGCCTGGATGCTGGGAGCGCAGCGAGAGAGCATTTGTGATAGGCTCGACTCAATATTTGACCACTCATCTCTTAGCAGTGGCACAGCGCATGCCCCGTATTTATATGGCCCGGAAACATGAAAGGAACAGCTGGGCTTCATCACGCTGTGCAGTGCTAAAACCAATGCAAGACGATGTGTAAGCTAAGTTCCGTGGTGTCCGATTGGTTGCCAGAGCTAGGTAGCTGCAGTGAACCGTTCTTGCCCCGCACTTTCGTTGAGCAAACCTCTCAACGCAGATTTGTGATAATAACTTCAACGCGTGTCGGAAAGCTGGCTCGCCTTAGTGCCCTTCCCCAGCGCAACTACAAGCATAATCTTCTTCCCTCACGATTTTCCAATCCTCTGTCTCGCCATCATCCCCGCCTTCCTTCACCTTCCACCACTGTAAAGGACACCCTTCAACACAGCCTCTTTTCCTTTCCTTTCATTAAGACTCGGATAGGATCGCCTTGTCCCGCCGCGAAGCACAGAATCCACTGAGAGAGAGAGAGCGAGAGGTTTTCTGCGTGCTAGGCTGGGGATGTTTAGGCCGGGGAAATTAAGGAAGAAATTGGATATGGGAATGTGCCGTGATTTGAGAAAAAGAGATCGGGGTCGTTGAATGTTAGAATGCTGAGAATGTCGCCTAACTAGAAGGCAGCTGTAAGGTGATATGTCATTTTTGAAGAAATCCTGCTAGTGCGATAGACGACATCTTATTGTTTGAAAATCTTATTGTTTGAGAATGCGATGAGCCCAGTAATCAAAAAGCTAGAAACATCAAGTCGAAGAGACGGATCCTAAGGAACGGATGAGTCTTATCAAGTTCATCTACACTGCAATTTTCAACGGTTTGAGTATGCTTCGTGCTCAATTTGCTGTTCTTCATGGCAGAAGGTTGACTAAGGAGTTGCCACATTAAGTCCATTTCGGATTGCATTGTCAAATGTGGTATTGTGAAGACGTGACACGTTCAGCTGCTGACGTTGGACGTGTAGATGTTAGTGTTCCTCGACATCGAACCAGAATCCTAGAGAGACGAAGTACATTCGGTGTTTCCCATTCGGCTACTTTGTTGGATCTCTCTGCTCTAGGTCGAACAGAACGCATTGAAAGGCAGCTGCCACGTTCATTTACAGGCATCTATGCCGATAAAAGAGCAGGCACGTTAGCACTAGCTCATGACCGTTCCGCATCTAACCGAATCATTTAAAAATCATGGAACATTTTCCACTGCACCAATAAATGTAATGATTCGTGTTCATGCATGATAAAGAGTTGTTTCAGTGTTAACCTTCGGATCTGGCATTTGCTGTTGGGATGTGGGCACCACGTAAATGTACGGGTCTGAGGAGCTGGATGCTTATCAAACACAAACTACAGATACAGTCTCTTCAGGCCGATACAGATACAGTGGGTGCATCATTGGGTATTCCGAAAAGCACGAAGTATGGCGCCACACTTGTGCACCGCCACCCTCAGGGACTTCGCGACCGCCCGACTTTCACACTGCAACCTCCGCATGTCGATCCCGTGCAACACCAGCACGTTCCACTTCCACACCGCAATTCGTTTCTGCACCAAGTGTCGTACGACGTTGCAGCCGTCATCACAAGACACCTAAGGGAAGCTGTGAGGCCGAAGGGGGAAGCTGGCAGACAATACAGCCTCGCGATTCGAGGGCGGCACGGCGATCCCAAATATTGTACAGTCCTCTCACGAGCACCGCGGAGGCGTGATCAATGCCTGTCGTGTGTCTCTATTGATCGCCATGGCGGCGCGCACTATTGGTGAACTCGGGGTACGAGGTGCGTTTGGGCGGCTCCATGTGGACAAAAGCCGGTTTCTTGGAACATGCGATTTAGCCACCTTCACGATGCAAACGCGACAATGGAATCTTGGTCGCCTTCAAACATCGCTTTTCGATGCAAAAGCCTAGGTATTGGTAACTTCGTGGGGGCTGCGGAGTGGTTTGGCGCTGCGCCGCACAGTAAATCTACAGCAGACGCCTCGGCTCTTGAAACTCGGAACTACGTCACAGGCGCTCGCAAGCGCGCGAGCATCGCGACGGAGAGACGCAGGGGTATTTCGGGCAGTGACCTCACCGCAACCAGGGTTGTTATAGATTGATCGACGTGCGACTGGGGGAGCGGCGTGAGTGGCATCGCTTATGCGCGAACTGGGACATGGACAAGGTGCAGCAAATCCAACGGCAGCAGTGCAAGTCGTCCTGCTTTTGGCTCGTCAGGTTGCGCCAGTGGCGCATTGGTTCCTGGTTGTGCACACAGTTCTTTGCTCTGCTACTCTCTTCCACCGTCCTCCCGACTGCTTGCTTCACCTTCACTTACGTGGGTTAACCTTCACTTACCGTTGCGCGCAAGACAGAGGCGGGCCCGCTTTCAGTTCGCACCTCAACTCGACACCCGTCACATTCATGGTCTTGTTTTCATAGCAATGGCAGTCACTTTTTACTTGCGCATCACTGCCGTCGTTCTGGCTGTGCTACAAACTGCCGTTGCGCAGCAATGCTGTGAGTTGGTCCGCGCTCGACCAAAGCTGAAAGAGCTCCACTGACAACTTCAGACTACCCCAATGGTAGCACGGCACCCGACTCTGAGAAGCCATGCTCATCTGCCGACGGCACGGCGTGCTGCCCGGATACGTGGGAATGCATGGATAACGGTCTCTGCTATAACCCAAGCGAGAAGATATACGGACGATACAGCTGTACAGACAAGGACTGGAAATCTTCAGGCTGCCCATCGAGCCTGTGCACTGGTATGCGCTATAGCACTCGAGCTTGCGGACAGTCGATTGACATTTCGCAGATGTACAGCAAATTGGGGCTGAGGCTGTATCGCAGTGCAAGGACCACGACAATCAGTGGTGTTGCGATGCTAACAGAGTTGATGTGAAGTGCTGCCAGGAAAGCCCACAGCCGAGGCCTTTCTTCGCGTTGCAAGACCCGAAGGCATACGGAACAATAGGAGGAAGCACTGGATCAAGCGCACCAAATCTGGCCACGATCATGGGCAAAGCTAGCGGGAGTGGGAGCAGCTCACCATCCTCAACAGCAGCACCTAATTCCGCCTCCGCAACCAAGGACTCTCAGTCTAATAGCGACGCCTCCTCCACAGCCGCAAGTACGCTAACATCCCTCTCAACCACCGTATCAACAGGCACCGCCGGGCCTACGACCATCGTGAAGACCGTCACCCAGCCTGCTTCTTCCACTGCCACTGGCGATCCCTCGCCCTCCGCAACTCCAGAGAAGAAAAACAACATCGGCCTCATAGTCGGATGCGCTGTCGGTATCCCGCTCGCCATCGCCCTTATAGGCATCCTGTTCTGGCTCTTCCGCAAACGCGCGCACCAAAAGGCGCAAGCCCAACCCTACAACACCTCCTCAACCGACGCCTTCACGCCCACTCCCGCAACTTCCGAATTCGCCGGCGGCGCAAAACTACACAAGAACGGCGCTCCGTCCAAGTTCGCGTCAACAGACCCAGGCGTGCCAGAGCTTGCAGGCGGCCAGGGCGTCGGCCCAGAGAGGCCTGTGTCCATGATCCCAGGAAAGGCAGAGATGGATTCAGGAGGCGGCTTCGCGCCAGGCACGGTACCGCTCGCACCGCATCTCGTTGGTGTAGGTGGTGGAAATGGCAACGGAGTGGGACATTCGCCGCAGGGCAGCTGGGGTAGTGCACCGCCAGGGTACTCGCCCGAGCAGCAGCAGCGCGCATCGTGGGCACCAAATTCCGATCCGATGGCTGGGCAGTACCAAGCGTACCGGCCAGGCGTAGATAATGTATCTGAGATGGCGGAGCTGCCCAGCGTGAGGACGCCGCCTGAGGTGGTGGAGCTGGGAAATCCGAGTCCACCTACGGCCACGGGTGCGAGGGAGTATCCCGGAATGGCTGAGGCAGGGGCGGGGGCGCCGAGGAGGTAAAACGTGAGGCTGGTCGTGCGTTTCGGCTCTAATTCACGACGATGGGCATGAGGCGCATGAGTGGTCGTGGGCACGATTTGAGGCAGGGATGATACCATTATGTACCACCAGGCATGCTACATCAGCAACACTGTGGCACGTAAATACTAATGAAGAAACGACAATTGCATTTCAATGCTCCATGTGCTACATTCATTTCGCGAGGAAGATAGGCAATAACATATGTTACGACAGTAGGCATACCGCAATATCGCTTCCTACGTTATCGTAAATGTTCGGCGCTATGCGCAAGAATGCACATACAGGTTCACCAGCGTGTGGGACAACTCACGGTACCATGCCTAGTGGCAGTAGCCTTATAGGCAATCAAAAGATAATGGACGTCCGGTCCCGGCCACGCACCAGCCACGATCTGAGTGGAGTGAACATCTGGAGACCCGGCTCTGCCTGTGGAAGCTACGTGCGGTTGCTACGATGGTGTAAAATATAGGCGGTGGCATGACCGTTACCAACCAAAAGCATCACAAGATTATGACGGCTCCCTCTCAGGGAAAGATCCAGAAAGATTCAACTGGCACCAGAACTGCATTTTGAGAATATTTCCACACGAGCTGTAGACATTCTTATTCCGAGATCTCGAGGTCGGCTGGCTCTCACGTCCACCAGGGCATCGCTGTGGAAAATGTACTGATTCGAGGAAGGCTCTTAGCGTCATCCAAATTTTGTGTGTATTGTAATCGGATCTCGCAATTGAATTTAAATCACCTGCGGTCTGAGCTCTTGTCCTGATCTCTTGCCTAGGCCCTTTTCGTCACGTGACATGCGCTACATCATGCTTGCTCGCTTTGTCTGACTGGACATCGTTTTGACCAACAAGCATTTTCGTGGTCCAAAAGTACATGACTGCTGGAATTGGTCAATTTACGGGACTGCGACCACCAAGAACTGATTTTCTAGTAGTCTCCTAACTTAGCTTCGCCCTATCAATATCGTTGGAGATCGTCCGACACGCTTCCCCGTGAACTCACTAAGGAAGAGCCCGGAAACTCGCTAGACCTAATTGGGAAGCTTCTATCCTGATGATACGATAATATTAAACGACGGGTGACCGCAACCGTAGAATCTCGCAGAAAGGTGCACAAGCGGGCTTCACGTGTGATTGACAGCAGGGAAGGCCAGGCAACGGATCGTTGAGCCCACGAATTGTGTATGACGTGGAAAATGCTAGGAGACGTCGAGAGGCATTTGAAATCGTCCAGATACCCATGGCGCAGATTAAGCCTAGGTATTCAAACACGAAAGTTTCCCACCAAGGCTAGAAAATCAAACCGTTCATACGTTAGGAAAATCTCCCACACGCAAGGGACAATCTCTAATTCCACATCCCATCACCACGAATGCCAGCTTTCCCATCATGGCCCAAAGCCCGCCGAGCCCGCCGAGCCCCTCGCAAGACGCCCTCTCTCATTGTCGCGTCGATAGCCTTGATCCTTCGAATGATTCAAACGAAGTAATGCACCTTTCGACCCGAGAAAGCGCAGAGCAGATCGACCAAGGCAAGCATCGGATTTGGGAAAGTCCAGGTGATCATCCCTCGAAGACGGTGAGCAAAAAGATCTAACAGTAGGACAGAAGATATAGAAGCCTTAAAGGACTCCGCACATGAGCGATTTGAAGACTTCCATGCCCAACTGGTAGTGTGGAATCATTTTACTAAGGGTCTGAACGGGAGTATGCAGAGGGCACATGAGCTGTTGGATCGTGGGGAGTATGACAAGGCGAAAGAGACTTTTGAGCGGGTGATTAGGACGACAGATCAGTTTCTGAAGGACCATCCTTCGTGACGATGGTAGCAGGTTGAAAAGGATGCCTTGTTTCTGGCAGTACTGAATCCTTCAAAACAATGAGTTTTAGTCCATGGAAAAGTCGCTTCTGACATAACTGCGTCTCATTAACTCTCTGAGCGATATCCTAGCTTGAGTGGAAAACACGAATGATGCTGAAGTAAGACACAATTTTTGTTACGCAGTGGCATCGCAAAGCTTAGGAGGAGAAGGGCAGTGAGCAAGGTTCGCATTACTGTCAAAGTCGCACAACCATCATCATTATCATCCTACTACTCTCGTCAAGTGCAAGTAAAAAAATCTCTGCGAGGAGATTCTTGTCCCTTCAACGCAATCACAACGCTATCAGCCCATTTATCAATCTCCTCCCAGTCTTTGTAGTCCCCCTCCTTGATTAATCCACAAGTCCATCGAGAGCAGCAATGAACATCCTCTTTATCCAGCTTTCCCCCTAAGACCACATGCATCACCACCCTCCCATCCAGCAACTTCTGCAGATTGTTGTAGATGTGGTCGTCTTCCCACTTCTGCCACCTATGACTGATGGGTTTAGGCAGCGCCTTCGGAGCGCCGACGGAGAATGCAAAGAGGGGCTTGGAGGTTAGAGCAGCTTTGTTGGCGGTGATGAAGGTAGTGGCGTCGGGGAGCCAGTGTGCGCCGTGGACCGCAGAGCCGATGACAATGGCGGTGTAGTCGTTCAGTGTGGAAACGTCGAAGGAGTGCATGTCGTGGCACTCGGCCGGCGGCATTTGCTCGGCGATATGAGAGGCTATGTGCTTCGCGACATCGGCAGTGCTGCCGTGACCGGTGCAGTAGAGAACTAAGATAGGCATCTCTGATAGCATCGAAGCGTTTCGTGTGAAATATTTTCCTATAGGTGGCACAGCTCGTGATCTCCTATATAAAACTTTTTGAAAGCGAATCAATATCTAATCCAGTGGCATGATCTCGCTCTCGTACCATAACGTAACATTACTGCTCGCGTGAGCTTTCAGTCAGGTGTGCATACAACATGGAAAGCTTGATATAATGGATAGTATGCCCTGAGTACCTGAAGTTAATTTTGATATCGCATGAGCACAAGCCTGCCAGGGGCTCCCGCGCCGTCCACGGGTGTAAACGGTACCCTGATTTTCAAAACCTACGTTGCCGGAAACCTGTCGACATGTGAAGACGAAAAACAGGGCTATCGCATACGAGTCTTCGTAGCCCGCACGACTCCATTACAATTGAGGTCAGGGGCGCGAAATACACCCCTCAGGTTGCTGTAGTCGCAAATTTGGCGCAGATGATCGTACGTCACGTGGTACCCTCCATCTAGTGCCAAACGTGGCAAACAAAACCAAAATTGACCGAGAGGAATATATAGAGCTAGTTAAGAAGATGGAGTTTCAGAAGCGGGGGAGTGGCTTAGTGAAGAGCTAAGTCACGTGTGCGCCTATTAGTCCAGGTGATGGCATGATCAGACCACCAACAAATGACCCTCGGCCGACAGAATCTCCTGTTCTTAGATCACCAAATTGTTGAGTTAACGTTACGTGAAATCTCGATTTCTGACCATTGTGCAAGGCAGATTGACTCGGAATGCCCTCAGACTTCTTATCTCGTTACCTGCCGACCGACCCCTGATAAATGTGCTTACTCTCCTACAAGAGTTGTAAGAGCGTGCCACTTCTCAGCATACTATTGCTGTTCATACAATCGCATCACTCGTACTTACCGAATCTGCTGCAATGAGAGCACGACATACATTGGCCAGAACAATCTCCCAGATATGAAGAAGGTACCGAAACCAGAGCTCCATAAAGCAACAAAAGTTATTGCGAGGCTTAAACACACTACCATATGCGGTACAGACCTGCACACCCTCGAAGGCGGCGTTCCAACGGTGTTTGAAGGCCGCATCTTGGTATATAAAGGCCGCAAACCTGTTGAATAAGAATGTTAATAAGTCATTTTCCATAACTACAGGACCTCGCAAGGATGATTCAAAGAAAATGACCCCGCAGCAGAGCCATTACAATAAGACTTGTCGACACAATCACGACGCCTATGTTCCTCAAGTCTCTCGAGCTGCGCAAACTGCCCACTGAGAAGATTGTTACGCACGAGCTTGAGTTTGAGGAAACGACGAAGCCAAACAAGTGCTTTGGAAAGGCGAACGCGAATAAAGCGCTTAAGTGGTTGATTAGTTTCTTTAACGCTATGAGACAGATCTTGGTGGCAATCATAGAACCCCGAGATACTTATCCCTCTTCCAGTGCTACAGGGAACACTTCAAGTACCAATCAAAATCCTATCTGATTGGACCGTCACCATTCATGGCGAGAAAGTCTACTTCCAATTCCCCTTGGCGTTAACACCCGCCGTAACCTCCTCAGAACGAGTGACATAGATGTCGGACTTCACATTGATTCCTCTTCCATTCTCCCCCTGTCCATCAGAAGTATCCACGCCGCTTCTCTGGATGCTGTGTAGAAGATATGCGTCGCGGCCTGGGCGCTGCTTGCTGTCATCAAATCCACTTGACCCTGCATACTTCTGACCGGTCGACACGATAGTTCTCGATAGCGATGGAAGGTACTTTTGTACAAAAGGCTTGAGACGAGCCACTGTGGCGTTGTTAGATGAATACCATGTGTAATTAAGCGACAAATGGCTTACAGCTGGCACCTAATATGCCGATGTTCAACTCAATGGCTGATAGCACCCCGACTCTAGCTTGGCACCACGTAATGTCCGGGTTGTCCTGAATGTCGGCCACGAACTTTGTCCTGATGATAGATGCAACAATGCACAACGAGCCCAAAGTCATCAGTATTCCCACTGAAATCTTCTGGCGCATTGGCATCTGAAGTTGGTGGACCAAAGGAATTGGCAAAGCGATGACCAGCACGTCCGATATAATGTTCAAAGCCGCATGCCCAGTGCCGGCACGGGTGAGACACTTTACGCTTCCATGCAGCGGATCGCAAGGTCCGGTCACCAGGACCGTGAGGACGACCGTGTATGCTACGATGCAGATACCGAGAATCAGGGCGCTTATCTTGCCCCACTTCGCCGCATAGACTTGATAGATGAGTGTCAAGACTGATAGCTTGGTGAGCGTAGGTGTCCAGAAGTAGGTCACTGACATAGCGACGAGTTGCTATCCGTAGAGTTTCCTTTAGTACATTGGGAACCAAGTAGCGGTCATGGAGAGATACCCACCTGGAAATAGCCAGTAATCTCTGTTGCCTCGACATTCCACAGGTGATTCCCGTAGCCATATTTGATGGCTAAGTCGTATCAGCACTCGATCTCAAGCAATAGCATTCTCAAAATCTTTGGCCTCCGGTATTGTCTCACCGATCATCGTGCAGGCGATCGACCCAGCGCCTACGCCCCAAGAAGAGATCAAGAAGACTGGAAATTGATAGCGTTAGTGGTGGATGCAAATGGACTCGGTGACATCTTACAATCGCCCCAGTCCGTCCTTCTGTTAATGAAAGCTGAAGTATACACTCTCAGGCCCAGAAAGACAGTTGCAATGGCGTATGTGGACAGGTTCGCAGCAAACAGTGCAATTTGCAGAGACGTGTATCCGCCATCGAACACTGCATGTTCGCCTTCAGGGGCCGGCATCACACCCTGTGGTTGTGAGTCCCCCATTGTGGTCGACTATCGAGGCTTCCCGAGGTCAATGGATCCTTTCGATGGGCGATGCTACTGAATGCTTGGTAAATGTTGTGAGCATCGCAACGGGAATGATCGCGAGGCTGCGGTCATATCACTCCTGTGGGGATGGCAGATAGCATTCCCGATTGGCACCTCAAGAACTGCCAAGCTGGAATTGTCCAAGTTGGTGGCTTGGGGGTGGGGCCAGGTATCAGAATGAGTGCAGACGATTAGGGGTCTGGTTAAATCCTACTTGCAAATCATCACCAAAAGGAAAAACGTTGGCGCGTCTGGAGTAAACTCCACTGGTTTGAAAATACATTGTGCAAGTGCTATCGTACGGGTTCTCTGACTCGAGGGAATATTTGTGCTAGGGGTTTACCACTAATAGCTAGTGAAGGACGTGTGTCCCTGCAATTTTCTCCGTACGTACGCAGACGTGCATGGGTGCAGCGTTGCACCGAAGACTGCCAACGGCGCCTCCCGTATACTCATGTTCCACGATTGGGTCTCTGTAAACCGAAAGTCCGTGCGCTGCAGATCCTAATCTCACCCGTCTTACCGGGGCAGCTACCCATGCTGCGAAGCTTCATGCAAAACAGAAAACGCGACCGAGGTTCGACTTCCCCATGCCCTTATTCCAATCCCATGTCCCCAGAGCAGCTACTGCTTCTTCACTTTCTCCCATTTCCTGAACCTGGTCTTCCCTTCGTAATTTTACAACCGCCACGACTTATCCAAATCGGGCACTGTTCGGGGGGACTGCTTACGCGGCTCAACTGTTTGCGGGGCGAAAAACAGGTGGAACAGGTTCTTAGATACGCGTAGCAGTCAGCGAACAACCTACTTCGCTGTTTGCTTGCTTCGTGTGTGCTCACACACCTCCCAGTACCCCATCTGAGATCCAATATGGCGGCCCATGAGACCCATTCGAACATGGCTGCTGAGCATGATCTAGTCGTTCCATTGCACTACTTCGATAATAACACCATGTTCACAAGCATCACAATGCACGCAATTATGGTTTACGACGAGATTCTGGACCCCGAAAGGCTGCGGGCCACTCTGTCACAATTGGTTGAACGTGAAACATGGCAAAAGCTGGGCGCAAGACTGAGGAAAGGAGTAAGTCCATCAAAGATGTACTTGTAAAAAGATTGATGATAGGACGCTGACCCACGATAGAAACATGGACATGATCTACACGTGCCGCGAAAATTTTCTTCGAGCCGCCCAGCTATCGCGTATAGACATGTTTCTTTGGATATGTTGAAAGCAGAGCACCATGCAGCATCTCTCATACCCAGCTCAAAGTCAGCGCCCAAGGAACGTCCTGCACTTGTCGGAAATCCCGAAGACTGGACTGAATTATGCTGTGGAGCTGACGCGCCAAAAACAAGTGCGGACTATGTGGGCTCGGATCGGCCCGTTACTGGTCTGCGTGTAGTGTCGTTCAAGGACGCCACCATCGTTAACATTCACTGGCTTCATATCGCGGCTGATGCCATGGCACTAAAAGCTATTCTGGACAACTGGGTGTTAGTTCTTGAAGGCCGCGCAGCCGAAATCCCATCTCAATATGGGTTCGACGAGGATCCGCTGCGTGAGCTTGGACTTCATACTACAGAGCCGTTTGACCTCGCCGGCTTGGAGCTGTCAAAATGGGGCACTGCAGCGTATGCGCTGAGGAATGGCTACAGCATTGCTTTGGCGAAGAAAGAGAGCCGCACTGTCTGTATTCCTGCCCTGTTCATGGAAAAACTTCGAAAGACCGCACGCCAGGAGTTGAATGATCAGGGCAGAAGGGAACAATTTCTGACTGACAATGATATCATCACAGCTTGGTTCTCGCGTCTCGCCTTCTCTCACTTGCCCCCCGAGAAGCCAGTCACTATCATGCAAGCCATGTCTATGCGACGCGCGCTAGAGCAAGATCTGTTGCCCCCAGGCAGGCCATTTGTGTCGAATTGTCTCACCTTTACGAGCGTCCTGAAAACCAAAAATGAAGTTGACATGTCCCTGGGACTTCTGGCAGGGGACATCCGGCAGGGAGTCAATAAGCACGGCACGCGCGAGCAGATTGAAGCTTACAACGGCATGGTCAGGGCCAATGCGTGGCCACTTGGTCCAATGCCTGTGTTCTTTGGCCAGTCAAACATGCACCACATAGGATATTCGAACTGGAAAAAAGCACAAGTCAACTTGGTGGATCTCTCAACAGCCTGTGTAACCAAGAGAAATTCCCCCCTGTACCCATCTTTTGTTACGCAAATACAGGGCGGCATAGCTTACCCTGACGGCTTTATCATCACCGGCGAGGATGCTCAGGGTAATTATTGGCTTGAGGGATACCGGCCCGGCGGACTGTGGTCACATGTAGAGAAACTGCTCGAGAGGGACATTGCTTCCTAATGGTCAGCTTAGGTGAAGGCTCTTCGGACCAAGAGTATTATAGACGAAGTGGCTGTATGTAGGGGCCTCATTTGTGTAACAACATCTGGAACCTTTCTAGCAAGTACTAGAGGTGTGTGGTGCCTGACAAGTCACTCGGTATCGTCCAGCATTACACCGCTTTAAAGACGAGCCTAAAAGAAAATCTGGTGGCGTTATGGCATCCATGTATGGGCGTTGAGATTCGCCAAAACTAACCCTGGCATAGCTCGTGACAGATTACATTACTCGTACACGAGCAACGGCTCGGTTCATGCTCCAATCGCCGATCTAGCGAAATTTTGGGACGAGTGAAATTACCACGTAGTGATAGGCGCCTTACTTCCCTCAATGAGACAAAAACGCAGCTTTGATTGGTTTCCTGAAGTGACAATAATCATACATCGGGTTACTTCCGATGCATCCAGACCGGTATCTGGCAGTTGGCTAACATGCATACGCAGCTGGGATTTGGCTCCCTCCGGTGTAACTGAGGCTCTGGCAAGTACCAATGCTCTGGTCCTCATCCTGGCCAGGACTTCTCTGACACAGTCCATTCGATGCTGTTCACATGTATTGACGGGGAACTCGAACGTGCCCAGGTCACAAGACCTTAGATACAAAAGCCTTGACTGACAAACGCTTTGTGATGATGCGTACTGTGGCAGATCAATGGGTGTTTGCTCGAGGAGGGTCCGAAGCCCAAAGGCCCCACGAACACGTCAGCTAAGCGTGGAACTCGCCCTGGAATTGGATTTCCCAAGGCGCGGGTCATAACTCCGACCCAATACGTTCGGCCGGATACAAGATTTCACGGGTGCCTTTTACGATCTGCGAATGTGCGGTCAAGTCAGAGCCGTGAAGGATTCCGCCCAAGCATGACTGGGCAAGCCCCGGTAAAATGCGACGATTAGCCTGTGATACGGGATTGACGGCGTTTCGGTCCCAAATCTGGTAAGGAGACTACACCCTGTCCAGACAGAAGCTGCAGAGCAAGGCTGGAAGGATCGAGGATGACAACCTCAGCCAACGTCGGTGTCGTCACTACTGAGCTAGAGTCTTCACAAATGTGCATTTTGGGAGGTGATTGCACGTCGACTAGTGCTCGACTGTCGTCATTGTCGGTGAGCTGGGCTTTGCGCGGCTGAGTTGTCGCGCTGATCGCAGCATCACGTCGGTGGAGACTCCAGAAGAAACAAGGCAACGCACAGCAAGTGTCGTAGAAGGACCATCTGGGGAGATGAATATATTCTCAGCCCACGGTAGCATACAGCATCCGTACCGTTATCCTATGGAATTTGAAACCAACATGAACGATAAGCGAACCTTCAACAAGGGTGACTTCGTGTCCTCTCGAGCAAGCTACCCAGTGTGCGATGTTCCAACTCCCCCAGATTCGGAGGCCGCAAGCATCCAAGAGTCTGAAGAGCATCACGGTGTAGAGCAGGTTCCGTCAGTTCGGATTCCAGATTGTTTTGGTTCCATCATGGCCCCAAAACCCATCGTCAACCCTAATTATTTCGCTGCGAAAGCTAAGGGGGATCGATGGATTGCCCGGCACATGGGTCTCGACAAGGCGACAGCCGCGAAGAATGCGCAAGCTGATTTGTGCTACCTTGCGTCCATATGGTCGGCAACAGCGTCAGAGGACCGCCTCGTCATGATGCTGGACTGGAACAACTGGGTAAGTGCTCTTTACTCAAGCTCATGTTCCTCAAAATGGCTGACAGAGCTTTCAAGGTGTTTTTCTTTGACGATGAGTTTGACGAAGGCCGCCTCAAAACGGACCTTCCTGCCGCAAAGGAGGAAGTAAAGCAGACACTAGCTATCATGGAAGGCACCGCACCCCGGTATAGCCCGGAGTGCAATCGCGTGCGATATATTTTCCAGACATGCTGCGATCGAATCAAGGCAACATCCGGTGAAGGTACGGCTGACTCACATAAGCAACAATTACGAGGTCGCGATGCTAATGCTAAACAAAAACAGAGATGCAACAGCGTTGGATAGACCAACACAAGCGATATTTCGAGCAGCTCATCGTACAAGTTGACTTGGAGGCTAGAGGTGCAACCCTCACATGCGACGTGGATGCATACTTCAGGCTGCGTAGGGGCACAATTGGTGTCTATCCAGCGATCACGCTCGCCGAATGGGCCGGCGGCATACAAGTACCCTCGAAAGCTTACGATCATCCAAGCTTGCAGAAATGCATGCAAGTCGCAGCTGATCTGGTGATACTGTGAGTTCAGCATCGTCACATTATATTACGAAGAGTGCGTACTGACATTTTTCAGTGTCAATGATGTGCTCTCCTACCGCAAAGACCTTGATCTGGGTGTGGACTTCAATTTGATCACGTTGCTGATGAAAAATCAGCATCTCACCGTCCAGCAAGCCATGGACAGTGTTGGCGACATGATCGACGATTGCTACCGCCAGTGGTTCCTCGCTTTGGCAGATCTTCCCTCCTTCGGCGAGGAGGTCGACCGCGAGGTTATGAAGTTCGTGGAGGTGTGCAGAGCGATGGCGCACGGAAACTTATATTGGAGCTTTCAGACGGGTCGCTTTCTGGGGAACGAGGGCCATGATGTTCATGAAACTGGCCTCATGGAGCTGCCACCTGGATTTGATGACGCTCATGAAGACGAGCCCCTGGCCACTCCAATCGCATCGCGACCGTACTCGGGATGTCGGTCGTCTACAAATGGATTAGACTCAGATGATGGTGGCCATTATTTTGTTCGCTAGTAATGTAACCTGTACAATGTTTCAGCTACCTGCAGCCTCCAGCTTTCGAAAATACAACACGGGAGGATTCAAAAGCAATGAGAAACCGTCAATAGCTCGATCCTTCGGGAGTTGGTCCTTACCCAGACCGGTTGGTGTGGCGGGCCGTTTCCGGGCGTACGCGTAAAACCCCTGTTGATCATAGCGGAGATGACATCGTAGCGCTGCCATCCTGTTACAACCTTATGATCTCGGACCATCTATACTTTTGCTCGAGCATTCCTTGGGGCTAATAAGTTGTCATGTGACGTGCACTCACCGCCCCTCGCGTTTGCAGTTTGCAGTGTCTCGCACGTGCCGCCGCCGATCGGACCCAATGTTGTCTCCAGCAACCCAGTGAGGCTCGAACTAACGTCTTCTGCCAAGTATCTCGTCCCGCCACAGTCACCTCAGTTTCAAGGTTTTCACCATTACGATGACCGAATTGTGCGTCCTGACTCGAAATACATGCTCCCAATGATGTGCTATGTGCTATTACTGCTTTCGTAGAACACTTCAATCTATGACCATACTTATACAATTCCTCATCACTACGCTCCCCTCGCTTATCCACTTTATGCCTCTCAATTCCGCCCGCCATGCTCAGCACACTAATCCTGTCCCTGATAGCTTCAGGCGTCTTGTACTACATTATTAGCGCGTTTTACTGTGTAACGTTCCACCCGCTCGCTTCAGTCCCGGGTCCTCCCCTTTGTGCATTCAGCCGCATCCCCTACTGGTATGTCTCGTTCGGCGGCGTTGACGTGTTCTGGATGAAGCGGCTGCACGACAAGTATGGCCCCGTCGTTCGTTTCGGACCCACCGACCTCAGCTATGCATCCGCCGAAGGTTGGCAAGAAGTTCACGGCGCAAAAGTGCAGGAAAAGGCGGTGGAATTCTCGCCTCAGCCTGTCAACGGTATTTCTTCCCTAGCATTTTCCTATGCAGTAGTACTTACACCAGCAGGCGTCCCACCCGTCCTGACAGCCACCCACCCGAACCATACCCGCGTGCGCCGCCTGTTCTCGCCCGCCTTCTCCGCGCGCTCTCTGAAGGCGCAGGAGCCTCTCTTCCAGAAATATGCCGATTTGCTCAAGCACAAGGTCTCCGAGGTCGGCCAGGATGGCCAGAAGCCGGTCGATATTGGAGCATTGCTGAATTTCACAACCTTCGATGTCATGGCCGAACTCACCTTCGGGCAAAATCTGGGCATGCTTGCGAAGACCGAATACAGTCCGTGGGTGGCATCCATTGTTGAGTCTCTCAAGATGCTGCCCCTGGTGGCAATGATTAACTACTACCCCTTGCTACGCGTCACGTTGTTTGAGCGGTTCCAGCCAAAGTGGATTGCGGAGCAGAGAGAGGCGCACTGTGCGTTTTCTGCGGATCTGGTGAATCGGCGGTTGAAAGTAGGGTCGAAGAAGCCTGATGTGTGGAACCTTGTGCTGGACGACAAGGGCAAGGGACTTACACTTGAGGAGATGCATTCTAACGCTGAGCTCTTCATGCTGGCAGGTTCGGAAACAACGGGTAAGTCATGACCACAAATGGAAGCATGAATACCTGGCTAACTGAAACGCTTTGCAGCAACGCTTCTGAGTGGTGCTATATACAATCTCCTCAGGAGCCCACGTTGTTTCGCGAAGCTGGTCGATGAAGTCAGAAACGCTTTCGATAGCGACGGAAAGATGACACTGGAAAACCTCGGCAGCCTAAAATACCTGAATGCATGTACGTGAAGGTCTCCTGCACCACCAAACGATAATTTGATCGTTTCTTCGTGCTCACTGGTAGCTCGTCGCACCCGCAGCCAGAGCCTGTCACACGACTGGGAGTTCCCTCATGCCTTGATGGAACAGAGGAAATGCTGACTCCACACCACCCCCAGGTCTTAAAGAAGCCCTCCGGATCTACCCCCCCGTCCCCATCGGCAGCCCGCGCATCATTCAACAAGGCGGCCAGATGATTCTCGGTACATGGGTGCCCCCCGAAACCCGCGTCTCCGTACACCACTGGTCGACGTACCACTCTTCCTCCAATTTCACCGACCCCAACAGCTACGTTCCCGAGCGGTGGCTGGGCGACCCCAAATACGCCGGGGACGCCTTCAGCGCGCACCAGCCGTTCGGCTCCGGGTATCGCAACTGTATTGGGCAGAACATGGCCATGCATGAAATGAGGCTGATAATGGCGACGTTGTTGGTGGGGTTTGATTTGGAGCTTTGTGCGGAGAGTGAGGGGTGGGATGAGCAGAAGAGTTTTGCACTGTGGATCAAGGACCCGCTGATGATAAGAGCGAGGCCGAGGAGTAGAGGTCGAGGCGACAAGCTGTAGAAAACCCCCAGAAGAGCGGTTGAGACGAACGCAGACGTCGTGGACGACCCCGAACAAGCCCAAACGATTAGAAAAGCGATCCTACACTGGCTGGCGGCTCTAATTTGAGCTTTGCTAGATGTTAGATGAGCAGGATATGCAGATACAAAACTCGTAAAATCTGTGCGAGGTGTGTGGTGGCCTGCCAGTATTTTCAGTCGTGCAAGAGTAAATACTCATTCTTAGGAGGGTCAACGGCCAGTTTCAAATGTTAGCTTGCAACCTGGACTGACAACAAATTCACTAGCAAAAGAAAGCAATCACAGCAGAGATTTGTTAAACTAGAGAAGGGGTAAATTAGAGAAGGAGCTATCATCATAGCAGCCATACCCGTAGAGCAGGAACTCCATCCTCAACTTCACCAGATGTGACCAAAAACGAAGCTACCCTCACCAAAACCCTTGCCTGCTCCTATGCACCATCGAGCCATCCCACGCTCCACTAACGCTCCACCTGTAATCCACGATCCCAAGCTAACACACCCCAGCCTGCCCTTTCCCTATCGCTCCAATCCATCCCGCCACCCGCACCACTCACAACAAGCCCTCCACCAACCCCCTCACCTCCCCCTCGCTCATCTCTCTAATTCCCAATAGCTCGTTATCGTCATGTCCCGAATAATCGCACCCATACTCCAGATCCGAACACCCCAAAATCGGCACCAGCGTATACGCAGTACCAAGATCCCGCCTGTCCACGGCCCCCCAAATCTCCCTCAGCAACTCGTCCGACCCCTTCGCACTCGTAGTCCACTTCCTCCCATCCTTCTCCTCCGCGTAGCGCAGCAGCTGGTTCTGCGTCACGACCGCAGAGTGGATGTACACGAGCCTGTCCCTTGTCTCGTCCTGCCTGGCGATGATGGACACGACTGCGTGCGCAACGTCCGAGAGCAGGGCCGCGCTGAAGCGGACGTCGCCGCCGTTGTACCGCACTGCGCTCTTCGCCTTGACGTCGAGCAGGATGTCGGTGGATTGCAGCACCCAGTCCAGGAACCACCCGTTGGCGATGGCGGTCCAAGAGAAGGCGCCGCCCGTCTCGCGCACCTTGGCACGGAGGTGCGTCTGCGTGGCTGCCTTTTCCCTGATGATGGGGAGCAGGACTGCTTTCGGGTTGGCCGAGTCCAGGCCGTATTCTGCGGGGATGAAGCGCGTGGCGCCGGCTGCGACGGCGGCGTCAATGAGCGGGTTCTGCGCGTCCAGAGCCGAGGCTGCGACGCAGGAGATCTGGTGGGGTCAGCGGGAGGGCTGGTGTTCTGTGTTTGGCGGACGCGGAAGGGGAACGGGTGCGCTTGGGGCCGGGTGGGCTACTGACGACGACGGAGACGCCTCCCAGCGCGGGAATGATGCTCCCTGCGTCTGCTAGATCAACTTGTCTGACCGACATGTTAGGGTGGAGAGGTAGTTTCTCCGCAGCCATCGAGCCCACGCGCGTAAGCACCGTCACTTTGTGCTCGGCGGCGAGGAGAGCTGCTAGAATGACAGGCCCGAGAAGGCCTGTGGCGCCGGCAAGAGCGACGTGCGTTGGCATATTGTCGATGGGTGAAAGATGAGAAGTAAGAGACGGAGAAGGATATGATGGGTATGGTTCACGAAGGTGGTACAATGTGAGGTGGGCTTATATACATAGCTGCAGAACGGCTGGAAATGTAGGCTACGAATATCAGTGTCGGTTCCGAGCATGTATTTTGATAGACAGCGAAAACATGTGTCAGGGACGGAGTTATGATCGTGCTGTAAAGGATTTAGCTGTCGGGTCTGAAAGTCCTGTATTGTGTACATGTCGGATCCGATCGAACGGTGAAGTGGGCGTGTCGGATCCAGGTGCGAAATGGTCATCTCGGATCCGGACCGCGCCTGAAAGATAGTGCGGATTATTCATATCGATGTGCTATGGTACCTACATAGATCGTATACGCTTACTTCCGGTTCACCGTTAGCCCTCGGCTCGTCCCTTCTTCTGCCCGCGGTTCTCCCCCCTTGGCCTTGCCTTTGTCCCTTCCGCGCTGCGAACGTGTTTATCACCGTCCAGGACCAACAATCAAGCGCAGCGGCTTTACTACTGCAAGCCCTTTCCATTCCAGCGAAGAGCTGCATGTCTTAAGACGCATGTCTTACCCTTTTTTTCTTCCGCTGAACTCATACGCAGCTGTGCTGAGCGTGCAGGCTAATATAGCCTTCCAGGTATTTTGTTAAATTGTAAATCGAATCTCGATGCGCGTCGTTCACGTGAAGTAGTTCTCGCCGCCTCGCTCAACCAAGCTCGGTGTGCTCGGCTCCGTCGCCGGTGTGACAACCTGCGGGACGAGCCCTTTCATCATATGCACCAGATCCGCGGCCTTGAACGGCTTCTGCATGACGCGATCCTGATTTGCAAGTCAGTGACATGCTCCTTCTAATCCTTAGTCTGTGGCATACTCACCGCACCCGCCGCAAGCGCGGTATCGATCTGCTCCTGCCGTACATTCGCCGTGACCGCGATAATCGGCAATCTCGCGCCACCTCTCGACCCAATCGCCATCGCCTGGCTCAGCAAACCCTCGTCATCAGCCTCGCGCTTGCGGATCGCCTTGGTGGCTTCGAGCCCGTTTAGCACGGGCATTTCCAGGTCCATGAGCACTACATCATATACCTTCTTCTCCACCAGTTCTAGCGCTTCGCGCCCGTGGTTTGCAACGTCGATCATGCAACCGGCCTTTTTGAGCTGCTTACCGAGAACCTGCTGGTTGATGACATTGTCCTCTACAAGGAGAACGTGCAGCTTCTGGGGTGCTGGCCCCACGCCGCCACTCTCGTGGAAGAGCTCCCCAAGGGTCTGTGGACGGCGTTCGACGCGCCGGGTTTTGACATAAAAGCCGAATGTGGAGCCTTCGCCGGTGATGGAAGACACACCAATCTCGCCACCTTGCTTTTCGGTAAGTTCTTTGCCTGTGCACATGTTAGTAATGGCCCTGGCGAATTTGTGTGTATGACGCACTGATGAACAGTCCAAGACCGCTGCCGCCGTATTTCACGTGCGTCTTCATGTTCGCTTGGCGAAACCTCTCGAAAATCTTGTGGATCTCCTTTCCCTTCAGACCGATGCCCGAGTCTTGCACAGAGAAGGTCAGATAAATTTCCTCCCCTTGACCCCAGTCTGGAGACGCAGTCACGTCTGAGTAGTCCTTGACTTTCGACGCCCAGAACGTGTCGGCTCCAAACATGGAGCGTGGATCTGATTTACAGGCACCGAAGCGGACCGAGATCGTTGGAACCTTGGAGGGCTTTACAAACTTAATTGCGTTAGTTAGGAGGTTGATGAAGATCTGAGTAACACGCGATGGGTCGAGATACACGTATTGGATATCCAGCCTTGCTAGGGAGGGGTCGGAAATCACGCTGTAGCGAATGTTGTTCGATTTGAGTTCGGCCTGGAAGATGCTTGAGATGGAGCTGACCAGCTTGGCAGGACGCGTGGCAGTCGGTGTGATGGAGAGCAGCATCGAGTCGAGCTTACTCAGGGTGAGTACATCGTCAATGATTCGCTTTTGATGGTTGGCGCATTGCATGATGATGTTTGCCGAGCCCAGATTGTCATTCAACGTCTCGGAAAGCATCGCTGGAACTTCTGCGAGTTTCGAACGACATTCCTCCACAGCGCTACATATGTCGTCTGCACAGTGCACGATTGCGCTGAGCGGGTTCCGCATCTCATGTGACACAACATCGATAAAGGCCTCCTGTTGTCGTTTCGCTTCGCGGGCTTCGGCGGCCAACCGTGCCTGGAAGTTCTCCGCCCACTTGAGTCTTGAGATATCCGTAGTGCATGCCATAAGGGATCGAACCGTTTCTCCCTCGCGGTAAGGAAAGGCTAGAATCTGGAGCTGGGCGGGCTCCGCGTCGCCATTTGGTGCAGTAAAAAGACGCTTCAGTCGCATCTCTATGCTCACGTGATTGACGCCCGACTGTAGGGTCGCCCAAGCCTCCTGCGCTTTAGGCAGATCTTCCTCGACGTAGACGTCCCAAAAACTGACTAGCTCCAAATGCTCTTCTGCTGTCATGCCCGACAGTGCGTAGTATTGGTCGTTGGCCCAGATGATTTTCCCATCGAGACCCATGTGAATCATGCCGACCGATGCATGTTCGATGAGATGGCGCAATTTCATGTCACTGAAGGCCAGATCGTCTTCGAGCTTCCGTTGGCGCTCCCTTGTCTTGACAGCGCTGAATGCGAGGTTCATGATGCTCGATACAGCGCGTCCAACATCTTTCAAAAACTGTAGGCATGCGTCATCAAAGGGTCGACGGGGATTTGTCCCCACGACGAGGTAGCCAGACACTCGGGACCCGCTAGTGATGGGCAGGATGCCGATCTTTTTCGAGGGAGAACCGAATCCGGCCCACGACGCCGAATCGAAGCGCTCGTCGTAGTCGATGGTCAGGATGTCGGACCCTGCACGTCGACACTCGGGAATGAGCCCTTGGTTGCTATCGATTCCATGCTTGTCCACGATCAAGTTGTGGCCTGGTGGTAACCCATAATGCCCGCGGAGCCGCAGCACGTCTGGTGCGGAGTCGTCATCATCGTCCACCTCGTACAACATGGCAAGTGGCAGGTCGTTGGGGTCGGTGGCGAGCGTGTCTAGGATGTGGCAGCAGGCGGCGTCGGGTTCGAAGTCGGCCTGCGAGGCGAGGCGGTTGAGAAGCATGGTGCGGCGGTCGGACAGGCGCTGGCTCGTAACTTCGAAGAGCGAGTTGTAGTAGCCCTGGGGTTGGTTGGTGGGCCCGTCGCCGATTGGGACGAAGTTGCCGTTGAAGAAAGCCCTGGACTGTCAGAGAAGGCGCCCACGACTGCGATGCAAGACTCACTCCTCGGGCCACCCTTTGCGCTCGACGATGAGGGCATGCTCGGGCGAATAGTCCAGGCCGACGCCGGCGTCGCGGCACCTGTCGAAGAAGGGCTTGATGGTCGGCCACAGCTCTGGATAGCAGTCCCAGAAGGATGATGCCATGCTGGGACTTGGTCAGCGGCTGCGCGAGCAGCACGGGCGGGCGAGGGCTGCTCACAGCTTGGGATGCACGGCAGCCGCGAGCGGCGCATACGTCTCGTTGTAGATGGCCGTGTACGAGTCGCCCCTGTGCTGTCAGCCGCTGCGGCGCGCAGTTGAGGCGGGTTGGGCATCGCACCACCAGATGCACGCGGCGCGCGAATCGGCGAAGACCATGCGCGTGAACAGCCGCAGCGTCGCGTCCCAGGTGCCCAGCGGGCCCAGCGGGCTCCTGGCCCAGTCGGTCTCGCGGAAGAAGCGCACATGCGGCGTGTCGGGGAGGTCGAGCGTCCAGTCGCGCTGGTCGCCCCCATCGCCTTGGGGGGGCGGCGCGGGGCCAGGACGATGCTCCAGCTCCCGCGCCAGCTCGTCTGGCGGCGGCGTGTTGGGGTCGTGCATGGGCTTGGGCGGCAGACGGGCGAGAGCGTTCGTCGAGGAAGCACCGCTGCCGCCCGCATGTGTGTGCAGTGGACGCGCAGACGAAACCGCGAGAGCGAGGCTAGCATTGCGCCGACCTGACTCTTTCACGCCGTGGGTAGGGCTGCAGTCGAGACGGGCCGTCTGAGATTAGCGAGCCGGCCCCAGCTGCGGCCTCGAACGCCCCCCGCCCAGACCGCAAGCTCCAAAGACAGCCGTGGCCTTGTTGCCGCCCGTCGGTTGCATTCGACCTAGTTTGCGGATGCGCGGGCTTGCGGCCAGATGAAAGCCTGTCACTGACGACAGGCGCCCGACGCGCAGGAGCACGCGCCTTGCAGCGTCGAGACAGCATGTGACATGCACATCCTCCACGGCAGTGACGACTGCCTTCACGCAAGGCGTGGCCAGCCATGTCCAGGCTCGCCAGCGCTCATGGATAAGACGGCGCCTAGACCTGAGCCGCTCCCATCCGCATGCCGGCCCAGTGTCGCGAGGCACGCGCCCGCTCCGCGCCACAGGAGACGACGGTTCGGATTGATGTTGTGCATGTGTAGACGACACTACTTCGGCTCTTCTCCCCGCTAAGCGAGCGCCTTCCGCCCGCATTGTTATTTCCGGCTGCCTGTTCCCTCACGCAGCTGCTGTTTCCGTCTGGACCTCGCCGTAGCACGCGTCAGCACGCGCTCTGCCTCTACCGTGTACACGTCCCAGCCGCCTGCTTGAGGGAGCAAAGGAACGACATCAGCGGGGACGTTGGCATGGCCGGAAGCGCTCCTCCACAGCGCTAGTCCATGGCCTCGCCGACAGTGGCTTCCAAGCCTCGTATGGCAGCCCTCGCAGCCCTCGAGCTCTTTGGCAGCTGCTCAAGCGAGTCCATCACCATCGACGACAGGTGGGCGAAAGCAGCACTGTCTACCTCGCCTGTGTGACGCTTCCGCACCGCGACTCGGCCCAACAGCTGCGCCAGAGTGACGACAAGGTGCGGAAACGCGTACAGCGCTATGAACGACAACTTCAGCGACTGCGTTGCTGGTGTCGAATCGCCATCCGACTCGGCGATACCTCGCGTTGGCATGTGGTAGATGTTGTCTGTCCCGAACTTGAGGATGGCGAACGAGTCGTGTTCGACTTGTTTTCGTATTTCATGCAGCTGCTGCGCAAGATCGGAGCGTTTTGCGACTTGAAGTGCTTCGACAAGAACCATCACGCCAATGCAATATTGTAGCGTGATTTGAAACCAACCGAATCGATTCCGCTGGCTGAGAAAGTGAATCCGTCTCTCGCATCCCGAAAGTGGAGGCTGGACGGATTTCTTGAAGATGACCATGGTTTCCTGGAGCGATCCCCATACCCAAAGGACCGTCTCTTCGTCGACTCCCTCGCGCAACGCCTCCTTGACGGACGTAATGCTCTTCCACATGAGCGTCTGGCAGACGGACGCTGCCCCGATGATTTGGGAGGCACGCTCATCCGTGACTTCAGCCCCGTTTACACACCACTCCTCGGTCGCAGGGCCGAACGAGCCGACAAGAAAGGCTTTGGACAGCCGCCACGCAGGCTCGCTGCAGGCGCCATTTAGGCCCGACGTCAGCAGCGTGCGCATGTCACTGGTCATCGCATCGGATGTGTCCCACATAACTGCGGCCCAATACGCCCTGCTCTCGAGATCCAGGAACGTCTGCGTGATATTCAGCAGACCTTTTTTAACTGACATCCAATGAGCGCCTGTATTCCATTTGACTTTCAAGATGACTTGCCTGGATCGCACCGCTGCCGTAGCTTTTGGATGTGCATCAGAGCTGTGTGCATGCAGACTGGCCCTGTGATGCCCGAAAGCTCTTCCTCTTCGCATATACCCGCTGGTACGGGCGTTTGAGCGAACAAATACAGTGAGAGCACCGACCGATACGAGACTTGGTTGAGCAGCGCAACCATATCAGATCTTGAGCTTCGCCAACTGGTCGCCGCAATCTCATCAGGTTCGGTCGCTCCCGGGCCCAATGGAAGCCAACGCGCAGTGAAGGCTAAGATCGCTCGGTCCAGGACTTTTTCGACCGGGGATGAAGGGCGGCAGGGAGGACTTGATGAGTGGTTTTCAATTACGTTACTCGTCGAAGCCGCCGGCGGACCAGTTGCAGTCGTGGCCATCGGCATCCACGCCTCTTCAAAGCGATGTTCCACATCAAGCCTTCTCATCAATTCTGACAAGGGAGTATTGAGTCCGCTGTTTGGGTCATCTCTGATTGATACTGAATTAGACTCCACTCCAATCATCGCAGGGATTACTCACACGAATGGGCACCCATACCGACCAAGCAGCAGACCGAAATTCGCTTCGAAGCCGTACTGGAAAATGCTTTCTGCCCACGACGTCAAAGCTTCTCCAGGGAGCCCAAGATGCGGAGGTCGAGCTGCTAAGTGGTCCTCAGTGTCTGTGCGACTCGAACCCGTCGAAGCAAGAATGTTTGCTTGATTTCGACCGCCATCGCCGCTGGGCGTTGAGGTTTGGTAGGCTAGGAATTCGGGACTACTCTGTCGGTTCCGACTGCGGCGTCCTTGCGCCACTCGAGCGAGTGCAGGCCGAGGTAGGGTCCGCTCACCAGCGCCCTCAGGATGTAATGGGTTGTCATGCGATAAAGAATTTCGACTTGGCAGATTACTGCACTTCTTTGCTCTCGCATGCTTCATCCACTGTACGGTATCGTAAGCATTGCCAAAATTCACAATCACAGTTCCCAAGCGCTCCTGAGCCACACCATCTCGGATCCGAACGCATGCAGCAAGCTCACGTATCCGCAAAACAATACAACGTATATACAACGTCAAGATAATGGAGCTGCTCACTTCAAAAGTACAAGGCTGATCTTTCCTCTGACATCTCGAGCATGGTCCGCCTCCGGCACGTTGCACTGCTTTCGACCCATCGCACGCCACGCGGGAGAGCCGGCACGCATCGCAGCTGGAGAACTGTGTCCGTTTTGGAGCTGCTTGTCGGGGCATGTCGGCACCAATTTATTGCCCATGAGAAGGATTCGTAGGTTGGGTCAGAAGCCATGGACATCGGATCCGAAGTGCATGGTAGTAAGAATGCATTGGTAAGCAGCCATGCAGCCCCACTTTTCTACTCACATACTCCTTTCCGCTTCTTCGGTCAACGTGGTAGCCGTCCCCTCAGGCCTGCTGTCAAAGGGGCTGTGCCCAGCATCTACCTCAATCCGATCATCGATCTTGCGCGGCCCGCTTCCCTTTGCAGAATCGACACGATACTGCGCGTTGAAAACCCCTGGCACAAGGAAAGCGACCAGGTAGACGAGTCGAATGACGCCCTTTTCAGTCACCCCTATACCCTTGCAGGTTCCAGCAAGACATGAAGATAGCCAATATACATGCAAATCGATGTCGATGTGCTGCCCAAATAGCTAGGAGTAGCTAAAAAGAAAGGCTGAGCACCGCTTCCACGCAAGGGGAATCAGCTCCTCGTTCGATGGGGTTGTGGAGGAACGCGTGTGAGGCTCGCTACCTAAAGGTGGTGGGTCCACAAACGTCAACACGCTGAGGAGCACTTAGGTGGAGAGGATTCACACAGCGTCGATGCATATTTGGAGCGAGGAATTGGTTTATCCGTGTATATATAGACGCACATTTTGGGTTTGTCGTCATCAAATCACAAATCGCATCGGTAAATTAGTGGGTCTACCAGTGATTGCCCTGAAATAGATTTTTCTTTTCTTATTCTGGTCTTTGTGTATAGAATTTGTAAACTTCGATTGAAGGCTTAACTAGAACTTGCTGCATCACTGCGCGAATACCATATTTGGGACCTAGTTCTCACCTAGCCTCGCTTCTGTCCCCGGCGGCTTCCTTGTGATTCCGTCGGCGCATCTATTCGTCATTGGCTTAACTTAGCCTCCTCTACGCCGTGAGCTGGCTCCTCCTCTTGTGAGTTGAGTCAGGCCTTGCTGGTGTAGAGGATCCTGTTCCACTTTTCGCCTGCGTCCTTGTTTTGGCCGGAGTCGGTGATTGTAGTTTGGTGTAAGAAAGCTAGCGAGGAATACGCATGCTGCAGAGCGGGTAAGATACCTATTTCTTGCTAGGCTGCATTGTTCAGCTGTGTGATCAGGCAATTTTGTTGGATCCAATATTGTACTTGGTTGAAGTGTGGGTCACGCCCATACGAACCGCAGGACGTGCCTTCGCCTCTGCCCTACCAGGTCCCGCTAGGAAATCGTTTCCCGAAACTGTAGTTGCTGAGTACACGAGCACACCTTAACAATATCAGCAGCTGATTTGGGGAATTTCGATCTTGGCCGGCGGGACGGCGGGCGCTATAGAGACAAGATTAAGTACGTCGGAGTTAACGAAAAGCATCTTACGCCATCCTAGTTTGCCTCCTACAGAGCGTAAGCATAAAATATTCTCTCAAATGGCTTCTTGCGCACATGAAACGACTCTACTGAAGAATTCAACGAAAGAGCTAAACATCCTAGTGGCAACGCAGGACCTGTGTTCCGTAGCAATTTACACTACAGTAATGCGATGAGTCGCATAGCCCCTACTTGCTATCCCCCGAATGAATCCCTTGCACAATCCATTCAGCCTGCTCCGCAATCGACAAACTCTCATCAAGCAATCTCAGCAACGGGATCGCAGTTTTGAACGTGGTCAGGAACCAGTTCCGCAGCTCCACTGCTATCAGACTGTCGACTCCGTACTCCGCCACCGATTTGTTCTCCTGGATGGTCCCCACGGGAATGCCCAGAAGCCCTGACATTTTATCCTTGGTAGCGGCAATCACTAATTTGCGGCCATCATCAGCATTTCCGGAGCGGAGGGCTACCTGAACCTCTTCGAAGACCTTGGACACTACAGCTTCTACTAGTGTCGACGTACTGTTCCCAGATCGCTGATCCTCTGTAGCGCGTACGATGTGTGAGAACTTCTTGTCCCCCATCCAGCGCGGGACACCCCTATTCGTACCGTTCTTATCCAGCATCGCGGCCAGCTTGGTAGGCTCGAGACAAGTCGTGATCTGGGCCTCGGCTAGCGGATCGAAGCGTCTCCAGGGGCAAGATATGGCGTTGCCATCATGCTTTGGCAGCGGGGCGTCCAGGAATGCGGCTTCCAGCAGTCTTAGGATACCCAACTCCCCCGTTCCGTAGAGATTGTTTCGATCAATCATGTTCCTCGTGATATCTACCTGCCCAACATATCCAATCTCGGTGATCAGGCCCACGGCAATGGCGCATGCGGGTAGACCCAGTGACCGACGATACCGTGCGAAGGCATCTTGGAAAGAATTTGCGGCGCAGTATGTAGCCTGCGTAGGCAATGCAACTACAGCCTCATAGCTACTTGTCATGATAAAAAAGTCAAGATTGAGGTTGTACTTGAGGGTCGCTTCGTGGAGGTTTTGAGTGCCAGTGACTTTGGCGGAGAGGCCGAGTGTCCAGTCTGCGTAGGTGAGGACTTCGAACGCGTGATCGCAGAAGGTGACAGCGGCGTGGATGATGCCTTTGATGGGGAGCGATATGTTGGACATGGATGCATCCACAGAGGAGGCATCGGTGATGTCGCACTTCACTACCGAGACGTTGATTCCGCTCTGTGCCAGTTCGTTGAGGATGTTGACTGCCTCGGGCGTAGGGACTCCTGAACGAGACCAGATCTCCAAGTGTCGAGCACCGCGCGTGGCCATCATCTGTAAGATCCCCAAGCCAAATCCTCCGGCTCCGCCCACGAGGATGTAGACACTATCAGGGTCGAATCTAGCCGAAGGTTTGTGAGGAATGATCTATCAGACATTAGCTTCTCTCTCGGAGAACGGAAAAGCATGCTTACCTTCAGTGGGGCTTCCTCAACTGTGTATGTCACCGCTACCTTACCTATATGTTTGCCTTGCGAAAAGTACATCAACGCTGATTCTAGCTCCGAGATATCGAACGTTTTGACTGGAGAAATAGGGTGCAGAACCCCGGTGGTAATCATCTCGTTCACCTCGCCCATCAATCTACAGATGTTAGCAATGGAGGATAAAGGCTTATTGATAAAGGAAAAGAATACCTAGAGCAGAAGTCTGCATCTTGACGAGCCATAATGCTCAGATCAAAAGAAGCGTATAATGCGTTCCTCCTGAAGACCTCCATGGACAACGTGGCACCATTCTGTACATCTACTCTTCCAACATCTATGAACCGCCCTCGCGGTGCCAAATGTCTCCAAGATTCGTGCATCATGCTCCCTGTGGATGTGCTGAGAATAACGTCAAATCCCCGACCGTCTGTGATACTTGGAATCCGCAGCAAGTCATCCTCGTTCCTGGATGACAATATGCGCTCTTTTTCGAGTCCGATTTGTTCATGAAGGAAATCGACCTTGGCTTGGTTTCCTGCCGTAACATAGATATCTGCTCCGATGCTCCTAGCGACCTGGATTGCGGCAAGACCGACACCTCCTGTGGCTCCTTGTATGAGTACGCGCTCTCCGGCTTCCAGCCGTGCTAGGTGGTTAAGCCCGTAGTGCGCGGTGCAAAAAACGATAGGAACACCCGCCATTTCCTCGAAGCAATCTTCAGGCCTCATCTTCTGGGCGAATCCCGCGGGAAGCCGAATAGTGGTTCCGAACTTAGCCCAAGCCAACCCATAGATACGATCACCAGGCTTCAAGCCTTGAACAGCGCTTCCGCTTTTAGTGATGATGCCAGAGCACTCGGAGCTCAATGTGTCCATGTCGATTTTCCCAGTAGAAGTCGCAAGATCCTTCCAGTTCAAACCAATTGCGGCTGTACGGATTTCGATATAGTCAGGCTGAAGCGGCTCGAGCATGCTCTCATCTGATTGGAAGACTAGAGAGCTGATGAGACCCGGCTTAGAAAAGTGGGCGCTCAGAGCTGCATGGCTGCCCATGGGTTCCAGAGCAGTCTCTTGTTGCGAGTTGTATCGTTTTCGGTATTCAACATTGAGCTCCTCATCGAATATGAGGCGGCTTGTGTAGACAATCCCATCTTTGACCGCAAGCTCGCGCTCGAAATCATTAAGATGAATGAGCCTTTCTCTGCGAATGATCTCTGGTAGTAGCTCGGGATCGGTATTCAGGTCGAGAGACCTTTCCAGCAAGATGATTCCGTGACTAGCTTCGGGGTTCTCGGTTGTGAGCATGCGAACGAGGCCGACTGTGGTCGCAGATCTCGGAGTATTTCCCTGCAAGGTATCCCCAATGACCAGCCAGAGGGCGGACCTCGCACTTCGTATAGTGGACTTCAATTGGAGGAATTCTTGCTCGCTTGCGTCGGCGACGCTGTATCGGTCGTTGTCCAGGCAAAGGATTATTCGCGAAGATGGGGGAATACTGCCGCCGAACGAATGCAAGACTGGCGTCAGCCCTTGTTGTTGTAGCTGAGCCGAAATAGCCTGGTGTGCTTCACTAGCCACTCCTCGGTGAACCACATATACCTCGGTCTTCAAACTGCAAGATCCATCGATCTCTGGAAGTTCGGTCGCCGTCGTAACAATTGTTGAAACGATCCCATAAGGCGCTTCATAATCACTCAACTCGAAGTCAACGCCCGAGAATCTGCTCGCTTGAAGTGCCTCATTCCACTCTGCTGTTGCCAAGAAGGGCGTATCTCTCTCTTCATCCTCGCTCCACCAATCTGTGAATGTCCCATAAATGATGTTTGTTCCAAAAAGAGGTCTTGTTGTCTCCAGCAAAATCAATTTGCCATTTGGTTTCAGAAGTAATCGGATGTTGCGTAAGGCACATTCTACGTCTGGCGTAGCATGCACACACTCTGATGCTATGATCACATCATATTTCATATCGAATCCCTGCTCATGAGGCGCGCTGTTCATGTCAAAGACGCTGAAGCTCATATTCTTACATCGAGAGAACTCAGCTCGCGCCGAGTGAATAAAGCCGCTGGATACGTCAGTGAACGTGTACGAGCCGTACCGTTTCGGGCTTCTATCCGGTGCGAGTGTACTGATGGCAATGTTGGTCGCGGCACCGGTGCCGGCTCCAACTTCAAGTATGTCCATGTTTGGATTGGAATGACCAAGTAGGTCTAGGACATTCGACAGTTGTCTATACGCGACCGAGATACCGAAGCCAGCTGTGTAGACTTTCCTGAGGATGCCGTCTCTCAATGCAACTTCGAGCCCTGTTCTCATCTCAGCCATGATATCGTCCATCTCTGTGAACATGCGGTTTGCGATCTCAACATCTACGACGTCAGAGAGTTTCGAAACAATGGCGTTGATTTCATGTTGTCGTTCAGCGCTGGTCATGGAGCGTACAGCATCCGCAAATGATGACTCAATGGCGCTGCACTTGTTGATCCATTTCAGAAAGCGTTGTAAATGAGGCGAGCTGGGCCTCAAAGCGCCGTATCTCTCTTGTAGTCCCATAATCATGTACATAGCTAATCGGTCCATCTCTTCAAATGTTCCTTGGACTGCAGCTCCAGGTATTGGAGGTGGGAAAAGCTTGTTGGCCTGATTATTTGAGAGACTGGAGATGTCTGGTTTCCATGCCAATCGTAGATACTCGTGCGTTTCAGGCTTCTCAATGGCCACACCTCCGTCGTAGGAAACGCATTTCAGGTTGGTCGTCTCAGCAATGGGAGTCCCATCTTCGGCGAATATTTGGTAGCTGGCATGCGCACCACGTAGTCCTGTTATTTGACCTTTTGCAATGCAATATCCCCACTCTTGCTGCGGTCTTACTCCTGGCCATACGACCATTTCTTCTATGGCTACGGGCACGAATGCAGTCTTGAACCGATCCGTTTGGCCTCCATGAGCGGCGATAAGCGAGAGTTGGTGACAAATATCCAATGAGGCGGGATGAACCATATAGGGTGACTCGGGTCCTTGCGTGAAGTAGGCCTGTGCCGGATTTAGATGAATTTTCGCGCGAGCGACATTTTTATACGGATCCGACGTAAGATCGAGCATCTTGGAGAATGCTGGACCATACCCGAGTCCGGCTTGAGTGAAATGGGAGTACCAATTTGGGACGTCGATGAATCGTTGATTTATCCCTTCGTCCAAACGACGCGTTGGAGTAGAAACTGCTGATGAGATAGATATCAGACCCGAAGCATGTTCTGTCCATGTACCCTCCTGGGATACTGAGGAAACTTGGAATTCATGCCATTTTGGGCTACCTGATGAAGCTTGTAGGTTCGTCAAGACCTCGACTCCGGTGTCATTCTCGGGTATCTGTAAAGCTGACCTAATGAGTACGTTGCGGAGCTTGAAGGAATGCTTGCTGGGTATCTTGGGCTGGCCCGAGACGTACTGCGACAGAGCTTCAATTGCCATACATACGTACGCTGATCCTGGAAGCACTGGGTTGGGGAGTAGTTTGTGGTCGTTCAACCAGGAAACATCCTTAAGCCGCAAGACGTTACGCCAGGAAGGTCTGCGTTTGGCGCAACCAGGTTGCAAGTAGCCAATGAGATCATGACGCAAGAACTTCCTTTGTCTGATTTCGCGTGATATGCGTGTCTCATGGGAGACCACAGCTCCGTAGCTGTATTGATATGTCGGTAAGTCGATACGGACGGAACCCATGTCGTATTGAGTACTCGTTTTATCTGGTATTTCTCTCGCATTGACTCGCATGATGTCCACAGGGTAGTCGCTGCAGAAGAGGTTTCCGCAGAGATTCATCAGACTCTTCTCCTCGTTCTCGAATCTCTTTAGTGATGGTAAGTACTGTGGTAGTTCAAGAGTCGCTCCAAGATATTCTGTAGTGATGATCTGTTTGAGAGGACCCTGAAGCGCAGAGTGGGGACCGATCTCAACTAGAATGTCTACTGAAGCTCTTGCGCCAGTGAGCATTCTGGACACTGCCCGTGAGAACTGTACAGATGCTTCGAGATTCTGGCGCCAATACTTAGCATCGATTTTCAGTTCTATCGGTTTATCAGGAGCCACAGAAGAGATCCAAGTTTTTCGAGACAGATTCGTTGCCACTGCTTCTGGGTATCTTTCTTTGACTTCTTCCAAAGCGTGTCTCAGGTGCATTTCGTATTTCTCCCCCACAGCCTTCATGTGATGGGAGTGATATGCGTTCCCACCAGTCTTGAGGATTCTTGAGAATATACCCTGTGCCTGTAGCTTTAAGTGTATATCTTCTATATGGGATTTGTCACCTGACAATGTGACGCTGGAAGGTGAGTTTACTGCCGCAATCTTTATAAAATCTTCTTGACCTGCAATCAATGACTGACACTCCAGTTCCGATAGCCCAACCGCTAGCATTAAGCCGGCGCTTCTATTTTTTGCGATTGCCTGTCCTCGGAAAAATGCAATTACTACTGCCTCCACTCTAGAAATGAAACCAGAGGAGTATGCTGCCGCTATTTCACCGGAGGAGTGACCCACGACCGCATGGGGTGTGATAGACCAAGAGTGGAGAAGGTCTACAATAGCAATTTGCAACGACGTACATATGGTTTGCGAAACTTCAGCGTCTTGTATAGAGTACTCCGTGTCTCCGTAGAAGAATTCAGTAATCGTCCATGGCGGTTTATTGGAGAGGCTGCATATGATGTCGTTTTGGGCTGATATTGACGAACGAAATGCCTCAAACGCAAGCAGTGCTCTTCCCATGGTCTGCCATTGAGCGCCTTGACCTGTGAACACGAAAGCCAAGCGAGGGACCTTTGAGCCTTCGCATTGACGAGATACTGCGCCCTCTGGCTGATATGTTTCCGAAGCGGCCCGAGTGTCCACAACCTGGTATGACCTGAAACGAAATTTTGTCCTACGTGCGAGCGTATGTGCGGTGTCTAGTAGTCGGTGTTGAGGGATTATAGGCTTCAAGATGCGCATATTTTTCATTAGGGCGCACTCGTCATGACCTGAGAAAGGCAATACTAGAAATCGTCGTTCTATTCCCTCCACGTTGGGTTGAGGGTGGCTCTCTGATCGCAGCAGGCTCGAAGAGATAACTTCATCGACTTCCAGCTTAGTTTGAACAGCATTATTCGCGCTTGAAGATTCATCGCCGTTGATACCGTTGACAGGGTTGAGCCTAGACGATCTGAAGGTCGGAATTTGGCTGGAGTATAACGAGTCCGAAGTACAATATCCATTCGTGGAATTCGTAATATGCTGGTTGCCATTTGGAACAACAGAGGCAATAATATCCTTCTTCAGAATGTCCGGGTGATCTAGGATACAGTGGGCATTGGCACCACCGTAGCCGAAGGAGTTCACACTGGCCCGTCTGAGTAAACCCGCTGGCCAGCGAGTAGGTTCGGTGACAACCTCTACCTGTGCAGATTCAAAGTCAATAGCAGGGTTTAATGTAGTGACTCCCGTCGTAGGTGGTATACAATCGTTCTCAAGAGCAAGTACACATTTGATGACGCCGGTGATGCCGCTTGCACTTTCGCTGTGACCAAGATTGGTTTTGACGGATCCGACCAACAGCGGGCTGACTCGAGTGGAGGCGAAAACTCGACCAATGGCAGCTACCTCGACGGGGTCGCCCACAGGAGTTCCAGTTCCGTGACACTCAAAGTAGCCGGTACTCTGAGGTGATAAATTCGCATTCTCATATGCTTGCCGTATGAGTGCCTCCTGTCCTTCCACTCCAGGATGTGTTATTCCAGCCGTCTTTCCATTTCTACATGATTACATAAGTAAGGGCCTCAATAGTTGAAAGAAGCTTGCTTACGAATTTATCGCAGTACCTCTGATCACAGCTCTGATAGGGTACTCCCCCTGCACTGCCTCCGAGTATCGTTTCAGGTATAATGCGCCGAATCCTTCTGCTCTTCCATAACCATCAGCTGATGTATCAAACGTATGACAAGTCGAAGTCTCCGAAAGCGCGCCGAGAGACTTTGTTAATTCTTGTGCTTCTGGTGAAAGAATTAGATTACTCCCTCCGACTATTGCGGCGTCGCAGTCTCTGTTTCGAATCGCGTTAACAGCCATGTGTAATGCGTACATGGACGATGAGCATGCTGTGTCTAAAGTAACGCTATACATCAGTCAGAAGTGCTCATACTCTCGGGCTAGGCACCAACCTTGGACCACGTAGATTAAAGACGTGATTTATCCTATTGCTTAGGATACTTGCGCTAGTGCCCGTGGCTGCATAAGGCTGTATGAAGTCGATATCATAAACATGATTCATCTGATAGTCTGTATTGAAGTTGCCAACAAAGACTCCAGTTTTAGAACCTGAGAAACTCTCCCATGGCTCGGCTGCACTCTCGAATGCTTCGTATGCAACTTCCAACATCTTGCGTTGATTGGGATCCATAGTCCGTATCTCGGAATCTTTAACACCGAAAAATCTGTGATCAAATAGCCGGGGATCTTCGGCGAGAAGATTAGCCCCCCGCGTATGTAGACTTCCAGGTCTATTGCTATTGGGGTGGTAGTAACCATCGATGTTGATTCTGTCGGGCGTGAATTCGCGCCATCCATTTCCTTTCGACATTAGGAGATCCCATAACTGTGAAGGGTTCGAGACATTGCCAGGCAGTCGACAACCTTACCAAAAATTAGTGATAGTATCCCCAAGACTTCGATATACGCCACTTACCAATACCTACAATTGCTACTGGCTCTGGTATAGAAGACGACCCGACGGGTCCTTCCCGTATGTTGCTTGTCATGTTAGGAAAAGCTTGGGCGTTAGTGAAAATCCCGAAGGACGCAGACTGTTCTGACAGTGGGATCCGTGATATGCAATAGTACGGAGAGCACAGAGCAATTTATGATCAAAGCAGCTTAGGGCTAATGTCAGATTACATCACGGATTGGATGATAAGTACGGTCTAGATTCCCCTTTGGGTGAATCTAAACAGTATCAGGCACCGGTCCAATTTACAGACATGGAGTGATTATGTGTTGTTTCAAAATATATCAGCCCTTACGAAACCCTATACTAATCTACTCTGATAAAGTGTCTTAGTCATTCCGTCATCTATTTCCCAGCTGCACCTCGATAAGACCCATAGACCCTTCAGCATGGACTCTCGTCATCTGCAATTTGTTAGCTTAAAAGAGATTTATTGACTAGTGCGGCATACCTGTAATCGTGGATCCGCCGCGTGTAAAAGGTTTCTGAAATCTTGCAAAGTGCGCTGCTTAGCGCCTAAAGCAACGAACATCATCATGTCAACTTGCCTCAAGCTTCTCTCTTCGTACCGAGTACGCGCCCCGTGTTCTGGCATGATTGTATCGTTAATCAGCAGCGAAGTACTCGGTTCTAAGACTGGTACGATGGCTCGCAAAATCTTGACGCAGTCGGCATCGCTCCAATTATGAGTGATCTGCCGAAGTAGGTAGACGCCTGCACCTTTAATCGGCTGCGGATTGAAGAAATTGTGCTGTATGAATTTCACACGGCCCTCTTTCACTGGTCCTGATTCTTGTTTGGATGTGTGAGCAAACATGGCGGGATTACCATCTTGTACAGTAATGTTCAAGTTGGGATATTTCTGATTGGGTCAGTATGATGCTGCTTGAACAGGCTCCTTGGTTTCTCAGACGTACATCCGCTAGAGCAATGCTGACGTGACCACTTCCGCCGCCTATGTCAACTACCTGCTTATCCCCAAGATCAGACCATGAATATCCATTCCATATCTCAGACGTTTGGCGATCCACTGATTACCTAGTCAATACAGGTGCCTTTACGGAGCAATCTTGACACTCACATTTCGCAATTCCAGCCATCGCAGACGCAAAGCGAGCGCCCAGGTTCGGGTTCTCCGTGTAATATTGGAAAAGAGGCATCCCGAATGCTTCATGGAATGGGCTTTGGCTACCATTTCTCAGCGCTGTGGTAGCGCTTCCCGCTGCCTTCAAAAATTCTTCAAGTTGATACTCTGCAGCCGCTCGGAGCTGTGGATCTCTTGCAAACACAACACTCCCGTGTGTGTGCACGAATACGTCCTTTTCGATTTCCTCGAATACCCTCTGAGTGCACAAAACATACAGGACCCGCCTCAGTATATCGTCAGGGAGGCCAACGCTCTGAGCGAGTTTCGTAATAGTGATGGGAGAGCCTTCGGGTACAGCGGCGAACACGCCGTACGCAAAAGCTATCTGATAAGCGGCCAAGTCATGGTGAGAGGCGAGAAGTTGTCGAGTGTGCGCCTGGGGCCCGTTCACTAGAAGCAAAAGATCTCCAGCAGCATCATTGAGGCTATTCCGGAGGCGTATATATGAATCTGTGATGGGAACATCCGAAGACTCTGGTGCGAAATGTGGCACTGGCACTCCCGTCGTTTCCAATTCTTTGACGATGTCTCCGGTGATGGACAGTATACTCCTGGCAAGATCAAGCATCTGGTTCTCGGATTGGGGCGCCATTTTGATCATGAAGAGGTAAGTCCAACAATATGCGAATTGCCATCGAAGGTAAGTTTTGGAATGTATAGAGTATATTACTTTTGCAGAAGGTCTGTATTTTATGACTAAACTCGGATAATCCGAGAGTAAGCTATAAGCTTGAGTGGCGAAGAAACTTGGCGTTCATTTTCGGCAAAATTGCAGCCGCTGCATACACGACACGGATCGCGTAAAAGCAGATATGCAGACTCCGTCATCCGCAGCAGATTGGGGCCAAATGCAACCTTTTCGCTGAGAAACGGCTGAGCGAGTGTTCCGTAGCATACTGGGGTTAGTGCTACCTGTAGGCGTTCTTCATTCTATCCAATCACCGATCGAGAAAATACCGAAGAAACCAATCACAAAAAGAATGCAGCTGTCAGCACACTCACGCTCGTTGCACAGGCTCGGAGCAACGTCTATCTATCTGTACATTCCCCCGAAGCGACCCTAGTAGTGCTTCAGAATTAATTAATTCTCGGTGACCGC